TGAATTATGCTATCTAATCCGTCCGGGTCCATTTGTCTAAGGGAGTAACTTGATCAATTGTATTATGACTACTTCCGTTTAATCATGAATTAATATCATTAACAGTGTACGCCATTATCAGAACCACTTAGCACTTGTAAAAGAAGAGACTGTACTTAGCGGTGTAAACTATAAGCATAAGCACTTAGCGCTTACAAGAACTGACTGTAGTCATCGGTGTAAACCACAAGCATCAGCACTTAGCGCTTATAAAATATTGACTGTAATGGTTGAATAGGCAATCTCTTTACATTTCAATTATAATGTCCCTCCCGCGCTATGTCTCTCGCTAACGCTCGTTCCATTACGCAATAAAAGTTTCCTTAGATGCTTTCAGGGCCAGCAAAATCTTGGTGCCAGCGGACTTTCAAATATTAATCAGAACCTCGAATTCATCGAGAAGGACATGAATGTCGTTCTACATTCCACCCTTACCCAACTCCATTCCGTTCACTTCCACCTTCAGTCCATTTCTACATCATTTTATTTTTTTATGTCATATTCTCCCACTATTTCATAATTGTTATCGCCAGATATAAGCGGTTTAAACTCGACCACTCCTATGCGGCATCAACTCAACCAATCGATTTGTCCTTCTCAGTGATAGCCCATTTGAACGCCAGAACCAGGTGAGTTGACTTTCGGTTATGGATGATAACATCGACCTTAGTGGCGAGCATTAATGCTCATTTCCTCCGGTGAATGCTTAAGTTATATAGACTCAAACTCGCCCTGCGACACCTAAGCGCTCTCCAGTATACGGCTGTTGCCATGGATAGCCGATTTGAGCGTTTGGTGTAAAAGCTACAGCAAGGTGTATGCCATTTGTTTTTATGACAAAAATACGTTCATTTCCATAAAAGGCAGCTTTTTCCAAGGCAATTAGGCTATAATGAGCTGCTTGATGTCGACTGCAAAGAGATACTGCACTTTATGCTTGCTTTCAACAAATGAATCATGAAATGTCGGCTAAAGGTGCCCGTTTATGAAAAAATGAGAGCACCCATCCTTAGAACCATATCCGCTATGAAGAGTGTCAACGCCTAGCAAATTAGAGAAACATATATCATATTGTCAATGGTTTCGATGAATTATCATTCAGAAATACAAATTTATAGACAGTAATGAAGAAAATACTTTCAAGATTGGAACATTGTGTCCAACATGCAAATTGTAAGCACCAAAACATAAAATTGAAATTCCATAAGTCAGCTAACATTGGTAAATGAAGTATCGACTTTGGACAACGAATTTTCTTTTACACTAACAGCAGATCAACATATAGTATAGAAAACAAGGTAAGGCTGCAAACAGGTTGCCTTGATCATTGTTATTAACCATAAGAACTGCTCAACACTAAGCGTTTAGCGCTTACAAAAACTGACTGTAGTCAACGGTATGCATCAGCATTTAGCCCTCGTAAAAAAAGAGACTGCAGTTCATAGTGTAAGTTATAATCATAAAGCAGTTAGCGCTTACAAAAAATCAACTGTAGTTAACGGTGTAAGCTATCAGCATAAGCACTGATCGCTCATAAAAAAGAGACTGTAGTTAAAAGTGCAAGCTATTAAGCATAAGCCTTTTAGCACTCATGATAAGTGATTGTAGTTAACAGTGTACGCCATTGCCATAAGCAGAAGCGCTTAATGTGGTCATTTGCTCGTTCCCAATGAGGTGCGCGTTTGCTTAAGACATGAGTACATTTCACTTGTCATTCGACTTAAATCAACTGCAGGGATTCGTCGATTGCACTCTTTGGTTGTTACGCAGTGTCAAAAAGCTCAGGTGTCCAACCTTCAGCTATGCTCTGATCGTCTTACATTTGATCATATTGACTAAGCAGTAGGGCAGGCGAATAAACGTCACCCTTTACTATTGCAAGATATTACCGAATGATTTCTGTGAACGGTAGACTGTATCCGACGACCGTCTTTATAATCGATTAGGCAGATTCGTAGCTATCCGAAAGGCTTAACCAAGTATCATGTCATCGCGGAATAAATTTTCCGCAAGCCGGCTTAAATAATGAAATTTAGGCGTCATTACATTGGCTAAATGTAGATCTTAAACCGTTTCAGTATACAAGTATATAAGTGGGGAAACGGCTCTCTCATCAACTGCACAAGAATATTTACCTTCAACGATCTTTATCAACAATCAAAATGAATAAACCACTAGTAGCAATTTGTGGGGCAACAGGGTGAGCAGTAACACTTGTCACTACTATACGGCCGTTAAACTCTATTCTGACAGTGATTCAATTTAACAGAGTTCAAGGCAAGTTTGATGACTAACTTTTCAGTCATACCTTTCTGAAACTCTTCTTCTGGATGATGGTAGTCAGAGTTGGTTATAGAAAAAATGGACAGCTAATATAATTTATACATTCAGGTGGATCTGTTGTTAAAGCGCTTTTGCAAACTGGAGCTTACAGAATTAGAGGGTACAGATTGTGCCAACCTTGTCGCTATGAAAGCTTTAAATACATATTCTAACATGCTTTTTTGATAGCCTTACACGCAATGTAAACTCTGACAGAGCCAAATCATTAACTGCAGAAGGAGTGGAAATGGTGCAGGCAAATCTTTCTGAGAAGGAGGAGGTTAAGCGCGCTTTGCAAAACGCTGATATTGTGTTCGCTGTAACCAATTTTTGGGATCCCGAGATCATCGGGAAGGACGTCACTCTCGAAGTAAAGCAAGGAAAGATCTTAGCTTATGCTGCGAAAGAAAATCAAGTTAGCTGGTTTCTTTGGAGCTCCCTTCCTAATGTTACAAAGCAGAGCAACGGAAAGTTCCAACACGTTGATCACTTTTCTGGTAAGTTATCGGAGCTGGTATTTACTTTACCTTTCTCCTTGACATATTCACCAACTGAAATCTCAACGCTCACAATGAACAGGAAAGAATGACGTTGAAGAGTACATCAAATCGATCGGCCTACCGGCCACCTTCATTTATGTCGCGTGTTACATGAGTAACTTCGGCCAAATGTTCCCTCTGGTACCGAATGGCGATGGTTCGCAAACTCTAAAAATTCCGGAAGTCAAAGAAGATACATATTTTGACTTGGTTGACACAGCAACTGATACTGGATCTCTAGTACGATCTGTTTTGGAAAACCGTAACACCTATCTTGGCAAGAGTATTCCCGTCGTTGGCGATCGCATAACCTTCAAGGAAATGGCTGATACTTACAGCAAAGGTAATGTGTAGCAAGCATTGCATTTTCCTTTTGCAAACAGAGAGCTAATATTTGAAATGAAACAAAATCAGTTACCGGTATCCCTACGCGGGCATCTACAATGACGAAAGAAGAATTGGATGGACCCTTCAATTTCCTTAACAACAGCGAACTTCTCGATATGTTGGCATGGTTCCGTGACTATGGATATTACGGAAATACATTTGGTTCGAATGGATCAGGTGCTGTAGAAGCTGCTAAGGCAACTGGATTTCAAGGAACTAAGTTCGAGAACTTCCTTCGCCGTAACATTAAGCGACCTTGAGTAGCTTTGCGATCACATATCCTACCAAAGCATTGGAAGCACTGCGATTTGTCGATGCGAGTAAGATGGATTCAATTGATTACAATCATAATAAGTTTAATAAATCACAGTTGAAACAGAGTTTCTACTCAGTCTGATGGACAACTTTTAGGCATGTCAAGTGTTTACAATATCCAGCTTACAAAAGTCCTGTGATACTAGGAAATTGCAAACGGTTCCTTTTCAAAACTTGAACAGGCTATTGAAGATCGATTATCGCAATTCCTACCTTCAATTTCGATTCATGGCCGTTGAATTATTTTATGTGACAGTCAGCGAAGAATGCTCATAAACGGCCCCAGGAGTAGTCTTGGTTACTTTTTCGTAACATTCAGAAGATAGATGATAGTATTGATATGCTGTCGCCACTGAGCTAGGGCAATTCATTGTGATAGGACGCTGATCTGTGAAGGGATCGGTATATAATGTTCGACTATGTATTGGATATTGAGTGATCTATTCAATTCATCAACTATTGACTACCAATTTGGCAGCCGCAACAAATTGACTTTAAGGTGCACATAGTAATACTTGGAGCAGAGGTTTTTTCAGACGAAAGATATAGTAGAACTATTGTGCCGCTCTAATGTTAGGGTGAACGTTTGTATTCTGTTTCTTTGCCACAGTCCCGAAAGTGAATTAAATTAAACATTAGGCTTGCTGCAAATACGAATTTTCCACGCGAGTAAAAACGAGAGAAACAGACGTCTTTTAAAATTATTACCGCTTGCCACAGAATTCAAAATGAAGACCAAGTTACTATATGTTTTGTTCATGAAATAAGAACAGGAACGTTTATTCGGCAGTGATAATTCGGGTAAAATACATTATTGTCCTCTCTCATCATCAAGCTTATCAAAGCTTCCACTAGGTGCCTTTACGCATCCTTGTAGACCAGGGGCTGCATTTAGGTTAGCCTGAGCGCAACTGAATCCTTGGGCGCAGACTGTCACAATGTCGTTGCCTGTTATATCCCTGGTACGGAAGGATTGGAAAGGCTGTGTTTGCACAACTCCTGAACCGCTTTGAATCATAAAATCCAAAGCACCAGTTGTACAGTCTGTTGATGTAAATGTAGTTATAAAGACATCGGCGGTTGCAATGCTGAGGATAGCGGCAAAGGTTATGGTTTGTAGTAGACGAAACATTGCTGAAAATTTGGATAGACAGTGATTTGGTAAGCAAATGGTGCTGTATGAATAACCGCTTAAAAAATACATACCGTACTTATAAGAATCATGAAGCCTTTGTTACGGCCTCAATATTTGCGTCCGTTTGATGGCTTGACGACATATCTCCAAAGCCCAGCAACAACAGCACAGCCAATTGACCCAAGCCACTTTCAACACAGCCGATCAATGTAAACTGCTTTCAGTAATGTCAAAGTGCAATTACTGAACAAAACGAAGGGATAGTCTCATTTTCATCGATGTTATGATAGCACACTGGTTTTCTATGAAGGAACAAGAAGACGGATAGACATGCGATGCAAAGGGTAACTAACTAACTCGACATATCGCGAGTGAGTTTATTTCAATGTCTGCACTCTTACGTTGCTGCTATGAAACAAATTTACGTAAATGAGGCTGAAACCCATTAATAATTCCATGTTGAACAAACCAGCTTTCCCTACCCCGTCCCCTGACCTATATTTCCCAGATACACCAGGATCGCAAACATAGGCTTTCAAAGTGTCAAAGAAAATTCGTCAACTTTTGTAGATGCATACTGTAACGTTTTCCAATATAGACTCTTACATATTACAATCATTATCCGTTCAAAAATCATCACGGACTGAATACCGATAGGAAATTGCTAAGAATTTTATTTTAATAATTGGATAAAATGGGCTGTAGATAGCTAGCCGTATTGTATCAAGCGTGATCCCATATCAATTCACATTCAAATATCAGGTCCGAACTCAAAGTCTGCAGGAGAGGGCTGGTGGACAGTAGCTGTCAAATGAAGTTTTCCCTCAGCATCCGTTTTGAATACACCTATTGTGTTGGAATTTTGATTTCCACAGTAAACAAATTTTCCTTCAGGGTCAATGTTGAGACCGCGAGGATATTCTCCAGCGCTACCAATGATTTGAACTAATGTAAGTTTGCCTGTGGTTGTATTGATTTTATACACCGCGATGCTGCCTTCTTCGGTTCCAGGGACTCGATTGGTCCCGTACAAGGTCTTGCCGTTAGGGGAAATACGAATTTCGCCTCCGTATGAGACCTTGGAAAAGTTGGCTGGTAAAGTATCGATGCTCTGAACAAAAATGAAGGTTCCTAGAATTGCATCATACTTGAATACAGAGATAAAGTTGCCTTCTTCCGTAATGATATAAAAGAATTTGCCGTCCTTTGAGAAAACGCCATGTCGAGGGCCAGCTCCACCGTTGATATTGATATAAGGCTGTTCTGTACTGGCGGTGAGAGACCCATCCTTTCCGAGTGTGAATACGTTGATACGGTCGATGCCGAGATCAAAGCCGAGGACTTGAGTTTGGTTGATTGCGGAGATCAGCTGATGTGCATGAGGTGATTCGTGGCCTTGCAGGGATGCCAAGCTATCACCATTGACTGCAGGATCTTTAACTTCTTTGTTTGGGCTGCCAATTGCACCGTTTTGTTCAATAGGATATGTCCAGAAAATGCCTTTGTCATAAGAAGTTCCAAGTAAGAAATTGCCTGAAGGGTGAACTGCCACATGGGCTGGGGCAGAGCCAATAGAATTTTGTTTGTTGATGAATTTTAGACTGCCGTTCTTTTCGACTTGGAAGGCAGAGTATGTATTATTCAATTCGTTGCAAGCATAAATGTATTGATTGCTGGGATGTAGCGAGAGATAGGAAGGTGCCAATGACTCAGTTTGATCTACTAGAGTGAGGTTTCCATTCTGTGCATTGGCCGTGTACACATTTATGTTGTTTCCATAAGACCCAACGTATATATGCCGCTTCGCCTGGACAGAAGCAAGGTAAGTAGCTGCAACAGATGCAATCGACAAAAGAGATTTGGCCAGCATGATATCCGATAATTCAGTGACTGAGGAAGCCTCTTTTTAAACCCTTCAGTTTTTACCCAAATTAGAACCAAATCAAGCGAGCCGAAGTAACCAAAATAGGACTCAGCAAATTTGCTGCTATGTATTGTTAGTGGATTGATAATAGTTCTCATTTCTTTGCACTATAACTGAATTTGATAGTGAACCTCTTGTTACTGCACACAGTTTATAACTACTCTGTAGATCTGTCAGACTCAGGTAATATTTGGTATTCATATTACTATCATTGATAGAGGAAAAGGGCCCGCATGCGAGATGTGGCACAACATAGCGGAATGTAGTAAAATTCTATTTTTTGGCAATGGCAGGAAGCTTTGGCAATCGTGTGAAAGGCTAGGAAAAATGAATACGACTACATTCATTTGATAGCGCTTTAGTGAAACATGGATGTGCAATATAAGGTTTGCAAGACACTAGCATCATTGATAATCTTAGGGACTTTGATGCAAAGTTGAGCCTTGAAATGCAGTATGTGCTCTAGAATGAATATAAAGGATACAGTGGACAGGTCTTCACCAGTCATAACGATATGGATATGTTGTTTCATCCTTGTGGATCTTGCTTCGCAGAGACCTGATCTTTCCAAGTAATTCTTCTGTCAAGTAACTCAACAATTTAATTCGTCATTTTCAGCTGATATACGATAATCAGAATGTACGCACCTCTCGCAGCTGTAAAACTTGCAACATGAGACGGTATTCAGTAATGTAATTTTCAACGACAAGCATTGGCGATATAACTCTGGCAAATTCTTGAGGACTGATATTTCAAACTTCCTTTTGAACAAAATTGAATTTGCAAATGCTCAGCGTGTATTTCGAACTTTTCGTTTTTTTGAAGTAATCATTCGTCATAACTTATTTCTTTTCTATTCATGCGGGACAATGTAATAGTCCAAGCTTTCGGAGTTACATTCCCAGGTTATGAGTTTTTTGTTACTTGCCTACTTGCCTTTATATTGTTGCCCTTTAAATGTGCTTCGTAAGTCATTCAAGAAAATTTACCTTTGTAGATTTGCATGATCATCAAAGTAGCCAACGAGGTAAAAGGGAAAATTAACAAGACAAAGGTTTACGAATCAACATTGATGAATGCAGCTGGCCGTTGTTTCAAAATTCGAAAGCGATGAAAAATTAACTTTTCAAGTAATTGCGTTGTAACTACCATTAACACAATGCTCATCCATGAAAATTCACTGTCAATACCATTGAAAGCGCACAGTTTTAGGGATAATAATCTCGAAATGAACTTCCTGTTAATTCATCAAATGCGATTAAAAGCACCTCTTATATTGATCTTTTGCATCGTAAGCCGAGCTGTAATAGTTCCTAACAACTTGATTTCCAATATCTTCTTGAATGAACAGTAGCATAACGTTATAACTCATTCCATTTGGTTTTCCGTAACTGTACATGAATTTTTTGAGCAATCGCCCAAATTGTTACGAAAATTTACCATTGTCTTGCTTGTACCCTTAACAGAACTCCTACTCGATTTCAAGAATTCATCATAACTAATTAATCCTGATGCAATGTAGTTCACGTCTCATTTGCTTTCAGTTTACGACGGCAAGGACGTAGAAGAAGACTTCCTTTTTTTTTATATAGCAGACACACACACGCTAGCGACATCGAAATTTTTTGGGGAAATTAGATTTCCACCGTCACAATCAGTTGTTTTCGAAGAGTTCACCAGCGCGTCTTTATTTTTACGGATAAGTTTCCATTATCATCGACATCCACCATGAGTAAGTGAACAAAATGATAAAATCGGATTGCAATCAATACGACCAACACCAGACGTTGCTGAATACTGATATTGTGATATTACTTTCCACAAGATTTTGGTAATCAAGCAAAACCCAGCGGCTTTGGATTTGGAAGCGCAGGTATGAAATGTTCCGTGCTCACTTTACGACCTTATACCCTCATGCTAAATTGCTATTGCAACTTTCGTTTGAATGTCTTACATAGCACCCACTTCAGCACCACTATTCGGAGCCGCCTCAACGACACCCGCTGCCAACACGGGCATGACCTTTGGTCAAAGTCCTGCACCAGCTACCTCCACGCCAGCTTCTAATACTTTCTCATTTGGCAATACTACACCAGCAGCCTCGCCATTTGGAGCCTCTACGCCAGCTCAGGGAACTGGAACAACTTTTAGCTTTGGCCAAACTCCTGCAAATACTGCTTCTTCGGCACCCCAAGGCTTTGGGGCTTCCGCAGCACCCACCACTTCTGCACCTGCTTTCAACTTTGGTGGATCTACCGCCTCTTCTAATACACCAGCAGCGGCAACTGGTGGCTTCAGCTTCCCAACTGCTGCGAGCACTCCTGCTTCAGCACCTTCTTTCGGCGCCGCCTCTGCTGCAGCTACCTCTACTACTTCTTCGTTCTCATTTGGTCAGCCCAACACAACCACCTCGAATGCAGCTCCATCTACAGGAAGCGGATTCAGCTTTGGTCAACCTGCTGCCACAAGTGCTGCTTCCGGAGCTCTTGGATCAGGTTAGTATGCAGCTCATGGGGTATTCATATTAATAAGAGGGTCACATATTCAATCATTCCCTACATAGCCACGTCAGCACCTGCTACTAATACTACCCCGTCGTTTGCGCCTACATTGACCACAAATCCTACGGTTTCTGTTGCACCCACCACAGCAGCCCCTACGGCAGCATCGTCAGCACCTGCAAAACCCGTCACTGTCCCAACGCCGTCATCACTGAAGAACAAGACCATGGAGGAGATCTTGAACAAATGGACAAAGGAATTGGATTCGTATAGCGCTGAATTCCATCGGCAGGCTGTAGAAGTTGCTGAGTGGGACAGAGAGTTGATCGAAAACGGTAGTAAGGTAAGCTGGATATGCACGGATATCAGATGTGAAGTATAGGCAAATATATCCTCATACCATTTCGCCCGTAACTAGATCTCCAACCTCAACAACGATGTGATTAAGACCGAAGCATTGCAAGGCGAGATAGACCAAAGCCTCTCGTATATCAATGCACAGCAGGAAGATCTCAGCAGCATTCTGGATGCTTATGAGAAGCAAATGAAGGAGGTGTTGGATGAAAGTAATTTGCAGCAGCCTATGCAACCAGCAGATATACAACGCGAAAAGGCATACTCTCTTGCTGAAGGCCTCAACAAACAACTTGACGACGTTAGCAGGAACTTGAATATCATGATTGATGAAGTGAATAAGATGAATGGAACTGAACAATCAATTGATGATAACGACACTGAGGATAATGTAAGTGATATACATAACATGGCAGGATAATCATAGTAAAAACATCATGCTGATGGGGCTCTCTTATAGGTTTCACAAATCGTTAAGATTCTTAACGCCCATTTGACCTCTTTGCAATGGATCGATAGCACAACTAGCACGATGCAGAACAAGATTCAAGACATTAGCAAGTTGCAGGACAAAATCGAAAGAGACCATGCACAAACCTTACTTCGAAGATAGATTCTGGCTTAACAATATCAATATCAGATTCCTTGCAATACCCCTTGCAGTAGTAAATAAAAAATGACATGTGAACACCTCTATACTAGTTCCATTGCCTTCAAGTTGTACCTTTGGGATTTGTGATGGGCTTTTTTTTAAAAAAGAAATAAGAGGATGCTATGTAGGTAAGAGTTTTTTAACGATAAATTTTCTAGCTCTGTAGAGCTTTTGACAATTGACACTTCACAATTTAAAACTACTGCTGGAAATGCATAATGTTAAGGCAGAAAATTCTTGCTTTTCGTAAATTTTAGTGCATCTTTGGATTTGAAGACTAGGGACAGATATGCTTAGATTTTGCCAACTGCGCATATTCTTAGTAGTAGCACCAAACTAGCCTACATCAATTTCTTCTCCCCACAACCTAAACTTTTTCACGGGGCGATTGACAGTAGAAGGGCTAAAACGACTAGAAGAAACATAATATAATCTTTAATAATTCAAATATTCTATTATACGAAAATCGCTTCTACATGGTGCGATGAATAGCGATTCAAACCAGCTTCCACCTCGTACCTGTTGCAACATTTTTAACTCAGAAATTTTTTGCTGTGAAACAACAAAAGGAAAAAATCGTTAATTGCACCATTTTTTTTTTTAACGCTTTCGACTTTTCTCTCCATCGCTGTTCATCATGACCAAGGCTGCCTCTCAAATCTTTGTTCTCTCCGGCCCATCAGGCTCCGGAAAGTCTACTCTTTTGAAAAAGCTCTTTTCTGAATACCCTGACACCTTTGGTTTCAGCGTTTCTCGTAAGTCACTTTGCGCAAATCGCACGAATTTGTAGCTGAGCTCAAGATGTTGGCAGCTAACCAGGTTATTCCCTTCTTCAGACACTACTCGACAACCACGTCAAGGAGAGGAGAATGGAAAGGACTATCACTTTGTCAACAAGGATGATATGATCAAGGAAGTCGCAGAGGGTAAATTTATTGAGAGCGCTACCTTCTCTGGCAACATGTATGGTAAGCAGACATATTCAGCAAGTAAATCATATCGACATGATAACTCATTCTAGTGTCAAGGTACATCTATCAAGGCAGTGCAAGATGTTGTTGCTCGTGGCAAAATCTGTGTGTTGGACATTGATATGCAAGGTGTTCAGGCTGTCAAGCAAACAACACTGAACCCTCGCTACATTTTCGTTCAGCCTCCTAGCCTAGAGACTTTGGAAAAGCGATTGCGAGGAAGAGGAACTGAAGCAGAAGATGCTATTCTCAACCGATTGGCAGCTTCGCGAAGAGAGCTCGAATATGCTCAGCAACCTAACGCGTATGACCGCATCATCATCAACGACGATTTGAACAGAGCCTATGAGGATCTGAAGAATGCTATTTTTGTATCTGAATCCGCATAGCTACCATCGTGAACAACATATAGACAGTAGCCAAACATCACCATAATATAGATATTTTTTTTTGTGTATTTATTGACATTTTGACGTACGTATGGTCATAACAAGACTTTAGATACTCTTTCCATTGCTGTTGGGGCATATTCCTAACAAGGTTTGTTCCCCCCAAGAATGTGTTCCAAAGTGATGCATGATTTATGCGTTGTAGTGTGGCTTATATTTAATACACAGCTAATGGCTTCATGCGTATGAAGGTTCAACAGTTTTTGACAAGGATAACAGCATAACTGCTGTTGCCTTTGTCCGTTACTACATGAGCTCATAGAGCGAGCCAATCAACTAGGCACGTGTAGTATAATAATGGTTAATATGTACAATATAGAAAACCCGTAAGGAGAGACGCAAGAAACGCGAAAACGAATCATTTTGTAAATCTGATTGTGTGTCTTTTTCTTCAACGCCGTATATGTCCATTTACATAATAGTACGGCGGTTTGTAACGAAAGCAGATGAAAATCAGGCACTCCCAATATGTCATTATGAAATCCAAGTGCACCAAGTAAAAAATCATGATAATTTCTATTTCAAAGTGATTTGAAAAATGAGCGTGAACATTATGGAAGCATTATACCATCCTTCCGTTATTTTGTTACCTTCCTGGATAGCATTCCATCATCTCTCAATTCAATTTTTCCAGTTGGAAAGCCAGTCACAGCGGAAGTCTTGCTGGAAATCAAGGAAGCTGAGCAGGCAGAGCAGATCAAGAAGCTAGATCCTCATTTCAGCTTGTAGAGAGCGACTAAAGTCATTAAAGCCATAAGGATCTAAATAGGCAATAGCTTTTCCTTGAAGGTTGCAGCGTAAAAAAGTGCCTTTAGATTGCGCCGCAGACCTGAAATATGGCTCATGGAAAAGCAGCGAAAGACATGGAAGCTGGGTTTGTGACGTTTTTCCTTTGCAATATTTTTTGATGCTCGGATAACAACGCTAACATATTCCCTCTCAATCCTTTCAAGTCATGTCTGTCGTTGGTAAGCATTACACACCTAAAAACATATTAATCCGCCTATTCTTTCCCACTGACATTTCCATGCTCAATTATCTATCTAGGTATTGATTTCGGTAACCTTCAATCTGTCATAGCTGTCGCTAGAAACCGCGGTATCGACGTTATCTGCAACGAAGTTTCAAACCGTGCCACCCCGTAAGTTGATCATCACGATGCATTCGTACCTGCACTTTATAAATTTCCAAACACTGATTTCAAATCCTATGCGTCACTTACTTTTAGCTCTTTGGTGTCTTTTGGCCCCAAGCAACGTTTCATTGGCGAGTCTGCTAAGACCCAAGAGGTTTCCAACTTCAAGAACACTGTTTCCTCTTTGAAGCGTTTGGCTGGTCGTACTTTCCAAGACCAAGAGGTTCAAGAAGTTGAAAAGCAATATATCAATGCTGAACTTGTTGATGTTCACGGCCAAGTTGGTGTTAAGGTAGTGTTTAGTGAAATTTATAATATGGCATTGATGCATGGATGAAACAGCCACCTTTAATACGTTCGTATTTCTTTTAGGTCAACTACTTGGGCGAGCAACAAACTTTCTCCAACGTTCAATTGATCGCCATGTACCTCACCAAGTTGAAGGAAACCACTGCTCACGAACTTAACGCTCCAGTCTCAGACTGTGTCATTACCGTTCCCGGCTGGTTCACTGACATTCAACGCCGTGCCATTTTGGATGCCTCTGTCATCGCTGGTCTCAACTGCCTTCGTCTCGTCAACGATCTTACTGCCACTGCTCTTGGCTATGGTATCACCAAGACCGACCTTCCTGAGGATAAGCCCAAGAACGTCGTTTTCTGCGACATTGGTCACTCTTCATACTCTGTCTCAGTTGTTTCCTTCGTTAAGGGCCAACTTACCGTTCGCGGTACTGCCTACGACCGTCACTTCGGTGGTCGCAACTTCGATCAAGTCATTGTTGAGCGTCTTGCTGCTGAGTTCAAGGAAAAGTACAAGATTGATGTTTTCAGCAACAACAAGGCTCTTTTCCGTCTCCGCACTGCTGCTGAGAAGTGTAAGAAGGTTTTGTCCGCTAACCCTCAATCACCTGTGAACATTGAATCCATCATGGATGATAAGGATGTTGCTACTATTGTCAACCGTACTGACTTCGAGGAGTGGGCTACTGAGACCTTGGTCCGCGTTGAGGAACCCCTCAAGGCTGCTCTTGAAGCTTCCGGCCTCACTCTTGAGGATATCGACTCTGTTGAGGTTGTTGGTGGAAGCACTCGTGTCCCCGCCATTAAGAACGCTATCTCCAAGTTCTTTGGTAAGGAAGTCTCCACTACTCTTAACCAGGATGAAGCCGTTGCTCGTGGTGCCGCTCTTCAGTGCGCTATGCTCTCTCCTGTCTTCAAGGTCCGTGAATTCCGCGTTCACGATGTCCTTCACTACCCCATCAAGATGACCTGGGCCGCTACTCCTGAAGAGGAAGAGACCGAGATCGTTGTCTTTGACAAGAACAACTCTATTCCCTCCACCAAGATCCTTACTTTCCACCGCCGCGAACCTTTTGATCTTGAAGCCTACTATGCTTACCCTGAGGAACTCCCTGCTGGTGTTAACCCATGGGTTGGTCGCTACACTATCAAGAATGTCGAACCCGTCAACGGTGAAGCTGCTCAAATCAAGGTTAAGGCTCGTCTTAACATCCACGGTGTTGTTTCCGTTGATGCTGCCTACACCGTTGAGGAGAAGATTGAGGAGGTTGAAGAGAAGCAAAGCTCTCCCAAGGAAGGTGAAGAAGCTAAGGCCCCTGTCACTAAGAAGGTCAAGAAGCTTGTCAAGAAGGCTGATCTTCCTGTTGTCACCGGTACTACTTCTTTGAGCCGTCCCGTTCTTGAAGAATTCCACGAGAAGGAATCTGCTATGTACGCTGCTGATAAGCTTGTCCACGACACCGAGGAGAAGAAGAACGCTCTTGAGGAATATGTCTACGAGATGCGCGGCAAGCTCGAAGGTGGCGCCTACAGCGAATACATCGATCCTTCTATCAAGGAGAAATTCATCTCTGAGCTCAACACCATGGAGGACTGGTTGTATGATGAAGGTGAAGATGCCACCAAGTCTGTCTACGTCGCCAAGCTTGATGAGCTCAAGAAGACTGGTACCCCTGTTGCTGAGAGATATCGTGAGTCTGAAGAACGTCCCCGTGCCGCTCGCTACTTGACTCAAGCCATTGAGCAGATCACTCGCGAGGCTATGACCTCTGATGATAAGGTAAGAAATCTTGATCTATGAATGGTTTGCTAGTGAAAATAAAACACTGACCCTTTGCTTTTTTTTTATTTATAGTACTCTCATATCCCTGCTCATGAGAAGCAAGATGTTGTTGACCGTGCTGACCGCGCTCGCCGCTGGCTCGATGAACAGCTTGCTAAGCAAGAAAAGGTTGCTAAGCACGAGACTCCCCTCGTCTACTCTCGCGACATTGCCAAGGAGCAAGAAGCCCTCTATGCTTTCGCCAACCCCATCATGAACAAGCCCAAGCCTGCCCCCAAGCCTACTGAGCCTTCCACTGATGGTGACAATGACACCCCTATGGCCGAAACCGGCGAGGAAGAAAAGAAGTCTGAGATGGACATTGATTAAATTTTTCCTTCTTCCCTTCTATGACATTATGAAGCAGTAAAGCATCATCAACAAAAAAGTATATCCACAAGATCCTTTTATTTTCTTCTTCTACTGTTTCTGTCGTTCTGATGTCGTGTAATTGTGTTCCCCTTTTCTTCTTTTTTTCTTTTCCTCATTTTTAATGCTTTTAAAACTCTAAAGGAAAAACTTTTTCTATCAATGTTATTTTCTTTTCTCAATCCACCATATACAGTTTCAGAATAGAACAAATCAAGACTTCAATAAAATGACTTGATTGACCTGCATTCCCCAGGCATACTGCGGTTTGAAAAAAAAAAAAAAACCACAAGACTACTATATTCGCTTTAATGAGTCTTTTTTTAAAAAAGGGGGAAAAGAAGCAAGAGGTTACTGTGATTGATTAAATACAAATGCTCTCTATGATTTAACAAAATGAATTGACGTTTGGTGTTTTGATCCACATGATAGTGAGTTAGCGACGTCGCCGATGATCACGTTCGTCGTGTCTTCGTCGGTCGCGATCTCTAACGTTAGGTGTTGTTCTTTCTCTTTCACGCTCTCTGGGTGGAGGACGATCACGTTGGGCACGATCCTTTTCTCTATCACGCTGAGAGTTCGGTCTGTCGCGTGAATTATCTTTTTCTTCTCGCACTGGAGCAGGGTGAGGATCACGATCTGGTCTTGGATGTTCCCTCTCTCGTTCACGGTCGCGGCTAATATTCACACAAAGTCAATGTCAAATTGGAGTATCGCCCAGTTATGTGAAATTGCATAATTGCTTACCTTGATCTAGGGGGTCGAGAGCCAGAATTGGACACATCTGATTGAGTGCGTGCACCTTTGCGATCGTTGTTTACACTTTCTGTACCAGATCGAGCAGCGTCGGGTGTACGATAACCGCCTTGGTCTGATCGACTTGGTGTAGTTCGGATCCGCTTATTACTGGCATCTGCCTCCACTGCATCTTTGGATCGCTTGTTTGGCACTTGTGAGCTGCTGTCATTTTCGGTTGTTCTCTTGTTACTATCCCGATCGCGATCTTTGTCTCTTTCCCGTTCTCTCTCCTTGTCTTTGTCTTTGTCTCTCTCACGATCTCGCTCACGTTCGCGTTCACGGTCGCGATCCCTATTTCTTCCGCGATCTTTTTCCCTCTCTTTCTCCTTGTCAGCAGCCGTAGCTTCTTCATTACGCACGCGCTTAGGGGGTAACTCGATCTCTGGCTCGCGGTTATGTTTGCCATTGCTGCGCCCTGGGCTCTGTGGTCTGGAGTGTGATCCACTTCGTCGAGGGCTAGGAGCTCTTGATGATGAAGAGTTGTTAGTGTGTTTGGGTGATGCACGCGGAGATTGCGTTTTGCTATTCGGCATCAATAAGTCTCGGTTGGGTGGCGGCAAAGGAGAAGCAGTACCATCAGGCACAGATGAAGCTTCTTTCGACTTGCTTGTAAGGTCAATAGGCTACGTCGAAAGGATAGTTAAAGCATTTGATATGCGGGGCTTTGCAAAAAGGCTAAAAGTACCAACCTTGCTGATAGACATAAAGTTGTCGTTTGATATCCAAGTTGGTCTATTCTTTTCAAGTTGTCCCAAGTGACTGATGGCAAGAGTTTTGAGATTGTCTCTCTTCTCCGTGCTGACAATCTTTTGCAACTCGGCGACCAACGCCTCACCATGAGCCTTCATGCGTGGGAAGAACGTGGAGAACTGCTTCATAATAAGAAAGCTGTTTCTCATTTGCTGCGCTTCGCCTGATGCCAAGCCTTGTTGCACCGCCTATACAGTCAAGAGTTACACTCTATCATTCTCTCAAAATTACTACACAGGAATGCAATAACTTACTGCATTGGTTTTGCTGTGCCATTTGTACATGACTTTACCAAAGTCTGCGTGGCTAAGCAGGTCATCCTTTGAGACGACCTGGCCACCAGATTGAGGAGTCCAGACTTTTTGGAAACCGATCAGATTTTCACCTTGTGCTTTCTTGATGTATATATCCTCATTCTTATGCCAGTCAGTCATCTTTTGGAAGACCTTCTCGATGAAATGTGCTATGTGTAATTCAATTAGTCAGTATCATGCCCATGCTTTGTATAAGGATAGTCATTGAAATAATATCGTCGTTTACCATGAATAGTAGTTTCGTGATCAGTAAATGTGGAGATAGCAATGGCCACATTCTCTGACATGATCTATTAGAAGCGCTTAGTATTCTCATTGTATAATATTGTGAAAATACACCCATTCGTTCATTACCTTGTCATAAAGTGTCAGACTAGAAAAGTTCCAAACACCCAGTTTATGCATCATAGCAACAAACTTTGCGCAGAAAACGGCATCTGCTTCAGACATTACACTTCGAGGGTGTAGGCAATATTGCAGGATATCACCAATAATAGAGGCACGATTTGAAGCTAACCAGAATGATGGTGATTAGTATAAAAGTCATGATAAAATGAGTAAATAGCTATACGCATGGCTATACTCACTACTTCTAAACCAGTTCTTCTGCTCGGCTTTGAGCCTTGCTACAGTGCTATCAAAGTCACGTTCGTGTTGTTCCAGTTCTGCCTGAATGGCTGCGATTCTATCTTTGGCTTTTGCCTCGGCTTTAGCAGCTTCTCTATGAGAGAGCTGTGAACTTTGGGCGATTACATCTCGATGTTTCTGAATAGCTGCTTTATAGTGTTCTGTTGGTACGGAAATGTCGTAAAGACTGAGCTGCCAGAACGTGGTAAAGAATTGGGCTCTGAAAAATTGTGAAAGAAAAAAAATTCTCATGTTAGTGACTGTATGCCAGTATCACATTGTATTGTTTGCAATTTCACTTACGTTATAGCTGTAAACATATGATTTGGTAACGTTTCGATGATCGTAGCGGTGACAGGAGCTAGGGCAGGATGCACATCATGTTTTGCTTCATCTTTTGCATCATATGCAACAACTGCCTGACGAAGGGCAGGTCGAAGAATATGCATAAGGACATCCATGTTCAACTTGTATTCCTTGTAAAACACTTCAATGCTAGGCATCAGTTCAGAGTACTCGTTTCCTTCAAATGTTGTGACAAGCATTTCACAAATTTGCAAAAAGGTTTCGTGTATACTATCGTACATGGATCCCAACAAATTTGTGTTCAACCTGTCTCGCTCCTGACGTTTGTCAAAAATACATCGCTGTCGAAGCTGTGCGATTAATGCCACAAGTTGTACCGCCATATTGTCCTTTGCGAGAGTGTCTTTGAATCTCAAGAGTGTTCGCTTAGAGGCCTTGCGATGATCCGCAGACAAAGGTTGGAACGCTTCAGCTTTCACGATTGGACCGCATCCAGTGGCTGTGACTTGATAGTTTGTGACAGTGGTGCCAAGGATTTCGATACCAAGCATTTTGGTAATAAACTCAGTAAGGATAATTAAATTTTCCCAAGAACTTTCGTGCTTCCTTGTGGATACCATCGTTTCTTCATTGGGAAGGCCGTCTTTGAGTTGGCAGAGAAGATAAGTGAAAATAGGGGTTGGGTCGATACTCTGCTTTTTGAACAAAAGACCAGAAAACACAGATAGAGCTGCAAAGTAAATAGCGAACATTAATTATTGGCTATCTTGTTGCACTTCATGATAAAGCTTCTCCTATTACCCTTGAGCCAGTCTTCATTGTTGACACCATCATCTTTCAGTTTTTTCTTCTTCATCTTTCCAGCACCTTGCGAGCCAGTAAGCTTTTCAATAAGTTGATATGTCAAAACTTCATATGAAAGTGATTGAAGGTAGCGACAGGCATCGGCAATAAAGAGTGCCAAGTTATCCATTCTCTGGATAGAGTCAAGGATAACCTCAAAGACAATAGTTGGGTTGGAGTGAGCAAGTCGTCCAATTTGTCTTCCTGAAGGCTTGACAGTCAGAGAGCCGATTTTACTACAGTAGTATGAGATTAGTATCGTGATCTTTGCAACAACTACGACCAAGCTTTAAACGATACACTACCCAACCAATCCCTTGGTATCTTTCTCTGTTTTTGTTTTTAAGGTCTTCAGTTCCAGGCTCTTTTTGTAGAAATCGTTGTGCCAGTAGCCGTAGAGAGAAAATCTATACATAATGCTATTTCAGCACATCATTCCGAGGGAACGCTTTACAGTTTGGATACTTACCTTTCTGGCAGAGACAACAGATCCAAAAACTCCCATAATAAAACGGATGATGCAGGGTTGCAATTGCTCATAGAGACTGCTGTCAAAAAGAACTCTCTGGCTATATTTATCCATTGCGTCTTAATGCCTGGTATTTCGGTTTCCTGTAATGAAATATGTTGTTAGGTAGAGCATCTCAGAAATGACTACATAGCCTGTAATTTCCAACTGACCCTGGTAAGAAGTGCTCGGCCTAAAGCCATCAAGCGCTTTGTGAAACGCGCATCGAGGTGGTTATTGTATCCAGCTAGTCGCATGGTGGGTATGAGCTTGTCAACGATATGCTGATGAGACGTGCACTTATCAAGCTGGTCTGACCATTCTCCAAAGAAAAATTTGATCTTTGTATTGCGCTTCTTTGGATGATATAAATTATCCTCTTCCACATTGAAAGTTAACTCGACATCGGGGTCTGGGAAGACAGTGCCGGCTCCAGTATCAATTTTGCCTGATTCTTTAGATAATACACGTCGATTGGATATCAGAGCAGATAACTCTCCACGGTGGGCAAGTTCTTCGTCACGTTTCAAAATACTAGGTGGCATGTAAAGCTTGTAAGCTGGTTCCATTATGGCGTCGCAGAGTCGATAGACTCTGGTAGCTATTTCGGGGAATCTTGCACATATTCCTTCCGATTTTAAGATGAGCACTTCTGCATTCCTGATATCTCCTATTGACAGTAGCGCTTTGCAAAGCTCCATCTTGTCATGAGATGTTTTCTTTGGGGCTTCATCCTAGTGTCGCAAGCATGAATATACATGTCTTAGATGAAATATTTTGAAAAAGGAATAACGCTACTTACCGTGGTCTCTTCTTCTGTAACTTTCTCGCCGGATGATTTTGCACCTGGGTTAGCCCAATCTTCCAAGTCACCATCAAAAGCCTGTGATAGGGTTAATTAAAAGATGTTAATCACGATATTTCATGAAAGTTGATGATGCTTACCGCCAAAGGCTTAAATGCGTCGATCGTAGCATTCAACTCGGCTCTGTACTGCTCCATCTCTTGCTCCCATTCCTCATCAGAAGGACCCAACTAATTCGATCCAAAACGTGTTAAGGTACGGCTAAGGAATATCGGATATGCTGATCAAACAAACTCACGTATGGCAAAAGGTCTTCGAGTCGCATTAGCCCGCTTTTGATAAGAAGCGCGCTAACATAATGCAAGGCAGTTGGTGAAGTGGCATCTTGATCGGATGACTTTGAAAGCGGATGAATACAAGATGCTATTGAGCACTACGATACTTTGATAGTATGTCTCACCTGGTAAAAGCGATATTTGAAACCCAAGAGATGAGAAAGCAACGGGCATGGTGTATATGCCGGAGAAGCGTCGCTTCCATTCATATCGACATCTCCATCGCTATCACTACGAGCTGACACCCAGGGCGATTTCTTCAAAAGCTGTATGAAAAACTTGTAATTCAATTTCACTTGGTCCATGAATACATCCAGTAGCATATCCAGCACACGGTTTGGGTCGAGGTGAAATGAACCTGATATAGAATAACGTCATTAAGACTTTCCACATTGGCACGAACATCCATCTTAACAAACACATACCAATTAAGCTGCTGATATTTCTCAATACAAGCTGAATGAGGTCGTCGTAATTTGCAGTCTCATCTTTGCTACGTCTGATATCGGCTTGAAACGCGTTTGAAATGATTTCACCAACTAGCTTGGAGAATCCCAAAGTTTCTTCGCGCGTTAAATTGAACTTGTTCTGTTTGTAACTGTGGTCGGGAGCAGAGTTGAAGAAAGCGAGGTGAAGTCAGGTCACCGTGATTGTCTTTACGAGTTCGGAATTTCCATCCTTTGATCACTTACAGCATAGCTGTCTTCATGCGAATAATCCGCTTATCGAAATTACCCTTGTTATTGATGAGACCAGCATCGGCAAGTAGCTGTGTTGACAAGGTTGTTTTGCAAAGCTGGGCGGATATACTGCCGTTTGTCTATTTAGGAAAAATCAAGCGGAAAAGAGGCCCATTAGAACAGCTGAATCCATAGCCGAGATAGTTGGCATTGAACAAGTCGGCCCTCAATCTCGAAGTGTGTAATGGCAAGCAGGAAAGGACACTTGCCGTGGTACTTTTGACAATTTGTGCAAGTGATCGCTGTAACTTTGCAAGATCGACACCAGAAGAGTTATCAGTGTATAATTCACGCTCAGTATCCAGAACCCAAAGTGCATCGACAACGAGACGGGGGAAATCAACATCTAGAGTGGCAAATGTCTTGTCTTCGTCTTTGCAAAGTATCGAAATCAGTTCGACAAAGGAATCGACAGATCGGCGTTCCCGTGCAGCATTATTGGCTTCGGTTACAACAAATTGCCGTAGAGGTGAGTCATTGGGCTGTGATTTGTGAGTACGAGCAAAATCTTTTGCTCTTTCAACTTCTTCTTCCATATTGACGAGCAAAGAAGCACGTTTGTTTGGTGAAGTCGTTGGAACAGGTCAAAACTGGCACTTCAGGCTCCCAGCAAGGTTGTAAATTTTCTGCAACTCCGCTACGTCAGCTTCGAGTCCCTCATTTACTTTGCTGGTGGCCAGCCCACAAAGTCTAATAAACAGTTACTGTGGTCAGCAATTCAGCCATATGATCTCTGTGTCTAAATTGAAGCTACAACATATTCATTTCTTGTGGTAATTGGAAAACGAATATATCTTGTCAAACATTAAGGAGATGACCGCGACGTTGCATTAAAAAATTGACAAGAGCCTTAAACGAATGCGTAGATACTCTATCAAAGGGTTGAAAGGCATAAGCATTAAGGTCTTTCAGAAAACTATTGATTGAGAAAGCTACTTCATATTGCAATAATGCATCGCCCATATTTTAAAGAAGTGACAGTTGAGGGAGTGAGGTCCGCTAAAACTGCTGCAAAGTCATCATTGTGAAGGTGACCTCGACTCATATGACTATATGATGTGGCATTTTGTATGCTAAATTATTCAGAAGCAGCCATATAATCCATATTATTTAATCTATGACCAGAGACAGTTTTTATTCACAAGCAAGCTTCGCATCGAAAGATGTAAGTGCAATGGCAAAAGCCAGGACAGGGCTTAAAGGATATCGAAAGTCCATGGTAAAGGCATCTTGATCTATTTTGCCAAATTGCATGACAATGTAGTCCACTAAATCAAGAGTTAGATAATAAGCTTGATTTAAATAATGATAATCGAGCTTATTCCAAACTTACAATCGTTGTCGTGCACAATTTGAAAATTTTTAACAGACGCTTGCGTTACTCTCCCATTAAAGTTGAGCACAAATGATTGAGTTTCTAATGCGAGAATAGCTTTAGATAACTGATTGAAATCTTTGGACATAATTTATAATGGATGGTGCATGCCATACCTTCGTTCCATTGAGGGCTTTTGTTATGCAAAGCCAATACATGTTCAGCTTCTCCCATTTTGTGTTGCGCCAATAATGTCTCCGATTCCTAGCATTGAAATATTTAAGTTAGTTGGGTGGTATGTAGAGGCTTAGTTTAGTCAATTCATAATCTCGAATAATACCTTGGTTGGCCGAAACTCTATACGTTCACCGCTTTTGCTAAGCGTATGTAGTAGAACCGTCATTTTTCTAGGTCCTCTGAAGCCTAGGATATTGGGTTCCTAAATTGTCATAACAAACAACCGTGTTGAGAAAGTGGGCAAATTGACATCTGTTCCTAAATATTGTACACCACATTACATATATGACAGAACCTAGCTCTTCTCTTATATCGATATTGCGCTTTTTCTCAGAATAGTCCTGAACAGATATGTTGGGGTTTCTTCCATTGGAATATACAGTAAAGTTGGTGCCTAGAAAGTTAGATCTGTCGATGGTGTCGTGTTAGCATACCATATCAAGCCAACATTTACTGCAACATGTGTTTTGCTACCTACCGAACTTTAGCAAGTGTAACCAGCTCACTATCCCGCCGATTATTGCTTGCATTTTGGGATTTGGCTGACCCTTTTATCGTATAGTAACTTGTCTGACTTTTTCGTTTCTTGTTAGCGGTGAAGACCCATTGTACTTCATTCGTAACAAGGTTTTGGAGATACAACTGATAGTAAGGGTTCAACCTGTCCATTCCCTCTCTATGTCGCTGTATGCGACAGGTAAAACGAACATTCAAATCTGCTGGCCTGTTGATGCGAAAGAGGTTCTGAGTGGTAGTTCGGCACGCACGGAGCATCAATGTAAACCTACTTTGTTGCAAAGGCGCAAAGCTCCTCTTTATTCATATCTAAATTTTGCTGTGCAAAGTCGGTACTACGTAACAGTTGAAGTGGTTCCAGTGTTCGACTGGTATCAATCCCAATGCGAGCATCTTCCTCATAGTTACTGTCGGCGCTTGATCGCCTTGCGTGGCCATTGTGCAGGTGAACACCTCCTGCTGTCGAAGACATGGTATTGTCAGTTGATTCATCGTCTTTCTGCGGCTCAACATAACCCTCTGTCTGGGACCAAGATCGTGGTGGAGGTGCTGTTACAGACTGCTTCATTAGAATGCCACAAAAATGACCGAACGGCAGCAAAGGGAAAAACTGGGCCAAAAAACGATTACACTGCACGCCAAAAATGGGAATTTGATGGTTTGATATCATGAATGTGACCATTATGGGTTGAAGTGATTTTTATTTTCATTTATTAGTGCTGTGGAAAGAGTAAATACTGTAAATGAGACAGTTCAAACACTACATTACTTGTATTAGTTTGTGAGCAAGGGGGTAACGATACATTAGCACGGGCTGTGAAGAGGATATGGGAAGTTTTTAAAGCAGCATGGCAACCATGGCTACGGCGGTTATGGTAAGTGCTGCGAAAGACAAGCTAGGGTTGACGTTAACTCCAAGACTGTTATGCAAAAGAAGGGCGGGGCCCTTAACGGAGCTAGCTGGGACGTTTCCAACGACAGATAGAGCATAATGTTCGTTTACGACGATCCAGAAAGTGGAGTTCAACGTGTCGTGAGGAATCTTCCAACCAGAGTAGGTATAGTTCATATAAAATTCCAGCTGGGAACCTGTGCTGTTGCCATCAGGAACATCATGGGCCGTGGTGATATTAACAACAGGGACGGGGTTTGATAGACTGTTGATGGCGTAGATATCGACGGTATAGTTGCCAGTGCCGAGATTTTGATATTGGAAAGTAATATCCACGGAATCTCCAGGACCAAAGGTTTGGTTGGAAGCTGGGGAGACGATGCGAGGGCCATCCTGGGCCAAGGCAAGCAAGGGAAGCAATAAAGCTATCAACAAAGACCAGCGAGAGATCATTATGAAAAAGGAGTGAAGTGAGAGAGAAAGGAGAGGGGAAAAAAAATAAGCAGTGGAGTTTTTGCTCTCCAGAATTTATGATTTCCCTGGAGACACAACTTTTGATTCTGCGATGCTTGATGCGGAGAAGTCGCACACTTCCATGTAGTACAGCTTTCTGCTCTGGGAATGGCATATGCCTGGTGTGGCACATCAAATTTGAGATTTTTTTATTTTTATCGTTAAACAAAACTAGCAGGAAACTTTGAGGTTAATACCCTTGCTACTACCGTCAACTCCCCAGAGACCCCAGTGTTGTTCAACATTGAGGTTACCGGATGGCTTCCAAGGAGAATCGTAACCATCAAAAACGTAATATTTCAGACCGGCGTTCTCACATTGGAGTTGTTGGACATAAGTTTGAAGGTTTTGAACACTTGGCACAGCTTGACCATTAGCATCACCAGCGGTTGGCCAACCTGTCTCACCAATGATCACGTCTTTTCCATTCAGCTTGCTCTTCAAAGAGTTGAATTGTGCCTTGAGATTCTCTCCAGCACCGGAGGCCGACACCTTACCGAAAAAGGGATGGATATTGGCAACCAAGAAGTCGGAGCTACTTACAATGGCTGGATCAAATGTGGATGGTGTCTCAGCAGTTCCAACGAGAAGTCCATAAGACTCGACCTTGGACTTGACATCATTAATTTTGCTTGCGAGAGCAGAAGCACTCATGCGGTTGTTGTAAAGAACTTCGTTTCCAACGATGACACCAGAGACATAGCCCTTAGCTTTGCTGTTTGAGCTTAAGGCCTTAATGAGGGTTGAGACTTCAGTCTGATAGTCAGCATCAGTTCCTATCGTAAATTGTAAAAAGTTAGAAAAATTTTATTCGCATTTTTTAAGTCTCGATGATATCGACTATAACATGTTAAAATGACTTACCATCAATCCAAACACCTGCAACCACAGTCATACCTCCACCGGCAGAAGCAATTGCGTTGAGGATCTGCTCAAGTTGATTGCACTCTTGGGCATAAGTACGGACATTAATGATACCGTTTTGCTTGAATTTGGCAATATCTTTGTTCACATTTGCTTGGCTCATACAGCTACCATCACTGTTCTTGGGGTTGTAACTGCGAGCAAAAGGCATATATGTCAATGGGTGATTGTTTGCTATTTTAATTTTGAAATGTCTAATTCTTACGTTATACCATAAAGGGTAGAACCTCCTGGGGCGACTGTAACCCGAGAAACAGATGCTGGTGCAGCAGATGCTAAGTAAGACAGAGTGCAGCTAACGAGTGTGAGGGGGAGGCTAATCTTCATGTCGAATGAATTATTGTTATTAAAATTGAAAGGAATGAATGGGCCAGCCAAAAAGTAAAATGAAAGGACTTGGGAAGGGGAGTAAGAAAAAGTTTTTTCGTTCAAACTTCTTGCTCACAATTGGCTTTTATATCAAGGCGAATCAAAACGTAGCTTGGTACCAGAGCCTGACTCTACCGTACAAAATCCGCAAATCGTTTGATGAAATCTGGCTTGCTGTGGCTGTCGGACGCGATATATTGGCATGAGACACAACCAGTAAAATTCGACTCTTGAGATTTAAGGTAGAGGCTCTCTGAGACGAGACCCGCATTCGATACCATTGCATAATCTTTATTACTAGGCACGCGTGACTTAGACAAAAAAAAAAAGAACCTCCTGATAGCCTAGAAGTGTGCGTTGGTATAGCGATTACACAAGGACGGGCCGTGCATGCAATTGCAAAGGATGAATATCGGACTTTGGGAGTAGTGTAACCATTCGTGAGCCGTTCTTCGCGGGCACTTGTAACTTCTGAGCTTACAATTTGTTACCCGTACCATTGAGCTTTAAAATAGTACCTACAAGCGTCTAACGATTCCATATTTCTTTGTCTGCTTTACTAAGCGTCCTTAGCACATGAACATGCTAACATCATTTAACATCAATTGTCCATTTTGGAACTATCTTTGAGAAAATGTAAAGAGCGTATAGTAATGGCTAGAATGGTATGATATAGTAAATTTGTCATTATGGATTAAACATAAGCATATTGCGTATGCAAATCAACTGGTGAAGGCTGACTATAGCATCGCCGAGTTGCAAGCGACAAGGAAATGGGGAAATTTCACGCTGACCGACTGAGTGCCAGTCACGCACGTCATCTCACTGCAACCTCGGGCCATATTGTCGCTCAGCAAAGTACTGTCGATCGCTAAATGGCACGACCCTAAATGACCTCCCTACCTGATCAGAAGCACCCAGGCCATATCACTCAGTTTGCTCCTGAGGTGGTTCTTCAAATTACTAATAATCTCGGCATACAAGATATTTTGGCTCTTTCATCGTCATGCCGAACATTTTACCACATGCTGACACAACGGCCGTTGTTGTATACGCCACTTATCCTCTCGCCATATGCCGAAAAAATCACGAGCAAGACACTGTTTTCTATCTTGAAAAGACACTCTACTCCTGCTAGCTATATTCAAGACCTGGACTTAAGCGGTTGCTACCATTTAAGCTCAGAATCAGTAATTCACCTCGCGAAGAGATACCCTCACCTTACAGACTTGGACATTTCAGTAAATCCAAGAAAAGGAAGGCTTGTACCCGGAAGATACAGGGAAGGTGTGTACAAAGACTGGAGAAAGACAATTGCCTTTAATTCGGTAAATCAAGAATGGCGGTTGTCGAACCACGCCATGCATATGTTGACCCGGTGCACACTTCATACCCTATCATTAGCCGGCCATGATCTCGACTCCTCAACCGCTTACGCCATATCACAAATGGCCCATTTGACATCACTGGATATTTCGGGATGCACATGGCGACTCAGCCAAGCCGACTTACAAACCATTGCTCGTGGTCTTGGAAAAAATCTGTTGGAGCTTCGTATACTTGGTTTCGAGCCAACCGATCTAACGCTATTATGCTTACGCCAGCATTGTTGGAAACTTAAACTACTGCATTTAAGTGGGGGAAAGCCATTGATGATTTTCAAGCTAACTACCATTGTACATACTATGAAATCGCTCCAAGACATTCGAGTTACTCAGATCCGCGGAGGTGATGTTGACAGCTTGGTACAAAATCTGAATCCAGATACACAGTCACTCGATCTCAGTGCGAAAATGGACATGTATCCTTCAAGAGGGAGAGGTATGCGAATCGAATCAGCCCTCAATTTGACACCTAGGGGTTTCGATGCTTTATCGGCACTACAATACCTTCAGGTTTTACGTTTGTCAAACTTAAGCTGGATCTCAGAGGATGCCGTCTCAAAAGTAATACGCAATCTCCCATTGCTTAGTAAATTCGAACTTCGAATGTGGCCGGACATAGAGTCTAGTGACCTTCGAACCTGCGATGTGGTTACAACCCTTGTTCCTGACAATGTGCCAAACCTGACAGAAATCACCTTGGTCGGTGTTTCAATTACACAATCAACGGCTCTTGCTTGGTCAAAATTCAAACATTTGGAACAAATAGAGTTGTCCGACATCGGTGTAGAGGCAGGTTCGGGAAGTGGATTTATACGAAACTGGCTAATGGATATGGTATCTTTAGAAGCGTTACGAGTTACAAAATGCGGAATACAGTGGCAACAGGTTGCGGACATTGTACGAATGCGGGATAGTGAAGCGGACGATACAGAAGATTGGGTAGAGCACAATATAGATGAACTCGTAGGTAGCATGCAATACGAAGATGAAGTAGTTATTCGAAGGAGTCGTACAGGCTGGGAATGGCGATGGTCATAAGCAATAAAGAAAAGAATAAAAACATCACAATAAAGGCGCTTTTTTAAAAAGTGTAAAATTCGTCACGTGAACTCACTGGCACACACATAACGAGGACATGATCAGCCTCGTGCTCGTCGCTTGTTGCTATTCTATATCAAACCTGAAAGGCGTTTACGCACTGTATCCTATATCCTTCATATATATGTACAATGAAAGTATACAGAGCAGAAACAGGCCAAATCGTCGGCCTGCGGGAGGCCGACCTATATACCGTGAACTCGTAAGTAACTAGGAAGATAACTTCCTTTTAGCGGGGTTATTTGAAGAGCTGAGCCAAGCGATCGCCAAGTAAACGACACAATCGAAACGGATAAACGAACTCCAGCTCTATGGCGACATCAGACATATTATCTCAACTCTTATATGCTACAAATGACACCGTATTGTTATCGTCGGAGATCTTTATTTCGATACCATACCCCTCGGCAATTCGCACTGGCACTACGATTACCAACCATTGCCAAAGTCACAGAAAAAGTCATTCAATGCAGTTCCTCATATTACAAAGGCTTTATCAAATTGACCCTGTTGTTCTTGGGTGACAACTTGCTAACGTAATCCTTGGCGCTAATATTTCCTTGTCTCAAACTCAGCCTCGAAGGACTGCGGCGAATCCTTGAAAAGTATACAGGTGTACCAGCGGATGCGCAGATTCTAATGACAAGCTTTGGTACCCAAGTGAAGCAGGATATGGTAGAAGGGGTAATCAAAGCAACCGGAAAGGTATGATATGCAATTCATGCATTGCGAGATTTTTTTCCCCCGATGACCAATTTAGCGTATGTCTGACAATTTCATGACCATCAAAGGAGGAATATATCCTTATCATTTATGACCGACAATACCTGGATGCATCCCATGAAGAAGTGTTGACGTTGATAGAAGTGGAGATGCCCAAGTTATTACAACCACCCAATAACATTGATCGTTAGTATAAAACATGTTTTCGACTATGAACTCACTCCTTGTCACTTTATTTTAACTGTTTCAATCTCCAGCTGTGTCTGCTCTGCGTAATGTACGCTCTCAGCGCTCAGCTACTAAATCAAACTTATCCCAGCACTTTGAACTTTATCAAAGCTTGTTCGAAGACTTTGATGCTTATGGCGAAGTAAGTTTACATAATTTAGGACCCGTGACAACTTGTCCGCCGATGGAAATTGATATTTATTGCGTGACAGGATGTCATGAACATAATCAAAACACACACTATTCTGGCGAACACCATCGTCGGAGAGCAAAAAGCGCAAAGCATGGCCTTGAATGTAGCGCTTACGAATTTGGAAGCTCACGTACGTGCCAGCAGCAACAAATTCAAGGCGTTTCAAGGTTTCGCCAACAAGGAGTTTTCGTTTCAGCTGGCTGCAATTGAAGGTGTTACCACTGATCTCGAATTACTGCGAAATACTCGCATCCATGAAAGTCTTCGCAGCGCATTACCCAAAGACCTCAAAGTAACCTATCTGTCCGACCTGATCGATGAGGCAAGCATATCGAAAACTCGAACTGCCCTTTCGTCCTCAAGAGACACCCTTGTTGCTGAAACTCAAGATCTCACGTCTCTTTTGGAGGACATCCAGCATGGAGAACAAACTCTTCGTCGCAAGAGCTTAAGCGATTTTGACTTGCAAGGATTGGATACTAGATTGGTGGACGTCAGGGAAATTTGTGAAAAGGCTGAATTTTTGCGGGACAAGATTCAGCGTGATTTCTCTCGAGTTCATGACAAGGTTCAAGATATAATGCCTCCACAACAAACGAAGTATAGACCATCATCCACCAGCCCTACCGAAGCCCTTTCTTTCTTCCAATCTGGACCGCCACCTACTTTACCCTCGCACGCCAAAAAAACCCTAGAAGCATTTGACCACCTTGGCGATATTCATGCTAACGAGTACCTTCCCAAACTTGCTGACTATGAAAGGCATATTCGAAGTCATCTTGTAGAATTGGTAAAATCCAAAAGGACGGCTATGGAAGGATTCTTGCGACAAATGAGTGTGATATCGCATCTCCAAAGTGAAATTGCTGCTGTTTCTCCACGAATAGAAAGTGTTGACAAAGATCTCAAAACACTTCGACGCCAAGCCGGAAAAGACGGTCTCCAGAAGCCAAAAAGTATCATTCTTGCCTATGGTGCATTAATCATCGAGATTGTTCGGCGCAAGGAATATGCTAATATCTTGCTGGAGAATGCCAACGTCATTGCTGACCTGTTTGGACGATTTCGCATGCAAGAACAGAGCAGGCGAGACCACTATAGGACAGAGTTTGCCAGAGTCATCCCATTTCAGTTGGAGGCCATGGACGATACAGCATCCTATTGCGAAGTTTCAGCCACCAATGTCCGTGACAGAAGCCCAACGCTCACTCGCGATGATGTGAACGAACTACTGATGTTTTTCAAGGACTACTTGACGAATGATATACGTTCTGCCATGGGTTCACCGCTTGGCCAAATGTCATCTCGCATTCCATCGTATGGCAGTCAGCAGCAGACGCAAACCATTACTTCTTACGTATCAAGAGCCAGTAGCCCAACAATGTCCAGGAATCCATCTCAATCCAGAACTTTCGACTCAAATCATGAAAAGATCATCAGTTCCTTAATGCAAATGAACGAACAGCTGAACACCCTGCGAAATGAATTTTTACTAGCTGTAGATCGCTCATGTAAGTTACCGACTGGGTCAGCAAGCTTGAAATGTAGCTGTCTAAGTGAACTCTATTTCAGACTTCCAAGATCAAAAATCCGCACTTGCTAATGGCCAAAGCCGTCGTATATCGGCTCCTGTGTTACCTACTTCACGAGGTATTTATTGTATTCAATGCCACTTCGATCAACTAAGCGAACAATCTTCTAATGTATTTTTAAAAGTGTCATCGCCGATTATTGCGAACGAGTCAGATGCGCAGCTTGTGCAAAAAACAAAGGCATTGGATTTAGCCGACGAAAAAATCAAGGTAATGTCTACAATCAATTCTTTTTTAAACAAAAATAGTGCCTCATAATTGCTACTTTTCTTAAAATGTTGTAAAGTCATACGAGGCACGCATTCGATCACTGGAGGATGCTCTTCAAAGGACTTACAAAGCTGGCTATTCATCATTTATGGGAGAAAGTGTGCAGCTTGGTAGAGCCAAGAGCAATGACGATGCACCAAACGCACAGCCTGCCTCTGTCAGCTCGTCAGTATACTCCGTTGTTGAAGACCAATGGACGAAGAAGCAGATAGGCGATCTTTACATGAAACTACAACAAGCTGATAGACGAAATATGGAGCTTGAAAAGGAACTTCAGAAACATCGTTCGGCCTCTTCCAGTCTGTATTCTCAGCGCAGCGACATTTCACGGTCTTGGGAGCGAGAAAAGATTGAGGTATGATTGCAGTCATAGGTCACTGAAAGCTTTTACTCCCATATACTGACATCATATTGGCACACAGTGGGAGAAATACAAGGAATACAATGAGCATGAGAAGGAAGAGCTTCGATTACAAATCCATGATTTGGAGCAGCTTTTGGAAGAAGAGCGACAGACATTTGAAGACAACCGTAAGAGTGTAAGTATTCAATTTCATCGTGATACGTAATGCAATTCGTCTCAGGTAACTAACTCTTTTTTTTTTTGCAGTTGTTGAAAGAGGCACAAATTCGTGATAATTTGGCCGACATTCGCATCGCTGGAGCTGAAGGTGACTGGAAGTCTAAAATCGAAGAATTGGAGGTCAATCTTCACAATCAACAGGAAGATACCAATCGCATGAGAGCGAATTATGAAGAAGAAATTAGACTTATGAAAGAAACCCATTCTCGCGAACAAGCTTCCTTGCTACAAGAGAAGAATGCAGTGGCTGAGAAAGCTAGGATTGATAATCGAAACGCCAATGACAAAATTTCCTCCCTTGAAAATCGTATCGAAGATCTTGTGCAAGATATCGAAACTGAGAAATCAGATGCCCTTACCAAGATCCAAAAAATGCAAGAAGAGATGGATAACAGCGAGCAAGCACGCGATGAGATCAAGCAGAAATTAGCCCAAGCACGCGGTATGGTTGCAGCTGCTGAGCATGATTGGATGGAGAAAAACAGTGCACTTGAGAAGGTAATAGCAACTTCTGGGCTCACAATGTCATCGCTTAGCACGCCTACTAATTTTCAAAATATAGATTGAGGAAGAGCAGGCAATGCTACGAGGAATTGTACAGAACATTATACCTAAGTTGACTGATGATCGCCAGTATGAACTTGACCAAGATATGTCCTTCTTGGAACTTCTAAATGTGCTGGATAAAGAAATTGACGAAGGATCAACACGCTTGGAAGAGATTAGATCTGTAAGTGTATATGCTGATTATTTCTTTATTCTTTGGCAAACTCTAATTCACCATGCTACTTAGGCTTTTCTTGAGCTGCAAGAAAATCAAAAGCAAGTTGAGATGGATTTGGACAACTTGTCGGACAAGCACTCTGCACTGCAGAAGCTTTGCTCTCAAATGGCCACGAAGCTTGCCGATGTTCGCTTTTCTGTATTCGGGGAGATCACCAACCAGCTACAGTTGCCTGTTGACGAAGATGAGGCTAGCAATTTGATGCGACGTCTCTCATTTGATACCAACATTGATAGTTCCAATGCTTTTGCTCAATGGGCAGAAACCTTGCATTCTCTTAACAATATTGAACTGTCCAAGTTTGTCTCCAAGGTTAGGAAGAAGGTAAAGGATGCACATGATCTTACCAGAAGATGGCAAAAAGAATATAAGGATTTGAAAGGTGAGTTCATCTTGACCATCGAAGCGACGGAGTTAGAGCGCACAGTGCAATGAGCGTATCCTAATTAACGAGCGCCTACCTACTAGAAAAATACAACCGCATCGCTTCGGAGGCATTTGAAAAAATTGCATTTAGAAAGTAAGTAACGATGGCGGCGCTTGGCACTAGCATACATAGTTCTCACCCGATGCGTTTACATAGCTTCAAAGTTGGCGACGTCGCACTCTTCCTCCCTACAAGGAATTCTACTGGAAAACCATGGGCGGCATTTAATATCAACGCACCTCATTACTTCTTGAAACCGACCGACAATATTATCACGCAGATGACCACTCGAGAATGGATTGTGGCTAGAATTACTTCTATCGATGAAAATGTCGTAGATTCTCAGGTTAGTTGGTGCTAAATATCTCTAGCCATTTGTAATGGCAAAGTACTGACCCCAATTTTTCTACTCAGGTGGCGACTTCCAACCCTTACGGTCTCTCAGAGGGCTTCAAATTTTATCAACTGGAGGTGGAAAATTGGAGAAACAGCCACCATCGTAAAGGTCATCGCAATACATCTGGAAAAGATAAGGACAAGGATGGTCAAGCACATAGCTCAACCAAAGGATCCTCCTATATGCAAGACTCAGTGTCAACCAATGCTCAGTCTCAAATTGAGCAGCATCAGAGCGACATGTCTGTTTCCAAAGAATTAAGCAACGGACGACGTTATACACTTCCTTATATCAATGGTCAAGACAGCGGACTTGCCGCTATTGTTGACAATGCTATTCATTCACCCGTTTCATCACCTTCCATCAGCACGCGGCGGCTGAGCTTTGATAGGCAACCCAGTGTTTCGAGTCCAGTGTTCCGACGACCAGCTTTGCCATCGACTCATTCTAGGCAAAACTACCTACCGATGTCGTCTAGCACTTCGGGAATGTCGGCCAGCACATCCATGCCCCCTACAGCTGAAACAGAGTCGCCATCATTTAATGCCGAGCACAGCGCCGATAAGCCATTATCTACCTCTAGCACCATTGACCAGTCAACCCTAATATGGGCTGCACAAGAATAATATGTCTAATCACCTTTCTCATACCAAATGTACATTAACACTGTAATTATTCTTGATGGATTGCTAACTTAAACGTGTAATATAAAGCAATTGTGATCTGGGAATTAATATGACTGACTGCGCGCCACTATATCGTATGTTTCCATCGGTCTAAGCGTCTTTTAACACACGTTGTTACCGCCAGGTCGTTTTAGTAAACAGCGAAATAGTCGATGGTTTTATTTGAATGTTTATACAGTGTTTCGTAAAACTAGATAGAGAGAAAACAGAAAGATGAGATTAGTTCAGTGATGTAGAGTGAAAGTTCAGACAAAACGCCGGTCGCTCACCTAGGATGACAGTGTCTCCTCGAAGGAACATTTTGCTAATGAATCTATCTTTGTTGACAGGCTTTGCCTTCTTTCCCTTTCCACTCTTGGGCACTTCGGTCCACATTTCCTTTACGTTTTCGAGTACCATGTTGCAGTGTCGATCAAAAGCTTTGACGCGCGCCAACAACTTGCGATTGTTGCGGCAGTTGATCAAGACTTGTGAGTTATTTTTGACAGCCTGTTGCAAGACGGATAGTGGTCCGGTGTTGAATTCTTGCTCTTCAATTTCGCGAAGCTCAGCTTCTGACATCTCAGATTTCGGTTTTGCAGCGCTAGATTGGAATTAAGAAAAAACGAAGGGAGGGTTAATTGGCTGTTCATTCAAAGTGAGATTCAACGGATTTCTGATATATGGCAATTCAATCATATAGAATATAGCATAATCAGAGTAAGGCCAGCCAATACTGTCACGCATCGTACCTCATTTTTGTGTGTGCTGTGAGAACTTGATCGAGTCGCAATTTTTTGTTGTGCGATTTTCACTGCTACTGTAAAGAGTCACGTGGTCTCATGGCCCTTCCCTCCACTCAATCCCGTTTCATTGGGCCAGCGATTCACTCCGACTTGGATCCTCCCCTCATCCTCTTTCAACATGACGGAAATCATATATGAAACCACGTTTGCTAGTGATTCCGACAAAATACTATGCCATGCACATTCACTAGAAGTCTGCAAAAAGTGCAACGTCGACTGGTCAGAGCACAATGTCATCGCTCAAAGCTTAAAGCCTTCTAACGGCGAACTTCCACCACCCAACGCGCCAAATCTACCAAGGAACGGTCAAGTCAATCGACTTCGCGAAGAGGGCAACAAACATTTCAAAACCAAAAATTACCCAGAAGCTATTCGTTTTTATTCTATGGCTTTGGAAGTATCGTCTTCACGGCCGCTGTGGGAGCCATTGGCTTTCCAGTTTGTCAGAGAAGAGCTATCACCGGTTCTCAGCAACCGTGCGGCTGCATACATCGGTATGAAGAACTATGTGGATGCTCTAGTAGATGCCGAAACTGTCACCCAACTTAAGCGAGAGTGGAGCAAAGGCTGGTTCCGAAAAGGCAAGGCTCTTAGTGGACTTGGTCGACAAGATGAGGCATTGGAGGCCTTCAACACTGGACTTGGATTTGACCCAGAGAGCGAAGAGCTGAAGAAGGCTGTAGCCGAGCTGGATCTTTAAAATAAAAGAGGCTACTAAACCCTCTTTTGGCTGCAAACACATCCTTTTGACTATATACACACTCTTCTTCCTTCACAATAGCTTAGAGGTACAAACACTTGTTATTTTTTAAAAAAAAAGAAAAAAACAGTATGTTATATTCAATACGTTATCTACATTGACACATGCAGACTACATCAAATGCAAATAGGAAAAAAGCACAGCAGAGAATGTTAATAGAAAAGCTGTAGGTTTATACTTCAATCTTGTTAGCTTGACCAGTCTTCTTTTCTTCCCAGATGACTTCGTCAACCACAGCATTCATTTGATCATCGGCTTCCAGAGGTTCGTAGTTGTGTCTGCGGCTCTTGATAAGCTTGCGAGTAGTAGCAACAAAGCCAAAGAGAAGCAAGGCGAATGAAGCGGTCATAGCAGTTTGGAAGTAAGCGTCTTGCTCGTTCCACCATTCAGAAACAGGGTCAATGAAATTGCCAAGGCATCCTCCTTGAGTTTCATTTTCAGGGATCAAGTTAGGAAGAGCATCTAGGTTATCAATAGATTCCTCAGAGGTTGCAGGCATAGAGGCAACAGTAGGTCCGGGCATAAGGAAGCCAGTCAAAGGATCAACGTTCCACTTTTGAACATCACCGCTCTCAAAGACATCAAGAACTTGTTGACCAGCGACGGTTTGAACGACATTTTCACCGTTAATTTCGAGAATACGTTCTTGGACATTGATGCGACGGAAAGTAATGCCTTCTTCAGTGGTCATTTGATCTTCCAAGCTGGCAGTGACCTCAACCGTGGCGAGACCAACAAAGAATGAATCTTCAACAACAGCGAGTTCCTCAGCAGAGCTGATACTGAGCTTGTCAGGGTTGGATCCAATTTGGGCTTCGATTTGGATAGATGAGACGCCAATATCGACAGGGTGGCCATTGCACATAAGCTAATGGGAGTTATTCCAGGAGAAAAGAGGGGGGAGAGGAAAATCAGTATGCATATTTTGTATCAAAGCAGTATAGAACAATTTATATCGACGGGGGAGACATACCTGGCTATCAATAACATCAAAGTTGACACGGACAGCCATGACTCTTTCAGCAAGGAAATCGCCGTTGTCATCCAAAAGGTCATCAACTCGAGTAACAGTAACAATCAAATGTTCACTGCCTCCGAAACCGAGAGGTTCCTCTTGGATGTCCACAGACGTGGCAGATATATCTTGGAGGGGTGACGCCATTACATTTTGCAATGCTATAGTCGATATTGAGAGAATATATGTTGGTGGAAATTAAAAATAGCCCATCGGGATATCAAATTGTTGCAATAAGAAACGTGTTGGAGGAAGAACAGTAGTTGTGAGCAAAGTGTTGTCCAAGTGCGGATGTGTTTTCGATATGCGAGGGAGGATAACACAGCCATGATAATAAGGTAGACACAGATTAGTGTGAGATTGCATGCATGCCAAGCAATTTTCAAAAGGCGAATGAGAAAGTGAGGAAAGAGGATATCGAGTTAGTAGCGAGTAACTAGTGAAGCACCAATGTTGAAAGCGAATACATTACCAATAGCGCAAAGTAGACCGAGGGCAAGTTGCTTCCACTTCATATTTGTTTGGACCAGAGGAAGAAAAACGAGTATGAGGCGAATAGATAGGTGATAGGAGTGAAATGCTTAGCGATTGGTGTGAGTGTGACTGCTGTTCGTGAGGTCATGCGCTGGCAACCGCAGATTACTTTTTCTGGCATCAGCGATTATGAACTTGGCTCCGCGGTCATAATCGAAAGCTACCAGTTAATATGTTTTATCATCATCGACCGAGTACCCAATTTCCCTCAGCTATAACTGATATACTTCAAATAAGCTTATGCAAATGACTGAGGAGCTCGGGTCAAATTGGTCTGCGGACGGTTTTACCTGGGCCATACAGCCCGCACAAGGATTGGTGCCGACTGGAGGGGGCCAGAACTGGCTATGTCTGCAGAACAACCGATAATGTTTTTTTTGTATTCATTGTTTTAACTAATCAAAACATTTTGCTCTGCAGTCTCACTTTCAGCGCTTAATTAATATTATTTTTCCATAGCTGTCTACAAAGCCTTTTTATTTATTTGCTGCACCTTTTTAGCTGCGAATCATACCATTCGCGATCAAACATTATCGTGACGGCAGTTACCGCGTTTGAATAACTTATACTGGAAAACCATTGTATCTCTCTTGTTGAAATAGGAGGACGTATATCAACATCCGTCAATTTCATATTGCATTTATTGTCATACAAAGCATGGGTAGGATGGTATGTCTATGAAGGATAATTATAGTGAGTTGCATCAAGCAACTCAGTAATATGGATACAAAGTAAAGAAGCTTCACGTGATTTTGTTTTTAGAGCTGAGCAACGGCTGCCATGGCAACAGTTAAAGCAAGAACAGTTGCTGAGATGGTCAAGGAGTTACCAGCAGAGGAGGGTGCTGAGGTGGAGGAAGGTTGGCTTGATCCTGTGCTGGAGCTGGCGCTGGCACCATTAGCATTGTAACAAGCTGAAGTATTCCATGAGGTGGGGCTAGTCTTCAAGACAACATCGGTACACTAATAAGAAAAAAAATAACAAATTGAGAGTTAATGACACCAGCCACAAAAGGTTACATATGGCAAAACAGTACATTACCTGGTAGAGGATTGAGTCTCCAGCGTTATAAACAATCTGAAGAGTAGCATTAGCGCCATCGACAGCTCCAGAAACCTTGGAAAGGTCAACTTGAAGACAAGCTTGCTCGGGGAAAGAGTTGGTGCCATTAGCAACGGTGGTGTTAGAGCTAGTGAAGTCAGCAGCACTGGGGTTGCTGTTAAGTGCCAGGTGGACAGAGTACTGGTACTGAACGTGTTCAGAGTTGATTTCCAAGAATCCTCCCTTGATAGGGAATTCATTTCGAGTGGTGTTGACAGCATTGAACCCACCGCAAGGGGCAACAGGCTCGTTGTCCTCAATGAAGCCTCGAGACTGTGGGTAAGTCAACTGGTAATGAGCTTGGACCGAGGAAATAGCAGCCAAAAGGAGAACAGTAAGACCAGACTTGAACATGTTATGGATTATGAGGAGGAAAACGTCGTAAGGTTGTAAGGGAGTTAGCAGGGCTAGCTTTTATAACCCAGCGACTTGAGCTTTTTTAGCGTTTGACTATGCTTTGATTGGCTAGAGAACGGACCCTGGTGTCATGCAAGATCACCGCTCAGTACTCTACCGCGCTTGAATGTACTACTTTGATGCACAGTCCTTGAGCTAATTGAGCGTTTCCGCCTCCTACCATTGGCTAACCTGCGGCCAGCTCCGGGAACACATTGAATAAATTAACATAATCACATAAAAAAAATTCAATATGCTCCGCTGAATGTGAGCTTTTTTAGCTTGCATCAGGGTTTTGATTGGCTATGCTGACAATTCAGTTCCTACTTTATTTCGCCCGACGCTTTGCTAGTTGGAATTCAATCTTTCCTTTTCACTTTATCCCTTGCTTTTTTTCTGCCGCCCCCTTTGCTTGCGGGCCCCTACTAGTCAAGATGGATATGTCAAATATGAGCATGGACAGCACGCCAGACAACGTCAATACACCGTATGGCGCTGCTCTCTGTGGTGTATTAGCTGGTTTTATAGCTCTGTTAACACTTCGAAGAACTACACTAGCCGCTGTACGTTCATTCAACAAACGTTCGTACTATCGAAAACTTGGTAAAGAAGAACAAATTGCGAGCAAACCAAACAACAGTATATACCACAAATTGGAGAATCTGATTATAAACAAATTCAGCTGGACACCATACCTCGGCTCGTACACACTTTTGCCGCCATTAGGAGGAATTTTCATTGCTTGCGCTTTAGTCTCCACAATTGTGCCACTATTGCTTCTCAATGTTGATCTCAAGCTCAATTCTGACAGAGCTGGCTTTATCTCCCTTGCCATGATACCGTTTATCTTTGCAACTACTGGAAAGTCATCCGCTTTGGTGCTCCTGACTGGTATCTCACATGTCCAACTCAACTATATGCACCGATTGTTGGGAACAGCTATTATGGCTACTACTACAGTGCATATGTCCTATATGCTCACAGCATGGTGGCCATTTCCATCATTTTATCGATCGCAAGTAGCCACTCCTAAGGTTCACTATGGCCTGGTTGCTTATTCTTCATTATGCTTTATCTTTTTCTTCTCATTATATCCCATCCGACGTTATTGCTACGGTCTCTTCGTATCTACTCACTTCCTTTTCCTGGTGTTCATTATTGCTGCCGGTCATCATACTCCTTATGGTATGCGATATATTGCAACCGGCATTATTCTCTACATTATCAATGTCTTGGCTGGTTGGTTTGTGAACACCTATTTGACTCGAGCAAGAGTTCATATACTGGAAGGAGAATGCACCCGACTTGTCATCAACAGCGATATGAAGCATGAAGCCGGTCAACATGTCTACATCTGTATTCCAAAGATCTCACCTTTCGAGTGGCATCCCTTCACCATTACATCCGCGTCGAAAGATACTGATTGTATCGAATTACACGCAAAGGTTGCAGGAAACTATACTCGTCATCTGAACTCTTTTCAAGATGGTGATGAGATCACCCTTTTTGTTGCTGGGCCATATGGTACTGGATCATCAAATTTGGGATCCCACGAAACATCAGTCATCATTGCCGGCGGATCAGGAATCACCTTTGCTATCCGACATTTGAAGGAACTAGCAGATCTGTCCTTGGAGCAGTCAAACTCAACCACGCAATCCGTCACATTTGCTTGGTGTGTCCGTCAGCCAGAGCATCTTTCATGGTTTGAAGACGATATTGCAGATTGCCTGCAATCCTTCAAAGAGAGCGGTGTTTCGGTAACAATTGGCTTGTACATTTCTCGCCCTGAACCGGATCAAACGTGTCAGTCTAAACTTGCTTACGATAATCGAGTTCAGTATCATGTCGGGCAACGAGTCATTCCAAGGCAATTGATTCGGGATGCTGCGCACAATGAATCGGCTGGCATTGGCATATATGGTAAGGATAACCAAAAGGTGCATAAACATTGATGCCTAGTTGTTTACAAAACTAATGAAAATTCTTGACAACAGTGTGTGGTCCTTCCTCAATGAACTCTTGTGCAGCCAATGCCGTTGCTTGGTTCTCTAGCTTGAACAAGGCAAACATAGACTTCCGCCGCGAAGCTTTTGAATATTAGGCCTCATAACACATTCAGTGTTTTCTTTGTACATAGTATACATTATAATCATTCGCCATAGAACACTCATACCGCCATTTTACTTCCTCGCTATCATTCAACGTGTAACAATAAAATACGGTCACACCGCTGATCGTGCAGGATTTCCCTCTTAACATTCATTGATGACATTAACAGTTGGCCACGCAAAGCATTGATCGTACGTTCTTAGCGCTACAGTTCAGTGCAGCATTTATTTGGTTTGGTTGGAGGGAACATACTTTTTCCAAGCGTCAACAAATGGATCATTGTCAGAATCAAGCTCTGGAGTGTATTCCAAAATATCAGGAATAAGTTCGCCGATTTTCTCACCGTACGTCTCGCGTATATAAGCAGCAACCACGTCCATGCCAGAAGAAATACCGGATGAAGTCCAGAAACGACCGTCGTGCACCCATCTGGCTTTATGCACCCAATTCACTTGATGTCGAACGCTGGTGACTTCCTTGAACCACCACTTGTTGGTGGTGGCCCTCTTTCCGTCCAGCAAGCCAGTAGTAGCTAGAATACCAGCACCATTACAGATGGTGATGATAGTCTGTGCTTTAGATTCGGCAACGAACTTCAAGACTCTCTCGTCTTTGGCTGCATTAGGAACCCCGAATCCTCCAGGAATGACCAGTACATCCAAAGGAGGGCAAGTATCGAGCGTGTGCGTAGGACACAGTCTCTGGAAGGTGCGAGGCTGTTGCTGTTCAACATTTTCTTTAGTTTCATCAGAAGAAGAGTCAACTGGAACCATGGTGGACACCGGCTCCAAAGAGTCCAAGGCGATCAACGAAATGGTTATTGGAACAGCAGAAGATAAACCATTCAACATTTCCAGTGGGCCACACACATCCAGTAGAGCAAAGCCAGGGAAGAGGAGGACACCAAATGATTGGGGAGGGGTTGCAGTTGAGTTGCTCATCGTAAAAATGAATGCGTTGTGAATGCTTTGTCTCTTCTTCCTTGGTCTTTATGTACTGAGTTGTGCCATCGTGCACTGACCAATGGCAAAATAGAGCCCATCAAGTTGGCGTTGCCACCTCCGTTATTTTTTCAATTGACTCATACCGGAGGTGTTTGGTATTTTGATAATTTGACTTGGTCACCCTACGATACGACAAGAGGATGTTCAATGAAACTCAATTTTACTGATTCCCAATTTATGATCAATCCAGCCAATGGCAAAAAAGAGCTCACATAGCTTTGAGGATGGGCTATTCGGATTTGACTCATACTCGTCACCAACAACACATTGACGAACTTACCGATGACATATGCGTAGATTGATGGCATCGCATTAAAGTGTTCTAACTAACATACTATAACCAATTTGCATTATCAATCACAATGCTGTGCGCATACAACAGAAGTAACAAATTTTATTTAAAAACATCCAATTAACATCAGGCCCTAAATCGCTGCTGCCTTTACACCATCCGATCTAGATAGTACAAGTTTCTCAGAATTACATGATCTATTGTTCTTTTACAACTTCAGCTAATCGCTTCAAAGCTTCATCCATATTTTCGGGGGTAACATTGCTGAAAGATACTCGAACGTAAGGAGTGGGCTCGCCAGAAGGTACGAATGCCTAAAGCGGGAATGAGAAAGGTTAGATAGGTTCACTTACAGATAGCTATACAGCGCTTATCATGACTCGTGTGGTGATAACTTACAACTCCTGGGACAGCCAAAACCTTCTTTTCAACAGCAGAAGACGTAATAAGCTTGTTGGAATCCGTAATACCATTCAAAAGCTTGAGCCATACAAACATGCCTGATAAAAAGAACAAAAGAACTATCAACCAATGACCCAATCGATGTGCATGTACCGTGTAGATGTGTCCTTACCTGCTTGAGGAACAGTCCATTCAGCATATCCTTTCAATCTTCTTTCGGCGCATTCCAAGAACACATCGCGCTTCTCACGGTAGAACTCTCCTACGCTATCAATATGCTTGAAGAACCCTTCTAGTCCCCATTGGTTAAGCAAAGTGGCTGCCATGGCTTGTGGTACACCAGATGCCTGCAAATTGGTGACCATGGTGTGCATAATGATTCTATCCACCAGTTCCTTTGGTCCAGTCACCCAGCCCAGGCGCAAACCAGCCGATAAAATCTTACTTAAACTGTCAAAGCGAAGCACACGACCGTCGACATCCATAGAATAGAAGGATGGTACGCGTGGATTACAGAACTGTTTGGGCAATCAAATGATCAGTCATACACACATCGTTTTCTTAATGAGTTCCATTGTGCACCAAGTTCCTTTAGCCACTCACCTGGAGGAAATAATACGGATCATCTTCCATAATCAAAATGTCATAATCTTGACAAATCTTGTAAATAGCCTTTTTGCGCTGTAGCGATACAGTAACACCCGTAGGGTTGCTGCCAGTGGGAATAGTATAGAGAACCTTAGGGCGGGTAGCAACATCCTCCCAGTTCTTGAGAATAGATTCCAATGATTCGGGCATAATACCTTCGGTATCCGTAGACACTGACACCAAGTTACAAGGTTGTGTGTGAAGGAAGGATACAATGCCGGTGTATGAAGGGTTTTCGAGCATGATGTTACACCCAGGTTCAATGACCATCTCAAACGCCTTGGCAATCAAATCTTGAGATCCAACACCGATGGATACAGAAAAGTCCTTGTGTGGTGGGTTATGTTCTGCCAATTGAAGCTCGCGCAAAAAGTCGGTAAGCTGTGGGAGACCGGGCTGTGGAAGGAAGTAAATAAAAGGAAATACTCGGTCAGCGACAGGAACATGGAAGTATAAGATCATAGCTCCTATTTACCGTAGCACTGTACTGCAAGGACGTCTCAAATAGTTGTTGGTCTATACTGAGCTGGGTTCCGTCCTTTAGAGTCAGTTGCATGCTGGCGAATGGAAAGGTCGCTTTGTTGGGAGCGCCTGCTCCGAGCGAAATCTACAAAATAGAATTGTCGAATTTAGCAAAACCCGTTAGGAATGCCTTTGTATGTTTCACTGTAATATCCATACCATTCCCGGCATTTCCAAGTATTTCATTAGCGCACGAACTGAAAAACAGATCATGAATCAGCATCCCTGTAAATTACCAGCAAAACCCGTAAGGGTCGTGGGAATCCTTTCTCCTGACAAAAGGTATGAACTTACTGGCTGAAGGGGTTCGAGCTTGGCTTCTTGTGCTAATGAATTTTGAATAGTCCATGGTTTTTGACATTCCGGATAGAGAGGTGAACGAGCGGGCGGTTGACGGAGGCACTAATTTTTTAGCTCTAGAGATCATCTGTGATCGAAGACTCAACTTTAAAATAAAAAACTTGCACTGCTCCACACGCATCGACTCACAAATAAATCCAGAAAGAGCAAAGAGATCTTATGGGGTGGATTTAAATACTCTTCCGATATGCATACTTTTATTCTATTTTCGTCGGGACAACCCCTTCTGCATCATCTTGAAGGATATGATTATGAAGGTCGATCTCTAACGCAACACAAATCAGACACACTTTCCATCACGTTCTTTTATTATGAGATATGAAACTTCACAGTGACAAGTTGGGTGCAACATTTTGCTGTAATTTGGGTCGGCCCGAATGTGCGGATGGCGTCAGGATAGAAAAACCGTGTTTATGCATTATGCGGTGGATATACCATAGAGAACCCCGATGTCATCCACCACACTTTCCCACAATACTTGAGAAAGATGGCTTGAACGCATTAAAAGTTTAGAAAGATGGCTTGAACGCATTAAAAGTTTAGAAAGACGGATTGCTTGACAAGAACTTATTAAAAGTTTTAAAAAGACGAGTACAATGGTTTTGAATACTGGACTTATTTGAGCATGTGGATTTTATTACGCAGGTATTCGAATATTCCAAATAAACAAAAACTGCTAAAAAATGTAATTATTTTCTTTTAGCATATATACATTTTGCATTCCTTTTTGTTAGGATGATTTTGAATTTATTAGCGAGTGTATCCGGCAGCAGCTGGTGGTGGTGAAACCAAGTTGGGTTCCGATGGATGATCCACTACAACACTAAATTGAGATTCCTCATCTGGTCTGGCTCTAGGACTTGCTACATCACCAGCGGACATATTATCATCGGCAAATGGTGACCGTCCATTCCTAAGTTTAGGACTGGCTATACTGTCTGCTCCTCCAAAGGCCCGGCGGGCGCTTGATGCGTCAGGATCAGCCATGTTATCAATGACAAAGTTACGAGAAGACGCCTTCTCCGTACGATCATTCATCATACCAGAGTCGAGAGCATTAGTGAAAACATCGCGCTCGTATTCAGATTGCTAAATTTCCTATAGTCAGTCTTTGTATCTCACATAGTTATGCACGTTAGAAATTGTCACTTACCTCGTCGTATTTGAGTGATTTGAAGCCTAGATACAATACAACTGCGAAGATGGCGCCTGTAAGAGGTCCAATCCAAAACACCCAATGATTAAGTGTCCAATCTCCGGTAACTACGGCTGGACCAAAGCTACGAGCAGGATTAATGCTAGTACCATCAATTGGAGTTAAGAACATATGGCACATAAAGATAACAAGGCCGATAACGAAGGGGGTGAATGTGACAAGGACATTGTTCTCAATGATGATGAATAGAACAGTCAAGCACAAACAGCAGGTGCCCAGAGCCTCAGCGAAGAACGTTTGCGGAATATCGAAGCCTGGATTGATTTTGTTGACACCAAGGAGCTGATTGGCAGTCACCCAATTAGAAAAGTAGGCTCCAAGAATGGCTCCAACCAATTCGGCAATGAATAGAAGAAATGCACGGAACCAGGGAACATTTCCAGTGAGTAAAAGAGTCAAAAGGACAGCCGGGTTTAATGCACCACCAGAGATTGGAGCACACAAAAAGAGGGCGACCGTGATTGATGAACCGAAACTAAACGCAACGCTTTGAATTTGACTAGATGATGACAAAAAAGTAACAACACGAATACTGTTAGATTGATGTGGACAAAAACACATTTTTGCCGCGCAATCCTATACTGTACCTAAAAGTTGGCCCTGCAGTGCTGGGTACTTTATTTCCTGAACCGGCTGGTGCGTTAAGAGCTGCTTGGACGCCTGACAGTGCTAAGAAAATGAATACCGTCATGCCCATCAATTCACCAAGAGCAGCGATAACATCTCCTCTGAGAGGGAATGGCCTTTTGTCCTTTCCAGTTCCAGGTATAATCCCGGCGGGTACTACTTGCCCAATGTTTACCATGGTATTTAGCGTGAAGTTTTGATCAGAGAGTGGTTATTAAAAAAAAAAGACTTCGATCGTAGAAGAAATAAAACGAAATAACTGGGGGTTTTTAGTGCTCTTTGTTGTTTATATATCCACCGCTGTATATCTCGATGTAATGCGTGGAGTGACAAATTTCAATGCGCTACTGATTATATCGTGGTTTCTGATCTTATGTTTCAGGTTATCTGACATGGGTATCAGAGCCAGTATCGATTGTAGCCGTGATTAACCCCTTTCAAAGCATTGAATTTGTTCTTTCAAGCACTAAGATATTGTTCATATGTTAATAGACTCCATATTCATGGCAAAGCGCCATCTGTTTGGGCGTTGGTGTGAATCATGTTTGGAGGTATACACGAATCAAAAAAAAAATTTTACTGCGATCAAATTGAGGGTTTCGCATAATTTGATACATAATATTTATAGAGCCCATAAACTCACCCGATGCAGTGGTACTTCCGTATTACTTCCATGTATATGTCTTTCTTTAGGGCATATTCTTACCTTCTTTCTCATGATGATGTATTATTTATGCTGCTTAATTTGCATTGCTGCAGACGCGTAGATCTTTTGTTATCAAATTTTATAATTCCCAATTGACTTTGCAGGATTGTTTAGCATTAAGGGTATTCAGCTGCGATTGTCTCAGTAATATTAGAGCCACGATGGATTGAACGGGCAAGTCAACTGCTTTGGCAGGGGATTCAATATCAGTTTTGGGGCAGCTTTGGCTGAGTTGAACTTTCATTTGGTTGGGAAAATACCAACTATGCACCTCCCATGCAAATGTAAATCAAAACTCCCGGATGTCCGTAGTAAACCCTGCTTAATTCACGCGAGTAAACGCAATCAAACGGTTACGTAACTCTTCATGGCTTCTGAAAACATGCGTGATTTCAGAACAGTTCGTTTTTGTCACTTTATGGTTTGCTAGCCAAGGGTGTTGTGAAAGCACGATATGTCGCAGCTCATATTCGCTGTAATCATGATTGCCTTTTGTTTCAACTTTCAAAGCAGGAATTGTACTTCTGGACGTCAATTGAAATTCTAAATTTAATTATGTCTTCCTATAAAATTTTGCTCATATGTCTCAAATGTCTTGAGACGAACAGGGACTATCGATATGATGGCTCACCTATTTTTGGATCCTCACAAGCTACGAAAAAGCCGTAGAAGAGTGACGGTAAATTGAAGCCAACTCAAAAGCTACTTAGGTTAAGCTGATATATATTGGCAAAGCTTATGGTCAGTGTTACTGTATAGGTATAACCCCTATACCCGGAGAACAAAGACCCTGAGTGTCTCTTCTTTATTCAAAATGAATACATGCAAACATTATAATACTAATTGAGGCCAATTTGCATAAATGCTACTAAGATGCCAACCGGGCAAGCATCAATAGTGGGCCAGCATTCAACAAACATTAATCGATAATGGTAAAAAGGCGGCTATCGAGAAGTTCATGATGTAATGCCGTTTCTTAAGTGCATTCCTTTTTGTTCAGAGCATGCCGATGCCTTTTTCCGAAACCCAAAAGAAATAATCGACTGACCGTCCTTGTTCACATTATGGAAGCATTAAAAATTGCTTTTACCATTTTCAATCGCTATTTGACATACTTTTGGAAAAAAGAGTAGCTCGGGATTAAATCAGATCAATGTTTCAGGCAGGGCGGACTAACAGGAACAACTGTTTCATGCAATATTGCGAGCATCGCTTACCACCCTTCCAACCTCAAGATGGGTGAATGTAAAAACGCTTTCATCGTAACTCCATCTTTTTTTTTTTTCCTTTACACTGCTCATTGCTATCGTAAATTAAGGTCTATATTTATTTGTCTTTCATACCTAATCTGATGAATCTGATATTTTCGTAAGTTATAGAAACCTATCTCAACTGGCAATCACACTTGTACACCGCATGGAGCCATAGCTGGAACAAATGCAGAACAACTTCGATCTTTCTGACATGGTTTGAATTCACAATCGGTCAAGGCGATGGGGGAGAGTCGAATGGCGTTGGAAGCGGGTAATAATATGGGATCAGAAGACCCTTTTTCGGAGAGAAATGCATCGCCATTCATTGACTTTTTAGGCACACAGCATTGTTTATAAACTTCATCGACCAAAAGATATTATGTTTCTGTCCACCATTGTCCCGATTTGTCAGTGGTATTAAGCTTTGAATCTACCAAACATTTTTATTTCGTTACAAAAAAATCTAAGATATCAAGGACTCTAATGTAGCAAAATAAGTGAAATGTAAGCATTAATGGCAGGACGGTGACAGGTGATCGACACAAGACTATCAAAGACTTACCATATTGTTTTACAATGTCAAACAGGTTGCAGTATGGAGTGAATGACTCAATGTCGAGTCCAGCATTTTTCAACTAAAGCGAGCATTTCAGTCAGCAAGGTCTAATCACGGTATGATTCAAACTGTCTTCGCTCAACGATTACCTGAACTCCGTAGGCCTTGACGTCTAAGTACACTTGTAATCGGATTTTGTCTTCATCACTCATAGAGGGCTCGGAAGAAGACGAGCCGACTAGCAATGAAGAACCCATTGCCCCTCCTTTACGATTTTTCTTGAGCTTTTTTAAAGACTCTTCCACCTTTTGCATCGAAGAAAGCATATCAGCGATATTCTGGGTATACCTGTGATAAAAAAGGTCAGTTTACTTGACGGCTCTCACACTTATTCAATGCTAAACGCCACTCACCTGGCAGTAACAGCTTCCGCGACAAGAGTGATCAGTTCATGTTCCCGGCTCGACGCTATAAATGTTTTGTTCTGATCGCGAACAATGGTATATGGCCGAAGGATGTTGGATACATAGTGAGATGGCTCGGTTGGAGGTCGCTTATTGGTATGTCGGTATTGGGTTGTAATGCTTTTTACATTTTTGGCAACGTCAATACACCGACGACTTAAAATGACGGTAAGTTTGCGTTGAACTTCGGGTTGGACTGAATTCACCAATGTTTGAAGAGACAAATAAAGGCTGTCTATTAAATTTAAAATAATAATTAGCTTAGATGAACAGACTGCTTTGATCGTTCTTTCGTTCCTATCTCTTCTTTACCTTTCATAAGGGGTTCATCACGCATTGTTTCTGGTAGTTTTAAAGAGATTTCATTCTCAAAAAGTTCCTTTGTCTAGAATACCAATGACATGGCTTATCAACATATGTGATCGTAATAATGCTCAATCCAAAAACACTGTACTCACCTCCCTTACCAACGTATCGACATCATGAGCGAGAACAAGCAGTTGGCGAAGGTTTCTTGTTTCATCCACTGAGATATTATCGATCGGGGTTGATGGCCGTGACGGCGTGTTGGCACCTTGTTGACTCTGATAGCAAAGTTGTGGGCGTAAATTTCGGTGACACACCTTATCATGTTGTTTGTTTGAGAAAAATTATAGCACTCTTACCTTGTCAGTTTCAGTAGATGTATTCGCAAGTGCATTAGTCGCCCAAAGGTCATATCTTCTAATTAGCTGCAGTGAGACTGTATTAGCACATGAACGGAAAGCGAGGGTCAAAACTAGACGGCAATTTGCGAACCTGTAAGGTCATCTTCCAGAAGCGATGCGATAGAGTATAGATATATATTTGCTCAGACCAGCATTGGTGAATTGCATTTGATATGGCTTTGGTTGTAAGGAGGTTCACGCCTATACCTTGTGATTAGCGCTTGCTTGTTAAACGAAATGACCAAAAGAAGTTGTACTCACCATTTTGCTGTATATCTATTGGCATGTCGAAAGAATTTATCTTTAATCGGTCCTCTACAGGAAAGGCTATCTCTTTGAATCTAAGGTAAAGTAAGTGAGTCATCCAAAAGCTTCGAAACTTCATCCGAAATAACATGTATCAGGGGTTTTACCTCAGCTGGAAGTAAACTAAAAGTTGCCATCGTCGCATAAATTCAGTGTAAGAGCTATGGTTTCTGAGATACAAAAGAGATTTTCGGGATGGTAGCAAAGCCTCAAACTTGGTTACGAAGTCAATGGTCGTCACATAGTTCTAGGAAGAAAAATTTGAAAAAGCGGGCCGTTTTGTTAGCGAAAGACATGCCCATCTCCTAGTCATGACCAATTTTCACCTTACCTTGTGAAAAACGTCTGGTATACCCGGTGCAAAGATAGAACTGCATTCCTTGTTGATTCGTTCAACTATATCGACCCACAAGCAATCCACCAAAATCTCATAGTGAGCCCCTTTTAAGGTGCGACCTGCGATATCTGTCAACGGCGAAAGTTTGTCCGTGGCAAATACGATAATCTGGTTATATATGGATGACAACGGATTTCCGTTAAATTGTCCCGATCCTTCTGTGGGTTGTGCATTCAACGCCTGGCGATTAATGATCTAATTTGAAAAACAATTATATTAGATGATTGTGTACTTGAACAGATAATGAAAGCCACTCCACGTACATTCGATAGGGCCGGCGCAATCAACTCCCTCCGAATCACTTGCTCCGCTGAGGTAGTTTGATCCAGCAACGCATAAGTACGTAAGCACTGAATTAGAGAAGCTTTGACCGTCGAGTCCGTTGGTATTGACTTCATCTCTTTCAAAGCATTCGCCAATGCTGTAGATAAATGGCTCTGCAAAGTGTCCTTAATTCGAGTGATACGCTGTGTAATATCCAGTTAGTATACCCAACAACTCGTAGACATTGTACAAATACTCATGTTTACCCATTCGTTCTCTACCACAAATGGTAGAGCTTTGCCTCTGCTGACCAAGTGCTGCATCTGGTTATATTCCACGGCCACTCTTTCAATTTGCTTCTTGTCCAAGTTGTTGCTAGGAAATACAACCCATCAGCACTTACATCTTCACCCTTGGTATCCTATTCACATTGACTCACGTTGCATCGCCATTTTCCTCCAGTTCCCCGTTAATTGCCAGCAGTGTTGACTGGCGCTTCTTGCCATCCTGATTGATCTGCAGCAGATTCTCGACCTTTGTAACGGATTCATGAATATTTAGCAACAATTTGAGTGATGCCTAGATAATGTTCAAGGTGGTTAAAGAACGGGTCAATTTATAACGGTTTCAAGGTTGACCGCTTGCCTTTTGCTCTCGGACTTGGGCTCGCTCCTGCAAACTGCTCTCCAGGGCATCTATTACACTTTGCATTTCCTGGCGAATAGACTGCGTTTGGTTGCATATTAGCTTTCAATAATCGCAAAACCATGACTTTCGTCCGATATTTCATCATACCGTCACATCACTTCGCATGTCTTGTATTGGCAGTTGCAGATTGGCCATGACTTTGTCAAGACCCTTAAGATTCGTGCTCAAATTGACGAAATCAGCATAGTCTCTGTTGATGAGTTCAACCAACTGTGATTTGAGTTGACGTAGGTGCCCATTGAGTTCGGTTTTCAAACCTGCCAGTCCTAAGTGGCGTCTGCTGGTCAGGTACTGATCGGCATTGAACGTGGATCCAGTGAATGCAGATCGGTGGATGCCATTGCTTCCAAATGGCTCAAGAGCTCCAGTTGCTGATTCAACATCGTCGTCAGTGTCATCAAAGTCAAACACGAAACGTTTCTTCTTCTGGTCTGGCATGGGCACTGAAACTGTGAATTATGCCGCCATGCAAAGGGTAACAGATATGAAGTGAGAGCGCGGGGTGGCGGGCATTTTTTATATGAGAAAATATTACACAAATTGGAGCATCTAATGATTATGAAGATCGTGGAACCCTCGTAATGCACGATATCTACCAAACACCATTTCTCCTACAAACACGCCTATTATGATAACAATGAAATATGCACCATTGCCAGTCATCACAACCAACATGAGTAGGTAGCTGATAAAGGTGACGAGGGTTGACAATAAACTTCGAAGTGTGTCGGTTTGCCAGTGAAAGGCAGGTACATGAGGAAGTTCTAGTCGAGCTGGAGCTTTCGTTTTCGACATAAATGTTGGCGTCGAAGTTGTGGAGTATTCTAGAGGTTTTTCATTATGATTAATATCCCCATCCCGTCGTCGCAGGCCATCAATGGACTCATCCAGAGACGTATTCTTGGTAACTTTAGAATCGGCTCTGGCGAATTTGTTGTCTGCTGCATGCAATATCTTTTCCTCTTTGATAATAAGCCATCCTTCAACGTAATACTGAAGAGCCGCGGATCCTCGAGCGAGAATGGCCAGAACGAACAATGCAATGCATGCACCGATATAAGCACCTTCTGAAGATGGAACCCAGCTATCAAACCACAGTGCATCACCAACGGAGGTCCAATGGAAGGTTCCCATCGTCATTGTCATAGAAGTCGAACCGCTGGACATGTCCATTATGATCGATTAAGCGAGAGAAATGACACAATACTGAAGGAAAAGTCACTCCTTTTGAAGATGAAATCGGGGTTTGAAAATGCCAGAGCGATTTTGGCGGGTCGCAACAACCTGACTGGCTGAAACCAAGCGGTGGGCTGAGAGAGAAACAGAGTTGATTTTGCTAATGCTGATCGACCATATCTCTAGAATTATACATATTCTGGCTGCTGAAATACTCAAACTGATGGTAAATTGTCTTCAATAGGTATAGAAAAGAAAAATAACAAGGATAACATGCAGGTTTTCGTTCTTTATACCATTTGTTTGTTTTCGAGAGAGTACTTGTTATAACATGACCAGAATCAGCATGTCATTGAGAAGGTCTTGGAGTATGTAACATACTGGATTAACTGTAATAGCAAGCGTATGGTCTAGCTTTTTATCTTATTTAACGACAGCAGTTTGTTTACTTTGCGCAATACTGTGGAAAAGCGCGAATGATGTGATCCGTTCAGGCTTTGAATAAACCTTATATGCGCGGCGCGGTCACATGCATACTTTATATCCGGCTGTGCCTGAGGATTCATTTTGATTGATTTAAAACGAACTCAGGTCCACTGTCCACTAATATGAGAAGTTAAGCTAAAGATGACACCATAGGATATACTTTCATATTATGGGATATTTGATACTGCTCTGAATTCTTACTCAGATATTGCAAACAACTTTAGACTGTCTAGAGCAGTAAAACTTTTCCAAAAAGGAAAAATGGTTATTTTTAAAATGTTAAGGTTCTTCTTTCAAAATCTGGAACCCAGGTTTAGAGTACGGTTCGTGGTGTGATCTTCAAGTGCAGCTTACCACGGTGTAACACACCCACCTACTTTTATATATTGTCGCTGCTTTCAATTGGCAGACGCGATGCACTGCAATTCGTTCTGGTTAAAAGGCACCTGGTGTGGTGGCGTGGCAGGCAAAGCTCAGGAATTTCCGCTCTCTATATATAAAACCCCCCCCCCCACAGGGTGGACGATCCTCAAGTATTATATTATTTCGTTACATGGTTAAGCTCCCTTTTATGCCTTTTCTTTAGCAATGCCACCACTTAAGCAATCTTCATGGTCTACCAGGCTACAATGGAAGCCCTGGAGTTATGCATTCCAAGATACTACATGGCCCGAGCTGACATTACTGCTCACTCCCAAGATTCTTTCAAAAAAGAAAATGGTCTGGTACCTGATCTCCATCGTAATGGTGGCAGCTTGTCTTATCATGTATACATTCCGGTACATTCAAATGGAAAATATTCAAAAATACAGAGACGACTGGCTTTTTACGAGATTTCCTGAGCTTGAGACTGCTTTGACAGACACTGTCAAGCAGGAATCCAAGCTCAACGAGGCTATCCCACTTTACAATATACAAGACCCATATAGCTGCCAAAACCAACATCTATCATATTCCACATTGCAGCAACTTATAGATGCCGAGCTTGGACCAGACCACTCGTCTGATCCATCCACTGAACCCGTTCCTTCCCACTACCTAATCCTTCCACCATTCAAACCAAATCAAACTGTCATGATAGAGCAGGGCCAATCATACTGCATACGTTTGGTAATATATCCCCCAAAGTTAAATCCGCTGATTATGCACACCTTCAAGCCAATTGATGGATCACCGTGGGATAGTATTATGATGACTTTGGTACGACAGTCAGAATATAACACAACATTTCCCGTTCAGTTAAAACTGTGGAACGGTCATTCCGTGATATACGAGGCCAACAGGAATCTTTTTGGCGGTAGCAGTGCTCAAGATGTCCCTTCCCACCAGCTAGTCGATCGCAAAAAGATGCACATCTATGAAGCCGAAGTTAAACTTCATGATGAAGGAAACTACTCTTTGGAAACGCGGCTAGAATATACACACGGCATGTGGAATTTTGAAAGACAACCTGTGGTACCATACCAACCTGAACTGATTGAGACACCACTAGGATGGAACTTGACCGTGCTTGGACACCAAAAAGATCATTTCGACCTACCTTTATGCACCCGTTCCGATCATCCTGGACGTTGGCTCAACATTAAGGACTTTCCATCTCATCGGCAAAACATGCTTTCAGCCAACGCAGCAGACTTTAATGGAAACTTCTGGGCTCCTTACGAATGCCAATATCGATATATTTCATATCAAGACTTCAATCAATGCCTAGCCAAAAAATACCCACTTATTCATTGGTTTGGAGACTCCAATTCAAGAAGATCCCTTAAAAAAATTATCACCGATGGTGAATGGTGCAATGACTATGAAGCAATTCAATCCAACAGCACTACAAAACGAGCATGTCATTGTGAAGATTACGAAGAACCCACATGGAACAACACACTATTTGATACCCATGCTCGCGCAGGTCGTATTCTTAAGACAGCATTGAACAATGCATCAGTGGAATGGGGACAAGACAAAGCCAAGACAGAATCGGAAATCTGGTTCTACAAGTGGGACGGGCTGACCGACCTAAATGAGCCATCTTGGGAGGAGTTGTTCAAAGACTACCCAGATTCGGGCGAAATAGCAAAGCACGTTCCTGGAGTAGAAGTGGATGAATCTTGGATAGAGCAATATGGTGAGGCCATTCCGGTTTTCAGACGGTTACCGCCACCACTTGGAAGATACCCTGTACATGGCGGCGGTGGCCACAAGGCTAAGATGTCAAGACGAGACGTAGTTGCTCTTCATAAGCGATGGTACCTTACACTCGCACCACCACAACTCATCGTCGTCAACTTGGGAAATTGGGATGTCTCTCGTATGCCCTATTATGAATTTCAAGCAGCCATTCAAAAAATGATCAACTACATCAAGCAGCGATACATTCCATACAAAACTGCTGTCCTTTACCGAACCCCACAATATTTCTGCTGTCGAGTCGATACATCAGAACGACAACGAAAATTTAGTACGTTGAGGATGGAGGCTTATGATCGGTATGCAAGAGAAATGCTTGTTAAGCATGTTGGCGCCAAAGTTTGGGACGTCTACGCCTTGGGTGAAGCGCGTAGCTGGGAGGACAAACAATCCACAGCAGATTGTCCATCGAATCATGCCCCAAGCGATGTTGTGTCTCTTGAAAATCAAATGTTGATGAATTCTTTGTGTAATACGGACGATTGGTTTGCGGACTTGTAGGATTTTATCTCCTCTCATTTTTTTCTGTTACAGAAGTTATTGTTTAAAACTGTGTAGAAATATTCTGTCTTCATTTACTTACTTTGCATTTTGCTGTTCATACCATTTATTAGATTCCCTCGGCTCAGGATAAGTCTAGTGCTGAAACTTCAGTATTTCGCTATTATCCAAGCCCAACCATTGCAATAAAATTAATCCATACAAAAAGATGTGCTGAACTTTTTATTTTTATTTGGTTGCCTAGAACACAACTTTTCATTTGGATCCCGCAATGAGTGCCATTTCAAAAGCTCCGATTTGTTCGATGATGGCCCCGCCTCGATTTTCCATAGACGGCACTGTTAAGTTCAATCAAAAGCGATAAGGCATCTAGTAACTAAGCTTTAAGTTTGACAGTATTCATAGCCGGCATGGCGATAATCATGTAATTTTTAGATGGTGTGGTTCTGTACATACTGTTGATTCAGGTCAAAAAAGTTTTCGCGTGGTCAAACCAAAAACGCAATTTTATATGTTTTGGGACTATGCAATTTCAAGGGCATTGATGCCGCAAGAGTAAGTCCATGTGCCCTCCCTATATTTAAAACGGCAGAGTAGAACATACCATATGGCTATAGGTTGTTCAGAATAAAAAGCGACGTTTGCCTGCCATACCGAATTCTTTGTTTTCTTTTCATCTGTTTATGGACGACTTGTGGTTGCCGCTGCAGGAATACTCAGATTTTCAGAACACCAATCCTTCAATTCACGGATGTTTAATTTTCCGTCGTACACAATATCTGTTTGGAGGTATCCCATCGAATTGAACAAAATACACAATATCAAGAAAAAACATGATCTTGGAAAAGATGTGTGAAAATGACTGCGCACCAGTAGAATATTGTGGGCAATGGTTAACCACATACAGTTAACGTTGAGTACAAGCACGAACAAAGGGAAGGGGATCAATCTTAAAGTTTCCTCCCTTTAACTTTTGTCGCTTCATTCTCGATTTGTTGCTGTCAATCTCATATTTCTATGGTTTCAACTTTTTAAAAGTAAGCGACAACGTATCTGGTGAAAAATGTCCTCATTTCATTGACAAAATATGTACTTGCATCTTAATCATTGTAAAGGACACATGATAAGCCTCTGTAGCGTTCGACAAGGAGGCTGATTCTCAGCCTGTGCGACAAAATTGAACTTTGTGTCCATCGTCACGGATTTGTTATATACAAATCAGAATATAAATAACGAGCTGCGAACGGCGCCCCCTGATTTACTACGCTGTACCAGATTATATTGCTTTTGTGTAAGTAAAGCCTGCATCGAGCAAAATTCCCTTGAGCGCTGCTCTTTGAAAACCGTTTGGCTACAACCTGATCTAATGCAATATGACCTCGTCTGGCAGCCACAAATATCTTTCTGTTAAAAGTGTACAACCGAAAAATAGTATGGACAAACCAGACGAATATACTAAAGCGGATGAAGCAAATAAATCGTTCAACGGGAATGATCCAGTTTACAGTAGTGCGCAAGTCTACGATACAGCTCCAGCTAACAACCAAAGATCCTTTCGACAAACAATTTCATCCAAGCTACTGCTGTTTTCTGTCGTGATAGTCATTCTAACATTTGCAATCACCTTTTTACCAACCTACTTCGTCATGAACTCCAAAATAAACGACAGTCAGCAATCGCAATCTCTCGCCAACAACCAAGGAATCTCTACCACCAATAATGCGACTTGTAATGCCAATACTACGACACCGTTCCCTTTCAGCTATAGCTCAGTCGGACCAGTTTACACCCCCAATACGCAAAATTGTAGTGGCATTAATGATTTTTGGGATATCGGCAATTGCAAGCAAGTCACCGATGTCAACTGGAGTTTCGGGCTGAATGTTACAACAAACTACTCGGTTTTGAAAATCTATTCAGATGCTTATTGCTTGAGTGCTGTCACATCATTGTTGTTCACTAGTGGGTGCACAAGTGGGCAATCCATTCTGAACTTACACCCACAAGGTTTCAAGTCCATGAAAGTATGTTACAGCTTGACGAACTGTTAGGACGAGGGTGAAAAAGAAAAAATCAGTGGGTTGTCTAGTACACAGAAACAGCTATTACCAAAATCGTTTTCTCTTCTGAAGTGGACTTTAGATTCCATCGGCTAGACAGATATTGTACAGTGCATCTTCAACACTATAATAATGACCGTACAGATATATATACCATTAAATAAATAAATGCTGTTGGTATGCGTAGCTTTGCTATGTACAGAGTGACTCAATTTAGGGAAAGTTGTAGCATCTATACCACGAACTGTATTGGATGCTTTTCATTCTTGAAACAGGTACGTCTAATGTATATCAATAGGAATATTTAGAATTTTTTTCTGTCAAGCTAAATAATGGTTTAATTGGCCGTAACTAACGTATTTTTTGTCGAGAGTGATATACAAAATATGAAATGTTTACCATGGTCGGTGTGGTCGGTAGATATATCGAAAGTAAAAAAATTGCAGGATAGAATCTGTGTGGATCACAGGTAAGAAGTGTATGTCTTTATATTGCTTCACAGTCGCTTTGTGTTGCGTTTGAGTTAAATTGGTACCGTATAGCATTTCGAAGATGAAATCACACCAATTTCAAAGCAGCTATTACCCTGTTTTTATCTAGCAAGGATGCCAATATCTGACAGCTAATTCCAAATGTATGCTGCACAAATGGAGCGAAGAACCCCATGCTGGTTGTTGTTTTCAATGCTGGACCTCCCTTTTGAACCTTCATGCTATATATGAGAATGCAAAGGCGTGCTATTCTGCTCTTTTATGAGAATGAACAAGATGTTTTATTAAATCAACCAACAAAACCACAATTTTATGACTCATCCACCACCGTGGTCCACCCCAAACGTTTCTGTCCATGCTTTGCCCACCTGTTACAATGTTTTAGTCATGAAAGCCATAAATTCGTAATTAGAGTGGGAGTCACTTACAATTCCAGTAGCCTGTTACCGTCTGGGTTGTTCTCCGGGTGAAACGTTGAAGATGGTAGTAGAGTCTCGATGATTTGGTACAGGAACCGTGGTTTCAATTCCGTTAACTCGCCTGTAAAGAAGTCCATTAATACGGAAATCACTCAAGAAACCTTACCATGGAAAAATCTTACCAGGCACTCTAGGCTTGCTGAAGTCAAACACACAATCTGGGTTACGTTGATGTCGCAACTCGACATCTCCTTCCTGTTAAGAGAATGGATTTAGCCTTTGCGTTTGCATAAATAAATGCCTTGGGACATAGAACTCACTCTTCGAAATATAAGCAAGCTTAATTTGCTCTTGTTAAAGTAGGTGTATGGCTTCTTGGAAATTTGATTGTTCAGGTTCTTTTTAATCCAGCAAAAGTTTTCAACATACTTGAATTGCCACTTTTCACATATCCGCACGATATCAGGAAGCCACTCTTTTTCAAGCCAAATGAAGAGGAAGCCTTTAGGAACAATCGAAGGGATGTCAAGTGAAGCCTGGATAAGAGGTAGCTCAGTATGATTTGCTTTTGTTTCAGGAAGCGCTGCAATGGAATCAACTTACCAATTGCTCAATAGTGATTTTTCCTGGGCATGGCTCTTCACCAGGTAACAAAAGTGGTGGATCCATATACACAGCTTGAAAGTTAGTTCCTAGCTCCTTCAAGTCCATGTCCAAAATATTTTTCTTCAGGTACCTAATGTGAATGTAGAAGCATTGGTTGAGTCATCCTTTCTGAAATGAGATCAACGACTGAAAACACTTTTGACTTACTTTTGACCAATGGTCGATGCAATGTCCTCTGTCGGTACCTGTTGGTGTAGTATAGTGTGAACCCACGATCGCGGTATTGGTTCTCCAGGTATTTTCACATATGTTGGTAGACTAGGGTCAATAGCGCTGCCAAGAATGTGTGAGTATAATGGTGAATTGCAATCAAGGCTACTGGAGGGTCTATCGCGTACCTGACTTTCTTCTTGACCATGAAAAAGTTGCCATTTCGATCTTGCACTCGCACTTGCATAATCTTATATTTGGCAATGATGCTCTCTCTATCAATGCCACGTCTACCTCCACTGGGAGCTTTTTCACGAACAGGTGCAGGCGCTCGTCGCATGCGCTTTTTCTGTTTTGCATCTCCTCCAAACTCCATATCCCAAAAGTCATCGTCTTCCATGTCTAAATGTATGTAGTCACTGATAGAAAAGTTAAGGTTAATTGGAGGTAACTTGCAGACGAACTTGAATTTGAGATATACATACTCTTCTTCATAGATCTCGTCTGTCAAGCCATCATGGTATTGTAACTGCCATATTTCCACATCGTTTAGTTCGTCCATGTCATTGGAGTCCATCATGGCGCTTCTGATCGTAAAAGCTGAAGTTCGCTTGAAGATTTCTTGTAGCTGCGCCTCTGTTAATCCTTGCGATGAAGCTTCTGATTTCTTCTCCTCCATTTCGGCAGGTGTGCCATTTGATTCAACCTCATTTTCTTTGTTCTCAGAACTTGTATTTGGAGTCGAGTTGACTGATATAGCCGAAAACTCTTTCTGAATGCGATCTAGTTCTTCAAACTTTTTCATAATGGCCTCAACTGATTCTTCGTCCTCAACGTAGCCGACATAGTGTATATTACTAGTGGACAATCGCATGCCAGGAAGATTAGTATGAGTGTCTTGACAAAAAAATAGCTCAATATTCAGGGTCTACCTTGCAACGGTGTTTCTAGACTTTCGCTTTCTACGAGATCGGTCGGCCATGCTGTTATTGACAATTCTTGAGAAAAAAGGTGAAAGCGGAAATCTCAGGAGAGTCGCGGTCAAACGCGTTTTTCGATTTTTCATACCCAATCGCGTCCACGCTACCGCATTTCTGAAAAATTGTGACTTTGCTAATCCGGTCGCCTTCTCTGGTCATTTCCACCATGACGGAACCTGCGACTGTGCCATCCATTAGGCGTTTGGATCAGACAGTAGTCAATAGGATAGCTGCCGGAGAGGTACTATTGAATTGAAGTTGAATAAAGATAGTTACTGTCCTAATGACTCTTTTGCTAGATCATTCACCGCCCAGCCAACGCTCTCAAAGAACTGATTGAGAACTCAATAGACGCAGGTTCGACTAATATTCAGATCCTCATCAAAGACGGAGGACTGAAGTTGTTGCAGATACAAGATAATGGATGCGGAATACGGGTACATAATATCTATGAAGTGCGTCTTAAAGCCCGGGAAATATTTTTGCTCATCATTCAAACAGCGAGAGGACATGGAAATTGTTTGCGAGCGGTTTACTACCAGTAAACTGAAATCTTTCAATGACCTTGGTAGCATTGCAACATACGGGTTTAGAGGAGAAGCGCTTGCTAGTATTTCACATGTTGCACATGTAACTATCACCACAAAAACGGCCGACTCAAAGTGTGCTTTTCGGTGAGTTTCATTGTTGCACTTTTATCAGTCCTAAACAGGGATGCTTACAAACAAATATAGAGCGTCCTACTCTGATGGGAAACTAGTTCCGCAAAAGCCAGGGATGAGTAATGAACCCAAGCCTACTGCTGGAAACAAAGGCACTCAAATTACGGTAAGACATCATTCTTACACAGCCTCCATAGGCGCTGAACGAGTTGTCTCATTCGCCTCTCTTATAGGCTGAAGATCTTTTCTACAATGTGCCTTCCAGAAGGAAAGCGTTGAAAAATCCAAGCGACGAGTACAGTCGAATACTTGATGTTGTTACTCGGTACGCCATACACAATTCAGGCATTAGTTTCTCGTGTAAAAAGGTACTAGCTGATTTTTGTTGGTGCGTAATAAGATCATGTCGACGAAGTAATAATCTTGATTTATGTCTATTGCAGCAAGGCGCCAATATGGCTGATGTGAATACGGCCACCAACAACTCTATCATCGACAATATACGACTTTTATACGGATCAGCAGTAGCGTCCGAGCTTATATCAGTGGAACGAGATTTCGAAGAGCTAGAGTTCAAGATGAAGGCGCATGTTTCAAACGCCAACTATCATGTCAAGAAATTGACGATGCTCCTCTTCATTAATCGTAAGGACGGATTCAAAAGAAGTCGCCTCTTTTTTAGACCCATAATACCTACATACTCTTGTTTTTTTTTAGATCGTGCAGTAGAGAGTAGTATGCTGAAGAAAATGGTCGAGAACATTTACATTACTTTACTACCAAAAGGCACTCATCCTTTTGTGTACCTCAGTTTGGAGATCAACCCTCAGAACGTGGATGTCAATGTCCATCCTACAAAGCGCGAGGTATGTCATATAAGAGAAAAGAGATCACAACCAAGGTCTTGACGCTAATAAGCAACTTGTTAGGTTCACTTTCTGAATGAAGATAGATTGATCGAGGCGATAGCTGATACGATACAAGAAAAGCTTGCCGGTGCAAATGATTCAAGAGCTTTTTATACTCAGGTTTGTATGGCTATGAATGAAACTTACGAGGACATCCTTAGATAACCGCATTATCTTGTAGACTTTACTTCCTGGAGCTGCTCAAGTTGAGGAGATCAGTGGTAGGCCCTCGCAGTAGTGCATATATTGATTGAAGTGGCTCGCTAACATCAAATGTAGCTCCCAAACCCACAGGAAAAGTGTCAGAAAGCAAATTTGTCAGAACGGATAGCAAGCTTCGAACACTTGACAACTTCCTTCACACACCCTCCACTATATCCAAGCCTACGCAAACTGCAGCGGAAGAGCGACCTGAATCCGAGGCCACTGGTTCGCCTGATGTTGTGATGGTGGATGCTGGACAGGATGCCACTGAAATCGTTGCAGAAGCACCGTAAGTATAGAATGGCTTTACTGTTGAATCTTAATAGAAACTCATTCGCTTTTGGTTTGTAAGATCCGTCAAATCAGGCTCGACGAGCACGCATGTTTCTGCAGATAGAGAAAGGGTTGATGTGCGGTTGAACAGCCTTTTGGACCTGAGAAAGGAGGTTAAGAAGAATGAACATAAAGGTAAGGGGATAATGAAATGGTCGCATATCATCATGACACCAATGGATTCACAGCATTTGTGCCTTATAGGATTGTCCGATATCTTTGCTGACCATACATTTGTGGGTGTTGTGGATGATGCACTTGCTTTGATACAGCATCAAACCAAATTGTACTTGGTTAATTACTCAGTCATAAGGTAACATTTATCTGAATTTCCAATCAATCAGCTGAAGTGGTGTTTTAAATGCTGCGTTTTATATAGCGAAGAACTTTTCTACCAGCTGGTCCTACGAGAATTTTCAAACTTCGGCTACATCAATATGGCAAGCGCTATACCCATCAAAGATTTCATAATGGTGGCTCTGGATGAAGAAGAAGCACAAAACGGCTGGCCAGACAACATGAAGCCTAAAGACGAGATCGCTCAGGTACTATGCCATGTTGCACCCACCGAACACAGTCTGTACCCAATTGATGCTAACAACGCCCACTCTGTTTTCTTTCCAATTAGTCAATTACAAATTTATTGATTGATCGCGCGGAAATGCTGCATGAATACTTTTCAATAAGAGTGTCTGAAAATGGTGAATTGCTCAGCCTACCAATGCTAATCAAAAACTATGTTCCGACCTTGGATAAACTACCACTTTTCCTTCTTCGACTTGGCACCGAGGTAAATTCAAATTGCTCAATGCCTGTGACAAGTTAAGCGACGATACTGAACGTGTTTGAAAGGTGGATTGGGATGGAGAAAAGGAATGTTTTGAAACATTAGCAAAAGAGTTGGCTCTGTTCTATTGTGCTGAACCGCCATTGCGGGAACCTGTCGAAGAGAATCAGACTGATCCCCAAGGCGACCAAGAGATGTCAGAGAGCACTACATCGGATTCGACCTATGAAAAAGATCACAAGGCATATTTGTGGCAAGTCGAGCATCTCATATTTCCTGCACTCAAGTTCCAATTTGCTGCCCCAAAAAGCTTGGCTGCGTCGTCTGGTCCCGGCAGTGGGCATGTCGTTCAACTGGCTAACCTACCAGACTTGTACAAAATATTTGAACGTTGCTAGAATAACAATATATTACATATGATCGTATATACGTGCTGTAGCGAATGAGGAAAATGTATAAGTAATGAAGTAGATGAGTAATTTCTATAGTTTAAAAACAGGAGTGAAAGTGAGGGGGGATTAATCTACATACAGGCGCATAGCTAACAATGCATTAAGCAATCCGAGAGGGCATGAAGCGAATAACTGCACCGCACACAGCACTTGCAATCAACGTACTGCCGACAAAGTAACTCATGTCAGCCCAACCTGCAGCACCACTAGTTGAAGTAAGAATGACTGATCCGATAGGATTTCCAACCACGTTACCTATGCCTCTGAGTAGCATGAAAACACCATTAATAAGAATAGGTTTGCGATATTCTGTGCCGGCAATATCGGTAACAATGGAAGGAAAGCTGCTCGTGAAACCACTGCCAAATGTACCATAAATGACAGCAAAGGCAATCAACAAGCCGAATGATTGGCCAGCAAATCCCCATAACAAGAAGACACTCAAGCTAGCTATGCCTGAGGAAATGACAGCGGAAGTAGCGTAACCGTAACGATCGCAAACGTGACCCAAAGCAAGCTGACCTATTGACAAGTGAATATGAGAAACTGGGGGAACGTGAGTGGCGAGAGGCAGTTTAGGACAGCAATACATACCTATGATAGTTGCAGCGTTCAAAATGGACAGCATAATGGTGGAAACTTGCTCTGAAGATCCGAGCCATTGAGCATAAGCTGTAACAAAGCGCAGTAAAAATGTCAGCTCCAATGATAAAGAACGAACCAAAAAGTATATGGCTCTATCGCCAAGTGGCAAACTTACGTTGAATGAACAAATTGGGTACAAAGAATCCGAGACCTTGGAATAAAACGGCTCCGGCCATAATGAGAAATCGCTTGTTTTTGATGAAAGCGAAATCTTTACGGCTTAAACTAGCGTATGATCTTGCATCATCGGTACTATGACGAGGTCGAATGACAAATGACGAGCCTAGGCAGAACACCAAGACAAATAGGGCCACAATTCGAAGTGTCCAGCGCCAGTCGATCGACTTTAAACTCATATCAATCAAAGTTGGGCAAGCTAAACCGAACACTCCCGCACCAGCATAGATGAATCCACTAGCAATGCCGCGATACTTGAAGAAATAGATGGGTATAAACATACACAAAGAGTTGTAAACTAGGTAGTTCAAAAGAAATGTTACTAGATGTTTGAGACATGACAGCATATTCTGGACAGTGACTGCTTACCGAAAGCTCCACCAAGACCGAAAAGAAATCCTTGAGTAAGGATGAGATGCCAGACCTGAGTAGCAAAGCTGGCTGCCACAAGGGCAATCACCATGGTAACCGACCCAGCATACATCATGGTTTTGAGAGTGAACCGACCACCGAGCAAACCTACCAAAAATCCTCCAATGTACGATATACCGGTAGCCAGAGTACCGATAATGGTCAACTCAGTGACACTGGCACCGGCAAACTCTGGTTGCTTTTGGTAATGCTGCAGGTAGACAGAGAAACTGGAGGTGTAGCCCCAAACAAATCCTTCAATTACAAAACCTCCAAGCAAGACCATCCATGCGTTGAATCCGCCGTCGACGGGAGGAAGTGAGAATTCGACACCAGTGCTGGAAGCGACCAAATTAGCATCAGAATTTGCGCGGCTAATAGTTGGGGTTTGGTTCGGAGTGAGCTCTAAAACCTCGGTACGTTGCTGCTGATTGGTGAGATCATAAGTTCCTGATTCAATGAGGGTACTTTCTTCGAATTCAACCACGCGATCCTTGCTGTTACGGCGAATGGTGGAATTAGTTTCACTCTCGTTCCTCTGTAACGGGAAACCTCGCTCTTGATTGGGTCGTCGAACGAGAGAAGATCTCCGCTCAGTCAAGGCAATGCTCGTTATATCTTCCTCAAGTAAACTCATGAAGGCTGTCTTTACGAAAAAGGAGAAAGCTGTGAGAATGAAAACCTGAAGACAAAAAAAACTTTTAATGGAAGCCCATTATGTCTCGTTCCGATCATTTTGTTGCCCGAGATTCGGAGCTAGATTTTTGGCATGGAAGTTTTCTCACAGTCTGCCGCTGAAAATATTCTGCAAGTTTTAGATAGCCATTGATAATCCAGAAGATCGCATTGGTGAAAAGCACTTCATTCTACAATTTAATGGACTGAGTGGTTTCTTATTGCCGATGTAATTTGTATGAAATTATTTTTGACCATGAATGCTCTTGTGGTGGCTGGCTATTTATAAGGCAGCCACTATATAATCAATTGTGAACATTGTTTACAGCTTGCTAGGAAATAAACTCCGTGGATGGACGGGCAGGAATCTCAGGATTGGGAAGAGGTTGATTACTTATGGATCATGCTGAAGAATCAAAGGGATCAACGGATAATTCTCGTTAACCCCAGTCTTTCCTACTTTGTCACAATCATCGAAATAGGGTGGTTTGACACGAAAGAGATCTGCACTCAGCTGTTGAATTCATGGGTGCATTAAAAGGCTTTCACCAGAATACAACATCAAATCTAGATGTAGAACCTATGGAAACACGGAGCTCCAGAGGTGATGTTCTGTTCATTGTATTCTTCTACTGAAGTGTACTGGACTGGTGTGACAATTTTTGGTAACACGCTTGCACGTGGAGCAGATGGTCGATCATAATCAACACAATCTGAAGTTGATTAGCAAAAGGTCATTCGATTGGCTAAACTGTGCTGAACAATATACTAAATCGAATGAAAACATGATTATGATAGATCAGGACAACAGACACATCTGAATTTATCCTAGTGATTACATGAACGCATCGGCTCAATGAACCTTAAGCATTGTGAAGTATATTTGGTTTATGAAAAAGAATTATATTAACAATTTTTGCAGTGGATGACCACTCTTCATTGGAATTTATCCACAGTCTAGTACTCGTCGTGCCTAATCTAAAATTCTAAATTCGACATCAAAGAAGCTTCAAGTGTCCTGTTATTTGATTAACCATATCGACGGGTCCTGATGATAATTCATATGTAAAGAAGCAACAAAAAATGAAGCCGTCAGTATCTGAAGTAACAGCGAGCTTTCGATGAAACCGGTGTCTTACCCGGGCCAATGCCTAAAACAGTTCTTGATCCGGCTTCGATTTGAGTACGACCAGCATCTTGAATACTACGAGCAGTGAGTCCAATGCTTGCAGCTAAAGCCTGCAGCTCAAGCCTGCGAGGAATAGAACGAAGATTTAGACACCTTGTTATGCACAGACTATGTTTCCAGCGCTTACATTTGCTCCTCACTGTCACATCGAAGTGCAACCTTTGCCTGTCCAGTGTGCTCCCAGCGATGAATCATTGAAGGGTTAGTGCGCATGGTTGACTTGTAACAAGCTAGCGTGGCATGTCCACACTGAGCTGCAATCTTGCCCTTGGTCATTCCGAGATCAGTGCGGACGACAAGCACGAGCTTAAAGTTGTTGAATTGAGAAGCGTCGATTGATCCAGATTCATTTGAAAACTCTTCCTCGTCTTCTGACTCTTCTTTCAATTCCTGCGGTGCCTATATTGCAGCATGACATTAGCAACCGCTTTACAGATCGAAGTGAAAGTAACATTATCTGTGCCATAAAGTGAACTTTTCAGCCAATCTACCTGGATTCTCAGTTTGTAAGCTTTCCCGAGAAAATAGCCGGAAATCAAAGCGACAGAGCTGACTATGCCGAGCTCATATAATGTGAATGATTGCTTCCAATTGTCGAGCATGGTTAAGATATAGGAGCTTATTTTGGGACCTGAAAACTTGAGCTTCAGTAAATGGATTCGAGAAAGGTTTTGGCGGTCTTTGAAAAGTTTTGTAAATGTAAGATAGTCAAAGTATCCTTCCATGCTGAGAGGTGTTCTCAACATCATTCTTGATAATATAGCCGTGCTTTGGCAAGAATGTATGTTGAAGTTCTACCGGAAACTTTTAGTAAAAAGCAAAATATTCTTTGAATGCTCATTAGAAGGCAGTGTTGGTACACACGTAAAACTGAGGAGTTCAAGTTCACCTTCCACATAAGCTCTTTTACAGATGTAAAGACTCACTTTCTCCAGTATTATTATAGAAAAAGAATAAGATGATGGCAAATTTATTTAACAGATTGATATTTTTTTAGTGATGGTAGTCGTTATGGACAAACTTTCTTTGCTGAATGGTATTGTAAAAGATACATAGCCATTACCAAAGAATGCAACTTGTAGCATCCTTGTCAATATCGCATCCTTGAAAACAAGCAATCGCCATGCGGTATAATAAACACTCACCGATATTCAATTTAAAACATAATTTGGAATAGGGATGTTAACGCTGCACGGAACATGGCCTTCTTAGGTTATTATTTGGTCTACCAAGTCGAATCGCCAAGATCTCTTCAATGCCTCCATTCCCTATCCACCAAGTTTGCAAGTTCATGATGTCTTGCAAGCGGCCTCGCTCGCGGAGGAATTTTTTCGCATGTAATTTCTATTCAGTAAAACAACTTGTACACCTACAAAATGAACAGTTGTGGCACAGCCACCAACACTCATTTGCCAATATGTTGTATCTCCCGAATCTTTCCAACCCAACAAATCAACCATTAAAAAAAGGGAAGTTTCTCACGGCCACAAAACCAATTTGATAATGGTAACCCACGCGACTTCACGCCATCGGGTACTGTGGGACAGAAAGTATTTTTGGCAGTTTACAATAAAAGAATGTGATTTTCTGCAGCAAATTGTTATGTACTAATGACCTTTTAAAATATATTTACAACTAAGGCGGGGAGCCACACTCGCTTGCATTGGCAGCGACTTCTTTCTGGCGGCGAGCAGCTTCTTGGTCTTCTTTGGCTTCGCGGAAGAAGTTGATAGGATCGTTATTGATCCGTGAGTGCCGTGACGAGTAACAGGCATATACGATCAGACCTACAGCTGCCCATACAAACAGACGCCATATGGTGGTTACCTCTGCCACTGCAATCAGTACCACTGAAATGAGCATCCCCATCAGCGGGATAATTATTCCTCCCCACTTTCCGCCAGGGATAGTGAAACCACGAGGAATATCAGGACGAGTAAATCGGAGAATGATGATACCAAAATGTACTAAAAAGAATGCCAAAAGGGTACCGACGCTGGTTAGATTTCCCAGAATATCTACCGGAAGAATGGCGCCGAGGATAGCGGTGATAATGCCGGTGATAATGGTAGTTCGGTACGGAGTCTTGAAGCGAGGGTGTATCTTACCGAGCCAGCGGGGTAATAAACCATCTCGAGCCATTGAGTGAAAAATACGAGGTTGGCCTAAAAGGAATACCAGCATGACCGAAGTAAGTCCAGCCAAAGCACCTAGACTGACTATGATATTAAGCCATCTGAAGTTCTGGCCAGTTCTAGCTTGAACTGCCGAGATGGCGGTGGAGACAGGCGTTGATGTGTTCAGAATGGTGTAATTTGCAGCTCCAGTCATGACTGTAGCGGTTGCAATATATAGTACGGTACAGATAACGAGGGAAGTGATAATACCCACTGGCAAGTCACGAGCAGCATCTTTTGCTTCCATAGATGCAGTTGAAACTGCATCGAACCCAACGTAAGCAAAGAACACTTTTTGGGAAGCTGCGAAAATTCCTCCAACTCCAAATACACGCCAGTTGGAGGACGTAGGCGGCGGTACATATGGATCATAATTGCTGGTGTCAATGAAGCCACACATTGAAAAGATGAAGAGGACGACAACTGTAAGCTTGATGGCGACGATCACATTATTAACCGAAGAGGTTTCTCGAACACTGCAATTGTTTGCGAAATGGTAAGCAGAGTTTCATAGTGCTATCGACAGCCTTTGGTTCCTTACCCAACGACAAGTAAAATGGTCAGTAGAAGGACGATAAAAAATCCAGGGGCATTGAAGTACGATCCGGCATCTGAATTATATGCTATAGATGCTGGTACTTCAGTCCAAACTAGCGTTGGCGTTGTCCATCGAGTGCCAAGGTCAACATTGAATGCCACTGTGATACGTTTATTTAGTCCTGCCTTGGATGAGTTTACCATAAAAAGATTGTTACCTTTGAAAAAGTAGACAAAGTAAGCAGACCAGCTTACGGCAACTGTAGCAGCACCTATCATGTATTCTAGGATCAAATCCCATCCAATGACCCAAGCAAAAATCTAAAAGGAAAGTTAAGAAAGTTATCTCAGAGAGAAATAAATAAATTGGGGGGTCAGTTGAAGATGAGCCTACCTCGCCCATAGTGGCGTAAGTGTAAGTATACGCAGAACCAGAAACTGGAATCATGGAAGCCATTTCGGAGTACGACAGGGCGGCGAACGCTGTGGTTAGGGAACTTTTATGAGCGTGGGGCATTTTTTTTTTTTTTTTTTTTTTTACAAAATTAAAATTGTCATATTACCTGCTGCTACACCAGCAATAATGAAGGAAATGGCTACAGCTGGACCAGCATATTCAGCGGCAGCATGGCCAGATAGGACAAAGATACCAGTACCAACAATGGCACCGATACCGACAAACACCAAATCAAAGCGACTGAGCGTCTTTTTGAGTTCTGAGCCTTCGTATTCCGAATATAAAAGCTCATATGGCTTGATAGCTAAAACTTTGCGACCGAGGTAATGCGTTTTGGATTCGCCGTTCTGTCGTAGGTAGCTCTCGGGCTCAACCCGATTATATCGAGCATTGATCGTCTCGACATAGCTTCCATAGGTATAACTGGTATTGAAATCGTCGGATATCATAAATTCATGCCTGGAGTGCGTTACCGTCTTTTCATAAGAGCGGGCGTCTCCTCCATATTGCTCCCATTCAAACATTTCATGGCGATCCATTGGGTAAATGGAAAGGAAAAGTTGGATATGGTGACGTTGAAAAAGAAACGGCGGGCAATGTCTTAAAACTGGTATTTATATGTTGATCTCAAAAACTTGCGTATCAGTGCGAATACCAAGTAAGGCAAGTTCGTAGGATATATGGTCACAAGGTGGATCTTGGTCGGAGAAACGATCGACCCATTTGCGAGGTAACTGAACATGGCCCTGTCAACCTGTTAAATACAATACATTCCATTCGGTTGTCCCTGCTACAAACAGATAACGTTCATAACGTTGGGACATGGTTTATTGTGTATTAACATTTAGACCTTGAGCGGGGCAATCGATGTGCTGTCATAGAAGCTGCAAAGTGTGAGAACTTTTCCACGTCAACTTGCTTGCCAATAGCTGTTATCGACAGACCGCAAACCAAAACAGCCTGCGCCCAATTTCCAGAAATCACCAAGACTCCGCTGCCGTTTGACTGGAAGAAGTCGTCTGTCCTCAGCAAAAATGTGAAATATACGTCATCTAGACTATAGGAACTTGTAGTCAGGCATATGGACGTTTGATGGGTTCTGAACCACATGTGCGGAGTGACCAGAATAGTCAAGTGCCATGTAACCCGCCTCGGATGTTATGCAGCTTTTACTTATTATCAAAAAAAAAAAAAAAAAAACGTGAGAGACAACTTGTCCTTTGCATCGCAATGATAGCACTATCAGCCACTGGTATCTGAAACATGAAGACGGAAAAAGTATAAACACTTGACTTGGGGAAATTCGCACACAACCAGAAACATGGCGACTCATTGCATTGCAAACAGCGATCCAAAGAAATATCGTAGAAACATGGCTTGCATTGACTTAGTTTCTATTTGCCGGTTTGTGCAATGGCTATTGGTTTTGACTACAAAATGGGGTTCCTTGACATAAAAGCTATGAACAACCGTCAATTTTTTTGAACGTGGTAATTGATCTTTATCTGTTTGTATCCTGCCCGTAAAAACCCAATCGATTGGCGGGATACGGAATCCGTTTTCTGGGCACCGATGATCCAACAAACGATTTCCATTGACAGAGCAAGTGGGGATTTTGACTTTTTGTTTGGTTGAACCAATTTGGAGTACGGCACGACTGGAGACGTGGGCGGAAAAAAAGGATGGAGGAAATTGTTTACAGTAGCTTTGAGATGTTTGCTGGGGTGAGCGGGGACTGAATAGCAGAAATCATGGTTGGGTTGAACGATTTTTTCTGTAACGCCTCTCCCGGTTCCCTTCTTGTCAAGCAATTGCCAACTGCGTAGAAACGTCAAATGACTCGGGCTTTTGTCACTCTTGTAGCTTCAGACTATGTAGCTCCAGGAGCTTTAGTTCTTGCCCATCGCTTGCGAGATCTCCATGACGGTCGGAAGCCTCTTCCGAGACTGGCTTGTATCGTTTCAACAGACGTGACTCCCGACACTAGGCACGCACTGGCCACTATCTTTGACGATGTGATCCAAGTACACCCTCCAAGGTCTAAGGCTGTTATGAATTTACATCTTGTTGGAAAGCCGGATACCGCTGCTTCTTTGACCAAGATTGAGCTTTGGCGGTTTGAACAATATGACAAGGTTGTGTACCTGGATCCCGATGTTTTCCCACTCAGACCCATAGATGAGCTATTTGACCTGGATGAACTGAGTGCTGCTCCCGAAATCGGTTGGCCGGATTGGTTTAATACATGTGTATTTGTAGCAACTCCTAACGAGGAAACGTATACTGAACTAAAAGAAATGACAGAACAGGATAAACTGTGGGATGGTAAGCAGTCATGATGATGTACATGCGCGCGTATTTTGTGATCAAACAACTCATATTTCCGTTTGGGACAGCTGGAGATCAAGGATTGTTAAATGAATATTTCGACGATTGGGCAACAAGTGGTCCAACTTATAGAATTCCGGCTACATATAACATGCTGCCATCATCTATATACAGGTTGGTGTTTATGTTCTTTGCACATCAGACATTGCCCCAGATCTAACTTGCTGTTTCTTATAGTTATGCTCCAGCAGCTAGGGAATTTGGAAGTAATATATCCGTAGTACGATTTTCAGAAAATGAACGACCTAGAGAATGGATGCGACTCCAAGATGGTAGGGTATTTCCACGAGGTTCTGCTTCTTCAAGTAATGTGGAAATTGTTCAGCTATGGTGGGATACTTGGGACAAATATAATTTACAGGTATGGTGCCATCTGTCAAATCCATTGAGAATGAGTTTGACACTAATTTGATCACCAGGCGTCAACTGTGTCAGCTTTTTTGCCACAAAACGATCCTTTACAAGCTCCCGAACTTACCGATGTTAGCTCAATGAAGAATGCTTGGGATGTTCCAACCATTATCAAAGGATCAGATAATTATGATGAGCGTACTACTGTTCATCCTCTTCCACCGCTACCAGAAATTACACTTGCTGTCCAGCCGTGGTATCTCGAAGAAGCGCATGTGCAAGAATACCAAGCTGCCCAATCAAATGTTGGTGAGTATCATCACGAGCATCCTCACGAAGAAAGCTCACAGTTCCAGCAGGAGTACGAGGAACATCACCATCAAGAGGAGCATAATAACGCCGATTATCAAGAGTCATTTCAAGATGATCAGCAGACTCATCATCAGCATGAGTCTCGCAGTCATGAAGCAAACAACGAGCCTGCTCCACCACCAGCTCATGAGAGAGAGTACGCAATGCTCAACTGGAATCCATCGTGGGAAGAACCACCTACTAATAAGAATGATATTGACATTCCGGACCTTCAAATATACTCAAATGCATGGGACTACCACCAACCTAATGACCACGTTTGGGTTGCTCCTGCTGTTGAAGAGCTGCCTCCACCTCCTTCCATGATCGATTATCATCATCAGTATATCCACCACCATCAAGAGGTCCAAGATGAGCACCCACAAGAAGCTGCACCTTATGTAGCCGTGTTCCCATGGGAAGAAGAAAAGGAATATAGACCTGCTCCTTCTCGTATATGGCAAGATGAGCTAGAGCGCGAAAGACGAGCTAGAGAGGAAGCAGAATGGCTACGCGCTGAAGAGGAAGCTAGAGTGAGAGCGGAAGAGGAAGCTCGATGGCAGGAAGAAGAGGAAAAGAAGCGTGTTGAACGAGAGCAGGCTGCAGCGCAATGGAACCAGGAAGAGGTTACTGGCCAAAGCTTTGGGGTTAATAACCAGCAAGAAGTTATTCAACAAGCTATGGATGCTGAAGCCGGCATAATTGAACAAACCGTTTCAGAATCCCATGATCATCATCAACAGTCATCTACACTGGACCAGCCGTTTGTCAGCGTGTGGGATCAAATGCCGAGTATCAAAAGATATTTGGCATTGCTTGGTGCCAATGAGGCTTTTAAAAAATCAGAGTATCAGACCTACCAAAGTCAAGAAGAAGAGCAAGAGGAAGTCACCTACTCGCAGCAGGAGCAAGAACTCACCACTGATGATGATGATGATGAGGAAGAAGAAGAGGATTACGAGTCCGAAGAAGAAGAAGAGGAGGAAGAGGAAGATGTCCAAGAAGATATCCCCGCCGAAACTGTTGCACCTCCGACTCAAGCAAATAGCTGGTGGGGAGAGCCTTTTGCAATCGACTCCATGCCCACTACTCCTAGGCTTAACAAGTTTGGCTGGCGGTCACCTTTGATGCCTACAACACCACGATTGGAAGATGATGATTGGGATGATCGTGATCTGATACCTCTTCCGCTCAAGCGCACAAGCCGCTTATACCAACCTGAAGCACTCTACCAGCAAGAATTTACCAGCCCACCTAAGACTACCGCAGCAGATATACCAAAGTCAAATGCTAGTGTGAGTGAGAGCGAAGGTAGCGTCAAGCAACAAAAGAAGAAGCGCCGAGTTAAGAAACCAAGGAAGCTATTTGCTGATGAAGATGACATGCTCAAGCGCACTCCTTTCGCATCGGCTGTGACTACTCCAACCAGCGAAAAGAGCTTTTTACTCCCCAACGTTGACGATGAAGCTCAGACAGATATCATTGACGCTGCGGAATCAGAGTCATTTGGAGAATACAAAATTCAGTGGGCATCGGATTTGCTCAAGGGAAGTCAAGCAGGTATCATTACACCTATGGCGAGAACACCATCAAGAGAGAAGGATGCGACTTCTTACTTTGAGGGTGCAGCGTCCCCAGGTACTCCTAAGAAGAATAGATACAATGCGTTGGCTTCGCGCACTGTATGGGACCCCCTTCGTGCCCTCAAGAGTCTCAAGGCTAATGGCGAGAAGTTGCTTATCACTACCAAACTTGGCGACTCTGAGAAAGGTATTGCGCATGACGATGTTGAAGACTCAGACGAAGAATATGCGCCCGCTGCGTACTATGATAATGACGATGAAGAAGATCTTGGCGTTCTGGGCTTAACTTTCCCCAAATCGCGATCATCCTTTGGATACGCCCTATCAAAGGACGATTCTCCTCAATATGAGTCCATGACAGCGTCACCAGCCACACCAACTGCAAAAGGCATGACCATGAATTTGACTGATAAGATTATACAAGAGGCAGCTGATAGAAGAGCCAACACAGACTTTGCTCTACACGAGGCAGCCACATCTTTAGTCAAAAGTACCGAAGAGGATGACGATAGGTATGCTATGTCACCTGTGATTGAAGAATTTCAAGGCAAGAATGTGTCTGCCACAGAGCTAGAGATGTCCTCAGGCGATCTATTCAAACGTCGTTCTAGCGTGGAAACTCCAATCAAGGATGTCCCTACCACACCTTCAGCGGCTGAAACCAAGGACGAACAACCACTGGACAAGCAAACGGCTGTCGATACTACGGAAAGTGCCGCGGAATCTCACCCAGTACAATATGACATAGTGCAAGCTGCTACCGAAAAGCTGAGGCAAATTGCCGGTGTTGATTGGGAGGCAGCTGCCAAGGAAGATTCTTCTAGAGATAATGATGTAAGCAATTGGGTATTCGCCCAGCAATACGAAGATGTCCCATCTGCACAGCAGACAGTTGCCGAAGAGCAGCCAAAGGATACCGTAACCAACGAACCGGAAGTACCATCTGTGCCTCATGACTCAACTCCAGAAGCACTAGCCATCGCAGAGGAGCCCGTTGACGAGATAAAGAAAGATCAGCAAAAGGATACCACAGTTCAAGTCGAACCAGCTCAAGTGGAGCCAGCTGAAGTCACACCACACACCACATCTGAAGATGATGTATTGACGAAAGAAGACCAACCAACTATCTCTTCAGATCTGCCAAAGCCGAGTGATGAGTCTGAAGTGCCAAAAGAGTCAACTGAACCAAGGATTGAAGCTGATGGAGCCAAGAGCGAAGCTCGCAAAGTCCCCGGACATCTCAGTTTCAAAGGCCATAATGTTGAAAATGTTCATACGGATGTCCATAGATACGATGATCTTAAAACACCAACACAAGCAACCTTTGTAAGCGGCATTCATCCTGATGTTCCTGTTAGCACCACAGAAACTACTTCAGAGTATTCTTCTGAGGGCGAACAGTCATTACCAGAAGATATCAAGAAGAATCTAGTAGATACGGTTGAGCATTTGGTGAGAAAAGTTGAGGCTGGTGAACCTAGCACATCTGATTTTTTGCAAGGAACGGACAAGACGCAACTTATGGAACGCGAGACCTCAATGTCAAACCGAGATGCCCAAGCCTTGTCTGAAGAGGAAATCACATCTTATATCCATCGACCTACCGTTCATCCACCTCAAGCTCCTGCTACGTCAACAGATCCTATCACTAGCATGCCAGCACATACAGAGTATACCGAAAGAGATGAGGATGATGATGACCTTTCGGATACCCAGTATTTGTCGGCAACTGAAGGGGATCATCACAGTGAGAGCGGTACAAGTGTGGATTGGTTCTCAGTACGATCATCCAACGCTTCTGAGCATTCTGACTATGAAGACGATCAACGTGTACCAGCAACCCACCAAGAGTTTCTACGTCAATTTGGAGGATTCCCTCAATTAAATAATGAAATGTCATCACTGGATAGTTGGACGCACAGCGAAGAAAACAATGCAGAAAGCCATTCTGTAAACCAGCCTACTGAATCCATCACTCCGGACGATGCCTCGGACCGCACACCATAATTACCATACTGAATTCTTTTAATTTGAGTTGTTATTTTCCTTTTACTTCATAAGCCATTCCATTCATCCACTTCATTCCACACGCAAAAGATTTACCTATTGACTACCCAGCACATCACATTACCATGTTATTTCACGTAATGAGTCCCCCGTTTTTCCCTTCTCTTTGTTCAAGTTCCAAAAATAAAAATCTTTATGTTGTTATGGGCTTTATTCTTTTTGTTTCCCTTGATAATGTCTTGTATATGCAAAGCTTTCTAAAGTTCATCATGGACGTCCTCTACGGGTTTTTCAGACGAGGATTGCTCATTCTTGGATTCTTCGTCCTTCTTAGCTTCTTCTTGAGTCTCGTTCTTCTTATTGCTCTCCTTCTTCTTGGTGACCTTTGGCTTCTTCTTTGCAGTCAACTTGCGGAGGGCAGCTTCAACGTCCTTCATCTTCTTTTGAATTTCGCGTGTTGTAAGAACAGGGTCGACATGAGGTGCAAGCGCTTGTTGTTCTCCTAATTTCTTTGTCTTCCATTCCTTCACCTCCTCTACCACAGTGGTGGCATTGGTAAGTTCCTCTTCACTGTGATATCTGTCGGTTTCATTCATATTGAAAATGGTTTCAATGAAAATTTGAGCGGCTTCTATGCCCTTGTCCAGCAAAGACAAATGTTCGTCACGCTTCAGATGTTCTGTGCGGCGATAGGTGATAGGCCGTTCGAGAAGCCTGCGAAAGAAAATGCGGGTCAGCTAACATACAAAAGCCAGAAGAAGAAAAAAGAAACCAGTAAGACATACTGTAGTTTGCGAAGTCTTTCGACATAAGCTGGTGTATCAGCGTTCTCTCCTTCTTCATAAAGCCATTCAGATGCGGCGGAAAGATGTTCGCGAAGGTTTTCTCTGTCCTCTTCAGTGGAAACCAATTCAACGGTGTCGTCGTAAAGGAAGTCTTGGATTCTGTACACGAAGGCTTCCAAGTGGTTACGGGATTCTTCACGAGCCTTACGCTTAGCATCACTTTCATCCAAAGTTGTGATTCTATATAGGAAAAATGACAATCCTTCAGTCTACCATGCCAACATAGCTACTTGTGTCAGCAAGCACTTACCTAGCGGAGGCCATCTTCTTTTGCTCGGGAGAGAGAGGAGAAACACCTCTAGGGATCCAATCGACCTTAAGGTTGACCTTCTCAGACTTCTTTGTTTGATTCTGGGTAGCGTTAGCTCCTTCCTTGGTATCGGTGCCATTGGTTGTCTCATTGTTTTGCTTTTCAGTTTCGTTGTTGGTAGCTTCATCTTTGGTCTCATCTGACTTTTCAGATTCATCTAGTTTTTCATCTTTATCCTCTGCAGATTCCTTGTTGTCCTTAGATCCAAAGAATGACTTGACTTTATCTAATGGTGTAGTTAGATATCAATGTTTCAACGACAGTCGTAATTTGGCCAAACAATATCTTACCAGCAATGGTGGCAGGCTTATCAGATGTAACGGAAACAGTGGCATCGGTGACGGAGAGGATACCAGAATCAGATAATTCGATGGACACCTTGACTTTAGGTTCTTCATCAGCGTTAGCTGCGTCTGCCTTATGCTCCTTCAAAGCTTGGGTCAAGCCTGAAATCTTCACAGTGGAAATGTGATCGAGACCAAGTTGTCTAAAGAAAGAGGAAGCGGTTAGGAAAAATTTGGCATGAGTACGCTGGCTTGCAAATCACAGTAGATGAACATGATTAACATACTTGTCTTCTTCAGTCAGAGTCTTGCCGTAGACAAGATCAAATTCAAAATCAGACATCTTCTTCATCTGAACAATTTTGCGGATTCCCATGGTGCCGTATTCGTTAAACAAAGTGGTACGAGATTGCTTTCCATCTACAGGCATTGCATTATAAGTGATATGATTTGTTTATGTATGGAAAGTAAGCAAGACATACCAGAATTTTCACTATCCTTGATAATTTGAATTGGGAGTGTAGTCACGTCCTTGATCTTGATTTCTTGAGTAAGTCTGAATTGGTTACTGATAGATGCTCCACGGAAAGCAGCGCCTGATACAAATCATGGTAAGTAATGTTGCCAGGCATCAGCATTTGTTAATTGTAAGTATGTTTACCTAATACGGCAGCTTCATCAGCGTTTACATTTTGAGCGACCTTGTCACTTTGATCATAGACGGAAATGAGTATCAACACGCTCAATCTGACCTGTATATATTGTAGCATTCACAGTTTACTTACCTTCCAATGGTCTTTTTCAAAATCTTTTGAACAGCAGGAACACGAACGCTACCACCAACAAGGACGAGAGAATTTACTTCAGACTACATAAAAACGAGGAGTTAATTCCAAGGTATTTCAATGGATCACAAAAATGAATCAAGTTTTCTCTTACAGTCTTCATCTTGGCAGCTTCCAAAACAGTCTTAATGGGAGTATCAACTCTAGCAAGCAAGTCCTTGCAAAGGTTTTCCAATTCAGAACGGGTAACCTTCATCTTGAAGTCCTGCTCCTCATGCAATCCCTCAACCTGAATAAACATAGATAAGAAAGTCAATTTTGAGAGTAACAATCTCATTGCAACACTATCAAAGTACGTACCGACGCCATTGTTTCAGTGTTGGCACTGAGAATCTGTTTAACTCGGTTGGCTTCCTTGAGCAATCGAGTCATAGCTCTTTCGGATTGGAAGATGCTTGATTCAACGATGTTCTTCTTCTGAGTCATAAAACCATCGGCCAAGAACTTTTGAAGTCTGACATCAAATTCATGACCCCCGAGAGTGGCATCATATCCGACTGCCTTCACTTCAATCTGAGGATAAGTCTTGTTACGCTTTCCTTCAGTGACTTCAACATTGGAAAACGATACGAGAGATGCAACAGTAGAACCAGCGCCCATGTCGTAGAAGATATGGTATTCAGGTGTGCTTGTGAATTTACGGTTGATGGCATAATTCAAGGCAACTAGACATATTGCAGATTGTAGAATTTAGTACAATGTAATGGTCTATTAGTCTCTCTGACAGTTGAATTACTCACCAGCGGTTTCATCGTGCATCAAAGCGAGAACGTTCAACCCAGCCAACTCGGCTGCATCCAAAATAGCTTGACGTTCAAACTGAGTTGCAAATGGAGTGACCTTAACAAGACCCAAGATACGTATTAACGCCATGCTGGAAGACTTATGATGCAACTCCGATTGAAGAGAAAATTTCGACTTACAGTGATAACAACATCCTTAACGGCCTCATTCGCATTTGCTGAAGCTTGTTCTTTTGCATTCTGGAACTGGAATGCAATGAGTTCTTCAACAGTGAATGTGGTATTCTGATCATGTTGGAATAAAGGAGTGCCGCGAAGAGGATCCTTGATCATATTGTTGACGAAACGGTTTCGGTATTCAGCACAGTGAGGATCATCGTATAATCTTCCAGCTAAGCTCTTTAGGTTGAAGTAAGTTGCTTGAGGAAATCTTCCAGCCTATCCAACGTGATCTGTGAGTGAAGGTTCCAAGAAGACTCGATCATTTCCTGTACGAAGCACTCGTGCACTTACCAAGTTAACAGCATCACCGCCATACATTCTATCGTTTCCACGAACACTAACTACGGCCTGAGTCTTACGCTTAGAATCCTTGTTCAATGCGATGTCCAGGGGAATACCAGGTTTGATGAGTCCAACTTTGAACCATTCCGTTCCATAATCAATGGACATGACAGCGGCCTGCACAGAGTGCCATAACCCAAGAAGGACCAGTAGCAGCACAGGTAGTAAGCGTAACTTTATCATAGCTTGTTTCTTACTAACAATGAGAGGGAAGGCAAGTCGACAGATGACAGGTCTTTTAATGGTGCACCTGCAATTGCCACGTCGCTGATGTGAAAACACAGTCACTAGGCACCAAAGCTCAGTCACAGCTCCAGCTGACTGTTGACCGAGTGCCATGTTGGATACTGCGACGAGTGAAGGTAGATTTGAAACCCACTGACCTGTAGTTAGTTACTGACTCATGGCTAAATCGTTGATTTCCAGATGATACCAATTTGCTCGTTACCATTGTGGACACCAATCCATTGGCATGGCAGCAGTCGGCCACTGCTAAGATTCCACTTTCACTAGACGACGCTATTCGACAGATCCTGATCTTCTTTAACGCACATATGGCTCTTAAGCATGATAACAAGGTAGCCGCGATCGCGAGTCATATTGGGCACTGGTGAGTAGCGATCCAATCGTAACTGAACACGATAATTTGTTACTCATGCAAATGATTGTATAGCAAATTTTTGTATCCAGTGACGGATGCGGAAACCCACCGACGACAAGCAAATCAATACAAGATCTCCAAGGACGCGAATGCTTATCCAAATTTCAAGGATGTTAATGATGATATAATCGAAAGCTTACGTAGCTTGATGCTAGATACAGACACTCCACAGAAGAATTTGAATGATGGTGGGTTGGATGAGAAATTGGAGGATTGGTCTGACAGTTATATTGATATCCGGTCTAGGTACATCCATGATTTCCGGTGCGCTTTCTATGGCGTTGTGCTGTGAGTTTTGCATTGTGGTCGATATTGAGTGTGAGCCAGCGACTAACCTATTTCAATAGACATTAATCGTATCATGAATCAAGATGATTTGGGACGCATCAAACCGAGAATTCTGGTACTCTCTGTATCTCCCGACTCTCCGTATCAATATATTTCGATCATGAACGCTGTTTTCTCGGCTCAAAAGATGGTATGCCTAAGATGGATGATTTTTTAAAGCGATGTTGAGGCACTAATCTTCGTCTTGGTAGTCTATCCCAATCGATGTTTGCAAAGTATATGGCGGAGAAGTTGCATTTTTACAACAGGCATCACATATTACAGGAGGTGTATACCTTGATGTTGAGAACCCTCAAGCTCTACTTCAGTACCTTTTGGTAAGAAAATCTCTGGGCGGCTATATGTTGCTTGTAACAGATGCTAACCTCATTCCCAGTTCTCTTTTTTGCCAGAACGTTATGCTCGAAATTACCTTTGTCTACCGAATAAGGAGCAAGTAGACTTTCGTGCAGCATGCTTTTGTCATAAGCGTATCATTGACATTGGCTATGTCTGCTCAGTATGTCTATCAAGTAAGGATAATAGAAATTGTGATTCGTTTTATGTATGTAAAGCTCTGACATCGCCATTAGTCTTTTGTAGCTGGTCTCCAGTCTGCTCAACTTGCAGGTATGTGGAAGTCTATTGGATATGCTTTTAATTGATCTTATTCTAATTGTGCTTCTTTTTATCACCATATTAGAACTAAATTTGCGTTCAGAGCTCTACCTCCTTTGGCTGGCAAAGGACGACCTGCTATTTCACGAACGGCCTCACCAGCACCTTCGGCAGCCGCATCGCCAGGTTCAAGTTCTCCCATGTCTACTACTTAGCTGAACATTTGTACATATAAATTCAACAATTAAACTCTTTTAAAAAAAAGTCAAGAAAAAAAAAATGAAGCAGGTAGATACATAATCTTTTAATTGAGCTATATACTTGCAAGCTGTCAATAGCATCAGTTCATTTGCTTGCTTGGCCCAACAAGCATTCAGGGGAGGGGGGGGAACCCAAAAATTTCCCAAAAAATTGTAGCTGCCTCTTAACTGTTTGATTGGTGGACCAATTGCCAGCAGCAACTGATTAATTTCAACAAGCCGCCCGTTAACACAGTTCCTGTTCTCCTTGTGCTTTCTTTATTCATTCACCATGAGTCATCAACACGGGCCCAATTGCAACCACGATCACGAACACGAACAGACACAGCAAGTCCGTACAATTCAAGTGTCTGAGCCTTCCAAGGCACCTGCCGATGTCCACATCGCAGCCCAATTCTTAAAAGATCCAAAGAAGTCTGGCATGAAGCAACGATTTGGTGTGCTCAACGGAAAGCGATTTGAATACTTTAAAGGTAATTTTCACTCGTTTTCCTTGAAATGGACCATATGGTCATCATCCACATTGCTTCGCGACATCGTATCGCCTACACGATTGCATCTCTAAACGCGCACTCCGCCTCAATGGACTTTGTTATGAGATTCTGGAAGTTAGAGTGACTGTGCATATTCAACGTCTTATAGCGTATTGCGTAGATGACATAACATTGGGATGATAATGGATTTACCATGCCAACGTAACACAGTTTTTAACGATCATGGTTTCATCAATTTGTCTTATAGGAAAATCTGCCATCAATGCAATGCTCAAGGAGACTTATAACAAGAATACACCAAAAGGGAGAAGAGCCATCACTACTCGCGAAGAAGCACATCAACTTTTGCTGGATTTGGGTGTGAATGGATTTATTTTGCATGTCGACCGTGGAGAAAGTCCAGGTGGTAAAGGAACCCCAAGAGCACTGCAACCAAATCAACTCCAAGCCATCAATGAGGACTGGTATTATATGTGGATCTGGGAAGGATCGCAATTAAAATTGTATATAGGAGCCGCTGCCCTTGTGGCCACTGTTCTTGCTGCCGTCATGTTCCCTCTCTGGCCATCATTCCTGCGACTGGGTGTTTGGTACCTTAGTGTCGGTGTTCTCGGCCTCCTTGGCGTATTCTTTGGTATTGCTATCATTCGTCTTATTCTTTTTGTTCTCACCATGTTCACTCTGCCACCCGGTATTTGGCTTTTCCCCAACTTATTCGAAGATGTTGGTATCGTTGATAGTTTTATTCCATTCTGGGGCTGGGATGAACCAAAAAAGAAGAAGTCAAAGCCTGAAACTGAAACTGGCGCCGCAGAATCTTCTGTAACGGACACCACCACTAATGCAGCAGAAGCTGTCGTTGAAAAGGAAGATTAGCGACATAATATACATTTGTTTTTCTTACTTTGTTCCGTTCTCAAAATTCATCAAAATACATTCTATTCTATATATTACATAAGGGAGTCCTAGCTGCAAACGTGTATCAAACTCAGAAGCCAGGCCTGGATCAGCATCAATGGCTGCTCATGCTTCCTAATCATCTAGCATGTCTAGTAAGATTTTGAATACCCTGGATTGTAGCTTCTTGATCGCAGGGTCATTGGTGCTGGCTCGAAAAAATGGGACATTGAGCTATTGACTAGTTAGCATATCACTTATCACCAAACTGCGATGCGAGTCATAACCATGCATTACCTCTTTTAATCGCTCTTCCTGGCGCTTCTTTTGACGATCCATGTCTTTAATTATAGATTGATCAAATTTCTTCAGCTCGGTTGCAACGGTTTTTTCTACTGCCTGAAGATTACCGTTATCAGATAAGCTAAACCAAAGTCATTGTCTGTTAAGATAGTAGTACATACCTCCATTTCTTTTGTGACATCTATGCCAATTAACTCCCTACGGAAAGTGGTCAGAACATACGATATTTTGTTTCCCGCGTGGTCCATCCGTCTATCACAAACCTGGCCAATACATGGTCCTTTTCTACGTTCAGCCGTTTTATCATCTCCTCTCGTCGACGCCAAAGCTCCCTTTCTCTGTCATGCTAATTATATATCTGGCTTAATATAAGACATCTGAAAGTGATTCCTCGCGAGATAATAAAGTACCTGTTCCTGTTTCATCTTCCGTAAAACATCCAACAGATCGGCTTCCTTGGCCAATTTACTCAGTTTTACAAGTACCTCTGGAGTTATACTCTTTGCAGATTCTAAATTACTATCTTCCTCTTCGACTTTCTGATCCAGGTTGGTATTGCTCTGTGGGACGTCGGTTGTAGATGATCGTTGTTGAGCAAGATACTCAGATCGGACTTGACGTAGTACTTGTTGATCTAGCAGCGAAACGTCTATATTTGGTAGACTAAACATTGGAACCGTCGACGTTTGTTGTAGTATTTCTGCAGGCTGCAGAATGGTCAACTTTGTGTAAATACTAATTAGTTGATCAAACCTCGTACCTGCTGCTGAGTAGGTGGAAAATCGCCGTTCTATATTGACTAAAGTTAGAATGCCGTTTATATGAAGTAACTACATCTTTACGTGTAAATTCAACGAACAGATTGAGAGCTCGCTTGGGCTGCTTGAACCAGCTTGAGCAATTCTTCAGTCGAGAGAGACATGTCAGAAATGTTGCTGCCAACAGAAGGGCAAAATTTTCAAGTGGCGACAGCATGCCTCAACGCTGTCATACCAAATACCCCATTGTCTCACAAATCGTAGCTCTCGGCAGCCAATGGTCACGTAAAACCGTTTTAATTGTATTTTTCCATTAAATTGATAGTTACTTAAATAAAATGCAATCTAGGGCTCCTTTAGTGTCAATTATGCAATAATTATGCAATAGATACTCCTATGTATGCTTACAATTCACTCGAAATGAGCTATCTTTCGTTGATAGCTGGCATAAACAAATTCTTGAGCAGCTATCAGATGTCTCCTGAGTGCCTTTTGACTGATTTTGTGGACATTAAGCCAACCTGTCTGCTATTTACCTTAAGGTTATGAATGATGGCCACCATAATTACAATTCATCTGGTTTCTGCCAAAGTGCAACGCGACATTTTCCTTTCGTTTCTCGCCTTCTATCTCACTTGCTTTCAGTCAACAAGCTCCATCTTCCAAAACACGGTAAAGTTATTATGAAAAAGTTCAAGATGGATCAGTTATATTGTCTAGAAGCTCTTGAATGGAAATATGGCTGAAAGCGATTTTTAATTATGGGACATGGTTGAGTACAAGTAAAGTTGGGTGATCAATGGCGGAATGAGCTTCGTAAGGTCTCGGAGGCTTTTAAGCTTAAAGAGCCAGCTGATATTGCTCCACTCTTCTTCTTCATCTTGTTAAGCTCGCCAATAGCGGTTACAATCTCGGACATGTTGGTTTCCAGCACCATGCCGCCTTGCACGATTTCAGTAAGAATGTGATGAACCTATTAAAACAAAGAAAGGGACCATTGATTAATATGTACTTGAAGCGTACTGAAGCATTATCGTTAGCGCACCTCTTCAAAGTGGAAAATCTACGGAAAAGCATATTAGCGCAAGCAGACACGCGGAGAATGTAAGTTCGTAGTACTCACCAAGTCTAGTTCGCACACGTTTTCAAAGCATCTGTCCAAGCTCTCCACAAACACCTAGTGTCAAGAAATATTGTCAATGGGGTCAGAAACTGACATCATCTGGACAAACACCTAAGCCCGTTAATATACCTGAATTAGATCTAATATACCGAGCTCGCTTTCACTCTCGTCTACAACAAAAACAAAGTATAGAGTGGCATAGTGACGATAAATCACTCGAGTATCCTTTCCTCCAAGCAGCTTGCTACCTTCTAAAAAGTTGCACACGGTGTCGGGTCGTTTGGAGACCAATGAGAATATTTCCTCTATTAACGCTTGTTGGGTGGCGATGTCCTATTGCCAAACATTAGACATAACTTTTTTTCCCAAATGGGCGATTATTTCTGGTAGATCAACTTACAATCTGCTGGTAGAACTTGGAGAGCCGTGGCTTTCCATGGTTATTAAAGATCATTATTGATTTTATCATGATGGGAGAGCTTAAGAGACGAGTTTTGGCGCGGGCGGAGGTAGAATGAAGTGGCTAACCTCGCCGCAAAGGTAAATGGCAGTCTCGTGCGTCACTTGTTCCTCTTTCCATCAATCACTTTGGTAGCTAAGCATGGAGCTACACGGTGGATCTACACTTCGCCGTGGTGGTGGAGGTGGTCGGTCAAAGACATCAAAGACAATTAATCCTTTGGCTGTGTATGATTACGCATTACGTTGTGCCATCTTGGCGTCCCTCGAAGATTCCAGACAATCTCAGAAAGCGGACGAGGCTCAGAAATCGCGACAAGACAAACACAGCTCTGTTCATCTGGGAGATGTACTAGGCAACATAACCGAAAGGTTCTCGGAAGACAGTAAACCTGACAAACTCACTAAAGAAATTGTTCGTGGTCTACTCAAACGTATCGACGACATCATCAAGGGCAAGGATACGACTCGGCATGAATACCATGATCCCAAGTTTATTACTTCCCTTACGCTGTTTCAGCGTCCGTTACAACTTCAGAAATCTCGACCGATGGGAACTATCAACGATCTGGTTATTATTTTTTTGAAAACGAGTGAAGTCGAGCTCAAAAAAGATAACCCAAATCCAGCTGTTTGGGGTGAACATCTTACCCAATACATTGCGTGCTTCTCAGATTTGCTGAAAAAAACTATTCAAGAAGACGCTCCGTCTTCAGCTTCTCCGGAACTGCTGCAGGCGCTTTCAACATTTTCAGGTCCCAAGTCTGCTAGAAGTAACTCTGGTAACAAGCGCAGCACAATTGTCAATTCCCCTAACCCATCGCCTGGCAATGGGATTGAATCTCTGGAAAATGCGCCAATGGTACAGACAGTTCAGCACTTGTTCCAAGTCAGCGAGAAGGATCATCGGAAGAAGCTTCGTGAATTACAACCTATATGTACAGAATCCGTGAGTACCAGGGATACGATTTACCTTGCGTATTGGCTATTTCAAGTAACATTGTGATCTACAGACTTTGTTGGTGGATCTGAAAAAATGCATAAATAATGTACATACCAATCAGCCTTTCCCGGGGAGAAGAGAGGATTTCCCGTCGTCAGCTGTATGGGACAACTGGCAAAAGCGAGAAGTCAAGCAGCTGACAGAACTTATGAAATCTATGATGCTTATGAATCCCAACTTGTCATTGGGAAGCGAAACGGATGTCGGTTCATCCAACTTGTTAGCCAGTGGCCGTAGACCCTATTCTGGCGATGCTCATCATCGTCGCAGCTCTGATGTCTCTGAGCACCGAATGTCCATGTATGGTTCAAACGGTTTGGACGTTCATGAACCCCCTACTAGTCCAGTAAGTTCAATTGGTCAACGTTTGTTAGTCATGACATTTTGCCTCGCCATATTGACTCTTCATTGACTTAGCGCCCTGATGTTCCACAAAGCTCGTTTACGTTTATACCTAACGATCCTCGATCCTACTTCAAACTTTTGCTGAATATGTGCATTGACTTTGATAACAACGTCGTTCCTGAATCTGAGAGGGCAAAGACGAAAGTGCTATCAACGCAATCCGACGATTTGCTGAAGGAATGCTGGATGCGATGGAGATTATCTGCACCCTATCGTTCCATTTTATATCTTGAAACCGTCAAAGCTCGATTCGATAATGGCGAACTGGAATTTGATGATGTTAAAGATGCTATTAAAGGTGTTGACAAGGTCTTGAAGGAGGTAGATATCAGTAGCTGGGCTATTAATGATGTAAGTGTGGATTTCTCGCTAGCGATGAAGATTTGCAACGGATCGTCGGGTTTTTTTTTAACATATTGACCGGACTTTATAGCGCGAGAGCTTGGTTAGGGTGTTTGAAGGGCTCAATCATACGATACTACGCACTCTCGCAGACTCTGTCTCAGAATACTGGAAGATCAAGTAAGTTTACCAGAGCCATCCCTTGGGACGAAGTGTACCGATGCTGACGTTACATGCTTATAGCCCCGACTGGATTGACGATCTTGCCACTATGCTCGAACGCATCTATGAAAATCCTGTCTATGCTGAGGATCACCCCAACCCATATCGCGAGCTCGAGCAAATTGATGAGATAGTAGAGGTGGGTTGGTGCAAGGCACGATAGAAAGGCATACATGATAGATCATTGGTTTTCTAAACGGTTTCTTCCATCAGGGTGCAGCGGTTACCAGATGGGCTGACATTGTAAATGTTACTTACGACAAGCAAAGTGATGATTTGACAAATTTGTTGAATCTAGCCGACAAACTTAGCAAGGAACTTACTACCGTTGCCAAGAAATTCAAAGGTCCCATTATGGAGTAAGTGTTTTCTCTTAGACCTTACTGTCAAAAAAGATGTATGTTTTACGATGCTAATGTTTTTTCGACTCAGCCGCCTGTTTTTACCTGGAATAGTCATGACCAAACAAATGCCGTACTTTGCCCTGGAAATTGAAAATTGGGCACATTCGCCAGATGTTCATACTGTGCCGATCAAAGTCATTTTTGACTTATATCACAAAGTCTTGAAACTCAAGAACCTGTACGATCGGTTTGGCCCGAGGTAAGATCAATTATTTTACTATAGAGGTTACCAAATAGTTCGTCATTTTTACAGAACACTGAAAACCCATGTCTCAAATTTAACATCACAGCAAAAAGGCGGCGCTATTTAAGGTTGAATCGTGGTTTTTGCTCCATGTACGCAGGTGGCTAAAAACAACTGACGCCGAAACACCGGAATGGGTAAACAATGCTATCGTGCAAGACCAGGTATGTGTAACGGTCGATGTCAAAAGACATCAGATGTAGATAGTGTCTTTCAACTAAACGAACTCGTTTCATACAATAGTTCCAAAGAATCAACGAAACTACAGAGCACTCATCTTCAGTGGTGGATCTCTTCAGCATGTTCCATCAAGCAGTTGACTTTGTACAAGGACTGGAGTGGCCTAATGATAATCAGTACTTCCGCTTTATGACTGTCCTTTCCAAAGTCATTGGCAAAGCTCTGGAGCAATATACCACCACCCTAGAAACCATGTTCAGCGCAGACATGTATCCCAGAACGGAAGCTGAGAGTCAACTAAGTTATAGCGTCTCATTCTATAACCGTGCAAGATCACAATTAATTGGCGGGCGCATGCGTAAAGACACTGAACCGTTTGATTTTACTGCTCAGGTAAGACAGGACAGATGCATAATGAAAAATGTCTCTTCGATGAGAAGAAACTAACTAAACCAACCCAAAAAAAAAACTATCTATAGATGTGTGTCAAGTTGAATGATATTGAAGCTGCTAGAAGCAGACTTGACAAGTTGTATCAGATCATGGAAGCAGACGAAATTGCCAACGCGTTGAGAGAAAGCGGGATAACCACAGTTGAAAAAGTCGAGCAATCCAACTTTTTATACTCTATCAAGGTAGTCATGGCTGAAAACCTCAAGCCAATGGATGCCAATGGTTTGAGTGACCCTTATGTTGTTCTGGAAATTGATGGCAAGCAAGTGGCCAAGACTCGCACTGTTTACGAAACGTTGAATCCTAGATGGGACCAAATCTTTGATATACCACTCAACAATCAAACAGTTGAAGTCCTGGCCTTGGTCTTGGATGAAGACGTTCTTGGAGCTGATGAAGACTGCGGTGCTGCATGGTTTAAACTCTCACCGCAATATTTCGACGACTATCAGACTCACGAAATTATACTAAATCTTGATACCCAAGGAAAGATCGTCCTTCGCATTAGCATGGAAGGTGAAAAGGATGATATCCAATTTTGGTTTGGTAAAGCATTCCGCACGCTCAAGCGGGCAGAGAATGACACTGGTCGCTTGATTGTAGAAAGGGTATGTGTCTTCGTTTGTCTTTGCGCCTCTATCCATTTGCATACCTAACCCCTTGATTTACCGTTAACAGATGTCAGGTTTTATACATCAATGTTTATCAGACAAAGTGATGGCCAAGCTTCTAGGACGGGAAAGAGGGTTGTTCTCAGCCTTCAAGTCCAGCACCAAACCGATAGAACCAACATTACAAGATTGTGAAGAGTCCTTAGCCCCCCTCTTAGACTATTTTGAAAAGAATCTCAAAACTCTCAACGAGAATTTATCGGAAACGGCCATGCAGCTTGTCGTCTTGAAAATCTGGAAAGAGATTCTCTTAACGTTGGAAGGACTTTTACTACCTCCTCTATCAGATCAACCATCGGACAAGAAGCCACTGGATGAATATGAGATTCACGTTGTTTTCAAATGGCTGGAAGTAAGTTTTTTTTTGGGATGGATGCGTTTTACTTTGACTCTCAGAATATGCACTTTTATTAATATCGGACTGGGGCGCAGCTTCTCAAGGTTCTATTCAATGGTGGCGAGGATGGCGATGCTGTCCCTATAGATAAGCTGGAGAACTCGCAATACTATGCCCTACTGGCCATCAACGCATCGTATAACATGGAGACGGAGACTCTCATTTATGAATATCAAAACGTCCTTCGAAATCAAGGCGACATGAAGACCCGAGGCGGACGAAAAGCCGACCGCAGTAAAACAGTGTATCACTCAAGACACACCATCAAACAGAAGCGTCGTCCACCTTCCACCAAGAGGACAGTGGCACACGATATGCCCAGTAGTGAAACCATTCTTCGTATTTTACGAATGCGACCTGGTAAACATGTACGAGACTTCATCCATGCTGAGTTTGAAAAACGCAATCATCCTCCCCCTCCTCCCGTGTCTCAACAAGCCGCTAGCGATGATCAGCACTTGCTGCCTATGTTACCTGACGCTATGCTGACGCCATCCGATGAGTCTATGCAGCGCTTGTCATAAACATTATTCTATATCCTATTTTGATAGTTTTATCATCAGCTGAATAAACGATGCAAAACCTGAAATTCTCATTAGGAAGGAGTGAAAAAGTTTTAACCAGCATGAGATGAGATGAGATGGGCTGATGAAACAATGACGAATGCGCTAAGGTAGCCTGCAGCTTCTTGGACCAACCTGACTTCGCCATCCTACGCCACTAGTAGACCCGAGTCAGATCATTTTGACTTCCAACATTGAAACCCAATGCGGCGGTGAGTCCCTTAATTTTGTTTTGGAGGGAGAGATAGTCAAACTAATGGCTGGCTAAACCGATGCCGGTTGTGGGCCGGATTGAGATGTGAAGTTTCAATCTTACACTCAAGTTTGCAATGAGCAAAAAGAGGTTAAGAACAACGTCCGTTCATTATTGAAATGACAGCATAGTTGGAACAGACTTGACCGTGGCCCTGCCTGCTTTGCCAAATTTGAGAATATTTTTTTTTTTACTTCAAACTTAATTTTTTTTTTTTTTGTGATAAAATTTTTTCCTATAAGTAGGGCTCTACGCACGCTCCCAGTGCTCTTCGTTTTTTTAACCTCTCTTTTTCATTTTTTCCACTACTGAGATTGCCAACGTCTCCCATCCCTCACGACGGATTTACGTCAAGTGTCTCCACCAGGCTCTAGCCTCTTGAAATGTGGTATTTATCATCAAGATGTTGATATCTTGATGGTATACCCTCAAACCAAACGCGAAAAGGACGGGTTGAATAACCCTACGCCATCTTCTGTATTCTTGGCCAAGCATTCTCTAGGCTAAACCTCTAGTGCCCTTGCACTAAGGAACTCATCGTTCTGTGTCGGATCTTTCAGTATAGTTGTGATAATGTTGTCTGAGGACACCAACGATTTGCAATAACCCCAACTTTCATACTCATGGGGTGTTGCAGCTCTACTTTACAAGATCTTACAGTAGAGCTGTGATAATCGTTGGCGTCTCTCTTGTGTCTTCTCGTGTGGTTTGTTTATAGATTGTTTCTCTCTCTTCTGAACCTTGCCTTTGCTTTGTAATATTCCTCCTCTTGTTCATACCCTGTTTATAAAATGTTTTTAGACTCTCACCTCATATCACCTTTTGTTTTTTTTTTCTTCTTTCCTCTCTGTTTCTCTCTTTGTGCTTGCCCTGCTTTTGTTGACTTCGGTCCTATCATTGTTGAAGGAGACAGGGGCACTTTCCCTGACATGCCAACCCACCCATGGAGCTTCTGTATGAAAATAGAAGAGACCCGGGTGAATATTATGGCTATTTGTTTTTCATTTCATCATTTTGTCGTATCATCTTTGCCAAAATCTTATGTAATTAAATCACCTCCCCCAACTTGTATGTATTGATCCCGCCTCACATTCCTTTGATCATCATTTTTTATTGTACACTGTGAAATAAAAATTGAAAGCCCACCAACCTCTCCAAAAGGTGTCTGGGTCGCTCGCTCCCTAATGGCATGATACAAAGTGGCAGGCAGTAGTACTTTTTTGGTTTTTTTTTTTCATTTTCTGTCGAAAAAATGCAAATAAACGGATGATGATAATCGTATTCTGTTGAGCAATGTTTTCATTTTTCTTTCCTTTTGCTTTGATTTTTCTTTTGTCTGGTTCCATTATGATCATTATATAGGGCCGTATTCCTTCCAACATGGAAAGCGCATTATGGCGCAACCCATGTCTACGGGAAACTGAGTTTTTTAGGAATGGAAGGGGTGGGTTGGGTGAATCTAAGAATCATGTATTTGTTAGAAGCATCGCTTTCTTGTAATGGGCATGGTTTCTTTTACTTTGCAAAAGGTCTGGACCAGTGGGAAAAGAGCGGTGCTTCCGATTAGGTGATAAGTTTATTTCATCAAAGCTGAGGAGGCGGTGGGACAGCATGATAGTCATGTTCGTCATTGGGAGCAGTCGGAGGTGATTGTTCGCCTTGTTGAGCGCTATTTTCTGTGCCAGATGCGTAATACTGTGAGTAATCATATTGCCCGTACTGATCGTACTGACCATATTGATTGTATTGTCCGTATTGATTGTATTGTCCATATTGGCCATAACTACCATATTGATCATACTGTCCGTAACTCGCATAGGCATCAGCAGGGTACCCATTCCCACCAGTTGGCGGTGAACTCTGTGCTGCTCCATATTGTCCATACGGTGACTCTTGTGGATTGCTTGCTGGTGACTGCTCTACACTTTGATTGGTGCCCAATGGTGGTGTAGCGGAACCTTCGGCACCCGATGGCGGTGGCGGGGGAGGACCCGGAGGCAATGGCGGGTTTGCTGGAGGAGGAGGCGGTGGAGCACCATAGTGACCATGCTGATACCCATAACCCTAAACTCCATGTTAGTAACATAGTCCGCGAACATTTGGTATACATAAAACAAACACAAACCCCTGGAGGTGGACCGTGATGTCCATAAGATCCACGACCATATCCTCGATTGAACGGAGGGGGGTTTTGTTGAAACCGCTCCCATTCGGTTTTCACAGTACCAAGCAAATCCTCAGATAGCTTGGCTGCTTTGTCTAAACCGTCTTGTCTTGAGCATCTGAAGACAGTATATTACCATTAGCTTGTGTTGACATAGGGCACATATGGGGAGATAAAATGTCAAATAAAGATAGACTCACGTTATATGCATGTACAAAGGCTCATCAGCCTCGGTGCCTGTTCCAGACTCTACAAATCCAGATCCTCTACCTTTTAGTTGGACCCGAGCGCCTGTTTCGGTTTGGATATGCTTGACATATGAGCCCTGAGGGCCGATAATCTTTGCTCGGATGTTGAACCCGGGGGCTCCTTCAATACCAACAGGTACCTTGTGTTCCAGGAAAGTCCGCTAATAATAGTAGCAAAAATACTGGTTATAAGCATGTTCTATGTAGATCAGTTGCACACATTTCGTTTTAACTAACCTGAGGGGGAGGACGGGCAACAGGAGTGGGTGGGGTAGGCATGACACCTTGATCTATCATGTCCTGAAGTTTGGCCACCGCAGCGTCTAGTATTTCTTTGGAAGTGGCTGTCACATGAAGGTACAATGGAGGGTCTTTCTCCGTTACCAAGCTCTTGTCCGGATAATATTTTCCTCGAGTGGTCACATCTATGAAAAAGTGTGAGATATAAACATTGCCTCATTGTTCTTTCGGAGGATTGTATAAAAATCAAACATACCCGCTCCAGTTTCTTGTTGGATCATGGTTTGTGTGGCTCCTCGCGTTAGCATGTAGCGATTTTTTATGTCATTAATTGGTATGTCCTTGAAGAACTCTCCATCCGCACTATCACTGGCTTCTGTGCCTGTTTTCGCGTCTATACCCTTTTGTGCTAATAGGGCGCTGATTCGTGCGGCGGCTTCAGCTGTAACGACAGACCATCGAATTCACAAATTAGTATCGCGAAAAAAAAAAGGTAGAGAATTAGTAGTAATACTGGAATTGTAATTTCGTCACTTACAAGCTGCGGTGTTGGCATCGTTTGACGGGGCTGACGATGCGTTGTTGCCATTAGATATCTGATCGGCTTTGTTTTCCTCTAATTTTGCTGCTTTTACTGGCGCAGCTTGGTCGTCTAAATCCCAACGACGCTTCCTACAAAGAAACATGACTATTTAGCTAGTGAGCAGGAACGTGGCAATCTCCATCTTGTTCCTACTTTTTAGTTACGTCAGACATTGCAAGCTATCGACGGTTGTAATTTGCGCACTGTTTTTTTCTCTAGGGCCCTATTTTTTTATTAAATATACGCTGTTGGTGAGAGGAATTTCCATTTCCAAAGAGACTCGGCTGACATCACGACATATCACAAATCTGAACTTCGTTCATAAATTCTTATTTCTTTTTTCGTCAACCTGACCATTTTTACCAACTGTCTTTGTTTCCACGATACCACCAGCTGCGACCAAAGCATGGACGACGACGAGCTTTCGTTGCTGAATGAGTTCAACGAGATACTCCAATCTGAAGTATATGTCGATCTCGATCGGTTACGAAATGCAGCTCGTCATGGAATTCCAGCACAAGTCAGAGGGGTAAACCTCTAGATGATGCAAAATGTCCCACAGAGAAAGGAGAATGGCTCACATTTATGTTGCAATTGCTGCTATAGGACGTCTGGCAATATCTACTTGGAGTCCAACATGCCGATCGCTGTAGGTTACCCTCCGAACTTCCTCTCCCTACTTAGTGTTCTTTTTGCTTCTCCATCTACACCATCTTTGCCATATACGTAGCGCCATGGCTAATCGTCCTTACACTCTTTTCAACAGCGAAGGAACTGAGTTTTAGTAAGGCACGAGCTGAGGATTACAAGGCCCTTGAACACATAGATAATGAAAGCAGCAAGCGAGTGAAAGGAGAAATGGGTCGATATGCCCGAAGAGTCAACTTTTTCTCCGCAAAAGAGAATTGCGCAACTTTGGAGCATGTGGTAACTGCTTATCTTAACAACAATCGAGATGTTGACTACTACCCCGCCCTTGTCCCCATTTGCGCTCCCTTTGTTATTACTCTCAAAGAAGAGAGTGACGCATATTATTGCTTTGAACGTTTAATGAAACTTTTAGGCAAGTTGTCTAGAACCTTTTTTTTTTTCATCATCATCTTCAGCCACCGACGATGGACTGACATTTCTTTCTACTTGGGCAGATGAGCATTTTGCGGCCAATAGCATAAATGAACAAGTGGCCAACTTCATGACCCTCTTTAGATTCATTCTTCCGGATCTGTAAGTTCCTGGGCGGGTCATATGACTTTTATGAGCCATGTTTTTCTAAATCGTACTATCACAGCCATAGTTATTTTGAAGAAGAAGAAGTCGACCTTAATGAATGGGCAACATCTTGGCTGCAGTACCTGTTAGCCAAAGAGCTTACATTTGATAATCTAGTCCGATTATGGGGTAAGATGGTTGGGTAACATCGAGACGCCATGGTCAAACACCTGCTAAGCCATTTGAAACCTTAGATACCTACTTTTCATATCCTGACCCTATGGACCTGCATCCATATGTATGCTTAGGTATGGGATTCTTCACTATGATCCCCACATTCCAATGGCTAGCTAGCTCACTGACTATTCTGTTTTAGCTATCCTACGGACTACGAAAGAGAATTTGGAAGACCTCGAGCAATCCGAAATACGGACAATGTTAATGAGACTGCCAAATATGGACATCTCACGAGTAAGTTGCATTGCATGCCTTTGCGTCGATCACTTTTGACGCACGCTAACATTGAGCTAAAGATTATTGCCCAGGCACAAAACCTTCGCCATGAAACCATGGAAAGGCAGTTGTATGAAGACAATAATATGTAGTCTTGCACTGTTGAGTTGATTCTTTAACTGCTTTATTTCGTCTGTATGGCTGCTATCGTCTTGTAATTTCTTATAAGTTTGCTACCTCAGCATACCATTTCAGCTCTCATTATAAAAGGCTGTCGTTTATTGTAATTTTGAACACTTTCTTCTTTTCCTTTACCCAATTATAAAGGTGACTCGTATCAACGGGCGCTGCATGATTACAGTCCGATACGCACAAGAGCGAACTTCGGGCATACAATGGTGCCATTGATTGGTCCAACTAAATTGGCAAGCAGTCACAGCTGATTTTTTTTCGAGGATTTTTTGGTCGAAAATTCACCCTAGGTGGAGTTTTTGAAACATCAATTGAACTTCAGGTTCTTCACTTCGCTCTTAACTAATTCACAATGTGTGGCATTACCGCCCTCTTAATGGCTGACCCCAACGCCATGGCCGTCCCCGACCTGTTCGAAGCTCTTGGAATCCTCCAGCACCGTGGTCAGGTATGACTCTGTTCAAGTATCAGGATACGTCAAATATCAGCAACCAACTAACAGACTTCCTTTGTAGGACGCTGCTGGTATTGTTACTTGTGGTCAACGTGGCCGCTTGTATCAGTGCAAGGGAAATGGCATGGTTCGAGATGTCTTTGATGGCAAGCAACTTGCTAATCTTGTTGGCAGTCTCGGTGTTGGCCACGGTAAGTAGTGACGCTGATGGTTTCAAACTCACCACTCCCCAGATGGATAATCTGACTCATGTATGTCTGCCCACCTTTTATACAGTCCGTTACCCCACTGCTGGATCATCTTCCATGTCAGAGGCTCAGCCCTTCTACGTCAATTCCCCCTATGGTTTGGTTTTCGCTCATGTAAGTTGTGGGGAAACTCAGTGGTTCGTGGATGAATGACTCATAAAGTTTGGTTGCTTTAGAATGGAAACTTGATCAATGCTGCCGACCTTCGTCATGATTTGGATGCTCGCGCCCATCGTCATATTAATACTGAATCCGACTCTGAACTTTTGCTCAATGTCTTGGCTGACAATCTCCAACAAACTGGAAAATTCAGGTAAAGCTAAATTTTTTAATTGTTTATTTGCAGATCTATCATCTTGATCTCAACGGAGAAGGAGCCATTCACTCACCCATGTCGCATATTTAGAATCAACGAAGAAGATATCTTCAAAGCTATTAAGGATCTTTATGCTTCCTGCAAGGGTGGATATGCTTGCGTTGCCATGATTGCTGGTTTTGGTATCATTGGTTTCCGTGATCCTAATGGTATTCGTCCCATCATCTACGGTCGCCGAAAGTCAGAAACCGCTGAAGGTTTCGATTACATGTTCGCCTCCGAAAGTGTTGTCTTGGATGCTCTAGGTTTCACTGACCACGTTGACGTTGGTCCAGGTGAAGCCGTCATCATCACCCGTGATTCCGTGACCAGGAGAACTTTGGTGCAAGACGTTACCTTCTCCCCTTGTTTGTTCGAATACGTTTACTTTGCTCGTCAGGACAGTATTATTGACGGAATCTCTGTCTACAAGTCTCGTTTGGCTATGGGAGAAGCTTTGGCAGAGCAAGTTAAAACCTTCTTCAATGGCAACATTAACGACATTGATGTTATCATTCCCGTAAGTAAATGGAAAGCTATTGACCAGTACAACTGACACACATCCTAACGGTTCTACTAGGTCCCTGATACTGCCCGTGCAGCTGCCATCCAGACTTCTCAGGCTTTGAATATCCCTTATCGTGAAGGTTTCAACAAGAACCGATATGTTGGTCGTACCTTCATCATGCCCGGTCAACAAACACGTCGCAAAAACGTGCGAAGAAAGCTGAACGCTATGGCTTTGGAGTTCCATGACAAGAATGTTCTTTTGGTGGATGACTCTATTGTTAGAGGTACCACTTCCAAGGAGATCATTCAAATGGCTCGCGACGCCGGTGCCAAGAAAGTCTACTTTGCCTCCTGTGCACCAGCTATCCGATACCCCAACGTCTACGGTATTGATATGCCTTCTCGCTTTGAATTGGTTGCCTACAGCCGAAGCGACGAAGAGATTGCAGAAGAAATCGGTGCCGATGGCGTCATCTACCTTGGACTTCCCGAGCTTATCCATTCTGTCCAGAAGTTCCGCCCATCCATCGAGGTGTTTGATACATCTGTGTTCGACGGCAGCTACATTACTGGTGGAGTAGACGAGAACTACATGCGGCATTTGGAAGACTTGCGAAATGACTCTGTCAAGTCTCGCAATGATGTCGACTCTTCTGAGACCCTTGGTCTTCATAACCATTATTATGACTTTGCCAAATAGACCTGATGAACTTGGTTAAAACCGCCTTGCGTTGTTCATCAAACAAAAACATTCCTATAGAATCTCCTTGTCTGCCGTTGTAAACTTTTTATTCTTTTTGTTCTAACTGACCTTGAGAAAGCAAATTAAACCCGTTATAAATATTGAAACTGTGTGCTATAATTTGAGCGTCAATAGCAGAAAACAATCTGCATTAATCCCTTTTTAGATTTTGCGCGGCCAAAGATACGAATTTGGGCAGATCTTTTGCCGATCAGACACAATTTTAGATCATTGGATTAAATGCTGCGAGACAAGTCAATGCCATGATCCCATTTGTATACAAAATATTCAACACATGTAAGTAGAATGATGATAGACACAGAACGAACAAAATTTTTTATTTTCTAAAAATTTTTGAGTGGGGAGGATTCCTGTTCAAAGATGATGTAAAACAGAAAGAGTCGTGTCAGAAGTTGTAATTCTTCTAGGTCATAATGACCAGTCATTCGATATCATCTAAATGAAGGTATTTGTATAATGGACTTCACTCTTCTTGAAGCCATTGAATTGGGAAGCAGCACAAATGGTATAAGCGCCCATGTTCTGCCAGTATAACCAATCGCCAACATCGAGTTGAGGAAGGCTGGCTTGCTTGCTCAAACAATCAATCGAGTCACAAGTAGGTCCCCAAATGCTGCACTTGTAATCTTGCTCGATAGACCAATCGGCCTCAGCCATGAAGACATTGTCTTTTTGCAACACTAGAATTGCCACTGTCAGTCAACTTGAAATGCAATTGCCATCCAATATAGATCGAACGAAATCCAGTCATTAAAACATACCTTGTGCAACAGGCTCTTGATGATCAAAGATAATGCAGTTAAACGATCCATACATGCCGTCATTGACATAGTACATGTACTCAGGATGGTCATCACCACTCTCGCCGTGAAGCTCAGTAGCGTCGCGACCAACGGTGCGACGAGCAATAATATGGGCGCAGATAGTGAAAGCGGAGGATACGTAGTAACGTCCAGGTTCAGCAATGACACGAATGTTGCTAGGGAACATTTGATCAACAGCAGGACCAAGGATAGCAGCCACCTTTTCAAAAGTGATGCCATCTTGGACATCGGCACCCGGGAAACCGCCACCAACGTCCAATAAGGTGAAGTTGAATCCAAGCTCCTCTCCTTCGTCGAACACTTTACGAGCGCGGTAAACAGCATCACCGAATGCGTTGGCATCAAAGCAACCGCTACCGACGTGGAAGCTGAGAAAAAGCATTAGATGACATTACGTTTGGTGGATTTATTTAAAACGATCAACAGCAAGAATTCTTACCTAACCCCAATGACGTTGAGATCCAAGTCTCGGGCAAGTCTAAGAAGTCTGCCAGTAGTGGCAAGCGGAGCGCCAAACTTGAGGCCAAGCTGGCAAAGGGAGTTGGAATCGTCGGTTAAAATTCTGAGGACAAGCTCAGCGTCAGGGAAGAGAGCCTTGATCTTGTAAAGTTCTTCGGCGTTATCAAATGTCATCTTCTTGACATTTTGCTTTTGAGAGTAACGAATAAAAGATCGTTGCTTGCAGGGATTAGCATAGATGATTCGAGAAGGGTCAACGCCAAGGCTGAGGACTTGCTCAATTTCAGTCTTGCTAGCACAATCGAAACCAGTTCCAAGGGTGGCCAACATCTTGACAACCATAGGATCTGGATTACACTTGACAGCTACCAAACAAATAATGGTTAGGTGAAAGTAGAAGAAGTCGGTGGCAAAAACTGCGGCACATACCATAAAAAGGTTCGATTCTTGGTAAAAGAGCTTGCCATCTCAAGTGCTGGCGGTAGACTTCACCAAGATCTCCAACAAAAAAGGAGTTTTCTTCATCAGCTTCCCATCTGTCATCGTGAATAGAGTCAAGCTTTTCACGAATGACCTCATGAACGGGCTTATTGCTGATAGAGAGCGAGGATTCCATAGATGGAACAGTAGAATCAAAGTCGGGGTGCCTACCCTTTACGTCAGGCGGCATGACAGCAGTTTCAGCAACGGGGTGCATTGGTAGTTTTGAAAGTGGTTGGTAGCGTTTAGTCGGGACGTTTGGTCCGTATAGATAAGAATTAATTCGTGTCCGAAGGAACAAGTAGATTTAAATGATACTGAGAGTCGGTCTAAGCGGTCTCAGGCAAGCCAAGGTGGAAAACCTCGCCGCAAGATCAAACTTCTTAAGGTGGTGGTTTCTGAGGCCGTGATGGGCTTGTTCGGACTGATCAAAATATGACAGTCCGGGGTGTATAAGTTGAAAGTTGAGGAGTAAAGTTCACTGATGGCCGATGAGCAAACGATCGAAGCAGTGAATGAAAAGTTGGCTTTTAAATAAAAGGAATTCTAGTGTGCTTTTCGGAAGAAAGGCAGATGGGTTTTTGTTGAGAGAGGGGTATTTAGAAGATGAGGGTTTGTTAATGGGATACCAATAACAATGGCGACAGGAACAAGAGTACGTACTGATTTTTTTTTTAGGTATCGAAAAAAAATATAGAAATGGCAAGCCTAGAACAAGCCACCAGAAGTTCGTAGGGTTTAAAAATATCTCACTTGATCGTCATTTTTATATTGCGCGAATTTTTCATCCAACTGACAATCAATCTCGCTTGCGGCTATTTTGCGTTGTATTCACCTCTTGATGCGGCATTAAGTTGAGCTATGCTCCAATAACAACTTCGATTGGGAACAGAACCAATTTTGATGTGTCGTCCGTCGACAAAGAGCAACCTTCGGCAAGGAGTTGGAAATGACCATACTGTGACCCGCTGCACCGGCATGACCGATTCTCCGGGATATTAGAATCAATGGAGAGTGTGAAGATGATCTAGTCAGCGGCACAGCTGTGGTAGGATGGATATGGAATAGTAGTTACAGATTAGATAAACAGATGCAGATCGAGTGCGATATGGCTGTGTTAGCGGGCGCTTGTACGATGTAGTGGAAGCGTTTGCGTAAGCACACTGGTTCGCACAGGTCTATGCAGATTTTATTAAAGGAGAATCTATATTATGAGAAAGGCAGGATGGCGCATAATGATCGCCTGCAACACCATGTCATAAGCGTCAAAATACTTGAATCAACGAGATGCAAACGCATCCGAATTATTGCTACAAGTACACTTTCACCGTCAAGCAGCAAATGTGCTGGCGGATATTCTGAAAAGGGAAATGCAAACAAACGGACAAGCGCCCCAAGCAGGATCACCGATCGTGTACATACCTACTTCAGCAACTACACCCGAGATTATTGAAAGAATTTGCTGCAGTCAATGTTCAAACACTCGACATAGTACGGAATTCTTGATGCAAGTTGTGTCACTCTAGAGGTTGTGCAAGAGCTGCATAGATAGCCACGTCTACAACTTGTCCAGCTTCCATCACAAGGACATCCATGTGTGGCGACTACTGGTTAGACAATGGGAATTGCACCAAATGCAACCCGTTGCAGCAGATGAGATGTCGCTAGAGTAATTAGCAATCATATGTGCTAAGGTTCCCTCGGGGTTATTTACAAACATTCTTCTGAACCATCAGTGCATACACCGCGGCTAAAAGAAAAAAAAAGTCTGGTTCAAAATGGCTTCCGGCCATGAGATCCAATCAAGCCTTTGACCTTTTGACATTGTACTCAACCGTAGTCGAAAGGCTCAATGACTACATCCAAGTAGTGCCACCACAGCATATCAGCAAGTGACTCGCAAACGTATGAAGTATCTCTATAACGTATATTACAATTCTGCGATTCTTTCATCTACGTTGAACGCAGAACGGTCTAAACCTAATCAAGTCAATTACACTAAATTCGTCAGACAATTCCTCATCTAGTTCTTGTAAGGACTTTCTCTGTTAGCTGTATCATAGCTGAACGGGCATCAGAGGGAGGCAGCTGTGAAATTGCATTAATGGCGGCTTGGCAGTGGCTCTCAGCAAGGACCATTGTCTGCTTGAGACCATCACTCTTGTAAACCAGTGTACGAGCCTATTTTGAAAAAAGAAGAAAAAAAAGGGTCAGTACGTGAGGATCACCCGGTATCCCATAGTACGTATTTCATTACCAATTCAACGTCTCCTTCTTTGGAGAACTTGCGTTTGATGAGAGGACCCAGTTCAGAAAACTCTTCCCAGGCGAAAAGCACAGGAGCCGTAGCTAAGCCAAGCTCTAAATCTGCACCAGCAGGCTTACCCAAATCGGCAGCGGAAACTGTGAAATCCAACAAATCATCGACAAGCTAGCATTGACTGAATTTTTAGAAGACCCGCTTTTACCGTGTCATAGACATAAAAAATGTAAAAGAACTTACCTGGAATGCAAGACCAAGATTCTTGCCATAATCAAAGGCAATATTGCATACTTCTTTGGTACAACCACCCAATACAGCAGAAGATTTACAACTTTGAGCGATCAAACTACCAGTTTTCATGTAGGTTTTGTCCATATAGTAGTCAAAGGTACTAGTATTTGGTCGGTCGCTATCGGCATCCGACTGTGTGTTCTTGAGCTGCATGAACTCGCCTTCCACCAAGTTAGCAATACAAGTTGCCATGAGCTCAATGCACTCCGCGTTGCGAAGGCGTGCCAAGGCCAATGATGATCTTGCTAGTAAAAAGTCGCCTGCCAATACGGCCATCTTATTACCAAAGCTAGCGTTAGCTGAAGGTAAGTTACGACGGGACTCTGATTCATCAATAACATCATCGTGCAAAAGCGAAGCTGTGTGGATCATTTCACTAATCTCAGCCAGTCGTCTCTGCGTAGGTAAAATCGAGCATCCCTCAATTGTGACATAGGGTGTATAATGCATATCCTCCTGGAAGGTGTTGCTGGATGTTATGTTCTTTAATCCTGATGAAATGGGAGTGTCGATGATTTGGTAATGCTCCTCTGCAGCTACTGCATGTCGTTTTGGGGCAATACTAGTGGCCTGAGCCATGAGTAGTACCAAAAGTGGACGAATATGTTTTCCATCTGCACTAAAATAATGCTTGGCGATGGTATTAAGAAGAGGGTGTTGGCTTCCGAGTAGCTTTCCGATATTGCCCTTGAGATCCCACATGTCGCGTCCAACCAGCTTAACCGGGTCTATAATTCTATCGTTGCTCTTGTCGATGACCAACCCTTTCGCTTCCAGGACAGCCTGCGACCAAGTGGAAGCTTTGCCTGTGAAAGGCAACGTGTCTTCGGCGGGCTTCGTGATTTCCGACAGGGCAGAGGAATTGAATATAGTTGATCGTAGCACATTGAACTGTTGAGCAATCTTGCCAAATGGAGATCCAAACTCTTCCTTTGCCTCTGTAGCAGCTTTTGAGTTCGAGGCGGTCTGGTGCAGGTACCTTTGTCCAACTAACACCGTGCGATAGTTGTTTTTTAAGGAAGGATACAAGGAAGGTACCCTTTTGGCGGAATGCTTCAGAGCACAAAGCATTACTAACAACTCAATGTAGAAAGTGGTGGTTGGCGATAACGTTCAGTTTTGCTCGCAGGGTGTCAAAAATTCAAAATTTTGGGAACGCTGAATTTTCAGTGTAAGCCACCTAGAGCCAGGGGTAGTAGGCGAGCTGGGTGGCAAGTTGTGTTTTTTGTTCTCAAGTCTTGCCATCTATTATTATCCACACTACTGGTGACACTGTACGCCTACTCCATTGTCCTATTTACCGCTCGACTTCATTATGACATAATTCAAAGCAAGATTCTTTACACAGGGCACGATTATTTTGTATATGTGTACAGTTCTGCACTGGGCACTGAAATCTTTTTATTAATTTCTATTCACAGTCCATAATGTTGGTATCGCGAAGACTTTCCGTCATAGTTTTGATATCAACACCACTGTAATCGATGTCAAATGTTTCCTCGTACATGTGTTCGGCTGAAATGGTTGCCGCCAGTCTCGCAAAATCAATTTCCCCAATCGCGTCGGCAAATGCTTGATCATTTTCTTCCAGGGCAAGCGCTCGCTTGCCACCCATCGTGTTTGAAGCTTCCGAATCCAAATCCTCTTGGATACCTTTCAAAACCTCCATAGACTTTTCTCGAACTAAGCGCGCCGAGTCTTGAGCCTGTAGAGAGACGACAACACAATAAAAGTAGAGTGAGCTGTTATGATTCAGGCACATAGACGCTTTGTCGTTTAGGTCTTACCGATAGCAAAAGTAAATGATCTCCACCAAGTTCATAGAAATGTGTTTGTTGTTTGTCTTCATGTACGTGTCCCTTTTTGCTTCTTTCTCGTATGTGTATCTCCGTCTTCCATAACTGATGTAGTAGGTTGCACACCCGTAATCTAACCTCCCAATCCGTATCGTCCATGAGCATGGACATATCCGACGGGCTGGGACGAAGCGGCATGAGAAATCATTTGTTTTTCTTCTATGCTAAAAAATTTTAAATTTTACCTTAGTCCTTGAACATCGAAAAGATTCTCGTACGATTGGTTGTGTATTAAACATGACATTGCGTCCAAAACCGCCCGGCGAACCAGGGCTTCGGGATCATGTATTAAAGGTGGTAACATGGAATTTATATGCTTTGTAACCTCGTTGTTCTTGATAAATATCCATCCACTAGCATTGTTCATCATTTGCTACAAATTTTTTTTTGAAATAACCGAGAAGTTAGCTTATTCTGTTGCTGAAGAAAAGATAGTTCCTGATTTGTGCATTGAAAAACCCGCATATATACCTGTAAAGCATCCAGAGCAGCGGATCGTACATAAGCCTCGCCATCAACAATCTTTTCGATTACTTCTAGCGCCAAATTATTTTGTTGCGCAAATTGTACTCGCGCAGATATATGAGGCGCATCGTACAGACTGCCAATAAACGTTACAACCGAGTCCCGTGTATCCCATTCAGTGTCATATAGTCGCAGTAGCAATGCCTGTGTTACACTTTCCGAAATGTCCTGCCAAATTGTTTAGCTGTATGCCCACTGGTACATCAAGTCTGTAGTATATCGCTTACCTTCTGTAGCATGAAGCCACTAAATTGTGAATTACATAAAAAGGAGTCAAATGTTTCCAGTATCAACTTCACAGTTCGTCCGTCCACAACCGAGTCTTCCAGGAGTCCAACTAGAGTCATTAGAGTCTAGTCAAAGTGAATCCATTAGTCAATGATCAACATCGCCACCTGCGTCAATAACGCCTACCTTCTTAACTCCGTGGTCAGGAGTAATTGTGGTTGGAAGCTGACGTTGTCTCACTGACACGAGTAGTGGATGCAATTGAGATAACAAAGGTTTTAAAACTCTTTGGTCCATTGCGATACCCCTGCCCTCCAAGATATCCAACATAGTTTCCAAGGGGCTGACTTTCTGTAAGATTAGTTAGCATGGCGAATGACAACATATCGAGCATTTGGCTAACAACTTCTATCGGTGCTCACCACTATAACATCCGGAAATTCATGGACAATGGTGTGCAGAGGTTTGAATATCGCGATTATGAATACTTTTGTATTTGATTTAGCTCTATCGGACTCCCAAAGGTGCCATTGAAGCTGCAAATGGGTTGGTAAATTCAGTAGCTTGCATTATAGCCGACATGCCTTCATGGTTCGTCTCGCCTCATACTTACCGATGACATGTCTGTATTAGAGGCCATTTTCGCAAACAATGTTCTATTGGTTGCCCCTTGAAGAAGCTCGATGAAAAATTTACATAGATCCTCAACCTTCGGTAACGCTATCTCTGATGGTAGACGTCGAGCTAAGAGTAAAACGACCCTCATCATATCGAGCCCAGTCATGATGCCTTGGAATTCAGAGTTGTTGAGAAGTTGCTTGCCCTTGTCAACAAACGCATCACATGCTGTAAAATGCAATTGTTAGCATCGCATCATCCTAAAACAACTAGCGCTGTAGTTAGCGATATAGTACCTTGTGCCATTGCTTCAGTCTCTGAACTGCCTGGCTCTACCGGTATAGATAGGACCTTCGCAGGATTTGGGACCCACTCTATGACCTTTGACAGGATCTCTATTTTCCGACTACGGATAGTCTTGTCAGCATGATGTGGGTTTGAAAAGATGAGGCCAAGTATGTGGTATTCCTCGAGGTATTTGATTATGGCATTCGATCTGGTTGAAGCTATAACCCAGCATATTTCCAAAGTAGCGAATCTTTCGAAATCGTAAGTGCTGCCAATCGTCTTTAAACCATCATCACATTCTAACGTTTGCTGGATATAACTTGTTGGATTCATTAGTCTAAAAAGTTTTTCAGATGAGCTCACTAATGCTTGATCATGTTTTTCTTCGTCATAAGTGTTGCTTATTAGCACTTGATAAAAACGACAGGTACTGGCCACCAACTAATAGAATTTGATTAACGCAGGGCAATAATGCTACGTTAGCAGGCCCAACAGCTTACATAGAGATTCGCGTCTTTCAGGTAACTCATAATGGCTTTCTGAATTGGTTCATTGCCGGCCAACCTACAAATAAAAGTTAAGACAATGTATCTAGAACCCTACAAAACTCAATTGATGATATACCTACCATTGACAACCACTGGGGCAATGAATGAACCCATGACAGGCTTCCACGGATGCCACACGCAAAGACCCTTCCGATGCGCTGGAACATTGCACTACTTGCTTGAGAAGATCTTGATTGTTGTTTACCAATTTTTCAAACATGATCGGTTCCGTTTGGCTATCATGCAGAATAAGCTTTCCCAAAAATCGAAGACAAATAGCCTTTGTTCTCGGGTCCTGATAATCAGACACGCAAGTCTAAAGAAACCACTGATATTAGCACTTTACTCAAGGAGGGAATTTCTCAAATCTCGGTTTGGGATCTCACTTCTGTCAGAATGTCTAACACATTCCACGCATTGTACATAGCCACACCATGTGCTTCGCTATTGAGAAAACTGGACAAAAAGGACAAAACTTTCTCGTATATAGTGTCGTCGATAATGTCTTTCGACATGTGCGGTAGAGCATTCAGAATGTTGCGTGCCTTCTCTACGGGAGCGTCGTTCAGAGAGGTGGACATAACATAAAGCAATAAAGGAGGAACCTGATTTTCTTCATTGAATTTGCCACCACAACCAGTTTTGAACAGCCGTCTCACAACAAACACAATGTCCAGTCCACCGAAATATTCCTCATAATGAGCTTTGGCTCGAAAACAGTTTTGTTTTTTCTCGATGGTATATTGTAACATATCACATATCACATTTATTCAAAATTTCGGCCTTTCTCTGCATTTTTTGCTACGCTCTTTCATCGGTTTATGCAAAAGCGCCTTTCTACTAATTTGAATATATTGAGGCGGTGCATATGGTGGATAGTCGGTATTAATACTACACAGTATTCAGTATTGGATGTTCCTCAAAATTTGTGTGTTAATCATTAGGTCAAAAATTGAGTTGACTACATGTCGCACTTGGTAGTCAGCAAATCTAACTGCGTACTGGCCAATCTTACACAATAACGCGTAATTAGTCAAAGAAAATAGAACGCATTGCATCCTCATAATGAATATTTTTATTATAATTGCAATCTACAGAGCCTTCAGTAGTTAGCTGACAAACTGAAAGTGAGGCAACAGGAGATCGCTTGGTTTGCCCTTTGCTGCAAGGTGTAATGCAAACATCTCATCGTGGCCATCGTAACAGTATTTGATAAATAATAATATTACCACAATACTATAACGCAAGTTATTGTTTGAATGGGTACGGGCCGATGCAATGCAAAGTGCCAAATCGAATTTGAAGATGGCATCATATCTATGAGCTTTGAATTTAAAGACAACAATAATCAGACACCAGCTTTTGTTATTAAAAAATAACAATAAAAAGTGCTTCCGAGGGCAGGGCATGCACTGTTTAGAGTTGTATGAAAACCGAGGGCGGTTCACCATTGACAATCAAGCCTTTTATATTTTACCATTTCAATTTCGATTATTTTAAAAAAAAGAATCTGCTTTATCTTTCAGAACAGCAAACTTGTGAGCACATTTATGCTTTTTAATATTTTCAGCAGTTCTTTCGGCTCTACTAGCAAACAATACATATACGATTTTACGTGACAATGCCTTACTTCAGCTTGATGCGTAATCTAGCCCAAAGAAGAAACATTAATGTGATCTAAGCAAGATATTCGAAAAAAAAAATAACAAGGATCTAATAACAGCTTTCAATCTTTGATTTTATCAATGTTAATTAGCCAAGCAATCTTGACAGAGGAAAACCAAACAAGTTAAATTTCAAGACTTTTCAGAGCTGGAAAGGACAAATAGTCAGTGAATGGGAAAGGATAATTATAAACGCCTTCATACGACTAGGCGCTTACGGCGGAAGAAAATAGTTGAGATCTTCAATGAAAATATGCCTACAGTATAGAATAGAGACATGGATTATTCATTTCATCAATATTTTCCTTGTATGGGTCATTGGCAGCCCTAACACCCATCGATGAGTTATGTAGATATAACTTGATTGATGATTTTAATCAACAGCATCTTGTCTCAGCCGAAAGTGTAATAAACCGAGAAAATGTGTACCAATAATTAAAATCCATTTTCTGCAACCCAAACATGCATCTGCAGCTGGACAGAAAATATCGAATATACATTGCCGTCTGCGGACAGAAGTAGATTTAGAGATCGTTCTGACGGAATCGGTTGACTCAAGCGATATAAGATGTTCCAGAAACCACAGCCTTCAACTATTGTATCTCTAATTTTTGACAAGACGTAGCAGTGGAACTTTTACAATGAAGGCTTTTGTGCTCTAGATTTCCATTACATTTTCTTGGCTTAGTCTTTGCTGTGGGTTTAATATGTAGCATTGAATTTTCTAAATCACATTTCGAAATTAAAGCGCACCTGGCTTCACATTGACACATCACCCTGACCATACAAGTCTTGGGGTAGCTGCAGAGTCAGAATTTGAACGATGGGCAAAAATCAGTGAGATCCGATTCTACGACCGGCCAGCGAAAAGACAGCTGCTGAATTCAATCACCACCCAAGCTGAACCAAATATCCTTTTCCAGCCCACGAATTTCCCTGCTTTATAGAGATCATGGTTTCGAGCGATCAGTCTCAATTTTCAATCGCCTCTTTCGATCTTCGCGTATAATCCTCTCTTCTTCAGGCAAACATGTGTAGCACAAAACCACATGCGAGAAAAATGGCGACGAGCACGCCAGCATGATATATCCAGATACCCATGGTATTTATTCAAGTGGATTTCCAAGAGATGAGATCCGCAGTGTCAAAGCGCAAATGATGTATTTACGATCAAAGTTATTCTTTTCTGTTTTGTACAATATCATTCAATAATCGTCATCATCTTCTTCATCGTCATATGTCGCGGCCGGTCGTGGTCGGCTTTCGTAACCTTCCTCTTGTTCTTCTTCCTCATCACCGCGTGCTCTTCTAGAACTTCCTCTATCCTTATTTACGTTCTCGCAGGCATCGATCCAGGCTGAATAAACATCCACGGCTTCATCCAGATAGGTAATAGGGCATTGCCATGACACATCGCAGACTTTACAGGAAAGATGTCCGACTTTGTTTTGGTGGTCACTAGGTGTAAAGTTAGTAGCTGTAACATATGGGCTGACAGTAATATGATAGGATTCAGAAACTGCTTACATTTTGCACTCTATACTCTTCTCATGATTGCAGAACAAACAGTTGAATTGTTTGTCCAGTTCAGCCTTCAGCTTTTTGACGGGCTTTCTCTTTGACTTACGCTTTCCCTGAATGAAAACAATGGGTATTAGTGATTGATCAAACGGTATCCAGGTTGAGATTCAGATGCGTACCATTGGAGAATAAAGAAAGTGCAGGAAACGGAAAAATCGCCCATAAACGAATGCCACTTTGAAATACAGTAAAAATGGGACAGCGTTTTTTTTTTTGAGTTTCGAATCCCCACCGAGTTTTAGCCCTCAGCACCACACATCAGTATGCCATTTGTGTTCAAAGATCCAGCGGCAGGATCGCGATCAACGGCACCAACATCTGATTCCCCAACGGAATCTCCTCTCGATACCCAGAGCATTTCGTCATTACTGGAAAATACAAGTCTAACACCCGGTTACAAGCAGCCGGACGTGCACAAGTTGGACAAATCCCCGCTAGGCAGTCGAACGAGAGAGCAAACGCAAGAGGAGAGACGGAAAAAGGCGCTCCAGCTGCAAAAGCGCAGTCGACAGAATCAAATTGAATACGCTCGACGGCTCGCTTTTGAAAAAGTAACAGTGGATGTCAGTCAAGAAGAGAGTGACGATGAGGGCGGAACCGAGGCAGCTGATATCGTGGATGATGATATGGGTGAAGGCGTCAAGGGTAAATCAAAGCAACGTAGAACGAAAAAAATGAAAAAGCAGGATGCCTACCGGTTAGCTTATCTTTTTCTATCAGCCAGCCATGACTTATACCATCCTATTAACTTCTCATCTCAGTGATCAAGTCATGTTTGCAGAATGGTTGATAGATATGCCAGAAGACCTGTTTGAAAATTGGTGTGTAGTTCCTTGTCCGGTTGGTAAGCGCTGTCTGGTCATATCGGCGAATGGTAGGTCGTTATGATTGTAAAGACATATGAAGTAGGCTGAGCGACAGCGGCTAACGCCACATTACCAGGGCAAACCACAGCAAGGCTCAGGAGCGGACGAGTTCTCAATAAGTTCGAGTCGATTCTTCCGGCAGGATCGTCCACTTACAAAGGGAACAAGGTTACGGACTACTGTATATTAGATTGCATCTTTGATCCAGTGCATTGGGTATTTTACGTCTTGGATATCATGTGCTGGAAAGGGCATCCAATTTACGACTGTGATACTGAGTTCAGGTGAATAGCGATGGTTGATAATGCTGATATTGCCACGTTTTATTGAATTTTGTTTTCGGGCTTGCTTTCTATAGATTCTTTTGGGTGGCTACTAAAATACAGGCTGACGAAATGGACGTGCCAAATGCTGGCAACCAATTTTACAAGTTTCAAGCCCTGCAGGCCGCATCAACCACCGAGCTTAAAAATGTTATTGCTAATCCTTACGCCTTTATGCCACCTAATGTCAAAGCCAACCTGGACGGATACTTGTTTTACAATCGTGAGACGCAGTATGTTGTGGGCACGACTCCTCTGGTATGCTGGCTATCAATAGATAAAGTACAGGAGCTACTGGTGGATAAAATTAGTGTGTAAATCACTATAAAAAACAACAAAACTGCATGCATTTCATATTGAAGTTAAGGAGAAAGCTGCGCATGGGCAATTTTATTTATCAAGTTTTGTACGGGAGGCGTACGACAGTGTTTTTTAGAGAGTTTTTTTTACAGTTTTTTTTGGGCTTATGAACAATTTTTTTTGGGTTAGAAAAAAAATAGTTATGAAACGTCGATAAAGAGGGGAGAGATGATAAGTAGGGGGAAGGGTTCAAATTGCGATTGCGCAAGCAAAAAGAGGACCACAGAGGCTGTGGTATGTTAAGGCATAGAAAAATCATTTCCAATGAACATAAAAAAGGAGTCAGAAATGTTGAAGAATGAGATATGTATCCAACATGTCATGGGGGGTTGTATGCGGAGTCTACATCCACCAGGAGTCATCATGCTGTGCAAATAGGTCTTCATCACCACTTGAGCGAGTTAAGTCATCTGTGTCCGAACCAAATGGATCGGCGTTGAAGTCACAGTCTCCTTCTTGATCAATGAGGTCAGACCAAGAGCCACAGCAAGCAGAGTCGTAAGAGAAACCAATATCTTTGAAAGCGTCCTTTGATTGAGGAATAGACACGGGTGAAACGGTGTCATAAGTACCATAGGCTTGGTCAGAATCATCTTCGTTGTCTTGAATAAGGAAGTGGTCAATCCTTTGGAACTCCTTCCAGACTTGTCGCATGGTAGGGCGATCCTCTGGATTGAGAGCAAGACATCTTTGTACCAGTTGTAAGAATTCGTCAGAAATGGATGGGAACAAGTCCTTGATCACCATATTATCTTGGGCGTATTCGGCAAAGACTGGATCAGATAAAGATGCTTCTTGCCATGGGTTACGACCAAAAAGAATAGCCAATACAAAGATACCAGTGCTCCAAACATCAGCGCTTGAGCAGGCATAGCCTTGAGCGGTAGGAGGATTGAAATGCTCTGGCGCAAGATAACTTGCAGAGCCACATCCATATTCATTGGAATATGCTTGTCGGGTGGCAAGACCGAAGTCGGCTAGCTTGAACTTGAAATCGCGAGAGATGTCGGGCATTTGCAATAGGACGTTCTCCAACTTGATGTCGCGGTGGTAGATTCCTTGGTCGTGCAAATAGACAAGAGCTTCGATGATTTGATTGCCAGCCATCTGAAGAAGGCTTTGGTCGTCATCAGACGTTCCTTTACCGGCATGAGCAACTGCGTAGTCAAAGAGATCACCTTGGTCGCAAAGCTCGAGTACAATATAGACAAAGTCATCATCTTCAATGGTTCTTTCCAATGCAACAATATTGTCATGTTTGAGATGCTGTTGGATTTCGATTTCGGCTCTTTGAAGAGTGAGCTGTTCAGCGTTGAGTCCAGATTTTGTGAGAACCTTAATGGCGTGGTAAGAACCAAACTCCACATGTTGACCAAGGAGTAGGCAGCCATAGGAACCAGTGCCGATTTCTTCAATGAGTCTATACGTTCCGCCAAGGATCGTATCCAGTTTACTTCCAGCGATAGAGTCCACGGTGTCGTTCATGATAGTAAATTTTTCTTTTTTAAAGTTTCCAAATGTCAAATTTGATTTTGGGGTGAGATACTTGTCGAGACAAATATAAGGGTTTTCAATAAAGTCGGATTGGATTTTGTTTTCTTGTTTGGAGGTCGATGCAAGCAAGAAATTTTTGGAGTTGAAATCGTCTGTTCAATAAGTATAGGAAGAAACAAATACTATGTACAAAGCAGAAAGGAAGCTAGACAGAAAAAAAGGGAAAAGAAAAACGCAGTATAATACAGAAGTTAAAAGAGGTTATGGCAAAGAAAAAAGAAAAAGGTTATGAGGAAAGAGTTGGAGTTTGTGGTAGGTGTTTTCGCAGATAGGCGGTGTCGGTTCAAAGTTTGAGATATCAACGAGATGTGAAGTGTGATTCAGAGATGTTGGGTAGAAAGGTAAATTTCATAATTTGGCTTGGGAATGGGGTTGTTGGGTAGACTTTTTTTAGCAGCTCATATTGAATAGTTGATGGGTTCAAAAGGTTACAAGGGGGTTGTTTTAAAAAAAAATAGAAGTGATGGTATAAAGGGAATAATTAAACAAGACGATGATCCAAGTAGACGATAATAAGAAAAAGAAGAGAGAGAGAAAGAATAAGCGATGGAAACTTGTGGATATAAAATGAACATTTTTTTCATGGGGAGTGGGAATGGGACCCCACCTCCCCCCACCAAGACAGGCGTGACCAGTGAGACGAGCCAATCAGAGACATTGCATCAAGACATTCTTAATCCGAGCAAGTTCCTCAATCCGTCATATGACTTGTTTCTGTTGCCTCCGCCCTGACGTTACTCAGACTGGCTATGGACCCAATAGCCATAACAGCTTCTTGTAAAGTTTGGCCAGTGTCTGATGGTGATGATGCGTTAATCAATGTTACATTGGGGAAATACCGTTGTCATGTGTTGGTTGTACTTACGATCAATGGAATTTAGGAAGCGTACGAGTTCTTTACCCAACTAATCAAACAGCCGGAAAAATATAAGGATTGAAGTAGTGAGAATTGCAATACAATTTGGTGGGTAAAAACAACAAACAACTCCTGTACCTCATAATTTCCAGCATCAATAGCGCTTTGCAACAGTAAAACCGTATCATGGCTTGCAACCGAGAGTGGTTCCAGGGTTTGAATTATGATCAAATATGAAGTGGCTGTCTTTAAGCGGTCCTCCCTTAAGCACAACTTTAAGTTGCCCAACCCACCCCCAAATCCAATGTTTAGAATCTGATGACTATTATTCTCATTTGACAGGTTTGCCCCTACCTCAAACAAGTCCTGCGGGTTACCGACAATGGAAAATAAATGCTCCCATAGTGCAACCTCAGTCTTACGGGCACAGCCGACGATGACATCCAGAGCATGTGGAAATTGATCCAAGAATTGAATAACGATAGGTAAAATGGCGCCTAAGTCGTCGTCACACATTTTTTTGAACAGGAGTTGTATAAGTATCATTCCCTGCATGAGGGGATAGAGCCATGTCAAATAAAACCGTCACCTTACCGCTCTCATGTTGATTAGGGCTATCGGCCTCTTTTTCAAGCACAGTGTGCAGTAATATCTCTAGTGCATGTCCGAAATACACTAATTTTTGGAATATCTTGGCAAATGTCACGGCATCTACTTCATAGCCGTGCGTAAGTAGATTTCGCAATATGTGGTGCAGGAATAAGTGAGTCTAAAAATTTTAGTGTACCGTACGGTAAGTAAATCAGCTCTTCTTCGTAAAAGTTGCAAGATATATCATGTGTTACCTTGGTTATCAACCTAAACTGCAAGAGACCCAAACTGGTCTGCAGAGTGATGTTCTGTTCAATGCCCACAACGATTCCTTTCTTGAGTAAGACCGCTATCATAGATACCAAACCTCCGTTATCACGCCATTTTTTTTTGAACATGTCATAGCAAAGCTGTTCAATGTCTACTTACATAATGGATAAAAGTCCAGTGGTATGTACACGGCCTCTTCGATGACAGTTTTAACATGATTAGTACGCCACCGTTTTACATCATCTGTGAAATAAGGTGCAGTTGCAACATGACCAGATGTAAGCGACCGTAATGAATAAGGTCTGTTTCCATCCGTCTCAGATGGGTGCTCAACGGGTGAATTGGGTTCTCGTAACACGTCGTCGTATTCAGACTCTTCACCCGTGATCAAATTTGTAAAGACCTACAACAACGCCCATGTTATTGACTTGGTGCTACCTTAAGGAGATATCCAAGTTTGTTTGACTAAACTGACCTTGATGCCTTTTCCATCCACCGCCCATATGGAAGTGTCCAGGTTTCCAAGCCGTTTCGATTGTGTCCAATAGTATTCGGCCCTCTCTGCCAGGACATCTAGTTCGTAATGTACGTCTCCTATACGGTCATCATCCAAGTCCTGTTGGGTAAAGGTAGTTCAATACGGTTTAGTACCTGCCTTAATGGGATACACGCACTTCCAGTGAAATTTTGCGAACAAATCACTTGACATTTGCACCAACTTACCTCCGTTTTGGGACTTAAGATTATCAGCTTGCCATCAACAAGTAGTACTAGCCTGGCATTCATGAGATCAGTTTCCGTCCCGATTTGACCTAAAGAACCCAACCTGTGGTCAGTGCAAGTACGCTGCTTTATTATGATTTCCATTGACTTACCTCCACACTTGGACTCGAGCAGGCTGATACTCCGCACTCTAGCAACTTGGGCAACCACACCAGACAGAGTTATATGCCTCATAAGTTCTGCGTGGAAAGCTCCTGCGCCATTTTCAGATCTGCTTGTCAAGCGATATATGCTTAAAACATTGTCCGACGTGTATACAAGGAGATACGACGCTGTAACACTCATATAGATCACTGGATGCTTCAATGGCAATTGATGTAGCATGTATGCGTTATCCAGGTTGGATTCTCGGGAATAAAACCGTAACTGAAAGGAACGTAATAGAAGTGAATATCACTGGTGCCTTTTCCTTTCAGTATATTGTTTCAACTTACGACATGATACCGGCTATGAAGACCGTTAGGGATTTCACATGCTGCAATCAGTACGTGTTTGAACCATGCAATGCCTCCACGTACATGGAACTCTTGTTCCTGTTGCTGGTTTCCAAACATTTTCCATCGTCCAGACAGGGTGCTGTAATGAGCTAAACCTCGTTTACCAGCAATGGCGATCCACTTGCCGTCAGGATCAATGGAAGCGTACTGTTGAAGGAAACGATCATGGGGTTAGCAATGGCTTGATCACTAAGCTAGCTGTCAAGCCGATGCAATACCAAAACTTCAACATACCCTGATCGGCCAATGTTCAGATATATACATTGTAGGAAACTGTAGATCTTTGGTTTAGAAATTATGCTATATCCGCGTCTTACTTTGAGGTCATTTACATACCGATATATGACTCCATGATACTGAGTCGGGGTCAATGGTAGTCGAACTTTCTTGATGGTCACCACCATTGTACAATAACAAACGATCGTCCATCTGCAGTAGTCCATTTTTAGCATTGTCCTGTAGGAAAATAAAATGGATTATTTGTATTGAATTGCATGATGCATGTGAGCATTAGGCTAAAACCTTACAGGACTGTGCATGAGTACAACGGCGGATTTTGCAAAAGGAAGACTGTACAGTTTGCTGTATTGCTTTGTACTCGGATCCGGTGATGATGATGGGTCTACTAAACTGCTTTTGGAGAGAATGAAGAGTGTTGTGTTGCCGGCCCCCCAGAACTAAGTCCATATCCTGTTAGTTAAAAACCACTACCTCCTGCGCTTTCGTCATTGAAACTTACCAGAAAATTCACATTGTGTGCAAAGATATCCTGAAAGGGACTATGGAAGGAAAGGGGTATGTATGGCAGACTTAATTTAGAGCCTTTGGAATCAAATGGAAAGATTTAGCAAGACACTTACGTATCTCTATCCTTGGTGATTGATGCAGAAGCGCTAGTATCCTCTGCATTCTCTGTAGAGCAGAGTAGATGACCATACACACTCCAAACCGCCAATCCGCGACCTTCATATCCTACCGCTAACGCATATCCATCACTTGTCCACGAAACCGTCTTCACCTCACCGTACGACTCGCTTTTAGGAGACGCTGTTGTCGGAGACCATTGCCTCGGTGATGAAAGATCCATCTTGTGCGAAAAAGTAGGTGTGGAGGTGTAGCTCTGAGCGGAGTAGACGAAGACATCGCCACTATAGGAGGTATCGGCATGATTAACACCAACGTCTAGCTTTTTCTGATCGCAATGTACCGCACATACCTTTTTGTTCCAATGGCAATCAGAGAGAAACGAGCATTGATCGATATAGACGTAGCGTGTTGTTCTTGAAGACTTTCATCGCCGGTATTATGGAAACATAATCCAGACCAAGAACTTTGTACTGAAAAGGATGGCATGATCGGAATAATGTCTTCATGCTCATGACTGCTTGTTCCTTTCTTTTCATCACCAGGTTTTCCCTCGTTCAGCGAAGCTCCGGTCTTGGCTGACTGCAATGATGAATTTCAAGGAAGATATAAGCAAACCAATTCTTAGTGGAAGTTGATACCTCCCCGGATGCTTGCCAATTCAGTACCTCTATTGCTTCCTTACTTCCTCTACGGGACCTTGAGTGGGACTTTAGACATTTCACAAAATGTGCGCGACCATCAGAAGTAATCCAGACTGAAATGTTCATGGCTTTGTTGTAGGTCATATATACAATGGCTTCATTTTTGCATAAGATTGTGTCAGATAGAATCACTGTTTCAGTATACACCCGGCCATATGCTGGTAACTCCAACCATTGCAAGCATGACGGCTATAGCAAGAAAATCACCTACATGTGTCTGGTCGTATCCATGCCATTTTTGACACCATATTTGTACCCGTTTGACTAACCTCCTGTGGGTTCCAAGAAACCCGCTGTACAGCTGTAGGCTTCATAGTTGTAATAATAAGACTGTCTTCAGAAGATGTCCCACTATGAAATGATGGTGAATACAGCCGAACGCATGTTGGGCAGCAACAGTATGAATTCATGTACATTACCATGATATACCAGCATCTATTCTAATAGCAAGGCGAAACTTGATGATCATAGTCTTTGGACCCTTGGCTTCTCCCGGGCCGTGAGTATATCCATGTGTACTTTGGGTGCTATTTAGCTGTAGCGAGGCATTCTCGAACGGGAGAATGACATATAACAACAGATACTGTTTGTCTGTCTAAGTTTGTATGGAAGAACAATGTAAGTATATCGAAATAAAACTTTCCCGCATTTAGATGTTTGCATACAATGGCAACAAAGGCGGTTGCATCTGGCTTCCATATTAACGAGACGTTTTTTCCAAAGTCTCGTACGTGAGCGGCCGAGCGCTCAACATGTGACAAAACTACTCTTGGCTAAACATAGTAGATCCAGTATATATTAGTATAGATAACATGCATTGAGTATCGTATCCAGTGCCTAGCTTTATAGCTGTCTACCTTGACTGACCAAAGCTGTATTGAGCTCTGAGTACACGATACAAAAAAGGCAGCTTGAGATGTTGGTTGAACAGCGACGATGTCAAGTGGTTGAGGGAAGACTGTGGTATCGGCAGACGTCGTTGTATCTTCTAAGTGGTCATAAGCATCCTTATTGCTACTACAATTTTGAAGAGATAATTCGTTTGCGAATCCAGTTGCCCAGTACATTGGTACACCAGATGCTCAAGCAGTGTCAGGTCGATCGCACTTGATGAAATTTGAATTGGAAGTCCGTGTGCTCAAAACGCTGTCCACAAATTGAACTGTAAGATTATTGCAACCGCGTACTACTATTCTGGCGAGCGAAGCAATGCAGTAAGACGCTAACTTCAGTATATTGGTATAATTCTCAGTGTTTATTAAGATTCTCCAATGACTCTAATTAGTTGATTCAGTCTCGCCCTAAAATGTCGAGCTTGTACATAGTAATTCTTCCAAAAAAGTCTGTGCTTTCTTCGAATATAAGTTTCAATCTTTGGACAGATTTTGGGCATTGTACATTAAATGACTGTGGCTGATTTACATCTTCAGGATATACTGTTCCCAGGTCCACATTATAGTTGTTCGGGGACTCAGCTTCACTAGCAGCTAGAACGCATTTTTTGCCAACAAATCCGCCTTGAAAGGTCATCCAAATAGACTCGATCTCCACTGAGCGGCCAAAATCGAGCAGAATATGTTGTGGGAGACCCTGTTTGACAAGTGAGCTGTACTCAGTATACATTTCTTATGTTGATCACTGTATTTTTTAAAGTGACCTTACCTGCTCAGAATTCCAACAAGTTTCTACGCTGTCGTCCGTAAGATGCTGCTTGCCATAGTTGGTTATGTCACGATTCAGCACTGAGCTTACTCTAAAAAAAGGTTAGCCGAGAGGACTATAGGTTTGCGTTTCTTTCTTGCCACTTACTTTAGTCTGGTCTCTGCAGAAATGAGGGATCTTGCTGTCATTCTCGATTTCAAAGTCGGCGAGACAACCACATCAAAGGTGCGGAAAATTGCCCCACCAAATTTAGCAAGTCACGCCTGGCGGCTGCAGACAATGTGAACCGTGCTTTCCGCTATCCTTCACCGTTCAACTATGACAAAATCAAGAAAGCGCGGCAATAGAACAAGCCGGCCACCAGCTGTACCAAATCGAGATCAGTACCAGAGATTAGATCAACCCAATGGCACAGAAGATTCACAAAATTCGGCAAGATCTACTCTTGGAAGGATATTCGGTAGAACACCTTCCGCAGATAGTCCTTCACAAGAACGCAACGTTTACTTTTCCTCACGGCCACAAGATGGAAATTATAGCCCTAGACAGCTGTCCCCATTATCGCCTAATACTGGTTCAGAGCAGCCTCCTACCGATCTTTTGATCGATATAGGTCCTCCACCCAGCAACACTATAGCCAACTATCTGAACGATGACCCATATAATTCTGATATTGATACCACGTCAAGACACACTTCAGTGGCGGAAGAAGATGTTTGTTTCCCGCAGCCGGATATCGAGAAGCACCAGGGAGAGACTGACTATAACGCTTTGGAAGAATTCTTGGATGAGGAAGGTGCCGTTCTATTTTCGTCACCCATCACCGACAGGTCCAATCGAAAGTCGTCACGAAACGTATTTACCGCAAGCCCGACAGAAACAAGCCCTCAAGGAGACAATGACATTAGAAAACGGCATAGGCGTTTGTCAACAGTTGGAGAGCGCCGATTTTCAATGTATGGTGATAGAGATAAGGTAAACATTTGGCAGTAGTAATTATATTGCATAATGACACCGTCATATGACATAGCATAACTTTTTTTTTTTTTCCACGCTTCTTCAGCATCTTGATGTCGATCAACAAGACAATAGCTATCGTGTTACATTTTATTCTCCCCACCTAAGCGCTACAATTCATGCTCGCACAATATCTGAAATACCCTCTAATGGCGAAACCTTAGTAAGCATGATGAAGAAAGGTCAATATTGGATTGATATATTGAATCCAACGGATATGGAGATGAAAGCCCTGAGCAAGGTAAAAAAGACATGTTCTTTGACCTTGTCACGACTTTTTTTTTCGTTTACTAAGTGTGCTATAGATCTTCCATATACATCCATTGACGACGGAAGATATCACAATGGAAGAATCAAGAGAGAAGTGCGAAGTGTTCAAAAACTATATCTTTGTTTGTTTTCGCTCTTTTGATGCCGATCAGTATTCTGTAAACTACCTGCAACCTATCGGTTTATATATTATTATGACAAGAGAGGCGATCTTAACGGTGAGTGTATGTCATTTTCTCAACGGGTCCCGTATACTTGTCTCTAATCCATCTGTTTCAAGTTTCACTATCGACCTATGATGCATCCACATAACGTTCGGAAACGCATCAAACAGCTGAAAGATTACATTAACGTCACACCAGGTAGTTACAGATGACTTGCATGTTGTATAATCGAACATCAGCTCAACAATGGATTTTCAGATTGGATCATGTATGCTCTTTTGGACGACATTACCGATACCTTTGCACCCCTCATCCGCGCTATAGAGTTTGAAGTGGATTCAATTGACGAACTCGTTCTCATTTTGAAGGAATCAGAACAGTCGGATATGCTTCGAAGAATTGGTTATTGCAGGAAACGAATGATGGGCCTTTTAAGGTTGCTAGTGTCCAAAGCTGACGTTGTAAAGACGATATTGAAACGAAGTGAAAGCCGTAATACTGACGGTCTTGGTCCTGCACTTTGCCCGGAAGTTGTTTTATACCTTGGAGATGTTCAAGGCAAGTTTTATAAACCAAATCGGCGCTCACCTTTATCATCTAAACTGACCAATGAAGCTCTATAGATCATATCATCACCATGCTTCAAAGTTTGAACCACTACGAAAAGATCAGTTCTCGGTCGCATAGCAATTACCTTGCCCAGATATCCATCGAAATGACTCAAACCAACAATGAAATCAACGATATTCTCTCCAAACTCACAGCTTTGGGTAGTATATTAGTGCCTATGAATCTTGTAACTGGTTTATGGGGTATGAACGTGCAAGTTCCTGGACAAAACGAGGTCAGTTCAACAAAACATTTAATGAATTTTTTGCTCATCTCATTCATACCATTCACTTTTGCATATATAGGAGGGATTAACTTGGTTCTTTTCTATTATGGGAGGTGAGATATCATCTATAAATCCAACTTACTCTTTATTATATTAACATGTTTTGTTTTTAAAGGTATTTTAACATTCTGTATTGCCAGCACAATCGTTATGAGAGCGTACAATATCATATAATACGTTTCGCTGTTGGATCTATGGAAGGAAGTCAAACGATCCAAAAAGAAGGTGAAATATAATGAGGGCGATAATAAATCTGATATTATTTTGTTGATGCAGATAGTGCATTGTGGTATATTAATAGGGCATGTTAGTAATGTAATGTTCTTCCGAATCAATGATACGTTGGAGCATCTCCTGCGTGAGAGTTCACGTGATACAAATGAGCGAAGTAAATTTGGGAATGTTTCTGCATTGAGCGCTCTCCCAGTTGCCAAACCCCTTTCTACCAACAGTCCCAATAAATCAGAACACTACCTTACCTTGAAGCATTGTCTCAACGACGTAAGCACTACGGATTCATATACATTGCACGTTGAAGGATCTTTGTAAAACAACATTGATTGACTTTGTCCACTGTTTACCTACAGCAATCGGGACAGTTCGTTCAAAATCACAGTTAGCTTGGTACACCGCACTCAACGGTTATGTTCGCAGACGATGAAGACTGCGATTGCCCGCTTTGCATGGAGGAGTTTGATCTCTCTGACCGAGGGTTCAGACCGTGCCCTTGTGGTTACCAGGTAACTATTGTTGGCAGCTGCGGTAGTAACCGTTTGCATGTCTCGAAATACTGCCTACCACGGTGGTTTCTGACCTGATCACTGCTTTCTAGATTTGCCGATTCTGCTGGCACCACATTAAAGAGAATCTGAATGGACGATGCCCCGCTTGCCGATCATTGTATAGTGAGCAGACCGTTCAGTTCGTTCCAATCAGTCAAGATGAAATAGCTCGCCTCAAGAAGGAAAAGAAGGTCAAAGACCGACGTCAGAAAGGAATGGAGTTGTCAAGCAGGAAACATCTTTCCAATACAAGAGTTGTGCAGAAGAATCTGATGTATGTTCTTGGCTTGACTGCAAAATATGCCAATGAAGAGGTAAAGTTGCATTGCCATGATAGCGATTTTGTTGTCACACGTATTGATAATTAGCACGCATTGTAGGCCGACCTGTTTCGCCAATTTGGCAAGGTTACAAAAATTGTAATTAGCAAAAGACACGGCTCGCAACCGGTATCTGAAGATGATGGGCAGTCAACTATTGGTATCTATGTAACATACAATCGGAAAGAAGACGCTGCAAAAGCTATCAACGGCTTAGACGGAATCACGAAAGATGGACATGTGTTAAGGTATGTTATCTTGGTTGTTATTTAGTTCACTCACGGTAAAGACCTAAACGATGTGCTTTAGAGCGTCTTACGGGACAACGAAATACTGTACATATTATTTGAGCCATATGCCCTGCCCAAATTCAAGCTGTATGTATCTACACGAACAAGGCGAAGAATCTGATAGTTACAACAAGGAAAATCTTTCGATCAAGTAGGTTTAGTCTAATTTGACTTAATGGACCTCTCTACGATTTCTACTAACGCACAGTTCTTGTTAAACTCATTAGCAAGCAGCAGTTGTCAGAGGTCCAGAAAAGTGCAAGTTCAGGCACGCCTCTCGCGACATCGAATGCTCGCAAACTTGGAGGAAAGGAAGCTCCATTGAAAGGACAGGTTCAAAAATCGAGTTCGGCCGACGCTACAGGTGATAAGCCTGTATTGCCTGCAAAGGCTCGCTGGGCAACATCGTGGACTACTACGCCTGAGGCCAAAGTTGATAGCGCTACTGATTCTGAGATCACGCCCGACAACTTTGGCCCATCTCTGACTGACGCTTTAACTTTACCACAAAAGCCAAAGCATTCGCCATCTTTGCCCAAGCGTAAGGAAAAGCGTATTCCAAGATCAAGCAAGGCTGTCCGTTTGGACATGATCGATGCGGTGATTCTTGCTCCAGCCTCAACAGCACCCACTTCCAGCAAACCTGAAGTTGTATCTGAAAATGAGAAGGAAGATATGGAGGTTTCGAAGGAAGAGGATGTCAAGATGACAGAAGATGCCAAGGTGGCAGTGGACGCGAAGGTGACCGAACTTCCAGCTCCTATTCCTCAAGCACCAAAGGCGCCGAAAGGCTGGGCTATTATTCCCACTGTCAAACCAGAAACTGCCAAACCACCTGCATTGGCTAAACTTGGTCAGATTCCACTTCCTGCTCGAGGAGAGAAGCGACCAGCTCGTGCAGACAACAGTAAGCGGAAGGAGAAGCGCCAAAACCAACAGCAAAAGACAGAGACGAAGGATCAATCGCCTGAAGGTTTACCAACTGCAACTCAGACGAAGGATACGAAAGAACCTACTCCTACCGAAAGTCACCAGGCTGCTGAAGAGCCCAAACAGGGAGATGCTGTCACTAATGCTGACACGATCTCGGAAAGTCAGCGTGAATCTTCCAATGTTCAACTTGATAGTGACACTGTGTTCACCGAGCAAGACGCTCTCAAAACTTCTGCTGATATCACTTCCGTGTCTGAAGTCACTCTAGATAAGGAGGACTCTGAAGTGTTATTGGAAGCCGATACCTTCATGGTTGAAGATAATGCGCACAACGAAGAACTTATGGCTGCAGAGATTGATGAAACGGTTGCTGCCCAATCCGACATGTTGCAAGACAGTCTAGCAGCTGAAGAAATGGCCGAAGACTTTGAAGAAGTTGAAGTGATTGAAGATGAAGATGATTTAGACGATGCCATTGCTATGGATCGCGAAAAGCTGAGGGATATGTATGGAAGCTCTGACTCGGAAGCTGACGACCAGTCTTCATATGAATTTGACGGGGAAGAGGACATTGCGAAGTTGTTATCTGATGAGGTTGATGAGGAATTTGATTTGCTCCAGTCGTACCCTGTTAAGGAAGAAGAAGTTCTAATGGCCGGCGACAACAGAAATCATCCAGAAAGGTTCGATGAAGGATCTAGTCATGCTGCTAATCAGCACGAAGGAATTAAGCCAATGAAGCTGCCACCTGGCCTAGGCTATCCCAGCATGAATCCCCCTATGACTCCGCCACCGTTTGGCTTTAGTCCAATGCACCATCAAACACTTCCGCCTTTTATACACCGTGGCTTCCCTCCTGGTTTGATGCCTCCACCTGGCATGTTACCTCGAGGCTATGACCCTTTCATGGGACAAGATGCAGAAATGATGATGGCGCGACGTTTGCAGCATTCACAGCAAATGATAGCTGCTCTGGGTATGATGAATTCTGGAGATCGATCCCGCGGTCCGCCCAACCTACCACCGCCTCCACCTATGTCTATGCCCATGCATGGACCACCCGGAGTGCTTCCCCAGCCACCTCATTTAGGTGATCATCCTGGCCCGATGTTTCACTCAGGTTCGCCCTCGCATGGACAACTGCATGCCCATCCAGCGCAAAATCCCTTTCATTCACCTTTTGGATATAGAGGAGATGCTCCATCGCCTTTACGCGATCATGCCATCCCACCGCCACAGCATAGTCCATACCACCAAGTAACACAAACTCAAGATATCCAACCTTTGCAACAGTCTTCATTGCCAGAGAACAATCAAGTTCGTTCTATGCAAGAAGGCTTCCGAGCCTTGTTACCCAATGTAAATATTAGCTTCGGGTCGTCGGCTGGTGGAAATAATGGAAACATACAAAACAAACAACAAGCCGTTGAGGAAATCAATCGATCCCGAGGTAGCTTCAGCGACAACATTGGCATGTATCAGAACGTGGGTCAAGCAGCAGCTGCATCTCCCCGTTTTCCATTGAACCAGTCGGCAAACGAGATGAATAACCTGGACCCTAGGAATCGCCATGATACAGCTCTTCCTCATATGCAGCAATCGGCACTTCAGTCTCCCACTGGCGCTCATCGTACACATAGCCCAAGTGTCCCCTTTGGTAGTCAGCAGCCTTTCCGTGGGAATCCGTCTGAAATGAATGATGTAGAAAACTCTGGCCAACGACAACAGCCATCTTATCCACCTGGATTTGGACCTCAGCAGCATTCCGTTACGGATATTTCTAATGACCTTAACAAATTGCAACTTAGCCCACCCGTAACTGATCATGGACGGTCGTCGATTTCATCGCAAGGAATAGGTGCATCGGAGCGGATGATGCCAAAGGATGAAGGCGGTAAAGACATCAGAGCAGAGGCTCAGGATTTCTTCGGAAACTTTTTGAAGCAGGCGGCCGCTCACCAGCAACCAGCAGAGAAGCCCAATGGTATGTCATTTGGTTCACATGGTACAAAAGTTTGTCGTTGTTAAGACAAATAACTAACAGTTTATTTCTATGATGAATTTTTAAAAACACTTTAGCAAACTCAAGTGCACCTTTCAATGATCCAGCCATTATGGCAGCCCGTGTTGCTTCGCCTCCGAACTCATCCACACAACCAAAGGTCTCTGAACCAATGCAGAGCCCTATACATACACATCAGTATCGTCCTTCGCCTCCGAATCACCTACAGGACCCTCAGCAAATGGATGTACAAGGCTATCAACAACAACCTCCTATGTTTAGTCCTCCACCTGGTCTGATGCCAAGCATGATGCAACCACCTTACATGTTCCGCAACAATATGTCAGGTCCTCCCGGCATGCCGCCGTCTTACATGCACGGTCCTCCGCAGCCTTTCCCCATGTTGCCTCCAGACATGCGTGGGCCGCCACCCGGTATGAGTCCAGAGGAACATCACCATAGATTGGAGCAGTTTATGCGGGCAAACCCTGGGTCGCAGTTGTAAAATTGCAGAGATAGTCTTTCCCTTTGTTGTTTCTATTAATCTGCATTTATTCCTTTTTTTTTTTTTACATCTTTTTTTTTGCGTTTTAATATGTGTTCTGTGTGTTGATTAGCTGGCAATGCAGTTCAGTGCAGCGTGTACAAAGTGTTTGTCTAAACGCGTCTGATCTTGTATCGCTTGGGTGGGTTACATAATGTACAAAAAATATGGACTTCAAAGCCAAATAAACTTGAATTGCCTCAAGTGAGTTTCTCTAACTCAGTAGTGTGCAATGGTTTCAATGAATAACATGAGATTCTATATTTTTTCTATTTCATTCCGAGTCCTCATCGCTATCCGGTCCATCCATGACGATGTCCGGCATATCCATGTTATCCTCGTCATCCGATCCGACCGCAGCCACCATGTTGATTGTCTTTTTGTCTGCTGGTGCCTGCGAAGGCTTGGGGGCAGCTTCGATGACGGTAGTTTGGGTTGTTTCGATAGACGTGGCATGGCGGGTGGCATGGTGATTTGACTTGTCGTTTACGGAAACCTCGGTGCGCACCTTCTTTGTCTCAACGTACTCAGTTTCAATCTCTTCGGGCTGTGACTTCGCTGTTAAAATAGGCGAAGGGGTTACAGCCGTGGCAGTTGGTGCCTTGGAAGTCTGTACTTCTTCGGGCTGTTCATGGTGTGCAGTGGATCTGGCTGGCTGAGGCTGGGGGACTTCAAAGGCCGGTTTCTTTGCAGCTGGGAACTTTTGGGAGATGCTTGACATCTCATCGGTGAAGGACTTGACTGGTTCCCGTGGGGCATATCCGTCCTCCATTTCGTGATCCTCGTTCGTCTTAGAAGCAACTTGGTTTTCTTGGAGTGATTTTTGATCCACTAGATTTCCAAGCCCAGGAATGTAGACAACGGCTGCAGCTTTAGATTCGGTTCTGGGTATAGGTGGGAGTCGAGAATGCATGACCAACTCGCAAACAGAGAGTGACTGTATGCAAATAACCCGGAGGCGATGAGACTGTGAATTGGCACCTGCAGAGAAGATGCGAAGTGCATGCGGGAGAGTACTAGCTTGGGTTTCGATGGGTTTCATGACGGATGCCAACAAACATTCGTAAAGCTTCTCGGTAACGCGCTCGTCGTTGCTGCTAGCTTTAGTTTGGTAACTATCATTCATAATGCGGGTAATTATCAAACTATCGATTGTGGAGCGCTGTTCGGCAGACAATGAAGATCCATATGTGATAAGAAGTGCTTGTAATACTGGATAAGACGGTGAGTGTCTTGCACGGATAGCATAGCTGTATATACATAAGGATTTACCAACCTTCAAGACCAGAGAAGAGCAAGGATAGTGGTGAGTCTTCCACTGTACCAAAAGCGATCTCATCAGAGTTCGTCAAATCTCTCTTTCTCTTTTTTCCTGAACCCTAATGTTATGATATAGGTGTGTGAGTATTGACTTTTGTCATTTGATAGGTGTAGTCCGATTCGAGTAAGCAACGCAGCACTAACCTTTGCATTTGTATGTTCAGCTGTAGGTTTAGCTACAGGAGCTGTTCTTTTCTTGGGCAAGCGCAGGTCTTCATATAAGATACCGAGTAGGGGCTTGCAGATCATCTCGCCGAATCCCACTCCAAACTTTTGCAAACACAACGTCAACACCTCATACAATGATGCCTTGAGCACACTATAAAATGATATAATGAGATGTGGATAAAGAGACTATCTTAGAAATCTAGATGTACTTACCGTTTGTGCTTGTTTTGCGACAATAACTGGAGTAATAAGGAAGAAAACAAACGAAGATAACGCAAGAGGCTGGTACCACAACTGAAAACACGGGTCCGTTAGAAGAGCTATCCTTTCACGAACTAATGACTGTTTCAAATTTGTCTTCGCCTTACCAATGGATCAATGTGGCAAATACTCTGTTCGCACTCAGTAATAACTTGTGAGTGCCAGCCATTAAGCAGTTGTATTCACCGTTGTCTTTGAAATCTCGCATCTATTCACAAGTGCAATCATAGTTAGATCCAATTCTTCTACAGTCTACCTGGCTAATAAAAAAAAAAAGCTTACCAAAGATCCGTTATTAACATTGTAGATGCGACAAAGATAGTCTACTATTTGAGCAACAGGGACGCTGACTGTTGCATGGGTTGAGGTACTGTGGATCTCGATTAGTACGGTCATAGCCAATTACTACAGTACTATAGTGCTAATGTGCCCACTCACGTTAAAGTCTTCACAAGTGCTTCGTTGATGGCTGACACTCTATTAAACAAGATAACGAATGCATCCTGGTATTCGGACATGACAGGTGGAAAGTCATACGCTGGTAAGCGATCCGAAACATTTGACTCTGTAGAAATTAATAAGAAAGAGAAACCGTCAGTAACGATGAGAATTTTTTTTAGTGTAGCGCTTTCTACGTTCATACCTTCATCGATGGTATCGAAGAGTCGGTCTAAAGAACGATTGGCTGTACCCAATAATCGCAGGGCGGTATTCCTCCACATCTCACCACGATTGGCAACTGTTGCTGTCAAGAATATGTTTGATAAACAGCTGGAAGCTTTTTCAGTAAGCTCAAATCGATTTTCAGATGAGCCATCCAAGAGCGACAGGCACAACTTTCGGCAATTATCAGCAGCAGGTCTTGAAGTTGTTGGAAAATGGGTGAAAGAAGACATGAAAGCCTCAAATATAGCAGGCTAAAGTCATTGTCAGAAAATTGTAAACATCTCTGTATCGTCATGGACCCATCCCAGAACACTTACTTACCAAAAGATCTCTATTTCCACTCAAATTTAGCAAGGTGTGATTGAACTTTGGTAAATTAGGCGAAGTGACTTCTCTTTGCACCTCTGGTTTATCCATGGTTTTCGCGAACAACAAAGTCAATGTTTTGATAGCGATATCGTGTACCGAAGTAGGCTCAGGTCGCTAACAGAAAATCAGGTTGGTTAGATACAGCACAACGTACGGATCTGAACAATGGGAGAGGAAATCAACGTACGTTCAGAATATTGAGGATATTGAGAACCCATGATGCAACGTTGGCGTGATAGAGTTTGCTAGACTGCTCACAGGTGGCTTTTATAAGCGAGATAGAAGCCCACCGAGCCGTGCTATTCTTTGAATGAAGCAGTGAATTCAAGCGAGTGATCCACTTGTGGAACTTTGACAAGTCGCTGGATTCATCGTCTAAGTACCGATTATGAGAAATGCTCTCGAGAACAAAAGGTAGGTTGCTCTCAATATGATTCTCATCCGCTAACTGTCCTAAAAGACCTTGGAGTTGGTCTTGATTCGCCATGGCTAGTTGATTAATACTGCACGCTTTGTAGTCGAACAATTGTACTGCAGCCAATTTTTTTTTTTCTTCAAAGGTAAAGTGGACTGCTTTTGGGCCCAAAGGGTTTTTGTGACAAAATGAAAGGTTCTTTATATTGCAATGATGCTTCTAATGTAATCTAATTGAAGTATTTATCCAAACTTTCACCCAAGTACGTCTCAATTTGAGCATTGACTTGGTGTACAAGCTTCTCGACGCGAGCATCATCGTCTTCCATGAGTTCGGCCAAGAAGGAAATGCTTTCGGCCAAGAACAAGAGCCACTCTTCTCCAAGGCGAGTGTACAATTCTTCCAAGCAGCGAAGGGCAGCCAGTCTGATTTCAGGATCATCTTCACGAGTCTTCATCAACACACCATGGTTAAGTGGTTTCCATAGAGCATCGTTAGACACTGTAACGGCCATCTGACCAACCAAAGGAACTTGGTAAGTGATCATGCGTGCGAGATAGTCCTCAGAGTCACCAGCGTCAGTGACCAACATTTGGCTCAAGACAGGTTGAAGAATCTTTTCAAACTTCTCAGCGTTCCAAAGATTGTCGCTGTCGTATAAGAATGATTTGCGAAGAGTGACCACGATGTAGTTCCAAAGATTGTTGGGTGTCTTGTCACCATCAGTGAAGAGGGTAAGACACTTGATGGTATAATCAATGACATATCCATAGTAAGGCGTGAAGATGCTCTGTGAAATAAATGCTTTAGTATATTTTCGATCATCGATGTAATGTACCCTTAGCAGTGACCTGCTTTGCTTACCTTCAGCTTCTCCAAAAGTCCATCCAAAAGCTTGTAGAAGAACAGGGCTCGGCATTCTTGATCGGCATCCAAAGCGTCATTGCCTTCTTGAGCAAGTTCAATGGTAGCCCAATCAAGCGTTTTCAAGAAGACTGGCTTGAACAAAGTCTCATTAAGCTTCATAACGAGGTTGATAAAAGCTTGAATGGATCGATCTTCCACTTCAGAAACGGATTCTCCTGAGAACTCCGATTGGTGCAATCGTCTAAAGTCAAATACCGACAAGAAGAACTTGAAGATTTGCTTATAGTTAGCGGTGATATCGTCGCGCGATATCGACTTGATGGCATTATCAACAAGATTCAAGAGGGCCAAGAGTGATTCCTTGCCATTCTTAATGCCGGCATCAAGGTATGCAAACACTGGGGTAAGCAAGACACGAGGGGCAACATTGCTAGCCATTTCATTCAACAAAGCGTTTGCCTTCTCACGAGTCAACTGTTGCTTCTCATCAGCGGTTTCATCATAGCTCTGGATGGTGTTGTGCAATGCCAAAGCCAACAGTCGTTGAACGTATGGGCTAATGAAGTGGGGCATGACATGAACGATGGTCTCCAGGGAGGTGATAGCACTGAGCTGAAGAAGAACATCGGGAGATTGGTCTTCAGTGGTAGCTTCAAGCATGTTAAGCACGATAGGCATAAACTTGGGAAGAGAAGGAATGGCGCGAGTTCCAGTTTCGTTGCTGCAAAAAGACATCCATCATTAGAATGTTATTATAAAGTATGCACGATAAAAAAAATAAATGATATATTTCTTACCAAATGAACGTCAGGCACACCAAACTTGGAATCTGCACCTTGGAGTTATTGGAGTTGAGGGCATTATCACCAATGATAATAGGCAGAACACCGGCGAATACTTCAGGACGAGATGAACCAAAATGGCGAGCAAGAACAGTAATACAGTCCAATGCGGTTTGCTTGCTAACGATTCCAGCATCATCGTTTGCGGTTTCAGAGTCAACGATGGAGGCAAATTGTGGCACAATTTCAACCAGCTCGTGGTGATGAATCTTAAGAGCCTTGCTGTTCATTTCTTCGACTCTGCTCTTGAACAGTTCCATGGCCTTTCTACGAATAACCACATCTTGATGCTTGATAAGATGGCTGATGGTATCCACGAACGCGGGAACGGGAAGAAGCAAGTTGATTCTGTCGAGCGTCTTGTATGCAACCTTTAAGGTTTCCTTCCATGACTTGACAATGCCGGGGGTGGCATCGCTGCTTGCAGAGTATTGAGACAAATACTGAGCGAAGTATTGAATAATCTGCAATACACTTTCGGCAGCCTTGGTATACTGTTGCTGCAAAGCAGTTTCAGCTTCAGGGTCGCTATGGTTAGTGCTGACAACCTTTTCGAGGAAAGGTCTTGAGCCAAGCAAATCGTAGCCAAACTGCAAGCATGCACGCTTGAACTGTCTCAATTGCTTTGCAGTGTGCTCATTAACGTTGAAGACAGCGGTGGCAGCCATTTCAACATCCTGTGGTTTGTCATTAGGCAAGGTCAGCAAGCTATCCATTAACAAGATAAGAGAGTGCAACTGAGTTTGCACGGAGAACTCGTGGGAAATGGCCAAACTGAACTCCTTGACCGACTCGGCTTCAGACGATCCCTTGTTGGAGCGGTCGAGATAGCGCTCGAGAACAAGAGAGATGATGGCATATAAGAATTCTTCTTCACCAAGAGTGTCAACCAAAGTTTTGAAAAGATGCAGTTGTCTATGCTCTGGAATATGAGACAAAGCGTCGACAAACACCTTGAGAATTGGCTTGACTTCCAACACCAATGAAGCTTCGCTCTGCTTGCGACTACGGCTGGAAGCAACCAAGGCAGGAAGGATCTTCTTCAAAGTCTGTTGAATGACTTGGAAACTGTAGTTATCGTCTTGGCGAAGAACATTGGCTCCCATAAAGGTGAAGACAGGCATGATGTTGTGAAGTACACTTTCGGCGTCCAAGGAAGCGATAGCAGCCATCAGCAACAAGGCAGAATTATGTGTTTGTGGGTTGTTAGTTGAGCGAATACACTGGACAACAAGGTGAACTTGAAGTTGTGAGGCAGCAGGCTGAATGTTTTGCTCTTCCATGGATTGAACAATCTTGGTCAAGGCAGTGAGGATCAACTGGTTGACGTATTCCAAAGAGACAGGGCTGTCACTCAAATTAGCACTGAGTAAAGCAGACAGCACGTCAAACAAAGACTTGGCAAGTTGAACGCCATTCTTGATGGTCTTGTATTCGAGAATCTCGAGAACAGTGACGAGGACAAACAAGTCTGACTCCACAGTCTCTTTGGAGGGGGATGCTTGTTTGCGAGACTTCTTTCCGTGGGGGGTTTCCGGTGGTCGCGAAAAGTCATTGATCTTTTGAGCAGTCTTTTGTAAAAAGGGTTCGATCAAAGTAACGTCAATTTCAATATCTCTGATGACTGACTTAACAGCCTTGATGTCACGCTGATCACTATCGGTAGCGATATCAACCATGACGGCAAACAGAGTTTCCTTAGCCTTTGCTGGTGCTGCTGAGAAGAACGGAGCAGTGATCTGTTGAAGAGCCATACGGCGAGTGGAGATTTCCCAAACATCATCATCGGTATCAACTTGCATGTTGTACTCATTCTTAAGCAAACTGCAGAACAAATTGAGAGACTTGTCGTTCTTAGCTGTACCCAGTTCAGGAGCAAACTCAGGTGTGAAGCATCGAATAAGTTCAGTAATGAGCTCAGTAGATTCCTTGGAGATAGATCGAGTCAAAGTACGTTCCAGCAAGTCAAGCAGGCTACTAATCTTCTTGGGAGATTGGACGAGGTTAAGCTCCTTCAAAAGAACAGTCTGTCCATAAATGGTGGGGTACTGGTCGATGCATGAGAGCAAGTACTCCAAAATACGGTTCATCTTGGTCTTCTTCTTAGCGGCTTGGCAGGCATCGAGGTATTCATTAAGGACAACAGTAACATAGTTAGCGTCTTCACCCAGTTCACGTCGCTTGTACCAAAGGTGGTCCACAAAATGACCAGCATCGGAGGGGCTGAGCTTGGCGATATGGGTCATGCTTGAGCCATAGACAGTAGCAGACACCTTATTCTTGGTTTCAGCACCGACAGCCTTCTGGTAAAACTTGTCGTTACCGATGGCACCCAAGTTCTCATACACAGCATGAAGTTTTCCCCAGCATACAACGGCCTCCTTTCTAACGGCAGTTGACTCGTGACCTAGAAGGACCAACAAACTGGGGACAAGTGCTTGGTAATCTAGCTTATCTTGAGCGTGAGCAGTAAGATACATGCTGGCGAGTTGAAGAGCGCGACCTTTGATGATAGGTGTGGCAACAGTATCATTTTCAGTCCAGATTCTTGCTAAAAATTCAAGCATGTTGCTCTTGAGATGAACAGACACCAACTTCTCCATGGCCAAAGTGTACAGTGTCGCGGTGGGGCTAGTAACAAGGATGCTGAAAAGAAGAGACAGAGTATGCTTGTATTCTTCAACTTCAGCATCGGCTTTGTGAGGTGAGGAAATATGACAGGCTTCCAACCAGTGTGTCTTCTCCTTGGGTACAGTCAAATGAGCAATAACGTTAATGAGTGAGAAAGTCTGCAACTCAAGTTGGGTTATGGTATTGCCCTTCTTAGCAGCAATGATATCCTGAACAAGTCGTTTAGGAGGTTGGCCGTTTGTCTCTGAAAGCAGGTCATCAACTTGAACGTTACTAATGTTGACGCTCTTAAGCGATAGCTCGTTCTTCTTAAGCGCTTGACTGAAAGACACCGCCAAACTATATTGAGGAACTAGCGAGGAGATGGTTAGAATACTGCAGATACGGAATCCAACTCATCCAAAAAAAGTTGGCTTATACACTTACGATGAGATAGCACGGAGATGCATTTATTCACCACAAGAATGGCAATAGCCCGCTCGTCAGCAAGGTCAGAGTCCACCATTCCAAGCCAGAAGCGTACATTATCTTCGGATCGATGCTTCTGCAGATTGTGAGCCAACAGGTCGACCAAGTCAGCGGTAATACCAATCTGCAACTTGGTGTCCTTCACATTCTGCCCTTTAATCTTTTCCTTGATATCACCAAAGCCAAGGAGCAATGTGTCCTTGTCCAAGGACGATCCTGAAACGAGGTGGAAGATGCTGTGTTCAGGGCTCAAATGTCTGATGGAGCTGAAAGTGTTTGCCAACACGATTCTGAGAATGTCGTCGCGAAGCGAGGGAGCAGCTTTGAGCAATGGACCAATCAAAAACTTGATGATCTTTCTCGAAACCTTATGGAGAACCTGGTGATTTCCAAGAATCGTCTGGATAGTAGCAAGAATCTTGGAAGGCTCGACATGCTTGATCAGGAAGTTGGGAATTTCATCAAAGACATATGACAAGAGAGTCATGTCGTCAACCAAGCAAGACATCAAGGCAGACTCAACGGTGTGCTGGGACTAAGGGAAATTCATGTGAGTATTTGACTATGTGCAAAACGTGTATACACTAATCGGAAGGACGACTTACTTGCTTCAGTGAGTTGACCTCATCATCAGCAATAGAAACAAGCTTTCTGACAGCCAACAAACGGACGGTAGCAGAAGGGCTCTGAAGAGATAGGTAAAGCGTGGTGTTCGTTTCCTTGATCACTTCATGGCCGGTTCCATGGAATGCAAGGTTGGAGAACTTGTAGAGATGGTTGGCAGCTTCTTGACCAGATTCGGTCTTATCTTGCGACAACTTCTTAAATCTACTGTTCAAGGCGGTGTCCAATGCTTCAAAATGACGTTGTGAAAGAGTTTGCAGAGCTGGAGCAACAGTCTCAACAAAAGCCTTGGCGTCTCCATCATCGTTGACATACTTGAGATATTCATCCATCATCTTGTCACAAACAAAGACAATGGTCTCCTTGGTTTGAAAGTCATTGTTAAGAAGGGCTGAAAGAAGATCAACGCGATCACGATGCTTGAAAGCACTCTCAATCATATTGAACAAAAGAGGGCGCATGTATGCATCAGCTGAATACTTGCTGCAGATACCGAGGAGAGCTTGATCAAAGTTTTTTGCGATGGCAAGAGCATTGTAGGATTTCTCAGGTAGCGAGGAGAAGTTTTCCTGCATTTGTGCAAGATGGACAGTGGCGAGAAGATAGTGTTCAAAGAACCTCGAGTTATAGTGAGCCGTCATTTCACCCAATAATTCCATCAAGGCTTCAGCATTGAACTGAATCTTGACAGCCAATTGCGAGAGAATCATGTAGGTTGCAATCTGGTACTCTGGAACCTTGGTTGCGCGTACTCCCTTCAAAAGATGTGGCATCAATGTCAGCATCGTGTTTTCGTCAAGTGAGTCCTCGCGTTTGATGTAGGCGATCAAAGTTGCGGCATAGAACGAAAACAAAGTCTTGAAGGACACATATTTGTCGACAGCATTGGCAGTCAGGTCGCAGATAAACTTGAGAATATATTTATCTGCTCTCATCTTCTTGACCAAAAGGTCGCGTTCGAAAGTAGCACGGCTGGTCTTGACAGGCTTAAGGAAAAGCCAAGGGGAGGCGTTTCTGTTCGGAGGAAACAATTAAAAGCATGTTTTTAAATGATGTAGCAGCATTGCGTATCCTACTTACTCGATGTCCAAAGTTGATACCATGGTGACAAAAGCTTTGGTTTCATGGTAAGGCAAAATGCACGCAATAATCGAATCAATGTTGAATACGTTGATGCGGAAACGTCTGATAAGCCATTCAAGAGCCTTTCCAGCTGGTTTGAGAAGGAAGTAGGGTGACAGCTGGGTGAGGAAGGTGTCGATACTAGCGTCCAATTTGTCGTTTTCTTCCTTAGACTACAATAGCATAAGCAAAAGCAAGTCAGTACGAAAAGGTCTAGTCCACACTATCCATCGTAACAATACCTACCAGCAAGACTCGGTCAACGCTCTTCATATTCTCGGAAAAGAGAGTTGTTTCGAAAGCCGAGAAGTGTGGATCGAGAATTCGAAGTTCCATAATACCATTGAGACCGATCGAGTAGATTGTCTCTAAATCTTGATCAGCGGCTTCTCTGGCATCAAACAAAAACGAGGAACGAAACTTCCTCGAGGTTTCTGTGACATTGCGCAAATCGGCAGTACCGATTTGCTTCAGCTGCTGTTCTAACGATGACATTAAGCTGAATCAGGTACCTTTGCGGTCTTGAAAACCTTTCAAACGCCTTTGAGGAGAAAAAAAAAAAAAGAAATGACAGTCCTTCTGCATCACATGCTTTGTATGAGCAATCTTCATTTTTGCCTTGGTTGAGAACGAAAAAAAGCAAAGGACGCCGAAACAGGCAAGGAATTGTTTTTTTTTGAGTACCCACACGTCGTCGCCTGGGTCCCGGACCTCACCACATCTTGAACACTTGTTTCTCCCCAAGAAACATGCTCTCTACCATCCAATAGCTGCTTGCTTTGGGTCCCAGAATAATTTAGGCTACTTTGTGACGAACCCGCTAAAAAATGGCCAGAGATGTAGTAGCAAACGTGTGGAATAAAGCAGTGTATTTTTAAACATCATCATGGTGTGAAAGAGCATTAGTCAATAAGAAGCGATCGTCCTGTGATCCTAAACGGAAGAAACGGGAGGAAAGCATTCACGTTCACTGAGGGTTTCTTTTTCTCGCAGCATTTTCCTTTTCTGGCTCTCAGGATGTCATGAAATCAATTCAAAAACTCTTTTGGTCTCGATAACAGTTCTTCCACTTTCCCAATGTATTCGAACTCTGAGCAACGGTCCTCAGTTCAAACCCAGTACACGGACAACTGCATATCCGACGACGACGACGTTGTGGATCCCCACAACCCCGTCATGCCCATTCGGCATTCATCGCCAGCCAACTTGGCACATATGTATAAATCGTCCCAGCAAGAGATAGAGAATAATCCATTGGACAAAAGTATGACCAGCAGCTTCTCGTCCTCCACTTTCTCGTCGTCGGCGTCCAAGCGGGACTCTATCTATTCCATAGCACGGTCATCCACTGTGGCGTCATCTATTAATGAACAAGCGGTAGCCAACGTTGACACTGAGAACCGAAATCGATGGTCTGGAGGATCATGGGCATCGATGGATGATATAGCGAGTAAGTAGACATCGTTTTCCTTGGGGAGGCAACACTAGATCGTTTGGATTTGGGTAACGGCAGGGCATTGAATAGTGCAGGGCCTGAGTAACACAGCCAAAAAGTTTCATACGCACGGATTAATTTGAGGATGTTTCATGGTCTAATCTTTTCCCTCCTCTTTATTTTTTTTTCTTTTATCTTTTTTTTTTACCCACTGTAGTGTCGCCGCAAAAGATGTCGCTTACACACCTCAAGACAGCCAGCGTCGCTCATCCTATTGTCACCAAGGTCACCGTGGATCCTGCCACGCAACCCGATATGCGACGATCTCCAGCGCCGAACCCTTCCATCATGTCAGTACTCAGTCCTAGACTCGAATCAGAAAGCTCGGCCTCACCAGTGCGGTATAATTCACCCGTACCGCATCCACTCGAACATGTTTCAAGAGATGATTATCATCCTAAGGCATATGCGCCTTCAACCACCGAGAGTATGACGTCGAGAAGTCCTAACGGCAGAAAGTCGTGGAGCAGCAACTCCTTTGATATGCCGGTCGCATTCTCTGGATGGTTACTGAGGCACAATGCCACTCATTTTACCTTCACGACACCTTGGAAGCGCTATTACTATGTCTTGTCAGAGCATGCTTTGCATGAATACAAAAGTGATAAGCCAGATTCCCCCCTTCGGGAGCAGTTTGATTTTTCGAAAGACACGCTTGTTTTCTTAAATGAAGGATTTCCTGGCAAACCTTTTGTGGTGGAGGTCCGTAAGCCTGGGCGTCGAATGTGCCTTCAATGTACGGACCTCGACACCATGAAGCAATGGATGAACAATCTTAAAAAATCCATTGCTCAAGTCAGGCGAAACGAGTACCTCAAGACCGTCGAAGAAGATACACAGACGAAATCATCGCCTCCTCCTCCTCGTCAGAGTAGCACCGATGTTACTGTGGTACACAATTCGCCAAACATAAATGAAGATATCAAAGACAACACCAAACCAGTTCATCTCACTCCGATCGACCCTCCTGTAGCGAAGACCATCGCTCGTTATCGTTCAAAGAGTGATCAGAGTTCCAACTCATCGCTGTCACACTTACCAAACAAGTCACTGGCCATACCACCACAACTTCCACCACCCTCACACTCACCTCCTCCCATACCGAATGTGTGAGAAAATCAAACCAGCATATTGTAAGGAAAAAGCAAAAGTGCCCAACCCGATCACTACACTTTGCATTTCCACAGCGTGATTTACATTATTATTATTTCCTTCCCTGTTATTTTTTTTTCACATTATCTTCTGTATAGCTTTTCTAAATTTTTTCCTGTATGTATGAGTACTGTATATTCTCATTGCACTTTGATGCGCCATTTATTTTGCTTTTTCCTCCTGCATTGTTGTCTTCTTGTATTCGTGGGCTCGGTTTCCTTACCAAGTCATGTCTTGTCATATGTCCACCATTTCTTTTTCAGGAGAATGTTCATAAAAGAAACTTGTTCGATGTTTGGAAAACACATATGTATATGTATAAACAAATCAGCAGATGCTTGTGTTATGATTTGTCCTTTGGCGATCTTCTATGATGCCTGCCGCCAAAGTGGATTTTAGCTAGTGGGCGCTGTTCACTTCTTCAAGCGGTCGTCTTGTCTGTGCGTCACTGCCGTTATCCTTCCCGCCAAATTGCAGCGTGTGAGCTATATTCTTATACGGTCGAAAGAGCACACTGAAGCTATGGGGAAGCGCTAGTTTAGCTTATGCATACCACAAGCAATAGCCACCCACTGCTATCCAACGAAAATAAACAAAGGTATAGCAGATTACGCCTGCGTTTGATAGAAAGTGGATACGATGCTCTTACTAACGTACAGTCCATCTGCATGTTGGCCAAGTTTCGAGGTCGATCAAGCATGTGGAGTCCTCTTTAAAGTTTGATCATTGACTACACGCACTTAAAGCTGTCTCTGAATTCTTGATCGATTGACCACCGGTGATTCGACCGTCTGAGCAGTAGCGGGCAATTGAGTCTGAACTTTGTCTGACTGCCCCACACTTGATAGACATTCTTAAACGCATGATGAATGCCCTTGTCACCGAAGCACACATCCTTGCACCTTGCTTTTCACACCAAAAGATCACTTGAAATAGTTAGAAGAAACAGATTCCTTTTTTATTTTGTATATACTGATGGGGAAACAAAGGGACATTCTAGTATACCCTCATAGAAGTTTGATATGTCAGGCGAATGAGGAGATTTACAACTTTGCGTCAGTGATGAAAGAAGCGCCCTTGACAATGTTACCCTTCAATTCAGGGAGAGCAGCTTCGAAGAGCTTCTTCTCAAAGTCGGAAAGGCTGCCAATGGCGTTAATCTTAGCAACACCCTCCTTGCCAAGTTCAACTTGAGCAGAGAAGTAAGCGACATCGTCACCAACAACTTGCTTGATAGCCTTGGCACCTTCAGCATCGGCTTCCAAGTTGACATATGTGCATTCAACAACGCCAGACTTGCCGTTGATGGCATCCAAAACGGCCAATGTGAAACGGGCGCCAGCGAAAGCCATGGACAAGGTTGCAGAACCAGTACCAGCCTTAGCCTTGACAACCTCATCACCACCGAATTGAATACGGTGAGTGACCTGTTCAACTTGCTCTTGAGTCAGCTTGTTGGTACCATCGACTTGAGAGAGGAGAGGAAGGATGGTGACACCACTGTGACCACCAACAACGGGGACCTTGAGCTGAGCAGGGTCAGCGCTGATCAACTCTGAGACGAAAGTAGAGGCGCGAACAATGTCGAGAGTGGTAACACCAAAGATCCTACAAGATAAACAATCGCAGATGAATTAGATTAGACGGCGTATGTAACGGCTGGCCAGCCAGCCAGGTTTTTATCTTTTGTCAACTTACTTCTTGGCATCATAGACACCGTGCTTCTTGAAGACTTCCGAGACGATGGGAACGGTAGAGTTAACGGGGTTGGAAATAACCAAGACGAAGGCCTTGGGTGCGTACTTGGCGACACCGACGGCAAGATCACGGATGATACCAGCGTTGATCTTGAAGAGATCGTCACGGGTCATACCAGGCTTGCGAGGGACACCAGCGGGAATGACAACTATAGTATGAGCATAGGTTAGTTAACAGAACGGTGAAAACGTAAAGCATAACGGCGTTTAGAGCATAAAAAAAAACTTTCTGTCTATTCGGGGAAATTTTCCCCAACTCAACTCAACCCAACCATTCTCCCCCACTGTCCCACACAGCTATCTCAACCAACCACAGGTGGGATGCGTGGCCCCCAAATTCTGTTTCACGCCAAGTTCTTCCACTGGAAAACAGCATGAAGTCTCCTACACAAAGAGTGAGCGTGTTCCAGTGGAAAGCTTGGGGTTTTCCAGGCGAAAGGGGGAAGGAGACTGGTTGGGTTTGCTACCGAGCAGGAACGATCATGAAGGAAGGGGTGCTGGAGAGCGAAAAAAAAAAAAAAGTATGCATACCGATAGTAGAGTCCTTGAGGGCCTCCTCCATCTGCTCATTGCCAACGTGGCCAGTAACCTTGGAAGCAGAGTTGATGTGGCTAGAAGAACAAAAGATTATCTTGGTCAGGCACGTAACGCTTCCTTAACAGCGACTGCATCCGACAAAAACGTACCTCAAGTCAGCAGCAACACCGGGAGTGTTGACAATATCAAACAAGCTCAAGTGAGAAATGAGAGGAGATTGCTTCAAGAGCAAAGAGAGGGGCTGACCAATACCACCGGCAGCACCGCAAACTACAGAGGGCGGACAAAAGGAAGTTTAGGATTAGATATCACAAGATGAGCTATGCGCCCACCCATGTAAGATGAGACTATCAACTTACCAGTAACTTTGACCATGATGTTATAGAATGTGAAAAGAGAAGAAAGATGAATGGTTCAGCCTGGAGGCAAACGTCCAAGTGTTTTATTACCGTGTGGTAGCGCGACGGGCTTTTGAGAAGTGGTCACGTTCACTGAGGACATTGGAAATCAATTTCATTGGCTGAGTGGCCGTTTTCTCTTACAGGTCTTCACATGGAATAAAGAAATTGTCGCACGCTTCGGCTTCCGGTCTTGTTTGAACTTCACGGAAGTCTTCGGGTCGTGCATCATTTCACATGAAGTGCCAAAAAAACCATATGAAGCAGTCAAGAAGGACATCTTTTTGCAAAGACGAATTTTCAATGTCAAAAATCAAGTTTCCTTTTTCTCGTCTCAATGGGTCCAGCACGTCGGGGCGTCAAATCATTGAAAATGGAAACGAATGTCACTGACATCAAGTTTACGGGTCGGGTTGCCCTGTATTTTTCGAGCTTTCCTTCAGTTGCTAATGACTTCAGCTCAGAATCTCACCAGCCATCGTGTGCTGATAGCCTCGCTGTTTCTTCCTTACACTGTTGACTTTCACTTGAGTAAAGACAAGGCACAGAACTATGCCAAACCCAAAGTTGATCAACCAACCGCCGCTGTAGCCAGTCCGAATTTGATTGAGACATTGGCTGCTCAACAAAAACCTTCTACTCGGCCACCTCCCACTCCTGGTTTGGAAGATAAACTGTTTGATTTTAGAAACGAGACCCCTTCTCAACCACCTATTCAACCCAAGAGTCGAGCTCGTCACGCTGGCGAAAAGGGAAAACTACCTGCATTGAATACAAGTCAACCAAAGGACTTGCAACGCCGAAAGTCCCTGGATACAGCTCGTGTTTTTGCAGAGGCTCCGTGGACCATTGTGCCTTGCAAAGCCGGTAATATTGGTCTGCAAAACGCTATCAACAGCATCAGGCCGCAAATGGAAAAACAAGTCTGGATCGGTACGCTCGGCATGCCTACTGAAACTCTGGAAGACAAGACTCGGGCTGACATTAAAACCAAGTTCATTACTGAACATAATTGCTATCCCGTTATGTGCCCTGATGCAGAGTTTGAAGGCCACTATGAGCATTATAGCAAACAGGTAATGTGCTCTCAAGCAAAACCCCAAATGTACCTATCGTCGGACGACTTCTAATATCGACTTTACCCGCTGCCCCAACATTTTTTTAATTTTCTTGCAGGTACTGTGGCCAAACTTCCATTACGTCATGTTGGAAAACCCCAAGAGCAAGGTTTACCAAGACGATACCTGGAAAGCCTACCAGACTCTCAATGAGCGCTTTGCAGATACCATTGCTGAAATGTATCAGCCTGGTGATACAAGTAAGTCATTGTAAATTTTTGATGTTACCTTTCACTTTTTTGTTTTTTGCTCACATGGGGTGAACATGGTTATAATTTTCTAGTTTGGGTAAATGACTACCACTTGATGCTTCTACCAGCGTTATTGCGACAGCGACTTCCTGATGCCATCATTGGATTTTTCTTGCACATACCATTCCCAAGTTCTGAAATTTTCAGATGCTTGCCAAGTAAGTGAAACAAATTTGTTACCTGGACGAAATGGAAAAATGACCACAAATATTGATGTGTTACTGTCATAGCTCGCAAGGAGTTGTTGGAAGGTGTACTCGAGTCAGATCTGATTGGCTTCCAGACTTATTCATTTGCTCGACATTTCCTCCAAACCTGTTCTCGTATACTGTCACTTGAAGCAACCCCTAGAGGTATTCAAATGGATTCGCATTATGTCAATATTGGTATTTTCCCTATTGGCATTGATATTGCTGGATTTAACGAGAAGAGAAGTCAGCCGGATGTGGGTCGATGGGTTGAGGTCCTGCAAGAAAAGTACGCGGGAAAGAAGATCATTGTTGCACGCGACAAATTGGATTCCATCAAGGGTGTGCGACAGAAAATGTTGGCTTTTGAGCAGTTCTTGACCAACCATCCGGAATGGCAAGGAAAGGTCATTTTGATCCAGGTTGCCTTATCGACCACCGAGCAGAATGAGTTACAAGCACATATCACCGACGTTGTGTCTCGAGTCAACTCCAAGTTCAGCAACATTGCCTACCAACCTATTGTCTTCTTGCATCAAGATATCTCATTTTCACAATATCTCGCACTGCTCACCACAGCAGATGCTGCTCTTATCACCCCTTTGAGAGATGGCATGAATTTGACCTCCCATGAATATGTTGCCTGCCAGCACGATAAGCATGGTCCACTGATTCTGAGTGAGGTAAGTGAAATCCCCAAAATTTTTAGAGCGATGTCCGTGCCAAGCCAAGCCCGACAAATGTAGCCTGTTTATATAAAACTCATTTTCCTATTATTCAGTTTACGGGAACTTACGGTACTTTCGGAGCTTGTCTTCGCGTCAATCCTTGGGACTACCGCCAGGTCAGTGATGCTATTCATGAAGCTCTGTCAATGAACGACGAAGAAAAATATAATCGATGGCAGGTGCGTATTAAATTATACTTTGTGTAACGAGCGAGCAAATTGGCTAGAAGCTGACATTTGTATGACAGTCATTGTACGATAATGTAGCCACAAACACAGGTAAGCCGTGTGCTTCACTTTGCACACTCAACATGTATGTTGTTTTTCTAAAAACGTATCCAATTAGCACAATACTGGGCTGCCAGTTTCATTGCTGAACTAGACAAGGTAGTGTGTTTGTCCCCACTGTAAACTCGTGTGTAGTCCAGTGCTCTTATCTATGCCAAATCGTCTCTAGGTCAAAGCTGATACATCACGACGATATTCTACACATATTCCTGTGCTAAATCCAACCACCTTCGGAGACACCTACGCCAAGACTAAAAAGCGACTGTACGTTGAATGAACTGTATTCCCTTACCATAACATATGGCTGTTGCTGATCCTGGTTTTTAGGTTCATGTTGGATTACGATGGCACACTTGCTGCATTTAACAAATCTCCACAATCTTTACCTTCACCACAACGCATTAACCAAGTCCTGCAGAAGCTCAGCCAAGATCCTAATAATACCGTCTATGTTTTAAGCGGGCAGTCCAAAGACAACATGAACATTAGATTGGGCAACATATCTACTATTGGAATGAGGTAAGAGGGATCTCCCTTGATGATTTTTCCCTGTCAACTGTTGAATAACCAACCTCGTGTACAGTGCTGAGAGCGGTGCATACATTAGACAACCTGGTGGTCAATGGGAAGACGTGTTTGACAACGTTGATGTGTCATGGAAACCTGCTGTTATGGAGGTAAGTGTAACCAAATAGCTATGTCCTCAGAAATGGTCTTTCAACTGACATTTCTTATCTTTCCCCTTTTTTTCTGAACAGATATTTGAATACTACACCGAACGTACTCCTGGGTCGTCGATCGAAAACAAGGATGTGTCCATTGTTTGGGTAAGTGCACTATGCAAGTTGAGCATAGTCAATTTCTACGTCATGCATTGCTGACATTTGTTCCCACTGTTCAGCACTTTGGCACTGCAGATCATCCGCAATTTGGGTAAGTCAGCTATGGTAATGAATGATACAACATCTAACACTACATGTATACTAAATAGAACATCGCTTTCTTTGTAGTGCTTGGTTGGCGGCAGAGTGCCAAAATCACATTATGGAGTCGATTGGTAAAAATACGACTGTTCACGCTATTGCTGGCAAGCAAAACATTGAGGTAAAAATCCTTAATATGATCAAGCTTGACAGGTTGTTTGCATGATGCTCACCAGCGATCATTAGGTCATTCCCCGCGATATCACAAAGGCAGCCGTTGCCGCTCGAATTCTTCAATCTGTGCAGCCTGATTTTGTTATGGCCATTGGCGATGATCGCGCAGACGAAGAGCTATTTGCGTATATCAATAAGCTCAATATACCAAATACCATTACTTGCACGGTTGGAGCCAAGAGCACAGAAGCCCTCTACTTTGTCAATGGTGTCCATAGTGTTCTCACCATTCTTGAAAACTTACCTTAGTGAAAGTAGAAGCTATGAGTTTGAAAATCATTTTCCTATTATCTTTTTCCATACGTCGTTCATGAGCATTCTGTATGCAATAAATACCTTCCATGCCATAAGAGACTATTTTTTGTGGGATAATTTGATGAGGAAATGACGGTCCGTGAAAAAATTCATCGGCAGGCAAGCTGGACTTGCTTTTTGTTTTTTCCAATGGGGTGCGTACCAAAAAGAAACTATCGCGGACATTTTTGGATTTTCGCTTCTTTTTGGTTTTCACTCCATTCCCCTTGATGAGTTCAGCCAACGGTCTTGATCAGTCTGACAATGGAGCTGCCTCCAACTTTGCAGCACAAAGAGCTCTCTATGAAAGGGTAGGTTGTTGCTGGAATCTCTACGCTTGACCTTGTAACGACTCGGAAGCAGTGCATTGGACGACAACCAACAGAGGTACGCCACGTACCAGCTGCATGTCGGGTGATGTTCAGTGGATGGATGAATCACCTGAACGATCGATGTAAGCGGGCATCCCGTCATCCTGCCATTCCGACTAGATCGTCATGCTCACCCTTTTCATTAATACGAAAAAGAAGAAAAAAAACCTCCATCTCCTCTGAACCCTCATTTATCTGACGTTTTCCAACGTTCATCTCCTTTACAGAAATTTCAAATGTATCTCGACCAAGTGACGCCATTCACTACTTATCGCTGGATAGGCACAGCTGCGTTACTGTTCTTATTTATGCTGCGTATCTTCCTTGCTCAGGGATGGTATATCGTGACGTGAGTACTAGACTTTGATGGGGGTGTTGTCTTTGAAACTTGCGTACCTGACCACGTTCCTTTTATCTGCCGGGTGTTGTTTTGTGTAGCTATGCACTTGGTAAGTCACTGTGGTACAAATCTAGGGCATGTTGTTTATGTGGGATGGAAAAGACTAAAAGATTGTTTCTTTTAGGTATCTATTTGCTCAATTTGTTCTTGGCCTTCTTACAGCCAAAATTCGATCCTTCTTTGGATAATGCCGACATGGATACTAGTGATGCTGGTCAAGCAGACGAAGGTCCGTCATTGCCGACGAAGGCCGATGAAGAATTCAGACCCTTTATTCGACGATTGCCCGAATTTAAGTTTTGGTAAGTCTTACGGGTGTTCCAAAACATGCGACGACCTATTTTTTGTTTTTTGCTCATCTGCTACACAACACAGGTACTCCACCACCAAGGCTATTTTCGTTGCTCTTGTGTGCAGTTTCTTCAGTGTGTTTGACGTCCCTGTCTTCTGGCCTATCCTTTTGATTTATTTCTGTATCCTCTTTGCTATCACCATGCGAAGACAAATCAAGCATATGATCAAGTACAAGTACGTGCCCTTTGATCTCGGTAAGAAGAATTATGGCAAAAGCAACAAGTAGTTGCATCCAACGCGTATAGGATACCCGCCGCCCCAAACCCACCAATCCAATCTTGCTGTACACATTCTCAGCTCGCCGAATGAAAGCACGGCAGCTTACCCACTCATGGTTTAGAATCGCATATATACTTTTTTTCTCCTTCTTCTTTTCACAATCTTTTTATATTCCTTCCTGTAGGGTTCTTCTTTTGTTTTGTACCCCTCTTTTGCACACGGTTTGTTTCTTTTATCCAACCTATTTCATTTTTCATGCTGTTTCGTATACATTGTAGTAGGCTGGAGATTTCTCTATTAATTGCTTTGTAGCGAACTGAACAATGAAAATAATGTAACAGTACAAGTAGCGTTTTTTTAAACAATCAGAATGGGGGTGTGTATGACCCGTTTGTCTCTCTTATTTTTTCCGCCAAGACCCTTCACAGGGCCCGTATTATTCTAATAACTTGACGTCAAACCCAAGGATATCTGACAGTTCATTGTTCAACACCTCGTCTATGGTATGGTTGTCCCGAGCGTAGAACCATTTCCCACTGGCTGTGTCGTAATCATATCGCTTGGGACCACTACAAGGTATGAATGAGCGACAGACACAGCAAGGTGTAAAGACAAGTCAAAGAGCTTACCTCTTTGGCGATGACAGCCAGATTTGTTTGTTAGGAGGTTGCTTGTTGAGCACATAAGTGCCACCGGATCCCAGTTTCAGCGTCAAGACCCCTTGCTACGGCAACGTCAGCGGCCATATATCCATAATGCAACTATGTACGGTTCACTTACGGAGTACTCAACGTCATAGCCGGCAATATCGTGCTCATCGCCGATGGTTTCCAAAACATCCAATATCCCCTCCAACGTGTGGTCCGCAACCTTGTGATAATCGCCTTGGTTCAAGTCCCTGTACGTTCGTATGAGTACCCTATATCATATGTCAGGAGAACTTTGAGAAAGGGAACTTACGCCGCCGTATAGGCTTGTGTGGTATAGGATTGGCGAGTGGAATGGTGAAAGGCGGTAGATACTGGCCATTGCGGTCGGGATGCAGCGCTTGTCGAAAGCAAAGCCTGGCGTACAACAGTAGCTCTGACACGGGGACAGTGTCTTGCTGCCAAACGGAAGACGGTAGCTCCAATACGTGCTTGACTCATTTCCTTAAATTCAAAGACAATATACGTTTTGCTTATTTTCGAACCCACACAAAAAATGTGAGCAGTCTCAGAAAGCCCGACGGGGGTTCCCTAAGCACGCAATTTTTTAGCCCAACGACAGAATAGCTAAACAATGTGTGTATTTTAAAATTAATCAACAAGAATACAAGAAAGAAAAAGGTGGGAAAAGCACAAGGGGTTGCGAGAGAATGAGTGAGAAAAGACGGTGGTAGATCTAAAAAATGACATCCGCATTTACATCAACAAAGGCTCCTTTCATGTCACGCTGACAGCGTTGCCTTTGTTGCCATTCGTAAAAGCCATAGACCTTGATATTGGGCTGTCAATGGAGTTGCCGGCAGTTCCCATAGAGCTGAGCGACAGGCTGCTTGCATTGTGTGGTAATGACTGAGAGGTGGATGGGCTGTTGTGCAGACCATAGAGATATCCACTAAAGATTGAAACGCGTTTTAGTATACTTTGCAACAGGCAATGTAAATTTGACTTCACTTACAGGTACTTGTGATCATCAATAGAATCTTCAAAGAACATTTGTCGCATTTTAAAGAAGGTTGAGCTGGTAAGGAGACTGTCACTTCCAGCCTGATGTTGAGGACCTATCCGTGAAACCTGGAACAAGCATGTCAATAAACAATCAGCCAGGGCAAACTGTGACATTAGACCCACAAAACCATACCTGCAAATCATCTGCAATATCCTGCAAACCTCCTTTCAGATTTTTGCAGCTTTTCATGAGGTATTTGATGTCGTATATACAAGGAAAGTAGGTTCGTAAAAGTTCAAAGAATTGGCATTCATCTGGAGGCATAGGTGCACACGTCAGGATCTTGAGCAGGTATCCAAAGTCATAGCCACTGTATGAACAAATGGTAAGCGAAAAAGACAAGGATGCAGTAGATTGTGAATGTTGGAAAGAATGAATGTGAAACACTCCCATTGTCTATTATGGTTATCCATACCTGTGAAATGAAATCCATTTGACATCGTCCAAAAGGACAAAGCCAGAACTGATCAGAAGTTCACCAAAGTGCTCAACGTCAATACCATAGTCCTTGTGCTTTTGAAAATCGATGCCAGACTTGGTAAGCAAGTCTATGGAATCCTGTGCATACATATCGTCGCTGTAGACACATTGGTAAGTTACACGCACGAAGGGGGGTGAAGCGAAACGAGCTAGATACCTTAGATTGAATCGAAAATTGAACTGCCAGGTACAAGCGTTTTCGGGAAGGTTGCCGTTCTCGTCAGCGAACGTAACGCCCAGCTGAATGATCTTCAAAAGGTCGACATTACACCGCAGGGTTTGGTAATGGTAGTCTGACGATGTCCGGAACGTGCCAATGGGCCGAGCGACCACACCTGGAAACTCAGTGTCCTACAGAGGCGTTTGCGCGAAACAGTGTTATCGAAATGTCTGTGCCTGCCAGTGCCAACGAATAAACAAATGGGGTTGTAAACAACGTACCATGGCAAGGTAAGGGTACTCTTCCACCAGATCACGGAGATGGCTCATCTCTTCTTCCAAATTTTCCGCCCACACTTCTCTGATGAATTTGACTTCAGGCATTGAAATCAAAGCATGCACTATTTATACGTTGTAAGAAAAAAGACGAAAGCTTCCAAAGTCGAATGCGTCAAGTGGAAAAAAAGTGTAGGTCGTGCGTGGGCCAGCGAACGAACCCTCCCAAATCGACAAGTCACATGGCCACGGATACTTTCAAACAGCGCCTGGTCCACCCACTTTCATGTTGGCACTAGCTATTCAATAACTGATCCAGCTTACTACAGCATGAATACTTGAGGATTTAATGAACTACGTGTCATGTTTATAGGATAAACAAAAGCGAGATGGGAAGAAGGTAGAACTGACAAAAGCCGGTCAGAGGAAAAAGAGAGTGCAAATAAGTTTGAGAGGGAGAGAAGCGGGGTGAAATGAAAATGAATGCATGAAGGGGTTTCCATGATGAAAAGAATATTTGTGTTTATAATGAGTATGGGAAAAGCCCATGGGTAGAAAGTGCAAAAAAGTAAAGGCTCGCAAGAAGGTAGGAAGGATGACAAGGAGAAAGAATATCTACAGAACAAAAAATGGGAAAGGATATAATGGACGACATCAGCTACTTCGGAGCATGGTCAGGACAGTAGCAGCTTCAACGGCATCATCTGCAGCTGACTGAGCAAGCGCAAGCGCATTGACAAGTCCTTGACTGGGTTTCCTTTTGTCTGATTGATGGACATCCAATAACAGGGATGAGGGAGAGGAGTTTGGAGAGGAAGCATAGGATTCGCGTGGACTAAACAGTTCGGAGGTAGATGACGAAGATGACGATGAATAGATGGTATCCCAAGTGGAGCGTGCTGGCTGCAATAACGGTTGGTGTTGTGTTGAATGGCTATGTTGAGAGGGCGTTGATAGATGCCTGTCGGAAGAGCTACTTGTGCGAGCAAAAGGGATTGCGAAAACCGGCTCCGCTTTGACGGCAGTTTGGATATCCATATGATCTTGTCCGGCAAGTGTACTGCTGTCGTCGTCGTCTTCTTCATCATCATACAAGTAAACATCTCCTTTGGGTGTGCCTTCGCCAATTTGTATAGGTTCTACATTGGAATCTTCGTCTTCGTCCAACTCCATGCCATGCGTAAATGCGTTTGGATCCTCTTCTACACCGTCCATTGTCGTCTTGGCTTTCTTGCCCTTTCTATTTTTCACCTTGGGCCGTTTTTCTTTCTTTGCCGCTGTCGCTTCAGCTTTCTTGCGTTTTTTATCTGCCTTGGAGCCTTTGCGTTCTTTCCCATTGTGGCCTCCATTGTCAGCATTGGATATCGTCGCGTTTCCATCCGTGGCCGTTACCCCGCATAGAATCTTGCCGTGCTTCCATTTGACTCCGCATGCATTGCATAAAGTTCCTGCCCCTTGAGGTCCTCGGCGCCACATTGGCGTTGATTTTGAACCACAATACAAGCACTTTTTTAAGCTTCCATTTGAAAGAGTTTGTTGCTTGTTCTGTTTGTTACCATGAAGTCCATTGGAAGGAAGTTTGCTGGGAAGCGATGCTGATAACTTTGGAGACGGGACAACATCTGACCCACTGCCCTTATGCCCAGACATGCTTGTATCCATGTGTATGTCAGACGTCGCACTGACCGAGGTTGCTCGCGCAGAACCGTCTATATGGGAGTCTGAAACATATTTTGCTATGAGCCTTTGAACGCTGGTAGCGAGCATAGAATATCCGTTTTTTTTTTTTTTTTTACCTTTATCCCAGCCATTTTCGTCACTGCTCCAGTTATCAATTTTACAAATGGTATCTGTACTTTCGTACCCATGATGTTTATCGTCCATCTCATCATCTTCATCTTCTGGCCGCAAAGACTTTGAGGTACTGATAGATCTCGATACAGAAAGCTCTTCACTCTTGCGATGGGTGATTTTGTCATTATGATGTTTACTCTGTGAAAAATATATTAAAAAATCTATGTTTGGTTTAAACCCGCGTAAACGAATTAAAAAGATGAATGACAAAAAAACTTACTAATTCAACCATACGATGGCAGAGCGTTTCAAAACGAGAGACAGACTTCTTGATGGCAACATAAATGGGATGAGAAGCAGTGGAAAGACGCAAGTTGATAAGTTGCATGGTCTGAAAAGCAATTTCAGTCATGGGTTTTTGACCAGGATCAGTAAAACGACGATGCGAGGTTCTGGAAAAGGACAAGTTTTGATAACCAGCGTCGGATAAAAAGGCAGGTTGTCGGTCATTGAATAGCAACTGCGGTCCTGGACAAACGGAGTCCATGAAGTCTTCCGATAACATGGTTTTGCAGAGTTGAAAAGACACCACAACCTGAAGTAATTTTTAAAATTTAGCCAAAGAGTGACGACGGCCATATATGTGCATGTATAAAAAAAAATTACCTCCAATGGGGGGTCATCAGCTTGCGTTTCAACCAATGCATCTTTGGGGAAACAATAGTAGTCCGCATCTGACGGCAGTTCATCTTCATCATGGTCAGCAAAGCTGAAGACAATATCTTGTCGTAGGATTCTTCGTCTTTTTCGTTTTTTAGGCGGTAGTGCGACGCTGGATTTATTGTGCAGACCACTGTCGTCCTCTACCACGTATTTTTCAATGAGCGTAGTGGCAGCAATGCTTTCAGACAGCGAAAGATAGGCACAATCAGACCTGCCGCAGGAAATTTCGCTGGCAGAGCAGCAATCTGTAGCTAGCTTTGAACCGTCAGCAAGGAGGTGCTCGTGGTCATCTAGAGGAGATAGCTGGTCCTGAAAAGGAGACACTGTAGTGTTATCGTTGGTAGTAGAAGAAGAGCGAGCATGTTTTCTTTCGTGGCCTTGTTCTGAAATTTCCGATTCTGTGATCTCGTAGAATGATGCCTTTGGAAAGCATTGAGGCCCTAGCTGAATGGTAGCTGTACCAAGGTAACGAGGCTCGATGTGCCGAGGATGAGGAGCATCGGTTGAATGTTGTTGCAGGTAGTATCTCTGAAACGCTTCGGCAATCCAGCTGCGATGACTATCGGCAAGTAAAATAGAGTATTAATATAGAATGCTTGATGGAATTAAATAAAGAAAAAAAAAGGAAGAAAAGAAAAGAAAAAGAACGGGGATGGATAGAGTGTGAGATTGGGGATGAGTGTGGCGAGAACTCGCACGTCTCGAATGAGATCATCCAAAGAACATGGACAGTATATACAGGTGAGATCTCCATCTTTAAACGTTGCAAGGGAGGATTTCTAGGAGGGAAGTGGGTGGTGTGGTGGGGATGACAGAAATTCAGGATAGATTAGGCGGTTTTTTCCTATACCTGTTAGTTAACCTTGAGCTCATCAAGAGTTCACTGTTAGCTCGTGAACGTTGTTTCGAGTCCATGAACAAACGAACTGTTCAAGCAGAGGAGGAGAAGGTGGCGATGGTGGAAGGAATGAGGATATAACAGCAGCAAAGTCGATAGAAAGGGCCGCAAGGTTAGAAAAGCAAAGAGAAAAGGGAACAAGGGAAAATAGGACTGGGGACAGAATTTGGGTGCCTGTAATGGGATCTCTCTTCCCACATTGAACTTGTCAGTCAATAGCTAACAGCACGGGCTGACAATCTGGCTCAATGATTTGTCGGGTTGCAGTCAGTCAGCCGAAAATATTCCAAATCACTCTCATCATTTTTTATTTTTTTTATTATTTTTATTATTTTTACACTACTGGACGTCTCCCCCTGCGCACATGGCTTCTTATGCACCCATCCGCCCTGGTGGTTCTCTCATACTTGCTTGGCAAACAAAGAACAGAAAGGTATTGATTGTTGGCGGTGGTCAAGTAGCTGCTGGTCGCATTGTATCTGTCAAAGAAGCCGACGCCCAGGTGACTCTAATCTGCCCCGAAGATGGTTTGTGCGATGAAGTAAAGCATCGTATACACGTCGATAAAGTTGTGGATTGGGTTGATCGCTGTTTTCAAGACTCAGATCTGGATGAAAACTACGACATGGTACTGACTGCCATTGACGATCACGAAGAATCGTTACGGATTGGCCAACTCTGTCGAGCGCGGCGTATCCCGGTGAACGTTGCGGACGTTCCGAGCATGTGTGATTTTTATTTCATGAGTCAGCACAGAGATGGTCCTCTTCAAATTGCCGTCTCTACAAACGGTCAGGGTCCCAAACTAGCCAACATGATCCGACAAAAGATTGCAGCCTCTTTGCCTCCAGGTATTGGTGAAACTGTTCGACGTATGGGAATTTTACGAGGCAAGGTGCGTCAGTGGGACCCCGAGATATCCAACTCAGGCCCCCGTATGCGCTGGGTAACCAAATTGTGCGAAGATTGGGGATGGTCCGGTATGGCACGTTTGAATACCTTAGATGAGAAGGAACAAGATGAGATGTTTAGTACTTTGCAGAAAGCTTACATTGCTGGAGAGGTACCTCCTGTAGATTCAGTTTTACTCCCGCATGATTAGACTGTATGTTGAGTTATTAAGAGCATCACCTTGTTACCATACACATCCTATTACATGTACATACGCAAACGCTTTTGTTATCAATAAATTGAATATATTCTTAATATGCCGGCAACCTTTAAATAAATAAATAATAAAAGCGTGAGGCTTTATCTGCAGTGTAAAATTATCGCCGAGCATGGCATCTGTCCTCCTTTTCCCAACGCAGTGTGCTCAGCCAAGAAAGAGTGCGTGAAACACTGGGCCTATAACATACCGGCCCATCGATTAACCGGATAGCAGCCTTGCTTTGAATACAGGAGCTTCAATTGTAATTATTCTAAGAATACTGGGAAAGTGAGCATAGGTTTTGGAATAGACCATAGAAACCATTTTCTGTATTCTTTTTGTTCTGCTGGATAATCTTTTTTTGGTCTTTCCTTTACCCCAGCTTGGGGAAATGAAACAAAGTTCATAGAAATTTCAGTATCGACTTTTTCCAGTCAGACCAACTCAGTGAGTAGAAAATTGGAGTAACAGTTTTACAGCTTTTTATGACCATATCATGCTTTGATGGGCACCATCAAGGCTCTTCGCCGTTTTTTAAGCTGAAGATTCTGTTATCGTCTTGCATTTAATAATGTGCTGTGAGAGCTTTTTATCTACGGTTTGCAGATGTTACTGCTTCACTCGGCTTCAGTATTTACCATCATCCTCGCTTTACCAAAATTTTCCCCACTTTTTTCAAATCTAAAGTAGAGCATGTTGAATTTCATGACTTCCTTCATTCGCTTATGCCAGTATAACAAAATGTTACTCATATAATAATCACTATTCTCATAGCCTTACCGAAAGAGCGGACTGTGAAGTTTTTACCTTGTTGGACTGCCTTGGAATTTGGGTGGTGACTGATTTTCACTATTGCTCAACAACCCAGCAACACTTGTCCAAACCATCGCCATGACAACCAATGCAAAGACTACAGGAACAATTTACTTAGTGGGAGGTGGACCAGGCGATCCTGAATTGATCACGGTCAAAGCTCAGCGATTGTTACAAACAGCTGATCTCGTCGTAAGCGATCGTCTCATTCCTCAACAAGTGCTCGATCTTGTCAACAGTGAGCTCCGAATTGCTCGCAAAACTGCAGGAAAATCCGATTCGGCTCAAGACGAATTACTAGAATGGTGTCTTGAAGGGCTGAAGAAGGGTCAACAAGTTGTTCGATTGAAAATCGGTGATCCATTGTTATTCGGTAGAGGCGGAGAGGAAGTTCTTTGGTTTCGCGATCATGGATATGAGCCAGTGCTTGTTCCAGGTATATCGAGCGCGTTCTCGGCTCCCATGGTTGCCAATATACCGGTGACACATCGAGGAACTGCAGATCAAGTCATCATCACCACTGGTCGAGGCACGAAAGGATCTATGCCTGACCTTCCCGAGTACCACCCTATGCGCACTCTAGTAGTCCTCATGGCAGTCGGCCGTGCCACCGATCTGCAACAGATTCTACTTTCAAACAAAGGATATCCAGCCAATACACCCATATCATGGATCGAAAATGCGAACTGTCCGGAGGAACGCACTATATTTAGCACGGTAGAACAAATGGCTAATGTTGTCGATGAACAAAATATTGTAGCACCGGCTGTGCTTGTTGTTGGTCAAAGCATTAATGTGCTGAACACTCTCTAGATCTCATAGCAAGCATTCAATTTGTAAATTTTAGACAGAATATTTTTGTTATTAAATGTCGCTCTTGTGAGAGGCGCCTTTGGGCAAGAACAACCATACGTGGTCGCGAGTACTTTTAATATATTTGATTTGACCGTCGTAATATTTACACTGTAAGATAGATTTTTTTTTTTTATTTTTTTTTTACATACCCAATACTTCCACGCAGCTTCTCCTAAAAAATATGATGAAAAAATAATTACATCTAAACGTGCTATAAAATGCATCTTTTTCCATGCTTGTTGTCATGTCATATAATGATCAAAGTGGGTCGAGACCGGTCAATTCGGCGGTTCATCACTTTATGAGACTCGGAAATACCGTCTATTTTCAATGCGATCGATCGTTAGCTGGGAGTGCTAAATCAGGATGAAACCGCTTGTTAACAACAGCAAGTATATAAATGTATGAAACGGCAAAAGTACCGTCTGTCATCTTTCAATATGCGTAGTCTCTCTCTCGTTTGCCTGTTCGCTTTGAGCGCTTCAGTCACTGCCTATGACAACATCATTGCTTTTGCTGACAGTTTCACTGACAACGGCAATGACTACAAGTACTCCAAGTTTCCTCCCTCCCCACCATACTGGAGAGGACGTTTCTCCAATGGACCTACCTGGCTGGAGGAGGTAGCTAAACAGATGCCCAACACGACCGTCGTCAATCGCGGTTTCGGTGGAGCCACCACAGACGACGCATACGTTCATGCTACGTTCAACAACTTTGAGGTGCCTGGTTTGTTACAGCAGATCGCCAACTACCCTGTTCCCGGCAATGCAAACTCTTTGTTCATTATCTACATTGGCTATAATGACCTCAACTCCATCATTAATCCCGACCAATACATTGTCACCACTCCTTTGACCAAGGACATTGTTTCTGATAATGTCATCAAGGGTATCAAGAACATTGAAGAGAAGTATCATGGCAAGCAGTTTCTTGTCATGACCTGTCCTCCTTTCGACAAGTGGCCGGTAGTGAAGGATGCTGACAAGGCTAAGGCGAATGAACTGATCACCTCTTACAACCAATTGCTCAAGTCTAAGCTCGACAAATTGACTAACGTTGACATCAAGATGGCTGACACTCACACTTGGTTCGAGCAAGCCCTTGCCAACCCGGGGCAGTTTGGACTTCGCACTGATAATGGTCCCTGCGTCCCTGGAATTGGTAACACTGATGAGTGCTCTGATCCCGATACTCATTTCTTCTGGGACTCTTATCATCCTAATGCCAAGGTGCACAAGGCAGAAGGTGAATGGGCTACCAAGCTCATTGAAGAGTTGTATCCTAGCAAGAACCACACCACATAGTGAATGGGTTTGTGTGAAATAGCATGGAATAACTAACATTCTGCTGAGCATGGCATAGAAGGCGGTAGAATATTATGGTTTATTCGATTAACCGAATAAAGTTAAGAAAAAAAGGGTCAATAGTAAAATGACGTTGAGGGAACACGTTGCGAGAATGGCCATGTGGGATTTTTTTGTTTAGGGTTCGAACCAAAACAGATAGCCGGTCCGCCTTTCAAAAACCGGCGATTTTTTACTTCTGTTGCTTTACAGAAAACAATGCGTATCTATTGACATTAGGCTGCAGTCATACTAATGCAGGTATATGTAGTCTATGAGTGATGGGTTCAAACCAAAGTATATAAACAAATTTTGTATGGTTTCTTGACCATGGATTTGTAGCCATGGAGCAAAGATGTTCAGCCATTGCCAATACCAAAATAGGGCTATGAAACTACCGAGAATCCCTCCGACGGTGACTTGAGCAGGGGAGTGATTCCCAAGATGTACACGTGAGAGATACACCGAGCAACAAAACCCATTCACGACAAGAATGGCTACAAGGGTCAAAAGCGGATGTTGTGATCCATATAGCAACAGCGCTTGTAAGTAAACACCAAAAAAGGCTGATACCAGCGAATGAGAGGATGGCATGCCATATCCTTTGGCCTGTGGCAACACCGACTTAGATAACGGGGCTGGCCGAGGCTGTCGAATTATAATTTTCAGGGTTTTGGCCACGATGGCAGCTATGCATCCGCCAAAAGCAATATAGCAAACGTGAACTGAGCGAAAATAGATTATGGCCACAGCGGTCATGGTGGCAATCACCACGCGCACCTAATTCCCAACGGTGAGTGCATAGACATGGTGTCTAATTAGGTGGATCTTTTGCTTACCTGAGCCAGCGCGCGCATCACGTCCTTTCGCATTCCTAAGCCGGGGGGTTGGGATAAGCGGAATTCTGCGGGGTGGTGTTGACTGGAAGGGAAAAAACAAGGGTCCTCAGGAAAAATTAGCCGGTCACATAGATAATGAAGTGACCACAGGATTTTGTTGTACAGACATCGCCCGTTAAGATCAAATGGCTTGAGGTCTGCAACGTAGACAGTACGCTTGGAAATTGTCCGAGCGAGCCAAATGGAAAGAGGGTCTGTGAGGTGGGGGCCATGCGTTACACCCACGTGGCGGAACTAAAGCTGGTGTGAACAAAGCAGATAAGTCTGTGCCACGTGGGGCTTTTTTTTTAAAGGACGTCGATGTTTGCGCGGGCAAAGCAAGGTAAAAAAGCATAGATTCTTGTTGTACACGCTTTGGGGGGGGGAGCAAGCTATCCAAGTGCCAATTTTTTTTTTTTTTTTTTTACCGACTGAAACCTTGGCAAAGGCGTAAGAGTTGGTTTTAAGCGAGGACCAATAATTTCAAAAATGTTAGCTGCGAATCCAAAATTTTCCTCTTCTCTCTTCTTTTCTTCTTCCATCGAAGCAAAACTAACCATCCTCTGGAAATTGGAAGATTCATTACTGTCACAAAAAATTTGACTCGCCGCTTATTTTTTCCTTCACCCACATATTCCATTTTTTTCCACCTGCGCTCGGCTCCCCCAGCTTTCGCATTCCTTCTTTCCACCAGTTATCATTCATGGACATTACCATATAGTCATGGACTCTAGTCAATGTTCATTAATTTTGGTCACTGCCGAAGCACCCACTAAGGAGGATTTATCATTGCGATTACTACAAGCAACATTTGCTCAAGGTGAATAAATCCCTCCATGGCCGAATGCATAATCTTACAATTTCTGGTCGCTGACTTTTCTTGTTTTCTTCAGTATCCACATGCCATACCTTGGAACAAGCTCTTAACAGCCTCCGAGATAACCAATCGACCCACCCAACCATAGTATTGCTCGATCTGGATCATCAGTCTTCGTTAGCTCCACTTCAACAGCTCGTTCAACTTGTACAGAAGGAGGCGCTCGACGTTGTCCCCGTCGGTAAGTCTGCAGGAAGGAAAATTTCAAATACACCGCCCGCCCTGCCTGCTGACGATATTTTTTTTTTCTTTTTTCTACAGTGTACTGCTCAAATGAATCACCCCAGTATATGCTTCAGTGCCTCGATGTGGGGGCGGCAGATTACTTGATAAAACCACTTTGTCAGGATGTTATAAAAACGTTATTTTTGGTAAGTTTGTTGGAGAAAGATCTTCCAGCTGTTCTCAGCATCTAACCCCATATATCCTGCGTTAGAATATCCACCGCTACCACACCAGTAAAGTGTCGACCTGTACCATTCATCCCTTTACCAAGTTGAATAGTGAAAACATGTCGCCTTCACTGCAAGATCGTTTGAAGTCCACGTTTGTGAAAGATACTACATGGTAAACTTTATATCCTATGACCCTATCCAATTTTTTTCTCCCGACAATTTGTGCTCAACTGGGTGTTTGCATCTAGGCTATCGGAGATGATGATTCAGCATTATACCCCAGCTCAAAGTTTTAGGGATCCTAGTCTGTTAACGATGTCAAGGTAAGCCCCCCCCCCTTATTCGGTCGGCTGCTACATTCTCTCGGTTCTCATTCTTTTGGTTTAGCCATTCTACCCAACTATCGAGTGACCTTGAAGCTAGTTTAAAGCGACGACTATGTAGCTGGGACTTTCTGTCACTGGACATGAATGATCAAGAATTGATACACTGTGTCTACCTCATCTTTGACCAAGTCTTGTCATTGCCTGAGTTGCAGCACTTGAACCTAACCAAAGGCAAGTTTATCCCGCGGTTGAACACGCGACGCTCCCTGATTTGGGAAAGAGGACGCCTAGTCTTGTGATTTTGTGTGCTACCGTATCCACGCGGCCCCCCCGCTCGCTTCTGGATCTAATAGTTTTCCCTTTACAGATCAATTGTACGACTTCATTCAAGATATTTACAACTCGTATCACAAATCAAACCCTTATCATAACTTCAAACATGCTGTCGATGTCCTTCAGTCTTCTTATTATTTTCTATGCAAACTGGGTGCGCTCGACCCTATGGCCTCCAACTTTGTTCGACCCGCTCGACGACGCATGGCAACGTGGCATATCGATCAATTATTGCGCCCAAAAGATATATTTGCTTTGTTGATTGCGAGTATTGGGCACGATGTTGGCCATCCTGGTGTAAATAACATGTTTATGGCAAGTATTTGGAAACACCTTACTCCATCGCTACACCCCATGATTAACACCTTCCCATTTCCAGATCAACACAAGCAACCCGTTGGCTATACTGTACAATGACCGTTCTGTATTGGAAAGCTTTCATTCCATGGCTTTGTTCCAAATCATAACCAAACACAAGTTTGTCGATACCACACAAGGTCCTGAATACATGCAGTTCCGTAAAACCGTTGTGCACTCCATCTTGGCCACGGATATGGGACTACACGGCGAATACGTTGCTAAAATCAATGATCAGCTGAAGCGACTTCGAACGAAAGGCTTGGATTTGACGGATGAAGCAGCGTGTGATCAAGAGCGACTCATTATTTGTGGTGCTTTGATCAAGTGCGCTGATATCAGCAATTGTGTAAGTAGACTGACGGTTCGGAGAAGAAGAAGAAAAAAGAAAAAAAAAAAACTAAACCATGGTTTGCTAGACTCGACCTTTCATGGAAGCCAAAAGTTGGGCAGAAGCACTCGTCGACGAGTTTTCAAATCAAGGTGACCTCGAAAGAGAACTTGGATTGCCCGTTCTCCCTGTAAATGATCGAGGCAAGGTGGCTCTGGAAGATTTCCAACTGGGCTTTATCCGACATGTGGCTATCAACCTTTTCCAGTCGGTGGCCAATGTCATTCCTGAGATGACCTATTGTGTTGACTATATGCAGCAAAATGCCAAAATATGGGAGTCTCGAAAATACGAAGGTCATGATTCTGGAGTGGGTGATTCACAGTCGGAAAAAGATGACGTTGATCGATTATCGCATGTTCCTGCACTTGAAGAACCTGTTGAAGGTACGTTTTACACACTGTCCGGATTCTATGGGAGAGGGTTTTTCTAATTGTTCCTCCAATAGATAACGACTCCGATGATCGAAACTCTTGTCGAAGATCGTCCATTCACAGACCCAGTTCGGCCCACTTGATGTATCCTGACGCATCCAATGCCAACTCTCGACTGATGGTCACGTCGCCAAAGTTATATCCGGAATATAAACACCCAAACGACCATGACCATCCTTACATCCAGCAGTCAGACCCTGTTCGAGGCTACACTATTGTCGACAGTCCAACGTTTACCGATGAAGACAAAGCGAGTCTACAAGACAGATCTATTCACAAATCCTCCTTTTCAAGATGGCGGCAACGTCGCAATTTGGATACCTGTCAATGTTGCATCCAGTAACCCCCACCAAAAATCTCAAAAGAAAAAAAATCAGAAAAACAAAAAGGAAGCGTCATTGGTTGGCACTTCTTGTTCTATTTTCTTGTACAAAGCATTCATTTTCTTCCCGTCATTTTTTTTTCTTTTCCTTTTATAATTTTTTTTCTTGTATGCATCCCATGTCCTTGGTTTGCCATACTCTGTAGATCACATAGATTGTATACTTTGTCTGTTTCTATAAAATAAACATGCTTCTCACATCACAGCTCCACAACGAAACATGCTTTTGTATTGTTTTTTATTTTTATTATGCCACGATCTAAAATTTACGAAACATTCTATGGCGTAGACTTGCTTTGCCTCTTTTTTTTTTTCCTCTTATTAGCAGAACAAAGAGATCTGCTTAGTGAGAACCATGGATATCAAACCTGAAAATAGGGACAACATCATAAGTCGAAGGAAATGGAGGAACCAACCATACAGGTACAGCACTTACTTGGAGACAATCTTTTCAATTTGGTCAACGGAGGTACCGTTGGAAATGACATCCCGAGCCTCTTGAACTTTACCAAACACATTGAACAACAAAACACCGACAACCTTCTTGTTCTTGGTGTAGAACACAAGGCCCTTACCGAATTTCTCGTCGCTGAAAACAGTGCCTTCAGCAGGGTTGCCAGGCTGCTTGTTGGAGGGGGCGGCAGTCTCGGAAGATGGCTTGATGTCCTGCACGTCCACTCCACGAAGGTTCTCAGGCTGAGAGACAGCAGCAGCAGGGGTATCGGCCTCACTTGCCTTGGCCCACACGCTCACAGTGGAAAGCTGGGAATCGACAAGACCCACAGCTTCATAACCAATCTTGGGGCCCAAGTCAGACCAGAACATGGATTGATGCTTGTAGGGCTTGTTCTTGCCCGCCATGTTCTCACCAGCATGTCTACCACTGAGAACAGCACTGAAGGTTTTTACATTAGCCCACAGTATCTACATTAATGGAAGCCTGGGGTGGTTACTTACTGGTCATGGTGCTCAATACGACGGCGACCAAGTTGGATATCATGGAAAGAGATCATGTCACCAGCAGCAAAGACATCACGTCGGCTCTCCAATTCAGCATTGACAACAACACCAGCGCGTTGTTCATCGATTTCCAAACCGGCAGCACGGGCGAGTTCAACACGTGGTTCAATACCAACAGCAACCACAATATGGTCAGCTTCAAGAGCCTCGTCGTTATCGAACAATACCTTGACCTTGTCACCTTCAGCATTTGCAATGCTCTTGATGGAATGCTTTGGCTTGACATCCACACCCTCATCAATGACACGGCCAGTGGTCCACTTGGTAAGGTAGGTGGGGAACACATTTCCCATGTTACCCTCTGGTACGTCGTGTTCGATGGCTGGTTAGTAAAGGGCTTCAAGAATTTGGTACACTAGCCATTTGACTTACCTTCAGGGAAGACTTGAGTGATCTTGAGTCCCTCCGTCTTGGCTGTAAAGAAGGTCCTTAATAAACGCATTGACATGTCTTTTCACCTGTTCAACTTGCTTCATTACCTCGGTGAGCAAGGGCAACAGCGAGCTCGGATCCAAGGAATCCACCACCGACAACAACAATATGTGCGTTCTTCTTGGCGATGCTGTCGAGCTTTCGGAGGTCATCAACAGTTCGGAAAGTAGTGACGTTCTTCACGTCGGATTGATTGGGCAAGTGCTTAGGTGAACCTCCAGTGGCCAACAAAACCTAAATGTCGCAATAGGTAATGTCAATTGTTAGCGATAATCCTCAGGAAAACACCCTTAGTCATGAACCAGCCATTACCTTGTTATATTCAATGACACTTCCGTCATCCAATTCAACCGTGTGAGCCTCAACATCAAGCTTGTTAACAGTCTTTTGCAACAAGAGCTTAATCTTGGTGGACTCCTTGTTCAAGTCAGCGACGTCAGTGATGATTTCGTATTGAGAGATGTCTTGGTACAGGGCACTGTATGACGCAAAAATTTTCATGAAGAGAGTTGTCAGTATAATATGTAGTGATATCATCTTCAACGCAGTGCTTAATTACTTACTTGCGCTCATTGCCTTGCCACTGCCAGGGTCGGGTTGTTCGCCATTGTTTAGTAATGTTGACGGGGCCGTTTATATGAGCTTATAATGTACTTACGTCTTTGAACTTGAGTGTCTGGCTAGCATTGGCATCCTCGGAAAACCACAATTCCTTGCTCAAAGGGGGTCTTATTATATCGAGAGAAGGGTTTGCAATAGACACGTCGACGGAGATAGACAATTAGTCAGACAGAGTATGTAAGCGGTAAAAGATACATTACACGATGATAATCTCACCTCATATAAGGAGGAACAGATTCGTTACCGATAATGATGACATTAGCGTTGGGTTCCTGCTCCTTGATGGCCTGCGCGGCCGAGAACGAAGCAGTACCGCTACCGACCAAGACATAGGGTTTGGCAGGGGCCTTGACAGCAGCAACGGCGCTTTCAATGCTATGAACGACCTGAGGAACATGCTCAGTGGCGTGCTTCTTCTTGGCTTCGGGAGGCGATGTAAGGTAAAACAACAAGGGTCCAAAGACAATGAGCGATCCCACAAACCAGTTGGTGTTGCTGGTGGGATTGTGAGCAGGGTGAGTGCTGTAGAAGCGAGTGACAGCCTGGGTTGCCTTAGTAGGGCGAGCAAGTCGGAGTCCCTGAGGATAGACGTTGGCTCGTACTGAACGAAGGGCGGCGGTTCGCAACATGGACATTTTGGCAGAAGTGAATGTGAAGGCTGGATGGCTTGAGCGCCGAAAATTGTCAATAATGATGAAGGCTGGTTTTTATGGTACACGTAACAATTGAAATTCCAGGGCCGAAAAAAAAAATGATGGCTAAAATTTCTCTTTTTCTGTTACTGTTGCAAGCTCAAAGATGATACCTTGAATAATAATGATAAATAATAAAAAAAGAAAAAAAAATTCAATTAACTTTAGATAAATGCCTAAGTCTTCTGTATGATTAAACATAGACTTGAACGCGAGAGTTTGCAGTAAAATTGCTGTAAGCATAAATGTCTTTTGAGAACAATTGCAATACAACTGCTGCTATGATCTTATAAAATACATAATGAAATCGGTGCGATTCTTCTGCACTTGGACAATGCATATTCAATAGATGAGCAATCTACAGTTGACTCTTCCCTCTTATTTATGTGTGATTTTCCAATGCCTGTCAGTCGATGAAATAGCCGGACTTCGACTGTTTAATGCGAGTGGTGCGATTGGTCTAGGGCATCTGTGGACATAATGCTCCTATCTGATACTTCCAAGGCTAAGCCATTATTTGAAGACCGTGGCAAAATCAATCCCATGCGAGTGCTAAGACTTAGAGCATACAAGGCATTATAAAGAAAAGTGAATTTATGTGGTTCCCCCCTTCAACATGAATTATAGACTGTGTGAATTGTCATCCTTTTCTTAGCCATGGTCATAAAATTAAGAACCTTCGTTGCATCTTTCATTTGCATGTCCATCGGCTTGCCTTCTTTCATGTAGGTATCCATATGTGGCATTGGCAACCTCGAAAACCCTAAAATGACAAGCTTTACAATATATTATTTCTCTGTTTCATTATCAAATAGGTCTTCTAGATTTCCATGATGTATGTTCTCTTTGAAGTGCTTACCCAGCAATCACTAAAAATTTTACTAGTAACTGTTAATTTTACGTTTCTTAATCGACTAGCGAAAGGTTCAGCAATTGAGCTGACATGATGTAAAAACCAAGGCAGAATCAAGGGGGTTTGACTGAAAAGACATTAGAGATAGCGACGATCTTTGCCATCAAACTATCACGATTAGCTGTTGAAAAACCTGTTTTCACACAAACATGCATTGCACAGGACGAGCCCCTGTTTGCCATAACCCGTGCCATGCAGGCATGAAGCAGCGAGCCACTTCGTCCTTATCGCGTCTGCCACTACTTCCTTGTGCCCAAATAGTACGGTACGATTGCGATATATTTATGCTGAAATAAGATAAAGAGGTCATCAAATGACAAACAATGCAGGTTTCTGGAAACATTGTGGGAAATCCGCAAAAGCATCCAGTTAACCAGACAGTTCACTATTCTAATCTAGAAATTTGTACTGCCAAGGGGGCAAATTGAAAACCGATGGTTGGCCACTGAAGCAACGCCTCACAGCGGTGTAACGTCGTCATCTCCCAGGCTATAGAGTATTATGAATATCAAGAGTTGTTTCATTGGTCCTCTCGAGGATATTAACGCACTGCGAAGCTAACAACGCCATGGGAAATAATGACAAAAATCTTATGCTCAAGCTAACAACAAACGCGAACATGGACGTCAACGTTTTAAGTAGGATCCGGTTCAAAAAAGCGTTACTTTATTTACAGAATGTTGAGGTGGCGTTGAAGAAAAATTTACAGTACAGTGATGCCATGTGCCCCAGCTTGCCAAAGTGGGGGATTTCATTCAAACTTTTTTTTTTTTTTTTGATGAAGGTGGGCTTGGATGGGAAGAAGTTTTGGTGCCCATGCGGCAAGCAGAATGTAGTGAAAAATATATATACGAACTTTACAGTAAAAAGGTTTGCATTTTCTGGTTTTCTTCTTTTCAAAGAGGAGGTGGTTTCAGATCCCAAATTGAAAATGGTCGGTAGCAATAGATACCGAGGAATGTTCATCCACTACTTCCCACCACCGTTTAGGAGGTTTTGCAAAATAAAGCATTTTCCAAGGAGTGGTAGATTTTACTTGCTGTGCATCTGGACGAGTGTTAGAGTCGGCATGAATGACATTGACACCACTTTGTAGATAGGTTACAGTGACGAGAACGGATGGAACAGCTATTTGAGTAAGAATTGAAAATTTGGGTAAAAAGGACATACAAAGTGAACAGTAGATTGGAAAACTGGATAGAAGTCGAAGTACGAAGGAGATGGGAAAGAAAAAGAAAGAAGAAAAGGCAAACAGCTGAAAAGATTAGAAATCCCATACTCCTTTATAAAGATTATGACCTCGCCCGCAAAAAGAAAAAAATCCTGCACAGGGAACCCGTGATACTGCCACCAACAAACACAAAGGGTACTTTATATATTTTTATTCCCTTGTTTTATTACATGTCTATACTTTTTTAAACCTGATTTTAAACTGATATCGTCTTAAAGATGTTGAAACCAGTGCCAGCTGTGCTTATCATGCATCCAGGAATTTGCTTGTGCCAGTGAATTTCTTTGATTTCAGATTGACCCTGGTGGACGAACAAGAGCTGTGGTGGAATTTCAACGCCATCTTCAGTAATTTGCTGGCCGCCTTCTTCGGTATCAGGTTCCACAGACAAATCCCATATTGAGATTTGATCATCAGCACCGGCCACACCGATGATGGATTCTTCAGTGGGGTGCCATTCAATAGATGTGATTGGCGCATTGTGCCACTTGAAGGTAGCAACGGGTGATGGTGCCTTGGAGCTATTTTAGGAGGCGTTAAATAAAAAGGTTAACATGAAGATCAGGAGATACAACACCAACCCCCAAAAAGGTTTGATGGGAACATTTTTAAAGGAAGTGTCATTACCTTGTGAAAGTACGCAAATCCCAAACATTAAAGATACCATCATCGCCACCGCTGGCAAGTAGATATGATGCCTTCTTATTCCAAGTAATTACATTGACGTCAGTGCTGCTAGCTTGGATGCTTACAGCATGCTTCTTCTTGTTACGTGTATCCCAAATTTTGACAGTTTGATCGGCAGAGCAGGAAGCAAAAACATTACGTTCTGTAGGTGACCATTGAAGATCTTCCACAGAAGATGTATGCCCTTTAAATGGCATCATATCGGCTTTGTAGCCTGATTGTGTCTGGTTGGTCAGGTATATATTGCTTGCGATGTCTCCAGTCAAGAGTCTGATCCAAAAGAGGGTTAGGAACGGAAACATCAGCCTAATAAATTATCACCACATCTTGAAAGAGATACTGTACCTTCCGGTGTCTAGAACGGACCAATCCATTGCAAAACCTTCATTACCCATATGGCTATCGACAGTGAACAATGGCCGCTGGAATTTGGATGGTTGTGTACCAGGGGTATCCAGGCTGTTTATGTAAGGGGTAACGTCGTAAATGTGGACTTTACCAGTATCAGACCATGTTGCCGCGATGTTCTTTTCATTTTGCTGTGGCATGACTCTGACACGGTTGATACCGCCATTATGGCGAAGGGATCTGCTTTCCAAGATGGCGTCATCGTCGACTCCATCAGCATCCTCATCGTCAGACTCTAGATAAAGAGGTGAGGTTAATGACCATGAATAAAGGCGACAAGCGTAGTGATCTCAGGTGACAGTAATAGCTACGTACCATCATCGTTTTGTGTCTTATGAAGTTGAGACATTTTCATTACGATAAGCTCATTATCTCTGGCGTTGGGTGCTGAGGTACCAGCAACAACATAAGCAGTGGCAGGATACTATCGTGACAAAAAGTGCTTAGTCCGCTATACAAGTTGTCAAAAACTGATACAACATAAAAATAACCTACAGTCTTTCTCTCATCTCCCAAACGATCCTGAAGAACGTCGAAACTTAAGCATGGCCATTCGACGTTGAGTTTGTGCAACATTTCGTATACAGATTGATCAGCTTCGAGGACTTCATCCTTTCCAAGAGCTTTTCCTGGAAGATAGACTTCCAAATCTTTCTCCTCCTTCTCGTCAACCTCCATGTCTGGAACATAAAAAGCCTTTAGCCACCAGATCCAATTTTAAACTGGGTATTGTGTATTTTAACCAGGATCGAGAACTTGATTCACATCAAGCACTATTTCGCTCCATGTGGATACTAAACTTACCATCATTATCTTCGTTGTTCTGGTCGTTGACGATTTCCTCGGCCATGTCTTCTTCAATCTCATCCTCGAAGGCATCTTCAAATTCGCCCATTTCGTCAATTTCAGCACCTGTACGGTGAGAGGTTTCACCAGAGGAAAAGGTTGCTGCCTTGCTGGAATCTCTAAGTTCGTCGTTATCTGCCTGGCGTTTCGACATTGTTGAACAGTAGGTGTTTGAGAACTAGTCGATTTTTTTGTCAAAAAAAAAAAAAAAAAAGTAGTGTGTCAGTAAGTCCGAAAATTTTTAAGCCACTGGCAGTCCGATAGAGCTTGCAGTCAGCAAAGGCGGTGTAGTCACGTGCATGGAGAAACTTCCTCTTTTGTTCTACCAGTAGACATGTTCTTGTAATAGACCATGATATAATGGTAGTATTAGTCATATAAGTCATCCTCTAGTATTATTCCTGTTGTGTAAAAACGTGGAAAATTCAGTATCAACAGAGGGATATTAGTGTTCTTTGCCATTAAATCAAGCCACTTGGCCCTTCAAGACCTAACCGCGACACTCTGACAGCATATTTGCCGAGCACATTTCATTGAACAACGAGAGATATTTAGTATTTGTACTGCTACAATCTTCCTAGCGATTCTTTCATTGATTTTCAAGTGACCATCTTGGTGTCGCTATCTAGCTACTATCCGACTACTCACATTGTATCTCGGCAGACATTAAAAGGTGGCTACTGCACTTAAAATGTTCAGGTAAATTTCAATAAAATGCTGTTCGCAGCACTGGTACGTGGAAAATTGTATGTCTTTATAAGGAGTTTTGGGGAGGGGAATGACGGGGGTGTGAATACAAAGATCTCATTTACAACAAGTAGATGAGATAAGTAGAAGAAACGTAAAAAAAGTAAGTATGACCAGACCAAGTGATAAAATGGAAAATAGGACACAAGGTTGTCAGGTTTGGGGGATAGGGTTAATTGAGATGGCAACTATCAGAAGAGGGTTGTCTTTTACACTGAAAAGATAACAAAGAACGGGAAGAAAAAAAGGAAGAAAAAGCACTTGCGAAGAAGTAAAAGAAGTCGAGTGTATGAATTAAAAAGGGAGACAGAAGAAAAAAGTAGTTGGTAAAACGCATCTATAGGCCATTGGTTGCTCGCTTGACCATCTGTACAATATATCGCGGTTAGTGATTTGAGAAAAGTCTGAACGGACGCACTGAAATACGATTCACTCACTTCTTTTGCCCATCGTGCTACTTCTCTTGTACTGTCGCTGTAGTGTCGGTTGGATCTAGCTTCTCTAATCAGGGCCATAACCCAGTCAGCGGCCAGATACTGCTTAAGCTCACCGCCTTGGAATGCATCAGCAAAGTCACTGTGAAAAAGCATTAGTTAGCGATCAAATTCAGTTGTATCGGATAACAGAATGCTTAACCATACCCAATCAAACCAACTGTGCTGCGAACGAGAGTTTCAGTGGGAGTGTCTTCAGTAGTAACCATGCCCAAGAAACCGAATATTGCTGGCACATGAGGAGCTAAAAGGTGGACTAAAAGATAATAACAATGAGAGATGGTAATTAACATTACAGGAGCTCAGTAGAAGTCTGTCCATTTTCACTGACAACTTACTCTTTTGACCACTGCCTAGACCTTGAACAATTCCAACGTATGCTTCAACACTGCCCTCGTGCAAGCGTACGACGTAGTCCATCAATTCCCAGTTGTCCTTTTCAGCACGCATGCCTCCAACCTGCTGCAAGGCAAGCATGACAAGGTCCAAGAAAGGCTCGAATTCGGCTCCAATAGCCAAAGCAATATCACCAAAGCAAGACAGAATGGCAGGCTTGACATCGCTGTGAAGAACTGGGCTCTGAAGATTGGTGATAAGCAATTGCATAAAGGTTTGGCAGTAAGGAAGGGAGGACTCTCCTAAGGCACGGCAGATATCTCCAATGAGACCGATGGCAATAGCGCAAAGCTAACATATTACAAAAAAGAAAGGTTGAATATCATGACGCTAGCTTGAAATATATCTCTCGCTAATTACGACACCTACCTGATGCTCGTCGGGGTTTTGAAGCGCTGAGTAGAGGTGGGGGGCGAAAGGCTCAACGTATCTGGAGAAATCACTATCGAGAGCAGCAGTCAAAGAGCCAACAGCCAAGAAAACATCCTCAGTAATAGATGATTGCTTGGAAGCAGTGGAGAGCATTTGTAGAAGAACAGTCATGACACGATCAGATACAACTGAAACACCAGCGCTGAGTTTACGAATGCAGCTCTATGGAAAATATAAGTTAATGGATAAAGTTGAGCTTGCACGAGGATGGCGAGAAGATACATACAGTGAGAACGCTAAGAAGGTTGGATTGAAGCTCTGCGTGGGCGTTGCTATCATCCACACCAATGATCTGGTTCTGCAGTAATGAAAAAATGGTTAGATGTGATCGCAAACCAGTTTGGCGCTCTCTTCATAAATTCTAACCTGTACAGCAATGGTGGATTCGAGGCGATCAAGTGTTGCTACAATGACTTGTTGCACAGTGGTGAGACAATCCTAAAATGGAAAGATATTAAGTACACTTATCTAGCTAATTGCATCACACAGTAATTCACATGAGCACTTACCATGGCAGCATTTCCAACTAACGTTGATAGAGCTTCGTAAGCAGATGTTCTACAGTTTGCTTCATTGTTTTGTCTATCAGTGAATTGTAGCAAAGCAAGGACGATGGCTTCAAAGTACATGGAAAGTGGGCACGTTGGCATGTTCAAATCGTCGCCTCCACCAATGTGCTCCGCCAAATTCATCAGTGACTGCATGGAACAAATGGTAAATACCAGAAGAACATCCGATCCAAAAATATAGCGTGAAAAGAACTTACCCAACAACAATTGGCAACAATACGTGGGCTATCTTGTAAGCCAAGAACAAGGGCGGTAATGAGATCTTGCAGATGAACTTCAGGTTTAATGCATTGTGGGAGATAATCGGAAACACGTCCCAAAGTCCATGCGACGGTATCTTTAACATTGACAACAGGGTCCTTCATCATTTGGATTAGAAGAGGGAGGGCTTGGTCAACAAGTGGTATCAGCAAGTCTGGGGTTGGACCGTCCAAAATGGATCCGAAGGCCATAACAGCCGCTTCACGGTAGCGCCAGTCTTCATTAGAGATGTTTGCTTCCACAAATGGAACAATGGGAGCAACAATGTTGTCTCCAACACACTGAGCAAAGAGGTTCAAACAGGTAGCAGCAGCCATAGACACATTCCATTCATCCTCATCTTCGTCTTCCTCTTGCTTGGTAAGGAGAAATAGAAGTACTGGGAGAATTTGAGGCAATGCAGAGCGAGCAAAGCCGTGACTGATACGATGAGGTTGCTCTCCGGCATCAGCAGCCTAAGGTCAGAGATGAGTAACTTGCAAAATAAAAATTAAAAATGAAATCACACTGTGAGCTTATAACGTACCTCCTCGGCATGCAGCTGAAGCTCAATTTCTTCGTCACACACAGTTGACCAAAACTCAATAGCCTGCAACGCAACGCCATGTTCTTCGTTGTTCATACCCACAACAGTAAGCTATGTTTGAGAACGGTATAAATTAGGATGATAAATCAGGCACACAAAATCACAAGATCGTCAAACTTACAGCAAATAAAGCCTTCTCCATATAGAGCAACATGTTATCATAGTACAATTGCATGATGCGGACAAGGCACTCAAAAGCAGCAACCTGTAGTTGTTCCTCGGTACTTTGTGTAGCCTCGCAGACGACCATCATTATGATGTTTCTCTCAGACTATCGGAAGCATATTAGTACACGATAAAACACAAGGATGTAATTACAACCAAGTCCGCAATTTTACCTCGGATTCAAAGTTTTCTCTGATGAATTCCAATGAATTGTATAAAGCTCTGACGGCAGCAAGTCGAACTTCCTGGTTTTCTTCTTCCTTACGAGCACCTTGAACGACGGCGGTCAAGATATCATTTGCTTGACCTTTGAGCACCTCGGGATTAGTCGTTTCACAGACAAAACCAATAGAAACAAGCGAAGCTTGTCTTAAGAGAGGATTGTCAGAGGATGTTACATTGTCGAGCAAGCTTTGGATGAGTTGAGGCCATTGGTTGACTGGCAATTCGATATCTGCGATAGCTGCAACAACCTATAAATTATAATCTTTCAGTTTCACTACCTTAGGTTCAATTGAATAAAAAGTTTATGCATACTTGTGCGGAAGTGTGAGCTGCGCGAGAATTCGAACTTCCAAGAGTGTTGACAGACTATAAGATGGTGAAGGTTAGGGGGGCGGACGCATAACGGGTAGTTACTTTGTTGTAATGCAATTTACCCATTGCTTGATTTGTGCTCTCGTATTTTCGTCAACACTCAGCCATCTATTGATGTAATCCTCTTTACGGCTGGCTTCCTATTGAAGTATCACATGAGACGATGATTTGGTCAGGTATCAGGGACGCATGATTCGCATGCTAAAACGTATCACATACCTTTGCAGTCAAAGAGTTTTTCACTGCCAAACCAGCAGCGGTACGAATGTTAGGATCGGCTCCCTCATTTGCAAGTTCCTGCGACAGCATTAACACATAGGCAGACTACATTACGGAATGCAAAAGTGACGAAACAGTAACAATGAAGAATGGTTAGAATTATGGTAGGATCGACAGCATTGACACAAGTTCCAAGTGACGTACATAGTTTTCCTGAGCAGCCAACTCGAGCTGCTGAGTGGCATCCTCTCGAATAGCCTGATCTGTGTTGCAGGTAAATCAAAGATGGGATTAGATCGTGAAGATAAAGGCATAATGACGTTAGATGGAGCAACAATGGGTATACGTGTTGCTCAGGGATCACTGAGTAATACATACCAGGCGATAAGGTATTGGAGAGTAAGGTAGCAACGTTCATGTCGGATTGTTGTTGTTGACCTGTTCGGGAGCAATGTGTTATTATCAGCGAAATGAGAAGACAAACAAGGGCATCCATCGAGTTTTCGTGCACAATCAGACATAGCAAGGTTACACTGCATTATGCAATGGATACTTTACCCTCTTAGATGCAGTACAATATCAAGATGATTCGTTGACGATTTTGAGCAATTGCCTCTTTTTTTTTTTTTTTTTATGAAATGCGGACGCGCCTTTTGGACAGTTTTTACGCACAGCAAAAAAAATTTACAGTACAGTGCGCTTGTACAGACGGACGTCCAATATCATTTTGCCCGCCCTGCTAAAGCTCATGACAATTGGTAGGCCCATGAAGACAAAACCTTGGCGAACATAACAATTGCACTTCTAACATGTCAACTTTCTACAAGATCTTCAGCAGCTGGAGGAGATCCAGGCTCAGTGTGACCGCATTCAAGATTATTCAGCTTTGAATAGCTTGATTCAGGTCGTTTTCACGAATCCAGATCAGTTATCCAAAAGTTTTCCACAGGTACTTTTAGCTTGTTCTGATTCACCTGTAATACTATTTATCTAACTTTAGTATTGCAGAAGCTTGGTGGATCGATTGATGGCGGTATCCGTGTTGACAAGCAGCAAGTTCGACAAGCGTTCGCCTTACTCTTGCGTCACGTAAGGGTCATCCTTACGCTTATAAGCCCGGCGTTGTTTGAATCTCTACTAACTTACTTGGCATTTGAAAAATAGTGTCCTCCACAAGTTGTAGACGCTCTGAATCGAAGTATTATCCAATTATTGGATCTAATTACTAGAAGTAAGGATACAGTCGACGAGTCATACATCCCAATTTTGGTGATCCTCTTTCAGGTATGAATACTTGCAGCACAAACCATTCAGTTCATCTTTTAGTAACCTTTGTCAACGGAACAAGCATGATTCTTTATTTGAAACGCAGTTTGGCGACATGATATTAGCTAAGCTATTGGAAACGATAGTTGTTTTACCGGCGAGTGTCCAGGACACGCTATGTGAACAGCTGACATGTGCGTGTGGACAGGAAGAGGACTTGAATATGGACGATTCAGCTGTCGTACATGATGGACAAGAAGAATATCCAAGCAATCAAGAAATCCAACAGTTTCAACACCTCTTAGATGGCGTTCAACGTTTCATTTCAATGCGTTTACGCAACAAGCCTACTCCAGATACCACTCCAAATCGAGACCATGCGGTTGTTAGTGCCACAAAATGTTTGGCTGCCTTCTGTAAGTACATGCCATTTTTTAAGCCTACAAAGGCATGAGTAAAGCTAACTACCTGTCTCATTCTAGATCGATTGAACGAAAAGCGCCGGTTTGTGAAATTCGAAGCTTTCTACAATGATACATTGAACGAGCAGCTGGAAATCAAAGAAGACTTTCCTCAATTCAAAGATAGAAAAGGGTAATTATAGCATGGCGCTCCACAAACGGACTTGTGATGTATGTCTAATTGTACCGATGTTGTAGCTTTTCATTTTGCGACTATCCATTCATACTCAATTCAGCTACCAAAGCGGACATTCTGAAAGTGGAAAGCATGTTTCAAATGAGACACGAACTACAAGATGCATTTTTCCGTGCATTATTTCAAGGTAAGAACCAAAGAGACTGAGAATGGACTACAACCTTATTTGAAACTGATCTGGAGCTTGAATTTGTAGGTGTCAATAGTCCATACCTAGTTCTGGAAATCCGCAGGGATCATATTATTCATGATGCACTATACCAGGTACACAGATCACTTCAATTGCCTCATACCAACATACAAGCTAATCTATCTATAACTTGTTTTAGCTTGAAACGAAATCAACACAAGACCTCAAAAAGCAGTTGCGGATACAATTCGTTGGTGAAGAAGGTATAGATGAAGGCGGTGTTCAAAAAGAATTTTTCCAACTTATTGTTCGCGAGCTGTTCGATCCAAAATACGGTTAGTGTTTGAACATGAGAGTTCCTACTATGTCTCATGCATTAGTTAAGTGCCTTTTTATGGCATTGCCTTTAGGAATGTTCATGTTTGATGACGACTCAAGATTGTGCTGGTTCAAACCAGACCCAACGGATGATCATGTCGCGATCAGTGAATACAAACTTGTCGGGATGCTACTTGGCCTGGCTGTCTACAACAGTGTGATATTGGATGTACATTTTCCACTAGCGCTGTACAAAAAGCTCATGGACGTACCGGTGAATTTGCAAGATCTTCGTCAGCTTGACCCTGTAATTATTCTGCCGTAAATTCGATGGTAAGCTTCACTATACTAACCACTATTTGTTTAGGGACTTGGAAGAGGCCTTCAGCAACTGTTGTATTACGAAGGAAGCGTAGAAGGCGCATACGATCGATCTTTCCAAATCGATAAAGATGTGTGGGGATGCATCAACACATTTGATCTGAAGGAAGATGGAGCATCTGTTAAACTGACAAACGACAACAGACAGGGTAGGACACAAATAAGATGGCGCAGTCCAATCGACAGGAGATATACATGCTTACTCATATACTATTGCCACCAGAGTTTGTCCAATTATACACTGATTATGTTCTCAATCAATCTGTGGAGAAACAATTCAGCGCATTTAGAGACGGATTCAACCTGGTTTGCGTTGACAGCGCCATAAAGGTGTGTTGCGTTTTGAAATACCAAGTATCAATTGTTTGCGGAAAACTAAGAATTCCATCAGATTTTTCGACCGGAAGAAGTTGAGCAGTTGATTTGCGGCAGCTCAGATTTAGATTTCGATGCTCTGGAAAAAGCAACTCTCTATGACGGAGGTTGGAACAAGGATACGCCCATTATCAGGTACAGTCATAATAGATGGCATCGCAATGCAAACAATGCACTCACATTGTGATCCAGAGCGTTTTGGGAGATTGTACATGAATTTACAGACGAGGAAAAGAAAAAACTGCTCTTCTTTGCCACAGGATCAGACAGAGTTCCAATAGGAGGACTAAGTAAACTACAGTTTGTAATAGCAAAAAACGGAGGTGACTCAGACAGGTACAAATCTGATGAACTGCGGTTTTGCAGCGCTGAATCAAAAAATTTAACTTTGTTCATGTTACTAGGCTACCAACCTCCCACACGTGCTATAATGTACTTCTATTATGTGAATACAGTAGCAAAGAAAAGCTGCGCGAGCGGTTGCTGACAAGCATTGGTAATGCCGAAGGCTTCGGCATGATCTAGAGTCACTGGATCAACAACAATGTATTTATAATTACTGTGCGCAGCAATGTGAAGTTCAAAAAGGAAATGTGTTAACAGCAGTTACCAGGGATTATCAAGATTTTGGCAACACAGGCCGCCAACCTTGGCTCTCCTTGGCTTGCCTTGGCCAATTTTTTGATTATCTCCCTGCTAAGATTTCAATCACCGCCCAATCTTTCGCATATAAATTCAATGAGTTGACGTACATCATTTCAATATCACACCTCCAAGACATCATCAACATGCCATTATCAGGACTCTTTAATAAGAAGGGACATTCAAAAACTACTACCACAAAGCCACGGTCGAAGGAAAGCTCACCGGCCATCCAACAGCTGTCTCCTGCTCAACAGCAGCAACGAACTGACAATGGATACCAATTGCTTGGAAATCAGAAGCAAAAGAAGACAGAGAAGAAAGCTTTGGGAGTTGTTCTCAATTGCCAAATCTAATCGGTCTATTTTAAAAGCGAAAAGTGCCTTTTAACATGCCCATTCTTGTATCATATGTCTCGTAATAAATCCTCTTTGTGCTTTCCAACATTAAAGCTGGCATGTGTCTGCAGAGTGCCTAATGATAATGTAGTATGTTGCCTCACGAAATTCATAGTCCAGGGGATTTCCATGCAGATAAATGAGAACTCTTAGAGCCAAATAGGTCAAGATCAATACAGCAAGATACAGTTCACACTGGATCAGCTATAGGTGCCACATGTGGCAAGTTTGCGGATCAAGTACCGCTCCATTTGCAGCATAAGGAGCACAACTGCCTCCACATCCGCACAAGGTGTTTTGAAGCAAATGCCATTATGATCTGCGCTACTGGTGCGTACTCTACTAACGAGACACACAACATTATCAACAACATTTTCTACTTCTTCTGCCATTGTTGTTACTAAATCCACATCTGCCTCCACATCAAGTTTTTTTGACGCAAATGCCGTATGCTCCGTCCTGTCAAACGGAGTTTATCTTAAAAACCTATGCATAACAACTTTAACTTAGATGATAACCCCAAAAGTATCATATAGCCTGCAATCAATATGGCCATACGAGAACTTCCAGCAAGGCATACATATGTGAGAATGCTGTAGAAAACTTTGAAGCCACTCATCGTTAAACTGTTCTAGTCTCAATTGTACTGGTCATCAAAGTCTATTTTTCAGGATATTATTGAGGATTACATTGCTCTTTACAACTGGCCAGAAGGTGCTGGGTACAGTTTTGCTTCTGTAAGGACTGTAAATGATCTGAGCACGAGTAATTGCTTAAGCGCACGTAAAGTGTTGATCAGATGGAACGAAGAAGTGCCATTGAAGTAAGATATAAGTTAATTTGGAAACGAGTTGTAAATACAAACGTACAATGAATGAAGGTATTTAGTCAATTTAATAGACAGGAGTAGGACTACTGTACAGAAAGGCAGTTTATATTCGTCGGCTATTACACCATTTGACAGACTATATTAGCTTGAATCTCCCGATGAAATGAAAAGGGACCGTCATGAGTGTGAGAGCTATTCGTTTTGTCGTTTTGTTTTGTATATTCTGCCGGTCACATCGCAATTGAACAAGCCGGGCGAGCCGTACTTTGTTCCCGTGATCATGTGACTTTTTGTTTGGCACCACGGTCTTCTATTGGCTCATCAACAAAATCGGAAATCTTGGTTCCAACAATACAAATTATATAAAGAGCAGCCTTTCTTCCAACAGATATGTATAGATCCCTTTGTATATCATTCACAGCTGTAAAATGTCCAATAAAACATTGACTGCGTTACCCTTGACTGCTGCTGCCTACGCACCATATGGTGATGTCATTCAAGCAAGAACAGATGCAAAAGACATTACAGGTGCCAATCAAGGTACAGCCGAAAAGTACCATTGGACAGCATCAATTGTGAACAACCATCCTAATAACGGCGGCAAGTCCAACATGTGCGTATTTCACTGTAGACCAACCAAGGAGCTTCCTTTCAAATGTAAGATCCTTGAGCGTCACCCATACTCATCCCAAGCCTTTATTCCCATGAACGCTGGAAACACCCGTGGTTACTTGGTTATTGTTGCACTGAATGGAGAGGATGACAAGCCTGACATGAGCACTCTGAAGGCTTTCATTTGTTCCAACGTACAAGGCGTCAATTACGCCGCTGGCATTTGGCATCATCCTATGATTGCCCTAGAAGCTGAAACTGATTTTGCATGCCTGGTTCATGAATCTGGCATCAATCAAGATGACTGCCAAGTTGTCGATGTCGAAGAATGGATCGTTGATGTTCCTGGATATACAGCATAGAGTATTCAACATAATAAATTGTACATTTTTCAAGAACGTCGCTTTTGTTTTAGGCTCAACATTACGTTGGGATAGTGCTCAAAAAGTTATAGATTTGAGTACAGGGTTCCGGCAGAAAATCTCTCAATTTCAATAATGTGGAAGTAAATGAGGGTTCAACAAGTAAAAAGTATCAAGAGGGTGTCCGGGCTCATTCTTTGTCTGTTGCACGTGACTGTTTCCAAGTGGCAACTGATATTCGCTCGGGCCCTGTGCCAGTGAATGGAAAGAACTGTTTTATTTTGTAGTGATGGCTGTTAATGGTGGTAAGTTATTGCAACCTGTAGAATGTACCTGGTGCCATTGTAATACTTATGATGATCAATCTCGTAGCAGCTGCCGAACAAATGACTGATTCGCCCAACACAGAATTTACCCCTGTTGCAGATTCAACACAGGACCCCCAAGTAGAGCACCCTACTGACGTCTCTGCTACCGACGATATCCAAGAGTACGCAACCGACGATGAATTTTATGACTCTCACGAATATTCGACTGAAGAGCTCGAGGTATCTTACAGTGGATTTGTCAGTGTGGGCCAAGCGATGACTTGATTTGAATTGTTGTAACTGACTGATATGTCTCCATTGAAGCGCATGCTTCGAGAAGCCAATGACTTCAAGACGGCTGGAAATGAATATTTCGCTAAAGGACAGTATGATGAGGCCATCGGAAAATATGAAGATGCCCTTTTTGCTTGCCCAGAACGAAATACCGAAGAGAGAGCTGTCTTCTTTTCAAACATAGCTGCATGTCAAATGAAACAGGTGAATACACATTACGCTTGCTTTTGCAGTGTTCGAATTCTAAACTCTATCTATTAGAACAAGTATACCGAGGCCAAAGACACATGCTCCAAAGCTATTGAGCTGTCACCAGCGTACAGCAAAGCAATATTTCGAAGAGCGCAAGCTGGAGAAAAAATTGCATCATATTCTGCACTGACGGAAGCACTGAAAGACTATCAAAGCGTACGGGAATTACCAGATATAACAGATTTCACAAGAAAAGAGTGTTTGAAAGCAGAGCAGAGACTGCCTTCCATGATAAAGGATCAAGGTGAAAAAGAGAAGGAGGAGATGATGGGCAAGCTAAAGGACCTTGGCAATACGCTTCTTGGAAAGTTTGGGTTGTCCACAAATAACTTCCAGATGCAGAAGGACCCATCGAGTGGTAATTACAGTGTAAACTTTGTAAATAAGAACTGATGATTTAATAGCAAGTCATCCTCAATAAAGTATCAAAAGCAAGAAGCTCTTTGTCTTCTATGACTGCCATTTGTCCTAATTGCACTGCATAAAATTTTGACAATTCGGAGCGATTACCACTCCGTTTTTACCCAGTTTAAACAACCTGCCCGCGTCTACATTCTGCAAATTTAAAGCTCGGTAGCTTCCATGCTGGACGATCTTTTGGTCGCTTTGCTCGAGGAATTAGCACTTGAAGGAAGTAAAGGTACGTGGTCCCAACCTCTCGTTCGTGATAATTCCACATTGTCTGAGAATCAAACGAATCGTCCGAACTGGTTGCAGGTGCAAGTCTCTCTCGAGTGTGGTCATTAGTCGGTAGCATCATATCGAAGAAAACGGCAGTGAAATTCTCACGACACCTTGGAAAAGACATTGAACCGACAGTGGACGAATCATATCAACGGTTCTTATGGCCATATATTGTATCTTATCCAGGCATCGAGTTCAGTGCAGTCATCGCCAATGACAATCCAACTCTGCTGAAAATGGAGCCAGAAGAGTACAAAGAATACGATACAGCTTCATCGAGAAAAGATCTGCTTCTTACTGCCAAAGCTCAATTGCGACTAAGGATGCTTCTCGCTCCGTTACCAGTAAGATCCGAAATCGACTAATTTGTACTGTTAGCGGACAGCATACTCATCATTTTGTAGGTTGGATCAACTGTTAAAGATTCATTATACTCTGTGTTAGAGATGATAGGATTTTCTCGCGAAAATGGCATTACACAAGCTGATTTAGGGATTGCACTTGGTCTGGATAGCCGGATGGTATTTAGTATGACGAAGCGGCTTGTGGATTACGATTTGATGTAAGTTTCAGTATTCTAGCAATCAACGTGATACTGCTTTTTCTAACCTACCAAATAGCATAAAAAAGCCAGCTGTTAGCAAAGGCAATTACACAGCACTTTGTCTCCTCAAGCGCTTCGAGGGAAGTAAGTCCGATACCCGATATGAGCCAGTCACGGAACTTGAAAAAGGCACGGAAAATGGACATGTCAAGACATCCAAGAGCGACAGTGAAAGTTTGGATGACAATGTTTCATACCGCAGCGACGTGGTGACTTCAAAAGTTATCCAGCTACTACAAAATAAAAGTGATAGAACTATGACTCTACAAGATCTGACCGATAAACTGGTAAGGCGTATCCAACAAATTTGTGATAATCAGTCGCCTGGGATTTTGCTTATAGCTGATTGTACATTTGTTCAAGGGGTTTTCACATGCAAACGTCAAATCGAAGAGGTGGTTTATGAGATACATTAGTAAACTTTGCGATGAGAAAGTACTTGAGAAAGTGGATTCACCAAATCAGTCAGGGAATACACCTCCTAGGTCAGTTCATTTGCTGAAAGCTGATCATCAAGTTACTGGTAAGGCTGTCTTATATGAATGGAACAGAGGAATGGTGAGAACATTTGTTAAAATATACCATATTTGCTAGGACCTGTGGCCAATCCTAGTATTCTTGTCACCGAGAAAGGTATACCGACTGGTGAAATAGAAGACGTTCCATTACAGTATTGTATATATAAACATATCGAAGCGTCTGGAGTACAAGGCGTTACATCTAATGTGAGTATAAGCATGGATTTCTCCTGTACATCAATGGTAATATTAAACACTGGCACTCTTTAGGACTTACAAAATCTGATGCCGACCGCTCCCGCTCCCATACTATCGACAGCCCTTTCTAGCTTACATAAAGGTTCTGCGCCATTGACAATGAAACATCTTAGCTGCTTTGCGGTTATAGAAAGGCAGGGAAGAGAGCAGCGTCACCGCTTCTATACAGCCGCCAACTGGAAAAAACTCCGAAATGATCAAGCGAATGGAGATAACTTTGATGATGGCGCTGTATCTCAAGATGAGTTAGTTGCTGAAGAGATCAATGAGATGTCTGACACCAAACAAGGGCGTAAAGCCTCACATGCAAAGCGAAAACGTTGGGATGACGAGCAGCCATCAAAATCTACCGACGAACTTTCTGATATTCCCTTGAAACGACCAAAAAAATCCAGAGTGAAGACAGCAGCTTTCGCGAAAACACAGAAAAAGTCACGTAGCATAAAGAAAAATACAGCCGATAATGATGTTCAGATGTTTGATGAAGATGAATTTGGCTACGGAGGTATGTGTTAGAAGGTAAATTGATGTTCTACAGAACATATCACTTAACCCATATTCAGCGATTGAAGACAATGCCATGAATCAATCCAAAGAAGGTTCACTAGCACCAACCGTTTCGCATAACGCAAACGCTTCTCATGAACCCCCACCAGAGAAAAATGACTTTGGCGAGGTGGATAATCAGTTACTTTCAAAGTATAATCAAGTCCAAGAGACGGCAGTGTCATCAGTAAAGGACATCCATCAATATACCACAGCGAAAACGAACGATATCGTTACTAAAACGCCAACAAAGAAGTCTTCACGGCCAAAACCCAGCAAACCATCAGTGCAGAATGTCACACTTGAAAGGCGCATGGACGTTTTACATAATATTCTCAATAGTGACAAAGTGCGAGAAGTTGATTACACATTAGTCGATGATTTCAGTAAAGAAGACGCTATTGGTCAAGATGTACAATATACCGTTGACCGACGAACACTCACCAAAATAGCTCAGGGACTAGAAAAAGAGGGTAAGGCTCGAATCATTAAGGTCTCTATACCGTTGCTGAACGGTATGGTGGTAAACAAGAGCCTTCTCCTTCACGGTTCTGTGAATCCATCCGATGACGTTGTAAGCAAGTTCATAGAAGGAATACGAGAGCAGAATGCCTTAGTAGGTAGGTCTAGGCCTACGGAACCGACAAAACCATCTTTGGAAACCGAAAGAATAGGAGCATCAGACAAAGGAAGTACCCAAGTTACTGGCCAGGAGAGTAATCCCACTAGTTCACAGACCTCAGAAGTGATGGTCTCCTGTGAAAAAAAAGAAAACCAAAACCCGAATGGGCAAACACACTGGCGGATCACGGCAAAATACTATGGATGGATACCGGCAATTATGCTTCGACTGAGAATACTTCACAGGCATATGATGAAAATGGCTATTCAAGAATGGGCTCAGCAAGAGAGTTCTGAAGAAAAGCGACCCTGCAAGATTGCGATTGCAAAAATAATTACCAAAATGCCGTTGAAGACGTTTTTGAATGTGATTGGGGTGCACAAGAGAATTCCCAGGTTGGACTCGTTTTTGCTGACGGAAGGAAGCAATGAAATTGTCATCAACGATTTACCTGATGGGTTACGTAGCCAGCTATTTGAGGGCCACTACAGGTTTCGAAAGTATCTTCGAGTTTCTTTGGAAACTCTGAGCTTATTAAAACTTGTCAATTTCACTGAATGTAAAGGTAAAGGAAGCCGCACACCAGCGGATTGCGAGCTACTTACTGTCGTTCCCTTGTGTGACTACAGGGAAGTGGGACATCCGGTCGTACGCCATATGAAGATGACAACATTGAGTAATCAGACAGAATACTGGAAAGAGCTTCAATTTCTCAATACTGGTACCACACACAACAATTTTCGATCGAAGGCTTCGTCAAGACATCGTGCAGATTCCCAGGACACCCAAAAAAAATCATATGTACCTATGGAGCTATCTAGTATAACCAGTGTGTCAAGCTGGTTCATGAAGTTCGATCTCGATAGCCACACTCGGGAAGTCTTAGAAGGGCATGTGGATCGTGAAAACAAGAAAACCCCCTTGCAGAATCATCGACTTTGTTTGCAAATTGCCAATGAATGCAATATATCCGTGCAAACTGTACGGGATTACTTTAGAAGCATTGAGTCTGCAAACAAGAGGAGTGAGAGGAAACGTAAAGAAAAAGCTGCAAAGGCGCAAGGCACTGATGCTCGCAGTGTCACTGTCAGAAAACTCTTGGATACGGCTGTCCCGCAAAATGAAGCATCTTTCAAACCGCATGTCATCACTACTGGTATACAAGGATGGGCTTTTAATAGAGGAAAAGCTAAGCGATACTCAAAGGCTGTTGAAAAAGTCTTTGAAGGAGAAGGTAGGAAGGACCGTTAAGGAATTGGCTAAATCGCCATTTTTACTTTTTGACCAATGATTATCTTTTGCAGACTCTGTTAATTTGGAAGACTTGACAAAGTATGCGAAATCGTACACATCATGGACGCCACAAGAAGTGGAGCTCTTGATTTACAGCTATTCTATTCTGCGCTATCGAAGCCGGCATGTCAAATTTCTCTGGGGTGCAATGACCCGCGTTCTTCCCAATAGAACATCTGAAATTTGTCGGCATCAAATGACGAAAATATTGAAGCGTGAAGGCCAAAAGGAAGCTATTGACAAATTGGTTGAACTATGGGGTACCATATATGAACGATATGTCAGAAACGGGACTCTTGCAGACGACAACCCATTTGAAATGATCGATTTTGACTTGGCTGGCCAACTAAATATTTTCTTGCAAGAGCTGCAACGTAAAGAAGAGTGAGTATCTAGAGCGTTTGATAATTTTGAAACCATTATTTACAAAAGTGTACGTACTAGTGCCAAGTACACCTTTGATATCCCCTCCAACATAGAAGATATACCAGCGGCATTGGACTCACAAGATCTTACAATGAAAGTCAAGCGTATCAAGACCATTTCCGACTTTGCAGATAAAATCATAAGCATGCATGATCGCCAGAGATTACTTTTAAAAGACCCTCTCAATGTTGCAATAGGTCAGAAAAAGCAATTGGTAAGAACAGGCAAAGATTTGGACCCTGTAAGCATGAAAGCTCGTCAATACATTATGGTAAGAGCCAGTTCCAACGTGACTACCCAAATTATCATATGTCTAATGCAGTAGTCATAGATGATATTGATGACACCTAGCGACCATTACGACCCTGCATTAGCGTATAGAGTGCTCAATAGTTTCCCTACTACTGTTGTTAGTAAAAGTATTCAGGATCTGCACCAAGCTGGATTGATTGTTAAAACAAAGCCATCTACTGGAGTGAGCATACCAGGAAGAGGTTTTGGTGTTTCCGAAAAGTAAGTAGGAAAAACGCACCAACTATATAGATCTGTAATCATATTCTTACCTTTTTCTCCATCAGGTTTCTGCTCATGCTAACGACACACTTGGTTGATTTCGAGAAGATGAAATTGTTTTCAGATGAAGTCAATGTGCCGTCAATTGTGTCACCATTAATTCCAAACGCTGGTATGATGGTACTGTTAGATGCCGTTGCCGACAAGCGGATGGGTCTTATCATTGGAAGTATTTCCAGTGAAAGGGACTATAGCTATTTGGGTAGGAACTCCAGACCTGGAAGTAAGTATAATTTGTCTTATCAGTTGAGAAAACAATTGTTTTTGACATGGTGTATTTATGACTACAATAGAGGGACCATTGCATGTTGATGTCGCTATCAACAGACATACAAAACTACCTCAAGTTCCTCGGATTAAAGATACAGAAGAAGGGGCGATGAAAATACAAGCCCTGCCATTCGCCTTACATAACCAAAGAGTACAAGAATTAGTGGAAGCATACAAAAACCCTTTAATACTGGAGATCTGCCAAATAATTAACAGTGCAAAGGGGCTGGGTATACAGCCTTTTGAACTAAAGGTACGTCCCGTTAGATTCAACATACATTTTGAGAATGGATCTAATAATATGGGCAATGAAATAGAGCAAGCTTTCGGCAAATGGAGTAGCTGCAACGGATGAACAAATTAGGACTGCGCTTCAAATTGTTGTCTCCAAAGCACCTCCGTTAGCTTATATGGGAGGCTACAACATACCTGTTGTGATTTCCACGGCATATTTAGACGACCTCGCTGTAGTACTCGAAGCTAACTCTACTGTAAGCCGAACGGAAGATGACCATCAACTTGCTAAACGGCATAAGACAGAAGATTATGCATCCAACAGTACTCCTGTTAAACCGCGTTTATGGACAGATATACATGGAAACAAAGTCAATCTTGTTTTGAGAGGATGCACTCAAGCTATTTTGAGTACAATTATCCGAAGACCTGGCGTATCAGAGGTAACTAACTTTTCGACAAAATGAAGCAAAAAGTTGATATTTCATATAACTTAACTTTCCGACATGTAGACTGCCATTCATGAAAAGTTTTCGCTCATTCTTGGTTTTGTTGAAGTGAAAGAAGTGCTGGATTATCTTGAAACTAGAAAAGCCGTTCGCTCAATCTCCACGATCATACCTCAGCCTGTCCATTTATTTTCTGCACCCTCTGTATATAAGAAAACAGGTAAAAGCGGTATACTTTTATAAGAATGTGTTCTTCCATTACTGACATGGTGACACTGTTTATCACAACAGATCCAACTCACATTGACAGCCAAATAGTCAAATGCTACTTCCCAAATTATGGATCTTTCTATAAAGTAATTTGAAACAAACCCATATGTACATTCAGCCACAGATTCAGACACATTTTTCAAGAACACCATTGCCTATAATTTAATTGAGATACTGTCAAGATTTGCAATAGTCTTTAATCACCGATATAACTCCCTTGTGAATATATTCTACAAAGTAGAGAGACTTTATGTTTGGAAGTCATGGAATGATGTCCAGACAATTCGTTCTCATTTTACGCCTTTTGGCCTATGTATTTGATGAATATATGGTTGGTAGAACACCATGGAACGGCGACAGAAGACTTTTCCCAAAATGCTGGCAAAACCCCGGAATTGGAAGAGGCTCAGTCAGCTCCCCGATTATCCAGCAAATTTTGCTATTTTTGTACCTTTTGGTTGAGATGCCAAGGCACCTTAATTTTTAGCTGACACCGCTCCAAAGCCCCCAAGCCTTGCCTCTTCTTTGCTCATTCTCATGGACCAGCCATACTCTCCAAGGCGTCAATCCTTTGGCTATCTTAATGCTCCTACGAGATCAAGATCTTTCGATGACGACCCTGAAGAGGATATGTATCCTCCAAGGGAACTGAAATCCACTCGGTCTCAAACAGATCTGTTTGTCTCCATCAACATGCTCGCCACAGCTCTTGCAATGTTATTGCTGACGACGATCCCGGTTGTAGTATCCATCCCAGATATCTCAATTTGGTTTTCAGGAGACGCGCTTTGGAGACTCTTTGACCCGGTCATTACGCTCCCGTTGAACCTGTCAATTATGTTGCAGGCTGAGGTCTTTCAAACCGGAGGAAAGCCTCGTTTTCGTAAGTGGCCAACTCAATTACAATTGCAATTGTTAGAATGTATTTATTTACGAATTGAATGTTCTATCAAAGTTGGCGTTTGGAGTGAACGTACTTTTGCCATGATACTTTGGGCTATCGGTGCTGGAATTTACGTTCAGGTACAGCTTTAATCTGACTTTGCCAGGGTCAAGTGATGGTGTCACATTTGTACTAAGTATTGCTTTATAATCCCAGGGGCACGGCATTCATCTTGCAGCTGCAATGTTCAAGGTAAAGTGATAATCAACTTCTTCCTCTTCATAAGGTTCATCATGCCCTCTTTGACATCTTGACGCTAATTATTCTTGTCTAACACATCATTCGACCTCAGCATCCAATCGAACAATTCAACCTAGACCATCCCGATCTTGTTGCTCAATACCCTGTTCTGACTGAAATGTACCTGAATATGGAAGATTTATGGGAACACAACATTGCACATTATATGTACGCCTTTGGTGGTATGTGCATGAGCTGGGTTCAGCTTTTCATTTACCGTAATCAGGTGCATGGCCCTCTCCGCATAGGAGCAAAGATTACCTGGATTATCGGCACTATTCTCTACGGAGCCCTGCTTGCAGGCGTTGCTATTGAGTTTCCTCATGGTCTATATGTCGGTCTGGTCTACACCGTTGTAATTGGTACAGTGTGTGTATGTATGATGGTGTTCAACAAGAACGACCTGAAGTATGGCGGCATCTTTACAATGGGAAGGAGAATGGTTATTCAATACTACCTAGGAGCATGTGTTATTGGAATAATCGTTGTTATAGCCTGGATTGCCAAGTATGGTTTTGCAAACCGTAAGGCGGCTGGTGTTGCATAATATCATGTCTAGAACGGCTAGCACATAGCACTACTGTATTTTTATTTCAAGATATATATTTACATTTTGATTGAAGGGAAGGAGTAGAGTATCGATGGGCTTGTAAAAAAGTATTGCGTATTTTACATTACAAATAAAGCAAATGCCTCTCTAATTTTCAAATCTCTCTGGCATCACAGGCTCAAAATCAAGCTCCAAAGGCATCTCTAATCTAGGCACCGTGCCGTCTGGCAAGCATCCTAGAGGGCAAGCGCTCCATTTTGACTCGGAGTAAAGCGACCATCCATTTGCGTTGCATTCTGACATGACTACATCTTGCCTATCACTATGGTTCTCCAGCGCCTATATAAAATTGAGAATACAATCATTTAGTCTTACGAGCGTGCATCGATTGTCATATACTGTAATATGTATTACCATTTGTTTGGTCTGCATGACATGATTATTCAAGCGCTCGAGCTCTGCCTCCATATCCGTCTCGTTTAACTCAGGTACTGAGGCAAGTTTTTTCTGAGAAATATAATGTCAACCTCAAGTTTATGAAAGTCGCGTACAGGAACAGCAGCAAATGTCGACAAACATACCTGACTAGTATTCAAAACATTGTCAATATAGCTCATGAACGGTTGGATACTTTCTCCTAACTTTGGATTGGTGTTGCTAATAACAGTGAGCAAGTGTCGAGTGCTAACAATATGGGTTAATACAAGAGAAACATGTCTTAATCACATTAAAGAATAGAGGACTTACTAAAAATTAGGGTTTTTGAGACAATGCTCTAAAATGTCATCAACTACAACGTCTTGTAAAATACTGCTGGACGCATTGTGTTGGGTAATCGCACTTGTTTCGATAAAGTATTTTAGCCAGGCAGCTAAACATAAGTAGCGTGAGAAATAGAACGATTCATTTATCAAAATGAAGGTTTGCCTTACCAATAGTTGCCATATAAGTAGAACTAGAGTGAGCAGGATTCTTATCGGTCTCGTCCACTGCATCAAACTAAAGTAGAATGCAGAAATAAATAACCCTAATCATTACTCTCCGATAACATATTCAGATCCACTTACAAAGGCTGGAAATGGGCCAATTAGATTTTTGTCGATACCAATGTCTATTTAGACAATATGAATGATTAGTATTCACATGCATTGCTTGTAGCAGTAAAATAGGTAGTTTTACTTACCTTCTTCCAATGTTAGCTTAACTAATAAGGCTGCGATGAATTCCTCAGCAAATGCCCCAAAATTAATGTCCAAGTTTCGGAGTAGTGGCGACCACAAATCAATCAGGTCTTCCGACAAAGACATCGCTTTAGTAGTTGGACGTTTTCTGTTTAGGCTTGATTAGCATTAACTCTAACAATTGTGCTTGCCATTGCATGTACACTTACTTTTTACCAGCGGGCACAATGCCACCGATATCGATTAGAACGGGTATCAATCCATCGCGGATAACATCTGTTGAGATGCTTGTAACTATCTTCTTGATAGCCTTACTGCATTCGCGTGATTCGGTGCTTTTTATGGTCCGCATTTCTACACAACGCAATGTTTGTTCAGTACTCGGCTGGACCAGTCCGTCCATCACAATATAATATCTCTTCCTTTACCTTTTAGTTGCTTCTTTCGCGCATCCTTGTAGGCTCCAAGCATATCTCTTATTTTGCCCATACTGCTTTTCGTAAGAGGGGCAGATCCATCTGGTTTTAGAGCAACCATCCAATAAAAATCATGTAGCCACATAAGAGCCTTCGAAAATCTTTGTCAGTAATTGTGAAATATGTTGTATGTCCAATGCCTACTATCTACCTGTCTACACCCGTTTCGTAGCACCTGTAGGCTTGGAAGATATTCGTGGGTTCCAGCATGTCTGAGTTCTACGAACCACAATGGCAGCTGTAGTCGTTCGGCAAGAACACTGACAGACACAGCGAATTGTCCTTTCTGAGCAGGATCGACTATACCATTGACAAAACTGAAGGAATTGAATTAATGTCTATTTAAATCAAACAGCGTGTATAGCACAACCACCAAACTACTTACCGAACAAAAGACATCGTATACATAAGTCGTAGTTCATGTTGACTTATCCTGGCAGGTCCTACAGCAAATTGGTCTCGAAGCTGTACTTCTATGAAGTTGGCTGTCATTTGAATTGCATGCGGTACTTTGCCTCGACTCTTCCATGCTTTGACCTGTACAATTGCGCATCAGGTTTAGTGGGTCAGAGAAAAAAAAATTATTGAAATTGTGAGGCTTACTCTTTGGACTCCAAGATCTCGTCGATATTCAGCTTCTGGCCCATCAAAGTATAACATGTTGTAGACATCTTCAAGCTCTTGGTAGGAAGACCATGGCACAATCCTTGGTATCCTAGGCATTCTATATGAACTATGCACCAAGCAGTGATATAGAAACTGGTCTCTTCAAGAAACTGCCTATCACTGCACAAGCCACTGATCTTGCAAGAAATTGTGACAGTGTTGTGACTTTCCAATACCTCAAGTTCCTGCTCTTGCTGCAAGCAGTTCTTGGTCATGAAGAGAACTGTAGAATCACTTGTAAACGAAAGCGGTAGCTCGAAGCGGATAAAGGTCGTCAAATCAGACAGCCAGAACCATGCTCCAGACTGCTCAGATCCTGATTGCGATGGTTGCGACGTCGGAGAAATCGAGCTGACATTCACCAACGAGGATGGAACACCGGCTGACAAGCCAACCGCACTCGAACTTTTCCGCATGGCTATGAGCGAGGCAGCTTCTGAAGGATCAAAAGCCAATGAAAATGGGATGGCTAAGAGAATCTTTGATATGGCTTTGGAAGCGTACGACAAGGAAAAAGATCAAGACCAACTCGGATATGCACAATGCCTCATTGAATTCGGTCGCTATTTCGACGTATTGGAGAGCGTCAAAGAAGGCGTAGAGGTTTTGAGAGGGTTGGAGAAATCCAATAGTGTGGAAGGTTCCAAATTAACGAAGACAGAATTATATATTGCAAAAGGCAGAGGTATATTAGTTCAACTCCAAATGGAAAGAGCAAAAAAAATCGAAATTTTCGAAGAAATCAACGGTGAAAACGAGTCGGACGAAGAGGAAGAAATAGACCCATCGTTGTTGAAGAAATTGGAAGTTTCTAAGCAAGAGAGAAAACTTGTGGATGAAGCAGTCGCATGTTTTGATATTGTAAGCAGCCAAACGTCGCATTGCGACAAATAACAGCACAATATATTGACAACTCTCTTAGGTACTTAGTGGAAAGGATCACGATGAAGGACATGAAAAGCAAGCTCTTCTTTGTTGCAACGACTTGAGACAGTACGGAGAACAATTAGATATGCCCTTCCATGTCGACATAGTTAGGATTGTTCTGAAGCCCGCCCTCACATATTTGCAAACCGTCAAAGATCTTGACAGTAATGCATTCGCACTGAAAATATTAGGCTCTTGCCTATTCTATCAGGCACGAGCGGATCCACAAGGAGACGGTGTACAGGTATGAAGCTACTCTTAATCAAATACCATATAAGAACATCTCTTTGTAATACTAACACGAACAATTGCTGTTACAGGCCCAAATAGAGACTGCGTTGGAAAAACTTAACAAAGCCAAGTCAGCAAACTCTGAAGATCAAGATTTAGAAGTTGTTGAACTTGTAAGTTGGTGTGGCGTCAATGAGCTTCGCAACATCATCACACTAATCAGCACCCTTATAGATTGGCCACTGTAAGATGCTACTCTCAACACTGCTCACCGAGGAAGATGATATATTAGAGCAATATCAAGAAGCGATCGATTGCTTCAAATTAGTTTTAGAACAATCTGATGGTATGTATACCCGTAGTGTCTTTAACGCTATATATGTTATATTGCATGTTTACCAATATCATTCTAGAACCCAATCACAAGTTGGCTGAGATGGTTCAACTCTTAGATGGTGAAGACGACGATGAAATCGAAGAGGACGAGGACGAACAGGATGAAGACGATGAAGATAACAGTAGTTAGAAAATATAGCTTTATACAGAGCATAAATTACATAGAGCTGTTATAAAGATGCTTCCTTGTGTAATGACCATTGCTGCTTAGTCATACGTGCAAAGAGGTCTTGTTGGTCAACTTCGAGAGTACTGGCCTTCCCTTCCTTCAAAAGTTTCTTAAGATGAAGCTCTACACTGTGAGCGGCAGGGGCATGAAGAGATTCTGGGTAGCCTTTGTACAGCACTTCCACAATATCCATGGGAGCAGCCGACTGTCGGCTTTGTAACACTTGTACGATTTGTGCCTCTCGATCCTGTCGATGCTTAATGTACTCGAGTATTTTAGCCTTTCCTTCTTCTACGACGGGACCATGGCCAGGGTATAGTCTTTTAGGGTTGAATTCGACCAAACGCTGCAAACCATCAATATAGTCCTTCAAATCCTCAAAAACCGCAGTTCCTTGTCCAAGAACACAATCTGCCGTAAAAATAGCGTTCTCTTCCTCCAAATAGAAAGTACAGTGATCGCTAGTGTGGCCGGGAGTGTGGATTACGCGTAGCGTTGCCCCGTCTACTTCAAACTTTTGGTCATTCTGCATCGGAACTAACGGTATATCCGATGGCATATCATGGTGTGCTCCAAATTCAGATGGCCGTGAGTTTTCTATTATCATCTTGTGTACTTGAATAGGCGATTGGGGTCGATTCAGTTCTGACGAGAGAATGGATGGTACTCCTCCCCAGTGGTCATAATGATTATGTGATATGATGATATCCGAAATAAAGGCTCCTGGAAGCGTTTCCATTGTTGATTTGAGGCAAGGTAGATACTCTTCCTTTCCTTCACCACAATCTAGTAATAGCTTTCGTGCTCCAGTGCCGATAAGGTATGTATTGGTTCCTGCAACGAATCACTATTGTTGGATATGGAAACTTCCAAGCAAATTTACTCCACGTTATCTCTACCTTGTAAAGTGAACTTTCCGGGATTGAATCCTAGGACTCTCCATACTCTTTGAGAAAGTTTAGAGAATACAGGAAGCTCGAGAAGTACTTCAGTCATTTGTGTGAAGAAAGCGTGCTGGGGCTGTCGGTGGTGCAAATCTGGCTTCAAATATCAGTGTGACTGGGGAAATAGGAAATGCGGGCGGAAAATCATAATGTACCGGCAAATGCATATCAATGCAATAGAAACCACTACATTATTTGTTAAGGTAGGTTTTCCTCTTAATTGATAAATGAAATACGTCTGTTGATGATTGCCATCAATGGTAGATTTTACTCGGTTACGCTCGTTTATTTGCCACTTTTTTGCACATGAGTTAATGAGAGAGTCACAACAGGCTCTCTTTGTGTAGGCAACGGCATATTAGAGATTTTTGAGGGCAGTTCTTTTTATTTCAAATTAATGCTATATCTCGGTTCCTTATTCCTCTCATCCTTTGTTCATTAAAAAGACTGCTAAATTTATTTGCCGCTTGGTGAACAATCAGAATATTTGATGTACTCAAATTCGTGCAAACCTTTTCCTAACATTTGCAACTAAGTGTCATACTATGCACAATCAAATTGGTTCGACCGAGGTAAATGATGCGTTAATGCCTCATGGTATGTGATGTAAAAAATCTAACCAAATGATGCAAAAATAGCCAGTGACAGGGTTGCATGGCAATGAAGTTGATAGATTACTGGAGCCCGAGACACAGATAATACAAACAAGTGAAGAGATTTCTAAATTCATGCAAAGGGAATCAAAGTGGTGGAGTTTCGACGACAAAATTCATCTAAGGGATTTAATGTGTGAATTGCCTTCGCTGTTGCTGGCTTGTACACGGCAGTTCGACAGCGATGAGGACATCATGGGAATCCTGGACGCCTTAAGTAGCATAATGGCAATTTCGAACGGAGTGGTATGCAATTTCATATTATTATTGAATAAAACTTGTGCGCTAATAACATTTGTTTCAGACCACAGTCTCCTCATTACTGTTGGCATTTCAAGTCACTGCTCTACTATGCAAGCAATCGCTCATATCAGTATCAAGTGTAAGCGGAATGAGTGACAACCTGCTGTACAGTCTTCATCATAACCAACTACTTTCTGTTCTAAAGTCTACAAAATTACTTGACCATCTTTTAAGCACTTTGGATAAATCGCTGTTAACTACAAGGCAAAAAGAATATGGGCACTGTTCATTATTAGTGGGAATGAATAACCTTAGGATTCTTCAAAGCATCACCAGTTACCATATTGATGGAGCTCAAGATGTCAAATCACCATCTCTTTACATGAAGGTTATATCGCATATGATGAGCGTTTCTCATACATGCCATGATAAGAAACAAAGGGTATTGTTAGAACAATTTCCTGACAATACTACTCCACTTGATCTTAAAGCTTTAACGGACGCTTTATTGTTTCACATCAATTTGCGGTCCTTTGCAGCTGAACAATACCATGACGTGATTAACACGAATAACTATAGGTGCATACTAGGTAACAACAATGCAGACTACATACGCGAGCAGATTGAAGTCACCATGTCATTCAATCACATACAAAAATTCTTCGAAGCGACAGCTACCGAAAGGCTGATTATAAAGCAAGACATTTTATCTGCGCTCGTATCCTATCTTCAAGCTTGTGCTGAGCTTTACGATATACAAGAAATGCTTACGTTCCCTTCCAGGCTTGAAGGAATCAAATCATATACTCTCGCTCCTTCAGTACTGATAGACCTACAAGTCGCCTCCACCGAACGTCTGATCGCATTGGTACAAAGCATGTCACTTGACGATGACCAGGTCGGTGCTCAGCATTCATCACTCGTTAATCCCTTACGCACTATTTTAACAGAATCTGATTCGCAGAAATCTACTCAGAGAGGGAAAGCTTCTTTTACGGCCCTTCTAAAAAACTTTTGCTCTTTGTGCGAGTTATCTAGCCTGTCATGTTATTTGATATGCAAAGTGAGCGATGTGATCGCCAAATACAAATTGGATCATTCCTACTCAACAAGAACAGAAAATGTATATGTGGAAATGACTAGAGACATGGTCAATTCTTGCATGGAATTTTTATGTATTCTTGAAGAAGCCAATCTTTATCCTTCGAGCACTTCAAACGTCGAGCATATGACCACTGCATCGGTGGCAATCCAAGCAGTAACAGCTAAGATCATGACAATGTTTCATCGTCAATGCTCTATCATCATGACTGACGACGATATCACTCAAGATGTAAAACCAGAAGTCCGTCATCAGGTTACTTACAGAACCATTGGCTTGGCATCCAACTTTGGACGTCACATACTTCAATTCGCAATGGCCAAATTATTCATCAAACCCTCCAGTGCCAAAACATGCCTAACAGTATTGCGAGATATTCTCCCAGATGACATAAAGGAAAATTTCACTTGTATGGACGTTGCTTCGCAGCAGCTTAGGCTTTACTGGAGAGATATGATCGCAGTATTGTTTCCTAAAATTATGAAGTTAAATTACCTGATCCTCTCAAACAACCAAGATATAGCCTGCACGGCTACGACTGTCATGCACCAGCTCTTAGGACTCTTCTCTGCTTCGGATAAGCTGTATGTTCAGTTCAGATTGTTTATACAAAATGAACTGAACACAAGCATATTGCGGGCGAATGACTTCAGTCGGCTCAAAGTCATGTCTTGTCATACCAAATATCTGATGTACCAGAACGAAGAAATCGTTAGACGCTGGCTCAAGTTCACAACAGAATCAGTTCACTTTCAGGAAATGCGTGACCATTTCACATCATCCTTTGAGAAAGTCAAGATGGCAACATCCGAATTTGAACGCTTCAAGGCCACAGACGGTAAGTTTTCGACGTCGTACGCCTAGCTGAGAGCAAAAGAGCGCTATTTAACAATTCAATGCACAGCCGCGTCACTCATTGAGTTCAATTATTCTAATGCACACCAGGCCATTTTTGCGGCTGATGTCAACTGCAGAAGGCAAGTGATGACAAGGTTACAATACAAGGAGACCAAAAATGTTACTACATGCAATGTCAATGGTCGAACGAACATAGGAGGTGGAAAGGCATATAATAGGAACGAATTCAGAGACATACATGGCTATCAAACTGCAAACACTAGTAGGCCCCCATCGGTTCATGTCGATGACTTTGCTGATGGACCGAATCAAGTATAACGAACTTTTAAGTGGGATGTACCAAGGTAGAATTCAATGAAGAAAAGAATAAAGTATATTTCATACAGAATGAGAATACGAGGCAATAGATATGTGATATGTCGCAATTGTGATCTTTTAATAACCCATTGACAATTCACCGGCACCACAAATTATTGCCTAGCCCTGTATTTCACAAAACAAGTGGTCAACAGTACGATGCGTTTTATTAATTTTCTTTTTACAGTTGCTTTGGGGATTAGGTTTTGTACATGGAGTAACTGTTCTGTAATAAGCTCCTTTGATAAAAAGCTACTCTATATCCAACATGCTACTCTCCTGCGTATACTCTTCTTCAGTTTCCATGATAGAATCATGAAGCTCTGATTCAATAGTATTTGCGTCTTCTATGAGAGCGTCCTCTTGGGATATGGCTTCATTGACCTGTTCAGATACTGGTTCAGGGACAACTGTATCCTCAGTATTATCGATGGGTTGCTCCAGGTCCAACATAGCATGCTGTTCGTATTCATCGGCAGTGGTATATGCATTCATAACGTTGTCGTCTTCTTGTACCTCATCTCCATCATCGTCATTGATGAGCTGCGGTGTGCTCGCTTGGTCCACTGCATCGATGTGTGATGCTGGAATGATATCAAGATTCGCGCTTTCTGGCTCAGGTGTATATGGGGGCTGCTCCTCCAGATATTCCCCAAGCTGCTCATTGTCTACATATTCCTCCAGCTGTTCGTTATCTGACAAATGCTGATGAGTTTGATTCTCTTCAGTCTCGTCTACCGCATTACCTGCTGGATCTAAAGGTTGAGGTGCGATATCTTGCTGTGCTTCAGCTGTCGTTGGTGAATCAGGAAGCTCCACTATTGCATTTCCCTCAATTTCAAGGCTGACTTTAGGTTCTTCTGCATGGTGAGATTCAGCTGATTCTTCTGTATGTAAAACTGGTAAATCATCCGTAGATATCACTTCATAATCCTCTTCTTCAATCGGTTGTTGGCCATCATCTTCCTCTATCATTATGAAGGGCTCTGTTGCTTCTGTATTTTCGTTCTTGGGTGTGCCATTAGATTTTGCTGAGGGTTCATCACTTGATGGCAACGACATGTCATTCTCTGCAGCTGCTATCTCAGCATTTAGCTCTCCAATTTCTTGAAGCGCTGCTTGATCCGAAATTGCTGCGTCGTCTGTGGACACATCTAAAGCCTTGGTATCGTCCATACTCTCGTGTGCATCATCCTCTTGAGAAGTAGAAATTTGTGGGCTACTAACATCTTCAATTTCATCGGAATGATAGTCTTGAACTTCTTCGTGTTGTGGCTGTTGGATATCGACGTCCTCTTCTGCATCTGCCTCGTATACCTCATGCTGATGTTCAATTTCTGTTTCATTTGGCGACTCGATTGTCGTTACTTTCCCTTCTGGTGCGGATGGGATGTCAACTCCTGAGTTCTCGTTAATGTCGACGGCATAATCACCCTCTGCAGGCAATGCCTCAAGATCGATTTGCTCTTCTGTAGTTTCTTGATCTTCAGGCATGGTTGTGACAACAGATTCATCCAAAAGTACATGCTCGTCAGAGTTATCTACAACATCATCTTCGGCCTCGTCATCTTGTATACTTGCTTCCAGAGATGCTTGAAGTTCATCTGCCACTTCTTGTTCATTGGATGTGATTGGTTGCTCTTCATTTGCTTGAGGCTCTTCCTCGATGTAGGTTGCAAAGTCGTGTTCTAATTGATCAGATGTTGTGCCTTCTTCAACTAAATTGTCGTCAACCTCGTTCTCGGCCTGCACATTTCCATCATCTGCAACCTGTTCCATGTCAGAAATCGTCGCTGGTGCCATATTGACGGCCTGGTCATTGTCTTCCTTCATGCCATCGTCAAGTGGGACGCCCTCATCTTCTTCTTCGTCCTCTTCGTAGGGCAAAGGTGAGATTGGTGAGTTAACCTCCTCTATTGCTAAGGTCTTTTTTTCTTCATTATATCCATTGTCTATAGATAAATAAAATTATGTTATAAGTTACAGCCCTCTAATATGGTTGGTGAGCATTTCGTACGTGAGAATACACTACCTTCATGCATTGTCGTATCAGCTCGTTCGACAATAATATCTGGTTCCCCTTCAACAAGACTGTCTTCGTCAAGGACGGTTTCACCCTCTAGGTGAATCTGATCATCTTGTTGATCAGTATGAGTATCTTCAAGTTCTTCAACCTCGTCCATAATGCGATCTTCTTCTGCTTGTTCTTCTTCTTCGGCTATAGTAGTGTGCTCATCAGCTATGTCATCACCTCGAAGTTCGTCTACTGCAGGAGATGGCAGGTCGGCTGAACCCTCTTCATCAGCTTCTTCAAAGTTATAATCGTCTGCTGCTTCTACTTCAGTAGCTGCTGCATCCGCTTTTTGAGTATCAGCACTAAACTCCGAGTCGATGGCACCTTGGACATCATCATTCTCTGCTTGATGGATTTCAATTTCGTTTGATTCGGTATCAGAGCTGACTTCAATTTCGGTCGCTGTACTTTCTTGTTCGGCTTGCTCTTGCTCTCCCAAGCCATGCTCATCGTATTCCAATTGTAGTTCTTGTGCCGCATTTTGATCAAGTTGACTGGCATCGTCTACCTGGTCTTCCAAAGGCTCTTCGCTTTCTTTGAGATTGCTGTCGATATCTTCTATAGCACTATCTTGCACAGAGAGAATGTCTTCTACGTCTTCGACGACGACATCTTCATCCTCAACAGCTCCTTCTTCAATGCTGATGGTGGTATTTACAGTATCATCCCTTTGTTCGGTAACAGTTCCATCGTCGAAAGTCACCTCAGCTTCAAGTATTTCAGGTGGAGTCGCTGTCGCCGACACGATTTCAGGTGTTGTTTCAACATGTCCTGCCAAGGCGTCAGTCATTTCTTCCACATTTGAAGCAGGTGGCACTGCTGCATCGTGATGATCATCATTTGCTTCTTCTTCTTCACCATTTTGATACGTCTCTGACTCCATTGCTTTCTCTTCATCTTCCAGTTGATCAACTCGTAATTCTTGTCCTGCTTCATTTGTGTTTGGTGAAGAAGCAGTAGACAAGTTGACGTCTAAGGAACTTCCAGGGCTAGCAAGTCTGTTGAGATCTTTGATAGCCGCTATAATTTGCGGCTTGTGACTAATCAAATTGTCCAACGTGTTGATTTCTTCGAGTGGCACTTCCACTTCCGTTGCAGCTTCTTCAGGTATCTCTACTACCTGTTCGCTAACATTACCAAATGCATCAACGTCTTCTGCTGTATCCTCGCTAATTGTGACATCCACATTGACGCTTTCACCTTCATCAATGGTCCGATCTAACATATCTGCAGCTGGCGATAAATGCTGTATTTCTTCATGACTAATGATTATGGATGGCAAAGGTTGCTCGCCTTCTTTGAGTGGGGAGAGTTGCGTCGGAGATAAAGGAGATCGCACACCCTCAATATGCTCTGTGGGGACTTCAACTTCTGGTGTTGATATGCTTTGCTTCATCCAACTACCACTTAGAACCTGTGATAATCTTGATTTAGCTGCCTTCATGAGATCCTGTGCTTCTTGGCGTAATCGAGATCGTTGTTGTTCCGCTTTTGGAGACAAGTCATACATCTCTTCCAGGTGCTTGCTCTCAATGGTAGCCATGTCCAGCATGAACTCCCAGCCGCATATTGCTTGTCCTGAATCCTTCGTGCTGTGTCGAGATGTTGCTGATGTTGTGATCTGAGCTTGTTTTCGATTGATGTAAGGACAATAATGACGATGTTCCTTTTCAGCATCAATCGAGTCGAGAGGTAAAGAGCTTGCATAGCCATTTGAAAGTGATACACCATCACTGTTGTATCCCCACAAGCCCAGCGCCCGAAAACATAGTTCACATTTCAAAGCTGATCGACCTTCGATTTCGAAAAAAGTCCACCCAAAAAGTGGTAGAACCATTGCGCTGTCCAAATTTTTGTGTTGTAGCCAGTCTGTAGGTTTATCCCCGTCCGAAAGCTCTAACTCTAATTTCAGTAGCTTTTTCATCATCGCAAGATTTTCTGTAGTCTAAGCAATAGAATAATTAGTACCGGTCTATCATTTTATGAAAAAATTGAAGAATTGAACGTACCAAGGGACTGGTGACAGGCGGAAGTGATTCATTTTTGGTTACCAACGTATAGACTTGATCCTGCCATTTCTTGATAGCATCATACGATGTGAAAAATGGAAAGCTGTAAATCCAATCGTCGCATTCACTATATTTCCATATGCAGTTTTTCTCGTGCAATTCTGAAAGGCCCTTCAAGTACTTCTCCCGAATTGAACGTACTATTTTTTCAATTTATGTAAGTTACATTTCAAACCTTCATACCAACAAAAAAACTTTGCTTACATAGTTCTTCTGAAACACCATGCTTGACATTCGTAACGTACACTACTCCTGAGCAAATTTCGCAACGAAGCTTGCTAACTTCCAGATCAAGTCCATGATCTCGCGTATCAATCCATCCGTGGCTGGCACATTCCACAGGAGTTATCGGCTTTCCATATGTAAACAAAGCAGAGTATGTCTGCAGACGCTTCAAAAATGCTTCGCGATCGAGAACAACGGGAGTTTCGTCGACAACGTCCGGAATGGGAAGCGGGCTCTGGTGCGCGTCAACAACCTTTTTAGCATCGAATTCGAGGTGTTGGACTGAAAAGTCCTTTAGCAAATCGTTTTTGCTATAAGCGAAACAAGGTGAAGTTGTTAGTGAAATGATCAAGTTTATGACAAATTATGGTTGGATGCACTTACGACTTGGGTAGCGTATCCGATTCTGTACGGAATCTTTTACTCGTTGTGGAAGGCGTTCCTATTTCACCGTATATTTGATCGACCAAAGCTGAAAGCACTTCAGCTTTACGTTTCAAGCCTTGAGATGCCATGTATTCGTCGAGAGATCTGGTCTGAGTTTTTACACCGAAGTTCTAGCTGAAATTTGTGGTCTGCAGCAGAAAGCAGTACAATGCGCGCGCTAGTGATGTGATAGTGGCTGCTGAAAATAATGCCACAGTAAATTTTGGCACAGTATAAAAGTTTTTAAAATTCGTTTCATACGAAGAGCATATGAAGAGAAGCATGTCTTCATAGCATGATACGAACATAAACTAGCTATAAAGCTATTGTATGAAGACCACGAGTGTTGGCCGATGACAACTGCAAGATAACCAGATTGGAGAAACTGGATATATCTTCACATCAATTCATCAAATTTTAAAAGACTGCAAGTCATCGTCAATGAAGAAACGGTCCAAAGTAGGATATGTACAAAATATAGGACGACAAAATGCCAATTCATGTTCACACACGTTATACTAGAGCATTTTCAGTTGTCTTCATCGCACAGACTTTTATTTCACGAATAATGAAGGTAATCATTATTATTTCATTGAATAAGCGTAATCATATTGTTGGTTTTTTGCAAGGTACCTTTTTGATGGCTAGGCGGCTTAAACAGCATTTGATTGGCCAGTAGATGTATTGCTGCTGGCTATGGACTCCGACTGTCCACCTTAAGTTTCTTTCCTCTTGTCCTGCCAGCCTTCTATCGCCGCTCGTAAACCCGTAAATTGGAGGATTTCTTGACAAGCGTCACAGCACCTTCCAGTCCACAGTAGACTACTAGAATTTGCTTGAGGAGATTGGTGGTTGTGAGGCATCCTGTTGACATTCGGCTGCACTTCTTTCCTATCAAATATTTGACGACATTCTAATATCATATTTATACCAACAAGTTCGCGTAACCACAATATTCAGCACATTCTGTAAACTTTATATAAAGCATCATGTACGCTCCTTCAGCATCTACACTGGAAGCAAAAGTCGTTATACTAGGCAGCACAGGTTCGTAGCCATTCTATGCATTCTTACCCTTCCTATTCCTCCCGCAAGCTCCGCAGCTTGATTATATGCTGTTTACCCAGATCTCACTTATAACTCATTTCCTCTCCAAACATAGGAGTTGGAAAGACATCTATGGTTGTTCGATATGTCCAGAGGACATTTTCACCGAATGGTACCTCCACCATTGGAGCTTCGTTTATGACCAAAAAGCTGTGAGGATCACTATTAGTACATTAATCGTTATTTCCCGATCTTTTCGTACTCAATCCATGCCGATTTACGTTTTCAGATCAGTAGACAATTGCAAAGTTCGACTACAAATCTGGGATACCGCTGGTCAAGGTATGTTCTCTCATTTCGCCGGCGATGAAATGGTCATATGTCAAGCTTAAAATGCCGAACATGCGAATCATGGGATCAGGCGTTCAATTATACTCCTTTTCCAGTTCTTCAAGTGCAAATAGACTGTATACTAACTATAAGTAATTATAAGAACGATTCAGGGCCATGGCTCCAATGTATTATCGTGGCGCACACGCTGCCATTTTGGTGTATGATATCACATCAGAAGAGAGTTTTCAAGATATGAGCTCATGGGTGGAAGGTAGTGAATTGTACTGCTATTCTTACTATAAGCTTATACATACTGATATGCTTCACTTTAAAGAACTTAAAAAGAATATGACAGAAGACTTGGTAATCCATGTTGTAGGAAACAAATTGGATTTAGCTAGTACACATCGAGCGGTGCCATTGCGCCGAACGCAAGAATACGTGGCAAGGACTCTGGGATCCGATTGCCATACCCACGAAGTTTCAGCAAAGGAGGACGATGGTAAGTTGGGAAAACAATTTGTGTCCAAAGAACAGTAAAGCGGTTCCTGAACGTTTGGTATAATAGGTGCAATTGAAGAACTGTTTCTACAAATTACGCAAACACTGGTTGGACGTAAATTTGACACAGAAAGACAGCGATACCTTAAACAAACAAATCCTGTAATGATACAAGAAACGCCAGCTCAGAGTTCGTCATGCTGTGGCGTGTGATAAAATTCTATCCAGATGAACTATTCTGTTGCATAGCTAACTGTTTTTGCAAGACTTTTTTTTTGTCTTCTTTGATGGGAGAGAGATCTTTTGATGGATTTCAACATTTTTTTGCTTTTAAAACAGCCCTTCTTTTTATGATATAACCAACTTGTAACCCAATCAAACAATACCTTGGAGGTAGCAGATGTGTGCTCAATATCAGAGTCCAATATAACGATCGACTGACATAACTTCATTTCCTTCAATTTACGGCCTATTGAGCTTTATCAGAACCATGCCAACTGAATCTTTTGTTTTATCAAAGCCCACTTCGAGCACATTGGACGCAAAGACACTTTACTTCATAGCGATTTCTAGCCAATCAGATGATGTTATTTACAAGTCAATATGTTGGACAATCAGCCATGCATGTCGTTTGATTGTAATGCGTGTATGTTTGTATTTGAGCAATCGCTGCCGATTTGTTTATTGAATCGAGCCTGCAACGTGTTAAGTGACAACATGAGTTATTATGCGGTTCAAACAATGTGAGTGACTACCAATAGAAGTGTGAACCAATTAACAAAGTGTCAATTGTATGCATTGATGACCACTTTTAAGTATAGCACCATTCAGAATATTCTCATTCCGCATTTCATCCGCTTACTCCGGCGTTATCTTTCTGCAACCGTTGCTACTTAGTCGTTGGCGGCAGTAGGAAAATGATATCGGTGTTTGGATGTGTGTACCTTGTCGCAGTTGCAATCTTGAGTTCAATTGCAATTTCGGAAATGGCAGAGCTTACACAGTTTGTTATCAGTGCTACGATGTCTGACACTGGATTGCCTGGATAGACACAAACCCTTTTCTCGTAATGCTGAAAGTTGTTTGGCATACGCCAGCTGCTTAACTCCCAGCATTCTATTCAATTAAAGCAGAGGCACATGATTCATGCAGTTCTTTACATGACATACGTTTGATATGTGCCACCATGTTGGGGTTAACGATTTCCTTTCCAGTCACGGCTGGAGACACTGGTGGCTGTAAATTTAGATTTTGTAACATGTCCTTACTCTTGGCGCTGGATCGAAATAATTCGCTTGCTTGGAATGAACAGATGCTACATAGAGACTTCGTCGTTTAAAATAGTGATTATCAAAATCTTCTTTATTATTCTTAGCTTTGGTATTAATTATACTACAAAGTACAAAGTTCTACAGTGGCCATGTTTGGCAATAAGTACCAAACGCCTTGTTGCACACGGGGGTTAATTTTTTTTTCTCTTGGGCATAAAGGGCCAGTGCCTTCCAGTACAAGCTACGCTAAATTATTCATACGAGTTGTTCCTTGGGTAACGATTGTTGTTACGGTAATCATAGGATGAGTTCTGATAACCGCCGTAAGCATTCTGATAACCTGGTGAACTTCCGCCATAGGCATTGGCTGTATGCGGAGACTGATAACGCTTGGGCGAGAGTTCAGGTGTAGAAGTACCATAGTAATCATCAGTGTCATCGTCTTGGAATTTAGAGGATTGAGTCTGAGCCCCAGGTGAAACATCATCCTGACGACGGTACGGCACGTAGTTTTCAACATAACCGTAGCCTTGAGCTGGGGTAGATGGCTTCGCAGCGTTGTAATCTGAATACTTTGGTGCTGCAGATTGGTTGTAGTTGTCGTATGATTTATTGTTATTGTATCCATATGTTGCAGCGGCTTTTGCAGCAGGAGAAGTTGTCAAACCACGGTCATAGGGGTCATCACGACTGTATGCTTGAGCGTTGCTGTACGAGATAGAGGGTGACTGCACAGGAACAAGTGGTACATCTGATTTATAGTGGTAATCGTCGTCGTTGTCAAATACTTCTGATTTGTGCTGTGTCCACGCAAAGATTCCGAGAGCGACCCATGCTACACATGATACAATCATTCCAAGCCATAATCCATTGATCAACCCTTTTAATGATGGCAGATATCAGCACTTCGTTTCTTTCCATCAGTCAACTTATTGAAACAAAACTTACAGCAGCGTAGAAATAGATTAGAGCCCATGGGAACATCAGAGCTTTGAAAGGCCGAACAATATGTCATGAAGCCTGGGTTTGGCGTCTTTTTGAAAGCGAGGGTGTTATTCACCCAAGGTTCGTAGTCGCTTCCCATTTTGATGGTATTGTAAATCAAAAATCCTGCTATGACAATCGTGTTGACGATACTAACGTATTTATCGGCGCGAAGTGAGTTTAAGCTGAATGCGAATGTTATGAGTAGCGCTAGCGAGCAAATGAATGATAAACCTAGAGCGATCAGATAGAAAATGTACTGATTGACCGAAAACGAAATTAGCAGGAGTTAGACAGTCTCATCTAATAATTTGCCCATAACTTCGATTCACATACTTCCAAGTGCGTCGACCAAGCAGGCAAAGAGATACTCTTGGCATAAGTGGTAAAAAGGATAATGTTGGCTAAAACGAAATAGTATTAGTTTTTGCGCAGTGTTCCCTGAACAAGTGGCGAAAAGCAGTAATTTGTACCAATATGGCATCCAAGGGCACCACTAGTTACCAAGAAAACGAGCGATCGCAGCCCAACCAGCGTCAGAAATTGCCAACCCATCTTGAAATGAATGAGAAGAGAGATGACCACTGATCAAACCACGAGAACGGAGTCCAAGACTTTTTTTTTGCACAACCCTGTGGCTTTATTCCACGCAGAGTTTCCCAAAATCGGGCCTTTTCAAATGAGGCAATTGCAAAGAAACAATCACAATCACCATGCTTTCGGGTAAACAAAGCTTGGTCTAAAGCTGTTGAAAATTCAATGCTGCGTTGTAACATACAGTTTTGCATAGGTATCCAGAACCTGTCTGTAATGACATTTGTACAGCCTACTAGCTTGTATTGCCAGCTCTTCCAGTTTTTCCAAAACATATTCATGCAAAACACAGCTTCAGATTGACAAAGAAGTTTTATTTATAGGTCATCTCATAAGCTGAACGGGTTGGTCTTTTAACCTGCCAACAACAGATCAACTCAACCTTGCTTGATCTCGGCCGTAGTTTCAGCAATCAGTTGTATTCAAGCTAGTGATCAAGTTGCAATAAGGTTTCGTCTTCCGACATTACACCTTTGGAGATACAATGTGATATGTGGCACAATGGTCGTACCTCACATAGCGCTCACCACAAAGATAGCATTATGGCAAATGTGAGTAGAAAAACGTTCTCCTGAAATCAAGAGATCGTTATGTTAAACATATATGTTTTACATTTATTTTTATTTACCAATGACATCAAATTTCCTTCAGCCTTGCCTTGTATTTTTGGCCAATTTGGTCAATTGCAATTGACACGACCATATCTTTATGGAGCTAAATTGTCATTATGGGTGAGTAAAGGTTTATGCAGGAAATATAATGCCGACTGAGTCGTGGCATTTTCTCGACAGCTTTTACAAACCAGTCGAAATGATAAGTACGAGTTGGAGACTGGTTGATCGAACGTCAGCGTCACCATGACTGCTTCTTTTAACCAGAGCCTTTTGATGGCTCACTAAGGCATTGCATACCAGACCAGCATTCAATACTTATGAAACGAAGAGGCCCACCACCACCTTTTGCTCCTCCACCGCCTGCGTTCGGCTATGGTGCTCCCTCGAGAGATTGGGATGGTTACCGTCCATATCCTCGTCGCGGCGATTACCCACCACCTCCACGTACTTACAAACGTGGTCGACCTATGCCTTCGTCGAGACCCATTAGAACAGATTTGTTCGAATTTCGGTTGGAAAAACTTGTTATAGGCGACTATATTGCTGGTAAGTAGTACTGTCTTCTATTTTCGATACTATTTTCCAAACTAGTGCAATGCGTCTCCCAAAATTCGCCACTTTGAGACCGTCCGTCTGCACTATTAACCGACTCAAATATACAAACAACTGACAGTTATCATTATTATTATTATTACTACATCGTCACGGAAAACCTCTTTCTATAGAAAGCGGAGAGCAGAACGAAGGAGAAGATCGCTTGCGATTTTACTTGAAAGATAGCAGCAACGATGCTTCCAAACCAGATTCCATCGCGCTAACGGTCAAAGACGGACAGCAGAGGATTGTGATAGATGCCTCCAATATTGAAAGCATCGAACTTTCTCAAAAAACTGGACACTTTCACTTTCGAGTAGATGGAGAGTTCAAGGTGCTTGTCGAATCGAAATTGGCGGGTGATAAAGCAGCGCGAATTGGTCACTAACAATGTTTCATTTGCTTCACACGTAATTAGCTCCAGAAACTGGAAAACGCCAACTTTGTTGAATGTGAAGAAGATCCTTCTGGAGGACAACTGGCAGCGGTTAAAGAGTTTGATTGTTACGTGAACATGAAAAATCCAATTACAATGCCAAAGGATACAGAGCCAAACATACAGAAATGGAGTGGCGAAACCTCGCGCTATAAGGAGATCATAAAAGTTTTAGATGCTGACGCGGTAAGTACTTTTCATGAAAATACTGGAGTGAAAATACTGGAGTATACATTTTGTTCGCATACTCAAAGTAAATTTTGGTTTTAGCCTAGAACGCTTGACGATGTTATCGCGGATTGGGCAAGGACTTCCCCAGTTGGTCTGCCCTCAGAACGCCTGCTTTTTTCCAAAATACAGCTGAAAAAGGATGACCGGTTATTTGAAATCATCAGTACTCTTGCCCACGCTGAATCAGCTGTCGGCCCTGCTGTTGATATGTTGATGAGGGACTTCAAAAAAACCGCAGAGGGTAAACTGACAAAAGAAGAAATGGAAGACCGCATCAAGTCAATGGTTATGGCGATGCCGGAACCAGCTATTCTTAAGAGTCTAGACATAATATGGGCTAACGAGTCAGACAAGCTCTAGTAGCTTTTCTTCTGACATCTTGTAACATAATTCAAATCATTAGACGATACAAGTGAAATAAACAGTATCAACTGCTAAGCAAAAGCAACTACCGATGCTTGCAGCACGACATGCTGTAGAACGTGGTGCCTGAGTTCAATAATTACGATCGCGCAATTGACCGTATTTTGTCTTCCCATTGGCGCTGTGTTCGATTTATTTACTCACACTTTTCAAAAATTTGCATATAAGCGGTCTTTGTCTATTTTTTTGGACGATCGTCTTGTTCTCGACTGCTTACTTAATAATGGAAAAGGCTACATTCGCAGCAGGTTGCTTTTGGTACGAATTTGATTTTGTTGGTCAATGATAGAGATACAACTTACCGACTAATGTACATAGGGGTGTTGAGCATTGCTTTAACAAGCACTACCGTCAGCTTGGTATACAAACCAAAGTTGGTTATTCTGGAGGAGCAACAGAAAAGCCATTATACCCTGAGGTTAAGAAAGACATCACTGGCCATGCTGAATCTATCGAAATTATCTTCGACCCATCCAAAGTTGGCTACGCTGAACTGGTAGAATTCTTTTATAAGATGCACGACCCTACGACTTTGAACTACCAGGGCCCTGATGTTGGCTCCCAGTGTAAGTAGTCGAAAGTGATAAGGAATGGACGATAGATCAAGTTACTGAGAATGCATATTAGATCGATCCGTCATATTTTATCACTCGGAAGAGCAAAAGGAGATCGCTGAGAAAGTAACTGAGGCGGTCCAGAATGCTCACTACCAAGAACAAAAAATTGTCACATTGATTGTGCCTGCTGTTCAATTCTGGGATGCTGAAGAATACCACCAACTTTACTTGGAAAAGAATCCTGGTAAGTCAAATGCGGATACATAGCCGAAAAGTTAATCAATCTGACCAATTATTTTGTATGTGTTTGAATCGGATATATAGAAGGTTATGAAGTAAGTCTTAATGTCCTCTAGATGTACCCTGAGGTTTGTTTGATGGTTACTGACAATAATGTTTCCCGTGAAGTGCCCAACCCATTTCTTGAGATGGTAGATATTTAGAAGCAAATAAACGATTGTATATACACTATATTGCTAGTTTAAGAGTAGCGAAGACTCTGCAGTGGGCTAGTCACAGGCAATACCAAAGGAAAGCCTGTTGCCTTGCCATCTCAATCCCCGTCAATTTTGCTTTAGTTAGTCCCTCAATCGTGGTGGTGTTTAGAAGAACCACTATGTTGTATGGCTCAACCATATAGCTGATAGTATGATTTGCTACGATGGCTAGAAGAATCCCGGTATAAATTTTCAAATAGGTGCTCATAAGGCAGTAGACTCCTATTTTAATACCTGTGGATATGGTTCCAGGGGCAAGACCTGAGGCTGAAACGACATTATCTTTTAAATGACCACCATTTGTGGCAATTGTGGCGATGGGACACGCCTGATTGAACTTCTATAAAATGAATACCCGACTGAGCTGCTGCGTACGTTATTTGCCTTTTTCATCTTTACAATGACCTACGTTAGCGATTCGGTTGGTCAATTGCCTCCCTCCAACTCAAGACAGCCTCAGCCAGCTGTACCGACCCTGACTCCTCAGCAAGTACAGAGTGATTCTGAACCCCATGGTCATCGGCAGTCGGACATTCCCATCCAAGCGAATAAAGAACAAAGCGATCCACGGGCACCTCAAATAACAAACGTCGCGGATAAAGAAACTGTTTATCAACGGATCCTGCTTATAAATGGAAGAGCTGGTCCAACTGATAGGAAATTCGAAACAACGGTAACCGTCGTCACCCATGGATTCCCAGCCATTCACTGGCCGTGTGTGGATTCACACTTTAAAGCTCTGGTGCACCTGGTGCCTGGACCAAATACAATATCATTCATTATGAATGAACCGAATGGACAGCAACATACAACTCACTTTCATGTAACATATGTTCCTCTTACACAAAACGGTCCTTTGTATCTAGTTATCATGCTGGCATCTGATTCTCCTGCAACATTTGATGTACCACCAGAGAAGCGGCAAGAAAACTGTTTGGACGTAGCTATCGAAAAGTTCCGTATGTGTGCATACATGTGGCAAGCCTTTATGTCTGAGCAATTTTATCGTAATGGAATGGGTCGTCGCGCACTCCGACTTGACGAAAGGTTCATCCCAGATACCATTTCAGCCCAGGACAAAGGAACATTGCGTCAAACAGCTTATGTCCACGTCATAAGGTCGCGAAGAACCCTCAAGGAGTGGAGAGATTTACGACGTGCACAGCAAAGCCCTGACCGGGAGGATGACTTCCAAGATTTATTTTCTCTTTTCATAGAAGGGCTTAGAGACTACGGAGCTCCGTTCGACAAGCAATGTACTGTTGCTGGACTGATGTTGGACTCTCATTGGGACGTGAAAACCAACGTAACTAGGGCTCATGCAGCATTAGGCGGTGGAACTGGTGATTTGTCGTTAGGTATATTTGGATCCCACCTAACACATGCGTGGCCGCGCAACATCGAAGATATCGTTCCAGCATTCATGAACACTACCAAAACCGACACCCGATATGTGGCCAATGATGCCAATGAGTCCGGAGAATGGTGGAAAGCGGCCAATATTGGTATGGGAGCTATGTTGCACGAAGTGGGCCATGCTCATACTCTTACGCATACGGCAAGCGGCATCATGAGCCGTGGATACAACAACTGGAATCGGACATTCATGGTAAAAGAGCCTGGCTTAGCTCCCATACCTCCTCACCAAGAAAATGGCTCACACTGGCACCGGGTTGATATGCTGCGTCTTCGCTTCCACCGGGCTTTCCGTATACCAGAAGACGGCTATTGGGCGCCAAAAAGCGATGTTGGACCCACCTTTGCACCGCTTGCAAGCAATAAAGTAACCATTTCCGCTCCAGCTGGATTATCTATGCTGGAACTCATAGTCAATGGGTCCTATCGAACGCATCTTGAATGGCCAGAACCTCATGATCAGCCTACATCCTACATCGTAGACATAGATCAGATGAAAAAGAAGGCAAATTGCGGCCCACACGAGAGACTCAGGTTGGAGGCAACTTCCTGCAACTCTCAATCATCGGATGTAGACAACGTCGACGAATTCGTAAGGAACCACATTATAACCTTACCAGGTGTTCCAGGAGTTGTTTTCAAGAGTATGCCACTCGGCCATAGGGGCCTGAATGGTGATCAGAAATCATCCGTTATCCTGCTTCCGACACCCCAACGATATCTTGTAAGCATACGTGTACACCACGGAGGGTTTTTCGATGGTATGGTCTTTCGATGGAGCGACGGCACAAGTAATGTTCTCGGTACGCAAGGTGGTGGTGCCACCGAATTTAACTTGAAGCCAGGCGAATATCCGACCAAGTTTATTGTTCGAAGCGGCGGTTGGGTAGACGGGCTACAAATCCTTACAAACACCGGACGAGCAAGCCCTTGGTTCGGAGGTCAAGGAGGAGGACTCGCTGAATTAGAAGCACCAGCTGGCCAACAATTGGTTGGGCTGTATGCCACTTCTGGAGCTTGGATGGATAGCATTGGCATTATGTATAACTCAAGCTCAGGTAGCCCTCCTCCGTATGTACGATATCAATCCAGACCGTAGGGTGGGGGAATGCATTCAACGATACCTCAGAGCTGACGAATTCTTGTCGTTCTTGTGATAACACCTGTATCCTTCGTGAAATGACAATGATTGACAGCATACCTTTCACTTTGTATCATAAATGCAGAGATTGTACCGATTGTATTCTTTATTTATTTAGTTGAGCACAGAAAGACCACTTTAACGCTGTAAATGAAATGAAATCTCGATACATGAAATCTCGATACCTTATAATTTGTTGCCCGTTATGTACGGTGGACAGCTTTGCAATATTCATGACACCACACGCATTAAATGATCGCTTTACAGGCATGTCATTTTTTAGGCATAAATTTTCACAGCGTATATGACAAGAATTATCTGATATACATGTGAAGCGTATACCGATGGATAATGAAACGACAGCTTTCGCATTAAATTATGATATTCCAACAGCCGCTGCTTTTGAAACCAAAGTTCTTAAGAATGTCCGGAAGGTCATATCTGCTGTGCCTGATATGATGAATGGATTAAGCGATTTGAGAGATCTAATTGCATACAGGAAGGTCGAGTCAACTTAGCTTTCGAAAGCATCTAGACTGGCAGAGTAGGGGTTCTCTGTTTGCGACACATCGCACAGAAAAAGTGCATTTTCCCAAGACTTGTGACTTGCGCCAGAAAAAAGCACCGTGTGCACGCAACATAAAGCTTGTTCAGTTTTGAACTCTTTCATTACGCTTTATATTTTCCCATTGTGAATTATGAGTCTTGTCTACGGGTATGAAATAGGTAAGTTTTCCTGCTACACGAGCCTATTGATAGCAACCCCGCTCACTCATATAAACGTGGGTGGCATATAGAAGGAGATACAGCCGGTGGTAATGGCCGCATTGTGGTTCCTCCTTTGCTTAAGGACAAAATCACTGTTTCAACTTCCTCTAACACCAACAAGTGGGTCTTTATTGGTAGCCGTGCCGAAATTCTTCACTGGATCCGTCAGCATTCCAATCTCATCTTAGAGAATGCTATATTTTCAGGCGGAGACCGTCCATCGTTTCACACTCACAATGAAGTGGTTATCGATTTGCTCAACTATAGCGACCCAGAGCAGTCTTTCTTCCAGTATGTTCGATCTTACGTGAAGACGGATAACAACATTGATAAGGTGAAGGTGGAAATCAGACCCAAAGTCGAGAGTAAAGACCAAAATATCATGACCGCATGCCGAATCATTGTCAATTCGGGCGTCTCATTGGCCTCGATTGTTGACAATTTGGAGGAAAAGTGGAACGCCCCTGGTGCCAGCTATGTGCAACAAGCAGTTGATTTATTCAATGAAGTGCCTGGACCACAGCATGTGTTGAGCTCGGATGTGCCAGTTGGCGTTCAAACCGAGAGTCGCCAGCCAACTATCTGAACTGTTTCAATTGCCAGCTTCATAATTGGCCTTATTGTTCATAATCCAAATATATATTTTACTTATATTTCATAAATACTATGATCTCCTCTATCTTTATCATATCTTCCACTTGTTTTGCTGAGAAGACCGTGTTCTGGCTGTACCCGCCATCACCACAACAAGAAGGCGAAAGGGATTGCTTGCTGAAATTGTGCCAAACTGTCAGTTACTCATACCTGAAATATCTTAGTCCGTGATTAGGCAGTTCAGTATCAATGGCTTCGTTTTTAGCTGTGCTGTAATCTGACATTGGACTCGTTCTGGAGCATCGAAGAGACGCCAAACTAAGCTGCAGTAGAATACAGAATGGGTGATCCATACCTTGTGATGCTTACGTCAGCTAAAGGTACCCTAGTTCTGCAGTGCTCTGTACCAAGGTAGTTTGCTTCTCAGCAAGCATACTGACACACGTTGCGCAGGCACAGTTTGCATCAAGCTAACACTCCTATTAAGGAGAGGTAGCCAAGGAGCGCGGAGGCGAGTTTGAGCCTCACACAACGCCACAGTCGCTTGTGAATTTCCTCAGCGTACCTCACGTGGCAGCTCAAATATCGAGTACATTGCCTGCTCAAAGCATAGACGGAATTGTTGCGCCAGCTTTGAAATTACATCTGTCTACCAAAAAAGCTTGACCTTCTTCAAATCGGTATCTTCTGACACCGAAGGAATTGGAAGCTGTGGTGTCGTATAAATCCTCTAGTTCCACAATCAGCCTCGTCCTCCAACTGTGGAAAATGTACTTGTGGTACTCATGTGGGGGCATTCATCAGATTATCTTATGGGGAACAGCGCAGAGGGCTAAAAAATAGACAGAGTGAAGATATAAAAATTTGAAGGAAGAAAACCTCATATCGGCAGCATCCCATCCTGTTATTGTCCTTGGCAAACTACTTCGACCTCTGGATCTTCTCTTTTACTGCGTTTGAAATTTATTGGCCGAATTGAAGAGCATAAATTACAGCCACATGTTGTCCTACGCCAACTTCTTCATTAAATTTAAAGTGAGCGTTTTTGAAATCATTGCCGGACATCATTCCGGGCAAAAGAAGACGTAAAGAATAACGTTATGACTTGGTAGGTGTCCGACTGAAGCAAGCAGGCTAAAGCTGCAGCGGTATCGGACCCAGATCCCGCCAAGATCATTATTATGATGAGCGGAGCATTTGAAAGCACGTTCTTCGCAACAGCGTAAGTTCCACAGATGAAGTAGCAACTACGTAGTCAAACAATGATGGTGGCGCCTTCTAACCATTCCTCCTGCAGACCCAAGAAAGACTTTCCGAAGCAGTATCTTCTCCTGTAGCAAAGCCAACTGGCCCTTGGCAAATACCTCAATGTCGTCAACAACTTAGACGATCACAAGGGATATATCCCCAATCAAAATTGGTACCAACAATTACGCTCTTCTAAATTAGGGGAAACTTGGCACAAAAAAGGAAACTGTGTGGCGTGTCATTCCGTAAAAAGATTATTCTGGCCGTTCTACAACCCACTCCAGTCTCATATAAAGAAGTCAAGACAGATCAGCCTCACTTGGCATTTTCTGCTTTTTTGCATAGACTCAAATTTTACGCATCTTTTCACCCTACTCATTAAGTAAGTTGACACACATATAAACCCCTCTTCCTTTGGCGAGCAACCGAAAAACAACAAGGAAGATATTTCATCGTCCTATTGGCAATCTCTTACTTTACCCAAAATTGGTACGACCATTACTACGACAAAAGCAAGCTCAGATCGTACATCGCCTATAAATTTTATTATCCCTCTTCTTTCCACCAATGTCTGTTAAGACAAACAGTTCATTTACTAGCGAATCATTCTACAGAGCAAAAGACGCATCTCAAGAACATATTATGATGCAAGAACAACCAACTTCGTCTGACCAAAAGTTGACAGCCAGAACACTTTCATGGAAGCGAGATCAGACCAATGGCGACTCATCTTCAGTCAACAATGTTGTCCGCAGCCCAGACGAGATCGAAGCAGCACCCGAAGAAGAGAAGAAAAAGCGATGGATAGAACCCACTGCCAGACAAGGCTTTAATGCCATTGTCAGATCTAGTTGGCTCAATGTCCTCTTGGTTTTCATACCTGTCGGCATTGCATCGCATTTCATGACTAGCTGGCCAGCCACTATCCCATTTATCTTCAACTTTATAGCTATTATCCCTTTGGCAAAACTATTAGGCTTTGCAACCGAAGACTTGTCTCTGCGAGTTGGAGAGGTAATGTCTTCATTAATGCGCGTACCATAATAAATGGTAGCCACCCACTAATCAACCCTGATTTAATTTTAATTTCTCTTTTTTTTGAATTACAGGTTCTTGGCGGTCTGTTAAACGCAACTTTTGGAAAGTAAGTTCAACTATATTCTTTTATTGAAACTCCATGCAATCGAAAAGCTTATTCACATGCAATTAACTAGTGCCGTTGAATTGATTGTGTCAATCATCGCCCTTGTGCAAGGCTTGGTTACCGTTGTACAGGCGTCTATGCTGGGATCTATCTTATCCAACTTACTTCTTGTGTTGGGAATGTGCTTCTTTTTCGGCGGCCTCAAGTTCAAGGAGCAAAGCTTTAACGTCACAGCCGCTCAAACCTCTGCATCTTTGCTCTTCATTGCTACCAGCTCACTTTTACTTCCTGCTGCCTTCTATGGCTCTGCCTATGGTCTCAGTAACGAAAACAAAGCCGATGTTACAAAAGAAATTTTAAGCATTTCCAGAGCTACCTCCATCATTTTGTTGATCATCTACGCCGGATTTCTGTTTTTCCAATTGAAAACACACAAGTCTTTCGTAAGTCCTATACTATGCTTACCCTTATACATTGTGCAATTATTGAGTTATCGTTTCAGTTCTTGGAAGCTCCTAAAGAAGCCGGTAAATTTGAACGCAGCAATTCACGTCTCGTGCGTTCCGATACGGAAGCAGCTGCTGGCAATCAGAATGAAGAAGAGGAAGAAGAGGAAGCACCCTTGATGCCCTTGTGGATGTCCATGGTTTTGTAAGTACCTTCATGATGAGTCATTCTTATATATATGCGTACTGATGTATATTTTTTGTCTCTTTGTCAGGTTGACTGTTATCACTGTATTTGTTGCCGTTTGCGCCGAATTCTTAGTTGATGCAATCAGTGCTGTTTGTGAGGCCTGGGGTGTGTCACAAACCTTTGTTGGTTTGGTTTTGCTTCCCATAGTAGGAAATGCCGCTGAACATGTCACCGCCGTCACTGTTGCCATAAAGAATAAGGTAAACCCGTTATTTCGACTTTGAACGGAGCGTCTCGAACATATATTTTAACCATATTTATACAGATGGATCTAGCCCTCGGTGTCGCGGTTGGTTCTTCCATGCAGATTGCACTTCTCGTTACCCCACTTATGGTCATTATAGGATGGATCATCAATCAGCCCATGAGCTTGTACTTCAATCTCTTTGAAACCGCTGTTATGGTCATCGCTGTCTTGATGGTCAACTATCTCATCATGGTATGTCTTCGTTTATTGTTATGTATATAGTCATACCCGTATTAACACATCCCCTAATGCAGGACGGAAAGAGTAACTGGCTTGAAGGCTTAATGCTTTTCTGCGTGTATATTATCATTGCTATTTCAATTTATTACTACCCAGCAAATGACGGTGACTCCTTGTCAACTGCAACAAACTCAACTTCAACGTAAATCATATTGCTCGACTTGACCTACAAAAAGGTTTATCGAGACCTTGACATAGTCTTTAGTTTATAGTTATAGAGACCTGTTGACTATTTAATGTAACCAAAAATTTCCCGCATCTGAACACAAAGCATTGTGGTTTTCCATTTTTCATTATTGAACACATAAGGAGAAGTAATCAAAAGGTGTTACCAAGGAGTCAGTAACGGAGGAATACTATAAAATTTGAATGATTCTAAATAAACCCAAAATTAGCGGCCGGGCCAATGCCAGGTATCCTTACATCGTGGAAATGCTACTGTACAAATGTGAAGACAGATGGGAAAGAGTATAATGATGGCATTGCAAAAAGATGGTGAAAGAAGTTGTGGGGTGGTAAGTCTGCATCCATAGGCTCCCTTTGTTCCGACAACTCTAAAGTAAAGTTGGTGAATGGATGTGCTATCGCATGTACTTGTTCATTTCTTGATTTCGTCTTCTTCTTCTTCATCATCATCTTCTTCTTCATCGTCTTCATCATCATCACTGAAGTCATCAAAATCGCTACCCAAATCGAAGTCATCGTTGTCGAAGTCTTCAGCTTTGATATGTGACAAATCATCGCCACGCTCCAATTTCCGAAGGTATGATCTACGTTGTCTAAGGGTCATTCTGTTCAATAACCGCTCAAGTTCCTGTCCTTCTCTCTGTAGATCCTTGTCCGTTTTGATATCCGATTTGCTAAGCATTGAATCACTGTTAGAACCATGAAAGTACGGCGGTATGTCAACTCACATAAAATCTTTACCAACCTTGTAACAATCTCTTTACTCTCTAAACACTTGGCGCAAACCTTTCTCTTGCAGGCACAGTCATCGCACAAAACGTGGTAAGCTTCTTTGATTGACTTTTGCTGACAGCTGGTACTGGAGAGCAAAACAAGATTAGTATCCAATTCAATGGTGATTCGGCACAAAACAACAATGAATAATACATACCACTTCTTTGGTGCTGTCAATGGCTTATACTTCTTGTACTTCTTTCGCCACAGAATGACTTCGGTGCATCTATCGCAAAGTCCATAAACTGGGAGAGCGTTGATAATTCTCGTTTTCTTCGAGTTCTTGTTAGGCTTCCATGCAGTTGAGTTCTGATGAGCTTGAGCCTTCTTCTTATTATTTCCTTTTCTCTGTGTAGATTTATTCTCGTACACAGACATTGCAAATGGTGATCAGCTCGGTTTTCGAGATTCCACAAAACTTGCTTGTTACTGAAAAAAAAAAAGTCTCTCCATTGTGACTTGATTTTTTTTTCCTATTCGAGTTTCTAGAATCGTCACATGACTGGCAAGTATGAATGGGTGGAAATCAAAGCTCCTAACACAATGACACATTTTGGCTCTTACATCTGTGAGAAACTCTTAACAAAAGGCGTACGGTTATGCTTCATCCTGATAAAGTCTCATAAGATTTCGTCGAAAATATCTTCTTCCATTCTTACAGTATTCCTCAACATAAACCTCGTATGGGTTCACGATATCTCTGGCCAAGGATCCAAAATATCAGTTCTCTTCAAGCTCGCTTACAAGGTTATATCATTAACGATTACTTCTTCAATTGCTTAAACAACAACAATCAAAAAGTGAGCACTTTAAATCGCTAGATAGCAAAAGATGAATCATAATGGGGATAGTAATACAGCCAGTTCTTCTCGAAAATGGCAAATTTGACCTCGATAATCTTTCTGCTTTACAGTCTTCTGTATCTAATTTTTTGACTATGAGCATATCCTGAAGCTCATGTAACGCATATCTTGTGATTTATTGTTGTACTTAAAGATGTTAAGATCAGCTGTATCATACGTGTTAAATGAAGACAAAGAATTATACCAAAAAAATAAAAAAAGATGATAAATGAGAAAAATGCTATTTCGCATGACCATTCACCAATTCACTCATTCATTACTGGCATTCGAGACCTTAGAGTCTCTTCTAATACTTGTTGTACTATCGATAAATCTCGATCCAGTCTGGTTCGCCAGTTGTTCACGGTCCCTCTAATAGCAGGTTTCCCGTTCCATACCGTCGAACTGACGTACGTTTTTTCTGTCTTCTTGATAGCGTCGATGAATTCGTCGTTTCCTCCAGGATGCGCCCATTGTTTGGCCGAGACGCGGAATAAGAATGTGTGGAGGTAAACTGGGGTAAGGAGCTCCAAGTCCGGATGTAAATCTATCCATTCACCTAAGCTTACCGCAAACTTGCAATTATTCTCGAATAATTCTTGGTACCCCTTGGCTCCATAGGTCAGCAGCGACATGTACAATGGTAGAGCTCTAAATCGACGAGAGTATTCGATACCAACGTCCATAGGTTGAGGAACGATGGTCTTGGCGGATTCAAGGTATGCTGCCTTGACTCCTCCAAAAACTTCTAAGCACATATCGATGTGCTTGGTGTAAAACAATCCACAGTCATAAGGCACGTTTAACCACTGACGTTATGTGTTAATCATCAGTTAAAACAAGCGAACAATGGCAAGCAGTTACATACCTTGTGAGCATCAGAAGTCATACTATCTGCCAATTCAATATGCGCAGCAGATGAGGCATACGAAGGCATAGCTCGAGCATACATACCATACGTTGCATCAATATGCAACCAAGCATCATACTTGGTACATAGCGCTCGAATCTTGTCTATATCGGCCGTGAATCCACCAGTGTTAACCTGAATCAATTTGTATCCGAGTAAATTGGTCATGGTAGCTACCGCAAAAAATCAAAGCATTTGTACCTCACCACACCCAACAGAAACAATAGAGGCTTCGGAATCACCATCTTTTTGTTCTTTGAGAATTTTCTCTAGTCTTTTCAAGTCCCAATTGCAGCCTCGATTGTCCAAAGAGACGTCGATATAGTTACTACGTCCTATTCCGGCCACTCCAACTGATTTGACAACACTTGAATGAGCGCGACCACCGATGATTTTGATAGTTTTGCCACAGAAACCATCTTCTGCGACGTTGATATTGAATCGTTTCTTTGCAACCCACTGTCTGCCAATTAAAATGCCAGTGAGATTGCTTGCTGTTGCTCCTGTAGTTAGAACTTTTCCTGGAAATGCATCTCTTGGGATATGGCCGAGGTCTAGGACCATATCAAGTGCCAACTGTTCGATTGTGAAGGCATTTGATTCCTTTGGTTGATGTAAAATTATATTCAAATCATATAATGTTGTCAAAAAGTCACCAACAATAGCCGCTGGAGTTGTTCCTCCCATGATCAAGCCAAAATACCTAGAAAAGTTATATAGTCAATCAAGTGAAGCAAAACTTGTCATATCTATGCAAATGTTCACCTTGGCCCATTCATATTTGGAGCATTATTCAACACGTTTTCAAGCATTTGAGAGAGTGTTTTGTCAAGAGGCTGGCCCCATTCTGGAAGGCGGGTTGATATCAAGAGTGCTTCCTCCTCTTCGTGATTGTGATTCAGCTGAACAACAGGTAGATCATGCACATTGTCATTGCGATCAAGAGCAATTTGGACAACTTGCTCCAAAGCGGCTTGGAACTCGCTTCGAGAGATATGCATCGTTTAAAATGACAAGCAGAAGCTAAAAAGAAGTATTTAATTGGAATCACTACACTAGATGATGCCTCTTATGTTAATTATTCTGGTGAAAATGATGTGCAACTTTGGCTTGTATAGCAGTATGCCAATAGGAGCCTCCAAATATTGACACCCAGGGATGCATATTCCGATCATCTAAGCTGTCATATAATTTCCCAAATGCATCGATCTTAGGGATGCATATAACGTTATTGTTATGAACAGCTTAAATAAGTTCAAGTTCTCCTTTACTGGGGTAAGGCTAACGAACTTTCCAGAAAACAAAAAAAGCCCGCGCAAAAGGGATTGCATGTTACCCCATCACAAAGCTTATTTGTCGAATCCAGACATAACAGATTACGAAAAAGGAGAAGAAATGACGGACAGCAGCAGAAGCTTTTAATGAGAAGACATCCTCTGTTCGACGTTGCGCGGTTGGACAACGCCACTATTTTATGGTAATTGTGACCATAGCATTTGCATTGCTTATTTGGGGCGACTGCAATTGTTCCTTCATATTACGCGTCCACAACAAAAGCATAGATGGGAGGAAGAGTCCCCTTCAATACTAGTAAATACCCGTATAATGAAGAATTATTTATTCAGAGCCATTCATGAGCTTTCCGTTCAAGGGTTGCCTGAATTCAAGTTTTTCATTCATTGATTCAAATTCAAGCATTGAATTTATGTTAGTAGTAGTCACTAGCAAACAAAAAGGAGACATAAGGCAATGCAGTGGGATACCCTCAGTTATTTAGACAAATGTAGGAGCTAAACGGAAGCCTAATAAAGGAATAACAAGCCTTCGACGGAGACCACAAATAGAGCCATTAAGTCTTTTCAGACATATTACATGGCGATGGATCTGATGACATCGAAACTATACGTTTTTCCTGTTATTTTTACGCCTGCAGTAGTGCGAGCAAACACCCGCGTTACTCACAAACTTTTATATGCTGGACAAGATTTAGCTTCAACGTGGAGAACCCATGCTAACATGCTAAGCAGGGAAGTGTGTCTAACGTTAGGACAGCTTTAGATATCTACATTTCAAATATTTGCAATACGTGAAAACATTTTCTCCTCCGATAAACGAACGACCGTTAATAAAAGTCCCTGACGATGAGCTTCCTGCATCAGCGAGGGGCATCACGAGCTTCATTTTTGCCGATCCAAATGTCAATACAGCTGGGTTGCTGTCATACAAATTGACTTCTGTTTGTTGTTTCCACCAATGCCCTCAATCTACGGCCTGCGATACATACGCAAATCACATCATTGTGTGCTTTATTATCAATTTTCTTCTACATGAATAGCTTCCAAAGTATTGATAACATCCTTCCAGTCCCTCAATGCCTGAGTTAAGCTGTTAGAAGGATGCATACAAATTGTGCAATGATCGACTAGTAGGCTCACCTTAGTATAAAATTCCGTTTTCACACCAGTATAGCCTTCGAGAGCGTTCTTAATTTCGACAGTTCGAGATTCCTCAAAGTACTTGTATTCTCTCTCCACTTGATCTGAAAATGAAGTTGACACTTCTTTGCTTTGCTCAGTTGCCTCTTGCAACTACAATGATCAATGTTATTAAAAAGGTAATGTTGCTAGCACCAACGCTGGGAGTAACGGCTTACTTCTCGGATACGCATATCCAATTTGAGGATCTTCTCCCTTCTCATTTTCTCCGAATCGATACCTCTGGCTTCTTGTATCTTGTCAGTAAGGTAGCCGGTAATATTGAGGCCACGATCCATCATTGACGGATGCATAGTCCTTTCTCGCTCCTTCTCTGTTGCTGCCAAATACTCTGTCAACTCCTCGTAATCAACTTGCTTTTGGTCGCGTAATTTCAAGACGGTCTGCAATACAAGGTCTTAATACTGTGCTGCCGCTTTCATTTCCATTTCGTCGTGTATCTCACCTTAACGGCAGTACAATATGCGATGTACTCGTGTATTTCACTGATCCAATCAGCCTCGCCCTTGTCAGACTTAGAGAAAACTACGTCAATAGATGCATAACAGGTATCTTTTTTTTCAGTAACTCGCTACTAACCAGATTTTTCATAGCTCTTGAGTACTCAGTTGCTGTTTCCGCAAATCGCAGTATTGGAACTGTAATGCCGCTTTCAAGATTCGCTAGCCCTTGCATACTGCTAGCGAATTCCTTGTAATCTTGGGAGAGCTCTATTTCAAAGGGCAAACTTTTGCATAAACGTCCGGTTTGACAAACAAATATTTCATGCTTACGACCTTACCTTCTTGTCGTTTGTTGGTTCGATTCAGAGTCTTCTCGATTAGAGTCAAGTTCTCCTCCAGTTTATCCAACTGTTCTTTCATATTTACAAACCGTTCGTCTGGATTCTTAATTTTACTGAATGCATTGAGCAATGAATCACTAAAGGTATCAAGCATGGTCTCTTGTTGTTCGCGTAATGCACGAGCAGAGGTATCGTTCTAGAATGAGTATGAGTGATAAATTATAGTCATGAATTAGCGGAAATTATAGAAACTTTCAAGTGCATGACCTACTTACAAATTTCGGTGACTCCAGGAACATCTCAAAAAATTCGGCGTTGCTTAGTATAGGGTGTCTACCAATCCTTTCAACAAAGTTTTGCAAGCTGGCTCTTCGCTTTTCCACAAAATCACCTCCGAAGCGGTCTCCTCGGACATACTCTGATTATAAAATTCATCAATAAATCATGCTAGTCATCGGTAACTCATAGGGCTTGATAAAAGTTAGCTTACCCATCCGATGCTTCTCGGGTAAAGAAGGAACAAAGCAAGCGGGGAAATGAGCATTTAATACATTATATAACCAAACAAAGTCTTGAAAACGTCTTCGCACTGATGCTTTCTGAAATATTTAAAAACACACATCAGAGATACTGAAAAGTGACATTCATGTACCAACAACGTAAACTGTGGATACTTACATCGGAGGTGATCAGATAAGACATGTACGTGGATTGGCCATCCGTTTCCTTCTCAGGGTCCGATACTCGAATGTTTCGGTCTGTAATAATATGAGTCGTCTTGTAGGCGCTTGTTGAAGGGTTATTATAGATAGTTGTTGGGGCAAGCTGTGATTCGAGGTAAGGATTGAAGACGGGTCGATTAAGGTCGTAGTTGGTGGAATAGGTGTCGGTGAGATTACTTGTCGAAGCTAATGAGTCATTCTGTTCATAATGGTATTATTATTATTATTATTATTATTTGATTTTTTTCTCACAGGGCCATGCTTCTATGCTTACTTGGCTTTCAAAGTTATTGTCGAGCTTCAAGGTACTGTTCATGGAATCTGCAATGTCCGACAATGGGTCAATAGTAGCCGTGTCAGCATGTCGACTTTTGCCGAGGGGGCTACTATCGTCCATTCCGGTGGTAGCATCTTGTATATCCCACTGAACGCTGTCATATTCGTCGGTTTCTTCCATGATGTACTGGAGTGAGCGCACTTCGAAGGCCAAGTCGAATGACTTAAAACGGTCAGCCAAGCAAGCGGGGAATGATCACGTGTGACTGTCTTCCAAGCTCAATGGCTTCACAGCTCGAGAATCGCGACGCTGTTCTTGAAGTTGAAGAGAGGAAATGGTAAGTTGTGTTCTCCACAAAGAGTAGACAAATGCGCGGAATCCCTTGAACTAAGACTTACGTCTACATGACTTTAATGTAGCCCACTACATATATACCAACTGTGGTCAAAGATGACGGTAATAATCTCGACCAAGCGCCAAACAACGATTCGGAAAAGTATCATATAAACTAATGCCACAACAAATAACTTTTAGCTCACAGAGAAGGAGTTTGGGGTGTAGCCTGGTCATCTGTGACCGATACGGTTATAACTGGATCGTTGGACTGCACTGTAAAATGCTGGTAAGGGGATTCGGTTAAACCTCATCCATTTATATCACACGGATAGTTGATGGACATGACATTTGTAGGGATGGAGCATCCGGAGACGAAAAATTCAAACTGGAAGGACATAGTACAGGAATCATTTCTGTGGATACCAATAGGAGTGGATCATGTAAGTCAAATCAGTATTGTTATTGTCACATTTTAGTACTTCTGACAAGTGTTGTATTCAATGCCAGTGGCTATATCAACATCAATCGATTCAAACATTCGTGTATGGGATTTGGAAAATGAAGGAAAGCTATTACATAGCATTTCAGCGCCACCAGGAGAGGCATGGACATCCAAGTGCAGCCCTGATGGATCACATTTCGCTTCTGGCTCATACAGCGGCCATCTGAACATTTACAATATTGAGAGTGGTCAACAAGTGTCATCGCTAGCAACAAAGAAGCAATTCATCATGTCAACTGCATATGTAAGTCTTATGATATCAGAGTTACCGAGATGCTGGCGAACCAACTGACCCTGTCAATAGAGTGCGGATGGCAAATACTTGGCCTGTGGAGCCGAAACTGGCATCATATATGTCTTCGATGTTGAAACTAGTCAGTTGGTACACACATTATCAGGTATGTTTCCAAATCTATGTCCAAATTCTGTGATTCACCTATTCAATATTACGATATTTAGGACATGCAATGGCCGTTCGAACGTTATCGTTTGCTGCTGATTCTCGAACGTTAATAAGTGGATCAGATGATAAACGGATTCATGTGTATGATGTTGAACATGGACAAGTGGCAGCGGCACTCACTGGTCACAACGACTGGGTTTTGTCGGTGGCATCAAATCCCAATATCTCCAAACAGCAAATGGCAAGCGCAGGTTCAGACAAACAAGTCAAGATATGGGATCTTGGAATGCGACAAGTTCTGGAAACTCACGAAGTCCATGTAGACCAAGTCTGGGGTGTTTGCTGGAATTCAGAAGGTACAAAACTTGTATCTGCTTCTGACGACAAATCTATCAAGTGGTTTGCTGCTAGCGGCTCAGGATAGACAATGTGTATCGATGCACCATTCTGTAAAGATGATCATGATAGAAAGTTCAGTAGTTAGAATTCAATGTTTAGCTGCAAGTGATTGACGGCCAAGGAAAGGAAGTACGCGATGGTATAAAAGTGCTACTGCCAGCGACTTTCAATTTCTACCTCCCTTAATTACAGAAACCAATTTCAGTTTGTCGGCCCAATTAAACACGCAAAAAATTATTTTTTTGGCACCCAAATTTTTTTTTTTTTGTCTCATTCACTGGTTTTGTCACTAAGATCGGGGCTCCAAAACAACCTGCCGGGCAGAGTGGCCGACAGATATCTTCTTTTTCATCTCCAATTTTATTACATCTTGTCAGACGAAAAGTCATGGTGAACTCAGATCGGCCCTACACAGTTGACGATAACGTTCGTTTCATAAACTCAACTGTTAATTCAGTATATGAGTTGGTAGCTCTGATTCCAGGATCAGACATCATTATGAACTACCTCAAAGAATCATACCAACATGATCCCTTTCGTGTCGTCCTTGAGCTGTTCCTTGTCTTCTTTGCTATCAAATACATGCTAGCCAAGCGCTATAAACCCAATGATAACTCTGTCAAGTTGACGAACAAGGCAAGTTATATTACTATATCTTTCGGCACATGTTAGATAATTTGAATTTCAATTAATGGCACATACTGACATGGTGTTTGGCTTCAATAGGAGATTAATGAACTTGTTGAAGAATGGCATCCAGAGCCTCTTGTGCCTGCATTGAGCTCTTTCGATCGCATGACCTTGGAAAAGACTCCTGTTATTATTGGACCTCAATCTGCAAAGCCAAAAGTCGCTGGGCATACAAAGCCTCTACTCAATCTTGCCACTACCAATTATATCAACCTTGTGTCTTCTGAACAGATTAAGGAGAAGGCTATCAGTACGCTTAGAAACTATGGTGTAGGTTCATGTGGACCTCCCGGTTTCTACGGAACTATCGATGTACACATGGATTTGGAAAAAGATATCGCTAGATTCCTTGGTACTGATGAATGTATCATCTATGCCCAAGGTTTCTCTACCATTTCATCTGTCATTCCTGCTTTCTCTAAGAGAGGCGATCTTCTTGTTGTGTAAGTTACTACATGTGATATATTGTGCTGAACATGACACCATACTGAGTCAATCACATTATTAGCGACGAGGGTGTCAACTTTGCTGTTCAGAAAGGTGTTCAAATCTCACGTTCAAATGTCCGTTGGTTCAAGCATAACGATGTTGAAGACTTAGAACGAGTCCTTGAAGAAATTCGTGTTGATGACCTTGTGGTAAATTAATCAACACAATTATGTCGATGTAACTGGTATTTCATTTATTTATATTTGACATTTGACAATTGTAGCACAAGAAGCGCTTGACAAGACGTTTTATCGTTACCGAAGGTCTATTTGCAAACTATGGTGATATTGCTCCCCTTTCAAAAATTGTACGTGTTCCGTTACAGACTTTTTTCTTTTTCATAATATCTTGCTAACTTTGACCCATGCCGTTTGCTTCCAGGTTGAATTGAAGACCAAATACAAGTACCGTTTGATTCTGGATGAATCCCAATCCATTGGTGTTTTGGGCAAACGCGGTGCTGGTTTGACCGATTTATTCAACGTCAACCCTAGCCAAGTCGATATGATCGTCGGTTCCATGTCGACCGCTCTTTGTTCGTCAGGAGGTTTCTGTGCTGGCTCTAATGAAATCATTGATCATCAGCGTCTCTCTGGTTCCGCATATTGTTACTCTGCATCTATTCCCGCCATGTTGGCAGTTTCTGCTAGTGAAGCTCTGAAGATCATTCAACAGCAGCCTTCCATTCTCACCGAGCTTAGTGAACGCATGCAATCCGTTCGCCAAACTCTTAAGCACAAATCAATGGAGCCGCTGATTGATCTCTTCAGTGCCGACATGGACTCTCCTGCACCATTCTTACATATCCGTGCCAAGCCAACGTTCTTGAAGCTCCACTTGAAGGGTGAAGAGACTGAAGTTTCCCGCGAAGACGAAGAGCGACTTCTCCAAGACGTCGTTGATGAGTGTGCCTATCAAGGCGTTCTCATCACTCGTGCCAAGTATGTTGTTGAGCAAGAGAGACACTGCCCTAAGCCTAGTATCAAAATCTACGCTACTACTGGTCTTACAAAGAAAGAGACCGAAAAGGCAGCTTCTGTTGTCAAGGCTGCCATTATCAAGGTATTTGGCAAGTGGAGACGTGCCTAGGAACCTTGCCTGCAAAACCGGCGGCCCCAAACATTTCCGGATTGATACAATTTGCGTTTAATTTTGTTGCTAGCTTTAATAATATATAATTTTCGTTTCCATCATTGGGTGAGCTGTTATCGAGTATTTTTTGAAGGATGGTTTGCAATAGCTTATACGAACTTTAGCAGTATCAAGGTGTATGGCGTGTTCGATAGAAGCACCAATGTCGGGCAATGAGTGGCAAGCGGGGGCAAAACGGATCAAGCTCGAGTTTGTCGACGTCATCAAAATTTTCAATAAGCCAAAAAATAACTACAGGCAGAGCGGTCGGTTACTAGCACCAAGTACAGTCAACATGCGTTTTACAAAGTCTCTTTTTCAAGCTGTTACCAAGGTCAGTATTCATCTTGTTTGAATGACATAATGTGGAGCGTTCAATTTCCAAACATTGGACAATTTACGACGATTTCAATAATTTGCCGTTTCAACCCCCATGGAGGATTGAATCTGACTTTTTTTCAAATGTACTAACGCTCGTGATATCTTTCTAGTCCACCACAGGCCTCGCTGGTATTCCAGTTCACCCAAACCCTCGCCCACATTTGATCAGCACATACAACGCCACGTTGACTGCAGCTTCACGTCTCCCTGCCACCGCCGTCTATCGTCAAGCCGTTGAATCTGTCACGCAACATCGCTTGTCCGTCGTCAACGCTACCGAAAACGTCAATGAAATAGAAGAGCAGTTGAACGCTGGTCAGATTGAAGAAGTCATCTTGCAGGCTGAAGATGAGTTGAAGTTGCTCGCCAAAATGGAGGAGTGGAAGCCTTGGGAGAACCTTGAAGTTCCCACCCCAAAGGGTCAGTGGGATTATAACGGAACCAAGGAGTAGAGCCCATACATGTAGTAATTAGAGCCTGTTGAATACCGCCATAACAACCCACCTAAAAAGAAAAAATTACAAATCTTTCATTACAACCAAAGACTCTTTTTAATTTTTTTTTTTTTGGGCAATGCATCAAATGATGTGTGATTATGCCACGTTATAAGTGGATGGCACACCACTTGTGCTCGGTGGTTTATGATGTTGGCTGCTTTTATGCATGAGCGCACTTGCCTTTGCTGCCAAACAGCATCATCCATGATGCAGCGCTGGAAACAGATACATACCGATTAAGCTACTGTTTCTAATTAGGAATGGGCAAGTTTCCAGTTGAACCGAAAAGGATCTAAACTAAGCATGTTGGTGAGAACTTCTCTTAACCGCAGACCCACTCTCCCATAAATATACTTTACGCAGTAACGAATGTGTAAAGACTCTTCCACTTCGAGACAAATGTAGATGATGGTTAAGAAGAGAAAGTAATTGTGAAGGACTTGGACCCGTCAGATTACCAATCTGTGCCAAAAAGCTCCACTGAGGGTCCAGGTGATCATAATCTTTGCCACGCAAACCTTGCTTGCTACAAGATCGATTAGACAACCCCATAATTGGTGGTGGCCATGGCTGGGAAACCACTTTTTCCGTTTTTGAAGATTTGCCAATTTCAGCCCCGTACTTAGCTTTTCTCGACCACTGAGTCCTTTACCCGTACCTTTCCCGCGAACAACACAAATCGTGTGTCCTCACACTACCGGCAACCATCTTTCAACATTAAAGTTGGCACACCGTTGTCATGGCGGATATTGTAGGTGTACTCTCTGTGTTTCATTTGGTAGTCTGCCACTGTGGTTGCATGGCGGCGTTTTCAGATCATCAGTTCTAGCAACTCATTGTGTTATCCCTAATCAGCCAGGACCGGGAAGTGTAGCTAACAATCTGGCAAGAAAGCAATCAGCGGATATCGCACTCGGTACTTTTCGACCTCCTCCATTCCCTTCTTCTAACCCGGATCACCGCTGTCAGGAGTTTGTTTCACCAGAAGGGCGCTACGACCTCTATCATGAAATTCTATTTGATTCATTGATTCCGAACTACAACATTGGAACAACCGTCAGCCTGGTGTCCATTAAATACAAGGATTCATCGAAATTAGAAGGACTGGGTAATTTATACTCAAATAGCAGCTCCACTACAACTACTTCTGAAACGGTGGCTGCATCCAATTCAGCCGATTCAAATGATTCGGACGAAGAAAATAGCAACACTTTACATCCACCTTCACCGGTAGCAACGGCTTCCAATGTCAATGGAAACAAGCAAATGCATGTACTGAGACGAAAGTTCTCTCTCCAAACTGCTGCCGCCTCGCAAGAATCCCCGAATTCATTGTCCTCTCGGCAAATGACCTCTATTGAAGGAGGTGTGGGCAGCAACAACGCGACATCGACCCTCTCGTTTTTAACCAGAGGCCACACATTATCTGGGAATGGTAAAGCTCCGCGCAAACCTAAAACCAGCATCACCAAGTCCAATTCCTCGTTTGTGCAACGTATCATTACAAACGATCAGCTAGCCAAAATTCTTATCGCAAGGACAAGCGACGATACCAATTTATTTTACAATTGCGGTACCAGTTTTGTATGGATGGATGCTACTGGCCATCCCAAAGAACCACTGTCCCGCATTATCTTTGCTCGCTCATACCCTACAGTACATGATGTGAACATGCTTACAAGAGGGTCGGATCATCTTGACGTTATAATAGGCTTTTCCACGGGCGATATTTTATGGTTTGATCCGCTATGCAACAAGTATGGAAGGATCAACAAAGGCGTGAGTTAACATAGCTTGGTCAATACATGTACGGGAGTATGTTTGTTACTGATAGTCTACACCCCTTAGGGCGTCATCAATTCATCAGCAGTGACTGCAATCAAGTGGCTGCCTGGTTCCGAAAACTTATTTATGGCATCTTTCCATGATGGATGCTGTATGATCTTTGACAAGGAGCGAGAAGATCTTGGAGCGTTTCCACTAGACTCGTCCACAACCAACGGGATTGGAGCTGGTACGACCCTAGTGTTTAACAATCCGTTAGCGAAGCCTCATGTGAGCAATGGCTTTCATCAAGTCAAAATCGAAAGCCTTCACGAGGATCTATAGTAAGTATGAATTGAGCCACATGTGATTGCTCGACTGTGATATATTGAACACACTCTCTCTCTTTCTTGGACAGCCTCAAGGTTACTAAACCGCATGTTAGAGGAGCACACAAGTGCAATCCTGTCTCACACTGGAGTGTCAGCAAAAACCCTATACATGGTATGTATAACTAGTCTTAAGTGTGGGTGTAGATTACTATTAGAGAAATTCCCAATCACTGACATGTTCGATCCTTTAGCATTCGCATTCTCTCCCGATTTCCAGCATGTTGCTGTTGTTGGTCTAGACGGCAGGCTACGTATCATTGACTACATTGACGAAAAGTTCGTATGGATGGGACTGCAGTTTTTGAGCATAGACAGTATTTAATCTTTTTTCTTATCACTTTGATCTTAGATTGCTGGACACCTATCAAACTTATTATGGCGGTTTGACTTGTGTAGCTTGGAGCCCTGATGGTCGGTATATTCTGGTACGTAGCGCGCGGCACAGCATTTGAGTAAATCTCGAACCTTCGGCCATAACTAAACTCAACCAAAATTGTAGACCGGTGGACAGGATGATTTGGTAACCATTTGGGCTTTCCGAGAACAGCGCATTGTTGCTCGCTGTCAAGGGCATAGTTCATGGGTAAGATCCATCTAGAGATATTACCTGATCAATTGATCTGCGCCTCTGATACATTTAATTTTTTTCAGGTCACCAGTGTGTCATTCGATTCCTATCGCTGTGACGAAAATGTTTATCGCTTCGGTAGCGTTGGTGAAGACGCAAAACTGATTTTATGGGATTTTTCTGTCTCTGCGTTGCATAGGCCAAAAACTGTAAGTAGAGAGAATTACACCATTGAAAAACCTCAACTGCGCCAGTGACCCTAATTTTGAACCCGCAAAAAGCAAAAGCAATCTAGACATCGTGGCGCTTCTGTGTCATCGTTTTCCAATCCTGTCCAAGGCCTTGGTAGTGGCTATTACGAAAAGCCGCCTACGCTACATCCGGTGTTAGAAAAAAACAGAGTTGCATTCTTACAACCTGTCATGGTACAAACCATTCATGCCGACCCTTGCGTTGGTTTGTATTTTAGAGAAGACGTTGTAGTCACCACTGACCGCAGAGGAAGAGTAGCAGTTTGGAAAAGACCACCATAGGCATCTAATGTAACCTATATTTTTCTATATCACATTCAATTCTTTTTTGAGACTGTACGATACGATTGGCACTTGCTCGAACCCTGTGAGCAAATGTGACCCAGTGACCGCCTAAAATTATTATTTACCCGGCCAAACTGCATTCTTAATTTCTTATTTTCCAAAAGACCCTCTATCTCCCTCTTTTCCCCTTTGTATAATTCAACAAAGAATTGACAGCCCATGCCTGATATCGATATACATGCACCGCTTATAAATGAATCGCCCCGTGAGCCCATATTATACCCCATAGATACGTTATCGGCGACGGACTCAGCCATGGAGACTGCACTGGTGCGCAAATTAGATACAAAACTACTCCCCTACTTATGCTTAATGTACCTATTTGCCGCCCTTGATCGTTCTAGTTTAGGTATGATGCATTTGCGATGGCGGTGGAAATAATGGTTAATGGGTTTATCTTGCTTACGCATTTTCAAAGGAAATGCTGTGTTGGACAACTTTGAAGAGGACCTTCATTTAAAGCCAGGGCAATTCAACAAATGTGTAATGATATTCTATGTAGGTGCCGATATCTTGTGCGTGAATGTCTTGAAGGATCTTTTGAACTTACACATGTGCATAGGCTGGCTTCCTTTTGTTCCAAGTACCTAGTAATATTATGCTGAAGAAATACTCTGCTAAGCGATGGTAAGATCATACTTTTGACGGAAAGAGGCTTAAAAGGGAAAAAAATGCTTGACGGCAAGATGATTTGATAGGTTACCTCTGTTGATGATATGCTGGGGAACCATTGCGACAGCTCATTCTCAAGTCCGCGGCTACACAGAGCTTATGGTGCTGCGTTTCTTCTTGGGCATTTGGGAAAGTGGCTTCTTTCCAGGAGTTGTCTACTTTTTGACTCTTTTCTATCGCAAATCCGAAATAGCGACTCGCATTGCGCTTTTTTACAGTACCAGTGTACTCTCGCACTCTTTCGCTGGTATCCTGGCCTACTATATCCTGCGATTGCGAGGCTCAGGTGGCATGGCTGGCTGGCAGTGGCTTTTCGTTATTGAAGGTATACCCACCATTGTCATTGCAGTTTTCGCTTTGTAAGTATCGATGTCTACCATTAGAGCATCAAGATCGTATTACTTACACTCCATTCATAGTTGGTATCTACCAGCGGCTCCTGAGACTTGTTCGTGGTTGACAGCTGAGGAGAGGGTTTTGGCAGTAACTCGACTGCATTCGGAGAACAATGTGGTTTTGCACGAATCACCTCATGATATTGATGCCAGTAACCGAGCAGAAATCATAGCAGCTATGACGGACTGGAAAGTGTGGGTCTGGATGCTTATGTTTTTCTGTGGAAGTGTTCCAAACACTAGTGTATCAAAGTAAGTACATATTGTGTTTAATGACAAACCACAGATCAGCGGGTTGCATTGCATAGTTAGAATTCCGACTAATTGATATCCCACTCAGTTTCCTTCCCATTATCATCAAAGGGCTTGGATTCGACAGCAAGCTGTCAGCAAACCTAATGTCTGGTAAGGTTTTCACTGCATGTCAATGGCGCGCTTCAAAATGACCCAATGTTGCGTGCATCGGCTAAAACCATGTTTGGTTTCTGTAGCTCCCCCATACATGTTTGCAGCTATCGTGGTATGAATTTATCGGATGCTTGTGCGCCTGGTCAAATGATTTTAAATTCACTAATCTTCGAACTTTCTAGATGGTGTATATGGCGCGCTCTTCAGACAAACACTATGAACGATCCTACCACGCCATGGCTGGTGCAGCTTTAGTTTTCCTCGGCTATCTATTGCTTCTCATTCTGACTGGAAGAAGCGGGTTATACGTTGCAGTCTGCATAGCTGTTTCAGGAATATTCGTCATTAATCCTGTCGTGAATGCCTGGCTGACCAGCAACATAGCTCCCAGCATGAAGAAGAGCGTCGCAACCGCGATGGCTGTCTCTGCCAACAATTCTGCTGGCTTGCTCGGGTCCCACATATATCAACATGATGATGCACCCCGCTACAGTAAGATTTTAAATATTCACCGCACGTTGCTGATATACCTTTAAGTCTAATTACATTGTGAAACAGTGCGGGGACACGCCATCAATCTGGCATTTATTTCCTTATTCATGCTGCTGAATTTACTACAGCGATACCTACTCCAGAGGCAAAATAGAATCAAGGCAAAGCTACTGGTGTCTGGCGAACTACAAGAGCTCCTCCCTGGGTCAAATAATAAGCTAATTGGTGATCGACAATTACATTTTGAATATGGATTATAGAAAGGACTTAGTCATAGGGAGATGTTAGGTATCAATAATAATCATTTTAATAACAGACGAGTTTAATGGTTTATCGATTTTGAATAGGAAATGATGATAGTTATTGACAGGTCCTCATAATTTGTTGAAAGGTATTAGAATGGACGAAAGTAACTACATTAATGCAAAAGCAAACGACTACCACCCATTATGACTTTATTCAATTTTATCTTTGTGGGGTCTTCTTCATTTGATTTATTTCAGTGCGTAATGGCTATCTGGGTGCAGCGTCATTGGGGAGCTCACCGTTTCGTAGTTGTCGGACGGGACCAAGCCAGAACCACCTCCAATGCCTGAGTCAGCAGCTACTCTTGTGATGGCGGCGTTGATGGAACCGTTTTGAGTGATGGCAATAGCAGCAGCTTCTGAGGATTTGCGGCGATGTAAGCTAGCACCAGCTGTCTTGAGAGCATTTTCTCTAGCAAGGGAACGCTCAAAAAGTAGATCGGGGTTTGTACAAGTTCCAAGGGCACGTCGCATTTGTGTATTGAGATAGCTAAGACCGACTTGGTATGAAGCATTCATCCATCCGAAACCTTCTCTTGGTACGAATTTGAAGTCGACACCAACGTTGCCATATTCTACCTCCACCTTATGGGTCAAGCTGACCACATCAAACTTTTCCGGCACAACGCCATTGAAGTCAACAAATGATTTGGTGATGCTATACCATCAACAGGAAAAGTTTTAGTAAACAATTTTGGGCATGACCCTTCAAAGGAATTTGTAACTTACGTAAAAAGCCATCGGTACGCCAATCGTCTAGCGATATCAAGCATTCCATATTTTTCAAAGCCCCGCCATGCCATTATTTGGTGAGGAGCCCAGCCGAATGGAAAGTCCCATTGTCGATTAGGTCGGTCCAATGATATGACACCTCTTGAAACTTCAGTACCGGATACCAGACCACCTATTACCTCGAACTTGATGAGAGAGTTTTTACTACAGAGGAATAAAAGTGAGAAGGCGTATACGTAGACTAGAACGTAAACACAAAGAGTACTCACGTCATTTTTTCTGCTTGTTCTTGACTAGCACACCCCGCCCACATCGCCCAGAACGCCGTGACGGTGTCGTATATGCTTTGCTCTTCCTTGACGGTATCGTAATCAAAGTAAAGACTCTTCTCTTCATTCCATAGGTATTTGTCAATACGTTCCTTACGCACTCTCGCTCGTTCAAACCATACTTCAGCATTTTGTGGTATGCCTTCGTAATCCTCTAAGTCTCCTTCAAAGATATCTTGGATGGCTTCGCCGATGTCCATTTCGTACTTGTACAAAAGAGCGTTGAGATCAATGGTGGCCAAATGGGCGCATCTTTTTTCATAACGATAGGTAGTGTCGTGGCCAGATTCGCGTACTGCTCGGTCATGCAGGAAATAATCATCTAGCTTTGGTTCCTTGACTTTACCACTGTTATAGAGGTCGTTGAATTCAGGGATAGTGACATTGTATTGCTTTGCGTAAGGCTCGATGATATGATCGAAGTGAGATGCTTCGGTTTCGGGCGGAATACCCAGACCAGTGGGATAAAATCTTGATAACATGGTTTTCTTATCGAGTCTAGGTTCAGCCATCCAGACGGTGTGGTATTCCTTGATAGCTGCCTTGAATGCCTCTCGCAACCACTCCTTATTCTCTTCCTCCCTATCGGTTCGCAGTCGCTCGTATACTTTGAGTGCCATGTCGGTCAAGAACGGGGGCTGTGACCGAGTAAGATAGTATGATCGATTGGCATTTAAGATTTTCCCATAGTGAAGTATTTGGTAAACAAAGTTTTCGACCATACTCTGGGCTAGATCGACTCGACCGTCCACTAGCAGACCGAGCGTTTCAAAGTACGAATCCCATCCGTACATTTCATTAAATCGACCACCTGGAACAACAAAGGGAACGCCTACAAATGATGCCTTTCCGTTGGCGTCTTGAGTCTTCTTCATGGCCAAGGCAAGAATGCCAGGTCGGTCATTGATGCTTTTAACATACTGTGGGGTGATTTCTTGTGGTAAAAGTTCGACCTCCAAGTTTAGGTGCTTTCGGGCCTCAGCCATCTCTTTGTAATATTCGTAGACTTCGGTTTCGCTGTATGGAATGTAGATGCGTGGGTTGTGATCGGCTGACCGGTTTTTTGGATCCGCACAGATAATTTCCAAACCGTCTGCGTCGATGCGTCTAGTCAGGCCATCCCAAAAATGGTGCCGTATCATGCGTGACAAGCGGTCGACGGGATTTTCATTCAAGCGAGCTTCATCCAACACAATATGCTTGCGGCCATAATCATTTGCCAAGGCCAGTTCCTGCAAAAGGTTGGATAGCATATAGGTTCCACGGATTTCGATTTTTTTATAGCCACCGGAGTCTGCTGTGCCAACCGTTAACGTTTTTGGGCCTAAGTCATTTATGGTGATTTGGAAATCGCCATCGGTGTCTTCCTGTTCCAGAATAATACGTTGCGTCTCTTGCACGTCAATAAGAAACTTGCGTGCCTTGTTCTTATCATCTTTATAGTGAAAAATAAAATTGGATGGCTTGATTAGTGAGGAGATCTACACGGTGCTTGTTTCGTATCTATTTGTGGCAGTGCGAATGTTCTAGGGCCATGCTCTGAAGCTTTTTTTAAGCCGCCAAGTCCCATATAAGGTCATACAAAAAAAAGGTGCGCCTCCATACGTCGTCCATATCGTGCTTACCATGTGAAGCTCGTCGTCTACGAGGTATCGAGTGGGCTGAAAAGGTTTCTGTACCCGTTCGTCGCTGGAAGGTCCAAAAAAAATTAATCAAACAATGAAACACAAATCACAACAAAAAAAAAACAGAATTATAAATGCGTACTGTATAGGATTTTAATCGGTTCAGAGCACCACTGGAGTTACTTCCAGTCGTGTAATAAGTACTGGCCGGCGCATGAGCATCAACGTCGTGGTCAGTGGGAGTGACATGTATGGTGGATTGCATGATCAAAAGGAAAGTGAAAGAGAAGTGAGAAAAGGAGGGAGAAGAGTTTAAGGCTTTTTATATGTGATATCCACTGAAAGAAAGAGAAGCCCCATAACCAACCGGATTACTCGTAGGATGGCAGACTGTATAAATTGCAAAGTAGAAAAAGACCTAGTGGTGGGCTGTCAAAATGCCAAAAGCACCAATATGCCGTAAGAAATTATTTTCTCCGCCGAACAACAACGGATATTTGCAATTCCTCGCAGCCCGGCAAGTACTAATAAGGTCATTCAAGTACAAAGGGAAGAAGGGGTTTCTCATAACGACGTTCAATCGATGATGCCATGTGGAGTTTCCCCATATCTTCTAAGCGGGAATGTTTCACTGGTTGAATTGAAATTGACCCTTGAATCCCCCTAGAGTGTGTGGGACTTCCTTGTCCTCAAAGTGGAAATCAAAGGGTATAAATCCTTCCTCGCACAGATCAATTCTCGTTGGACTTGAAATATACATGTATCACCTTTAACTTACTGATAACGCTCACCGTTGACAATTGCAAGCCTTCGCAATTGGTTCGATAAGGATGGGTGGTATGACCCCCCCCCCATGTTGCTGACCCAATAAAGTTGCTCTGAAATGCAGCAATTTCGATCGCTGTGTTTTTTAAACTAGCTAGTTACAGGAGAATGGACTGAACCACGCGCGATGGAATTTCCTTTCTGCGCCGTAAAAAAGCTTTTAGAGTGGGTGTTAGCATTGTCGTACACAGTAGGATTGGTTTCCGGTATTCTCCAGGTTATACCGTAGCGCGAAATTGGACCGAGAACACGACGGTACACCAATACAATAAATAAATAATAATAAAAAAAAGGTTCTACCCAACCAAAAATTGTGGAGTGGGAACCCTTTCGATCTCTCATGCTTTGTTTACCTACATCTGTAAGTGCTCTGGACTTTGGCCTGGCCTGATTACTGTATTTTCTTATTCACTCCTTTATTTTTTTCTCACATGGCTTATTAGGGTGCTTTTCTCCGGTTGTTGAAAAGTCAAAATTCCCAATCTCACCTCCTTAGATGATGAGTCAATGAAATGGGATATCTATCTATCTACTTCCGCGGAATCCCTATGAGAACAAGTTCATCGTGGAAAGTTCCCTAAATTCGTAATGTGTATTAATGAGGGGTGACATTGTATTAATAGAAGCGACATTGTGGGGACTTACTCCGTAGAAACCTACATATTTCTAAGATTCTAGATGTAAGGTTAAAGAGGGTCTCACAGCCTCCGACTCCTCGTCTCTCATCTGCCACATTTTGCGACCTCATTGCGTGTACCGCATGAGCACATATGCTGTAACCTGTGTACACAAACCTTCCATTCCTTACCAATAAAGCAACAAGCAGTGTTAAATGTTTCCCGCGACACCGTGTTTATTGAAACCCAGATGTCAAAAACTTGTGAGTGGCAAGGTCAAGGGAGCTCTCCTTTGCATATCATAGCAACTTATGTCATCAGTGAGCGTTGACAACGTTTTCTTTTTATTTTCTTTGGTGTATTTTGAAAGTTACAGTCAAAACGATAGTCGCATGACTGGAAAACATAGGCACTGATACAATGACATCCGTCTTACACGTTCGGAATTCAAGCTCTTAGATGTTTTTGAACGGGTTTCAGTGCGGGTTGAATCCCTTTATAATAGCAATGTTGCGCCGCGAGTACAACCGCAGACATACCATTCTTCATCGTGATGTGCTTGACAACCTCGACAGTCAAAAATCAAACGCGGATTTAACTTTTGTAAACGATAACATGCGGTCTTGTGAGGCAAAGCTGTCGTTTATACGGTAGACTTTTGGTATTCCTCTGTTTGAACGCGAAGCTGGGACTGCAGACCCAGTCAGCAGCCCTCGACTGGCTTTGAGCGCTTGCACACACAGTGAAAAATGGTGGCCAAAAAATGTTATCACTCAGTTGATGTGATTCTAACCCCGCACTCCCTTCTTTCCGTGACCGTTTCTCAAAAAAGTTCAAGTTGAACCAATTTTTTCTTCCATTCAGCATTTAGAAAAAAGTGATTTTGCATTGCCTTCAAAATGTTCGAAGAAGACGGTGACGCACTGTTCGATGTATTCGACTCTGAAGTTCCAATCAGTGAATTCACTAACGGAGAACTCTCCAGTGGCACAGATCACACTGCTGAGCAACATAAAAATCTGAACAAACAAAATAATCACAGCCGGGATCCATCGAACAAAAGAACATTACAGGATTCCGAAGTCACTAACGGCCAAAAAGATGCCAGCAACGTTAAAGGCAATAGAGACGACGATGCCTCTAATCATGCCGTCAAAAAATTCAAACTTACTGAAGACGCTCCTCAGCCTATCGTTGCTGACGAGTTCGAACAGGAGAGCACTAGAGAAGTCGCTAATATTCCTGGCCTGCAAGGCACCGTTGCTCCAGACGGTACGGATGGACTAGTATTGAGCCACGCGGTAAGTAGTTGATGATATCTGCCTACATCTCCTTTCCGTGGACATCTATTCACGAGCGTTCTAATCCCTATTTTGCGAACAGGTCCGCCATCAAGTCGCCTTACCACCAAACTATCCATATGTCCCAATTTCCCAGCATGTTCCACCAAAGGATCCCGCTCGAACATACCCCTTCAATTTGGATCCATTTCAACGTGTATCCGTCTCATCTATAGAGCGTAACGAATCCGTTCTGGTTGCCGCCCATACGTCAGCTGGTAAGACCGTGGTCGCAGAATATGCCATCGCACTTTGCCTCAGAAACAAGCAACGTGTCATCTACACATCTCCCATCAAAGTAAGTTGATTTATAGCAATTTTGCTTACGTGCGTGTTTGTGCTGAAAACTCACCTGTGAATGCTAGGCTTTGTCCAATCAAAAATACCGTGAATTTCAAGAAGAGTTTGGTGATGTAGGCTTGATGACCGGTGATGTGACTATCAACCCCACTGCGTCTTGTCTGGTTATGACCACAGAAATTTTACGGTCTATGCTTTACCGTGGATCTGAGATCATGAGAGAAGTAGCTTGGGTTGTATTTGACGAAATCCATTACATGAGAGATTCAGGTAAGTTATATGAATAGATCCCCTCGGGCAGCTGAATAGCTTTTTCTGATCTGATACTCATACGCTCCTGTGAACTTTTTCTCCAGAACGTGGTGTGGTTTGGGAAGAAACCATCATCTTACTTCCACACTCTGTCCGATATGTCTTCTTGTCTGCCACCATTCCAAACGCTATGGAATTTGCTGAATGGATTTGCAAGATTCACGAACAACCATGTCACATTGTATACACTGACTTCCGGCCCACTCCACTACAACATTACCTTTTCCCAGCCGGTGGTGACGGTATACATCTTGTGGTAGATGAAAAATCTAACTTCAGAGAAGACAATTTCCAAAAGGCAATTGGAAGCTTAGCTGATGCTCAGGGAGATGACCCCGCCAACGCTCAGGCAAAGGCCCGCAAAGGCGGAAAATCTCACAAGGGAGGCCAGAAGGATGGTCCATCCGATATCTATAAGATCATCAAAATGATCATGATGAAGAATTACCATCCTGTCATCGTCTTCAGTTTCTCCAAGAGAGAATGTGAAGCTTTGGCGCTGCAGATGAGTAAATTGGATTTCAATGATGGTAAGCACTTTTTATTTGATCTTTTCTACCTCAGTCGCTGCCTTGTTTCTAATATATGTTTTTTGTTGGCGTGCATTGCAGAAAGCGAAAGGGACATGGTGTCTCAGGTTTTCAAAAATGCCATCAGCTCTCTCAATGAAGATGATCGACAACTTCCTCAAATTGAACACATCCTTCCCCTCCTTCGCCGTGGTATCGGAATCCATCATGGTGGTCTGCTGCCCATTTTGAAAGAAACCATTGAGATTCTCTTCCAAGAAGGTCTTCTGAAAGTTCTCTTTGCCACCGAAACTTTCTCCATCGGTCTTAATATGCCTGCCAAGACGGTTGTCTTCACCAGCGTCCGAAAATTCGACGGCAAGGACACTAGATGGGTAAGTATTTGAAAGGGGAGCCATAGCCAAAGCGGAATTTACGCCGTTTGCTGAACCATCTCGAACTTGCTAGGTGTCGTCTGGTGAATATATTCAAATGTCTGGTCGTGCTGGTCGTCGTGGTCTTGATGATCGCGGTGTTGTCATCATGATGATTGACGAGAAGATGGAGCCTGCTGTAGCCAAGGGCATGGTCAAGGTAAGATTTCTATGGCCACGAATTAGACTGTATTGACTTTGGCTCTCACACACATTGAATATAATCAGGGTGAATCCGATCGAATGAATTCAGCTTTCCATCTCAGTTACAATATGATTCTCAACTTGCTTCGAGTTGAAGGTGTCAGTCCAGAATTCATGTTGGATCGCTGTTTCTATACATTCCAAAACAACGCAAACGTTCCTCGCCTGGAAGAGGGTAAGTGGTCTACATTCACCCATGATTTTTATATTGGATGGGCGACTAATGAGATTATATCAAATTTTTATAGAACTCACACAGAAAGAGGCCGAAAAGTTAGCCATGACTATTCCCGACGAGGATAACATTGCTTCTTATTACGAACTTAGACAACAATTAGAAACCTATTCAAAGGATATGAGGGACGTCATTAATCACCCAGCACATTGCTTGCCATTCTTGCAACCCGGTCGTCTGGTTCGCATCAAGCATGAAGATATAGACTTTGGATGGAGTGTAGTTGTCAACTATCAAAAGCAGATTCAAAAGGGCAAAAATCAAGATGGATCAGACAGAGAACCAAAATACATTGTCGATTGTTTGATGCACTGTGCTGCTGGTAGCATTGTCGCAAAGAATGCTGATGGTTCTACAGTTGGCATTCGACCACCCAAGCAAGGCGAACCTGGAGAGATGATTGTAAGTTGAAAGGAGGTTGCAGTTTGATTGTTGATCCAAGTATCTTCCGTCGAAATACTAAACAAAACTCCTTATCTTTTCTTTCTTTTCGCTTCTTAGGTCGTTCCTGTCACCCTCTCCACCTTGGATGGCATCAGTCACGTTCGTCTCTTCCTTTCAGGCGATCTCAAGCCCGTTGAGGAGCGAAATAGTGTTTTGAAATCTATAATGGAGGTTAAGAAGCGATTCCCTGAAGGAATTCCCCAATTGGATCCTATTGAGAACATGGGTATCAAAGATGAAGGCTTTAAGAAGCTAGTTCGCGTAAGTCATGTTTGAATTAATATGGCCACATGTGAAGTGCACAAGTTAACACAATTATTGTTTTCAATTGCTTTCTATAGAAAATCGAAGTATTGGAATCCAAGCTTTTGTCCAACCCTCTTCATAATTCACCCGAGCTTTCCAAACTATATGACAGCTATGCCAAGAAGATGGAGTTGACCAACCAAATCAAGGCACTCCGCAAGCAAATCTCACAAGCACACTCAATTGTTCAACTGGATGAGCTGAAATGCAGAAAGCGAGTCATGCGAAGGTGAGTGCTATGGATGCTAATTTCAGTGTCTGTGCTGTTCGGTCGCTGACCTTATCATCATCCGAAACTATAGACTTGGATTTACAAGTGCAGCTGATGTCGTTGAGATGAAGGGAAGAGTAGCTTGCGAGATCAGTTCCGGTGATGAACTTCTTCTCACTGAATTGATGTTCCACGGTGTATTCAACGACCTTTCTGTTGAACAATCCGTCGCATTGCTCAGTTGCTTTGTTTTCGACGAAAAGGTGAGTTGCCAAGTGGTTTTTGGCGGATTTGCTCAAAGTCTTAAGTCACTGAATGTTTTGTCCACAGAGCGAAGAAACCCCACGTTTGAAGGAAGAGTTGGAAGGCCCTCTGCGTACATTGCAGGAAGCAGCTCGTCGAATTGCAAAGGTTTCTCAAGAATCCAAGCTTAACGTTGACGAAGAGGAGTATGTCAAGAAGTTCCGTCCAGAACTCATGGATGTGGTGTTCGCTTGGTGTCAAGGCGCAAAGTTCTCTCAAATCTGTAAAATGACCGACGTGTTCGAAGGTTCCTTGATTCGTGTGTTCCGACGACTGGAAGAGCTACTTCGCCAAATGTGCAGTGCTGCCAAGAGCATCGGTAACACTGAATTAGAAAACAAGTTTGCTGAAGGTAAGGGAATATGCACAAACCTGCACTTGATGTGCTACTTTCACTGTGGAAAATCGTTGATTTACTAACTGATGTACTTCTCTGCAACTCTTTTTATAGGTATTAACAAGCTTCATAGAGACATCATCTTCGCAGCATCTCTTTATTTGTAATTTTTTTTTTCATGCTTTCGCAATCGAGCTATTGACTTTGGCGCACTTTGATCCATTTCGTACCATCATCATAAAAAGTAAACCTCCCCCCTGTTACTAATATCATGGAGAGTCTATTCCTGAAGTTAAATTAAAGCTTTCGACCTGACTCAAATAGTCGTTCTTGATATTTTCAATACTATCATGCAGCATTTCGTCCGACATGGTTGTGAATGGTAGCAAGCGCAGCTTTTCCACAACCTGTAACGTCGTAATGTTTATAGGTTGCATTTGTGCTCGCAAGAAAGCAGTTTTTTGATATCCAGCTTACCTCCACCGTCAGATTTTGTTGTCTCTGTAATTTACCTGCCGATGACATTTGTTTGCGCTGGTCAGCCAAGCGCTGAAGCTTTAAACAAGGTGCTCGAAGTAAACCACTTTGATCAGCTTTTGATAGCATAGCGAGCTTCAAAGTACCTCATTTGCTATAGTGTATGCCCTCTGAACGATTTCGTCTGGTAGCCCAAGCATCTGAGCAGCTTGCAGGCCTGTAATTTTAGCGGTTTCTAGTGGTTAGATTGAGCACATCAAAGAACGACTGGGTACTATTTCATACCATATGATACAGGATTTGCTCTGCCGTCTTGAACAAGATAATGAAATCTCATTGAGCACTGATTGTCATCGGTGTTCTTGCGAAGGAAATTAGCCGGAAATCCATGACATTTGAAAGTGTTAGCCTTACCAAGTCTACCATTAACTGTAGTTTGACAACATTGGGGTACACATCCAGAGTGTAAGTCAGCTCATGCAAATGAGTTGCAAAGTACACAAATGCCTTGACATATGCTTCGGGTTAGTCCATTGAAAAAATGTATTAAATGAGACATATGGCACCAGTTTTGTTTTTACTTTTGTATCTATTAGCTCCTCACACACCGCAGTCGATATTGCCAAAGCATCGCAAGTCGAAGTTGCTGTTCACTAAATGAGCCAACGTGCAGAGTAACAAGAACTGACCTCAATGCTCTCACCTCTTCCCATTTCATCCATAATAATGAGACTCGAGTCTGTCACATTTTGCAACATATACGCGATATCCCTCATTTCCACCATAAAGGACGAAATTCCTGTCTCTGCAGAATCATCAACTGGAAGCCTTGTGAAGAGCTTGATAGGGTTCAACGACTACGACGTGTAGAGATATAGTCCCGGTTTAATTGACCGACTTACATAATCTGTTGGCCGAAAGCATGCATACTTGGCCGGAACACTGATGATGAAAACATATTGTGAGCATTGATACATTCATCATAAATGACCCGGTGACATGTGAAGTCTTACAATGACCCAATATGAGCCATGATCACCAACATAGCAATTGTACGAAGGTAAGTTGACTTTCCGCTCATGTTGGGCCCAGTTACAATCTGGAAGTTGGTAGTGTCAGACGCAAATATATCGTTTGGAACAAATTGAGTGCAGGAAACTCGTTCTCTAATGGGATGCCGACCGGCCATTATGGCTAGAGTGTCTGAAAACTCGGGTCGAACTGTTTGCTGGCGTTAACAACGTGCTTTAGCCACAATCAGTGATAACAGAGCCAAGCTTACCATAGTCTGCAACAGTACACATATATGTAAATGCTACACAAATGTCCAGTAGTGCAATTGCCTCCGAAAACTTGTAGAGTATGTGTATACCGCTGCGTATGTCGTCCATGATTTTGTTAACGTAGCTGCAAGAAAGCAATTTTTAATTTTGATGTCTAAAAAGTTTTTCTTCATTCTTTCTTCCGTTTCGTATCTTACCCATCCGAATGTCTATATATCTCTGAGAGGGACTCCGAAACACGATAGTTGAGTTGAAGCTTTTCATAGTCATGATTATTCTTGTGTTCGAACGCTATATCCTCGCAGTTTTGAGCAACTAACCAACTCAATGCTTGTGAAATGCAATTGTCGTTTTTTTTGGATGACACTTATAAATTGCTCTTGAAGCTCGTCTCTGGCGGTAGCATCTACTGGAAGAGACAGATAGAATCCATTTTTCTCGCTGAACTGAGCCTTGATATTCAACGATGTCTCCTCTGCAATACATAAAAAAAACAAAATAAGCTTTCATCAACGTGTAGTTGAGATTTCATCTGAGGCAGTAAAATACCACAATAGCTTGCAACAAGATCGTATATGTCGTTGACTGCTTCTCTGTAAGTCTGTCGAGCTTGAAATGTGCGTTATGGATGGGGTTGCTGTCGTTCTTCGAGGCTAAAAGATTAAATGTGCATACCAACATCCAGCATTCCGCATAATCCGGTCTTGACAGCGTAGCATCTCTGATGGCGCATACCTAAAGCTGATTTCTGATACCCTGCATCCTCTTCGATCGATTCGGTAATGAGCAATAGAAACTGCCCTGTACGTACTTGAGTCCATCGGCATAGCTACTTAAGTAGAAATGAATAGTTCAAGCACCCACCAATGATTGAGTCCTCCATAACCTGTTTAATACACCATTAAATACAATACCCAATTGATCGTTTCATTTTCTCTATAAAAACCTCTTTAATGCTTAAAAGTAGTGCAGATTTTGGTATCCCTAGTGCTGTGACTATTGGTTTCACAGATTCTAGGCAACTTTTGAGTATTAGTAATTGATTAATGTTGTTGCAAGTGTTTTGAGAGTGTGCTTTCAATGGTTTCTTGATGATCTAAATTGGTTACAAAATTGGTTACAATCAGTGATTGAAATGTTAGCTGAAATCTACATACCATTGCTATGGCCCTGTCTAAATCCGCGAAGGATGAGATTGCTGAAAATGAATTCAGTTGTTGTGAACGTGAATAGATAATCAACTAAAGGAAATTATTAGAAGATCACCTTTTTTGACTCCAAAGAACATGTCCTGAATTTTCATATGTGTTAATAAAAGAACAAAAGTTCTTTTGAGCTTTTGTTTTTACCTCATTCTGACTCATTTCTGAAAGGTGTAAGTTGTTACTGAATACTATGGTTTCTGTCAATGACGTTGGATAGACAAAATATACCTTCTACCGCATCGAGCCTTGCCTCAATGATCGATATATCTACCAAAAAAAAGTTTAATTTGATTCCAGCGACGTTTAAGATTGTAAAACTTACCTTTCAGTGGTTGCAATATGCTTATGCGCAATAAACGACCTACCAAAATTTACATGAACATTAAGGCATCATTGACCGTAAGGCTTAATTACGACGGTGTGATAATACCTCCCATCTGAGTTGACGTATGATTGAGAATACCTTTGGAAAGCATCAGCAAACAATAAATCATGTTCAAAACAGACACTGAAGCTTACCGAAGAGTGAAAGATTGCTTTGGCCATTGGAAAGACTGGTGATGAGTTCCAAATTGCGAGCCGCTACGGCATCTGTTTGTCATAGGTAATACGACAGCTGTAGTCATTATACATGTCATGGTAAATTGATCAAAATACGCACCTATCATCATGGATCCTATTTTTCAAGACGTTAGTATACATTTGGAGTAATAACAAAGTGTAGAAGACACACCTTCCGGTCCAACATATTTAACCTTGACCGAATGGTCTCGGTATATAAAATGATCCCTATCCTGAGCGAACCTGGAATTGCTTATATCTCAATATTTTTCACAGATGTCGCTTATTTCGATAAACGAACCTGAATGCCGCCGCTGTTGCTGCCAAGCAGTAAAACCTGGTTGTACGTTCAGTGTTACCAACATTACTTGGAAATAAAAGCAAAAGTACAATTCCTTACTTCCCGGATACGCTGACTTGGAGGGAAGTAGCTTCTTGTTGTATTCCAAACCTTTTGATGCATTCCATACCTTTAATGCCAAGAATTCATCAGAGTTATATCATGCAAACACAAAAGCAGCTCCCTTCTCACTCACCAGTAACATCATTGAACAGCCTTCGGGAGACAGGCACAAGTTTTGTATCTTCTTGAATGGATTCATACATGAATTTGCATAATTTGCTTTTGGGTTCTTCCAGGTTTTTGTCGATGACTATGATCTACAAAGGTCAATGGCATCAGTTTGTTCTTTTCTTGCAGCTCCTCAATAATATCGCGCATACTTGATTTGGATTATACACATGAATCATGTGCATTGTTTTCACATACGTTTGCGTATCAGCAATCTATCAAGCCAAAGTAAGGAAGAATGGAAAATGCAGAAGATGTATGCAGGAGATAATAGAAACCTGGGAAATACAGCAGGTATTGTCATGCATATTAATGAAGCATAGACCTATCTCAGTAGCTACACCTCGGCTTTCAGCCATGGCCAAGATACAGTCGTTCTTTTGATGGCCGAAGGTTGTTGGTGGTCGAGAATATGAAGTGGTTCTTTGCCCTGATGATAGAGATAGTGACATGGCGTAAAATGAGAGGGAGAAAGGTAAGGTATAATTGGCGGTGGGGGGATTGAATGTTTAAATTTATTGTTATGTACAAGCGTTCGTGTTCGTGATGTAAATCTAATCTACATAATGTTCTTCTTTTTGCCTCTAGAAACAGCAGGTCCCCACACCTTGATGGTGCTATCTGCTGAACAACTAGCAAGGATAGGCTCTGTAGGGTGAAAATTCACGGCATACACACGATCTGTATGCCCTTCCAGTCTTTGCATCAATTCAGAAGAATTCTGATTAAAAGAAAGCAGATAAGTATACTTCGACGGTAGCAAGCAACTGATCTATCGCTCTCACCTCTCCAATATTGTATAAATAAGCATATGGGTCAGCACTTCCAGTAGCTAACAATACACTCTTCTCCTCTGTACGATCAACCAAAAATTAGCAGTTGTAGAGAGATATATACGAGTGCCTATCAACTTACCAACAGCATTATTCAGTCGACTTGGAATGGATGCATTGTCTTTACATATGAGAAATAATGATATTAGCCTTAGTAGGCGAAATAAACCAGTCAGCCATAATACATACATTCTTTGCCAGTGTAAAAAGAAGCTTTGATTGGCCAGTTCTTGTTTTTAAATCCTTTGAGAGTGTGTACAAGGCGCATGTCTGATTTTGGAGGATCCAAACCTCGGTCACATACACGAAGAACTAACAAAATTCAAAGTTAAATGGATGCAGCTATTAGCGATTGGTAAGTATCATGTAATTACCATTATCGTAGCTGTTGATCGCCATATATCTCGGTTCATCGTAATCATTCACTGTGATATACCGGGTCAGAATCAATTGATGAGAGCAGAGGACATAATCCAATTGTTACTTACAAGATCTTCGCGTTGCGTCTGTCATCCTCCGGCCAACTGTGATGTGCGAAATTGGATTGCGACTTTGATCAAAGATAGTCTCTTTGACACATTTCCCTATAGTACCGCTTTAGTTTACGCTCAAAAGCCGTGACAAACAGGGTTTTTGAACTTACGGGCTCGAACATCCCAAACTTTGACAGCACCTTTAGAATCACCTGTTATGACATGGATTCCGTCCCGCGATACATAAAGACTGTTGATCATAGCATCATTCGTTAATTGAACATCAGGGCTGATAGGATGTGACTGAAATTCGTTATTTTCAGGCTGCGTTGATGATGCCGATCTAACATCAATCATTCCTAGGACGTTCCTAGAGGTACCATAATAGAAAACGTGCGCATCTACACAAAGCATTCGGTTACTATACATCCAGCGCAATATATAAAGCAACGTGGCTCCAACTTACTGACGAAATCCCATCCGAGGCATTGCACAAACCCCTTTGTTTCCCAACTTCCTGATAATGTACCCGACTCGATATCCCATGTTTTGCAAGTTGAATCATATCCACCGGATAGCAAGGTTGATGAATCGATACTCCATGACAAATCCGATATATTGAGAGAGTGGGATTTGAGGCATAAGATCTTTGTTCAAACAGCGGTCAATACTAACATCCCATGTTTCGTCCGAGCTTTTCCATCTTTTTCATTTACTCACCTCCTTTTGACCCGATACCGTATCCCATACTCGCACAGTCTTATCAAAGGAGCCAGAAGCCAGTAGCTTACCGTGCGGAGAGAATTCTACGGAGTACACTGCACCAGTATGACCCTAAGAGGAATTGAATGATGTTATGATCTCTGCAGGCGATTATATCCAACCAACCTCCTTTGGCGGGTTTGCGCAAATACACACCTGAAGTTCATACTTGATTTCAAATGTTTTGCTTTCCCGAGTAGAGCTAGGTGCTAGAGAATGATAAACCAGTTAATGGAGATGCCAACCATCCTTATACTCACAACGTTAAACGTACCTCCATCCACTGTGCCACCTGCTGCCTCGTGAACTGCTTTGTTGATCAAATCCTGACCTTTGGTAATGACATCTTGAGCTGAGACTTCCGGATCCAAAACATACGGTAAAGATGGATACTGCAATCCTCCTTGAGAGATTGTAGACGCGTAATGGGTAGACAAGTCGTATATGCTCTTCTTCAATGTAATGTTCTCTTTCTCCAATGTGTCGACCTTTTGCTTTAACTGCTTATTTTCCTTCAGCAACTTCTCTAACTGCTGATCACGATCTGAGCTCGAAGTGAGCGACGATGTCGACAGAGGCGACCCCATGACGGTGGATCCGGTGCCTAGAGTGGACTGCCTAGGCTTCACAGACTTATCCATTCCGAATCGGGTGAGTTGAAAAATTCCTGAAGAGCCTGGAACAGAGGTGGCCCGACGGTTTATAGCCACCGCTTGAAAAATGTCCGCCATCGATCTGCAGCGGGTGGCGCTGTATTCAACTTGGTGGCCAAACCTTCTCGAAGCACACACATACTGCCTCTTCACCCGCACGGCTCGAAAACACAATGCAAAATAATTATTTCACTGGAAAATTCATACTACGCAGTTATATATGATACGCTATGGATACAATCGCGCAAAAGCAGCGAGAATAGAGAGGTAATAATAAACAAATGGATGGAAAGCACAATACATTGTAAGGCAAAAAATGGAGGAACCTTAGGATGTTCATTTTAATCCTGAAGTGGATACTTGATGTGACTGAAATTGAGGAGAAACAGAGTTTGGTGGAGTGGGTAAGTAATGGTCAACGTTGGCAGTTGGTGGCCTCTTGTCGCCAGGTGATGTTAAGGAGGCGTCTAGTAGAGCATCTAGCCTATGAGATGCTGAGAAGCCTTGCGTACTGGATGGGCGATGTTGGTATTTAGTTTCGCTTGTTCTATGATATGAAGTTTTTTTGTCTTCGCCATCGTCACTATCATGCTGACGATATGTATCTACATTCCTCATACTGTTGAGGTATCGTCCATTTGCCCATTTCGGTGAAGTGTCGGTGTTATTTGATGTCATACGTGGTCTGGAGTCAGAATCATTGCCCTTTGCCTTTGAAGAAAGTTTGTTTTGGTATTCATTCTGGGTAGTTAAATCAGGCGGAGCTTCTTTGAAGGTTGAAGGTGATATCGTTGGGGCTATTTTTGTCATAGCCGTTGGCTCAGCTCTTGCTTGTCGCTTTATCTCGTCCTCACGAAGACAGTGACTTAAAAGCTGATCTCCGTATTGCTGTAACTCTTCTATCGACACGGATAAATTAAAGCTGTTGAGGTGTAAAAACTCCAGCTCTAGGGTATTTAATTCAGCAGGTGGAAGACCGCCAACCTACAAAAGGAAATAAGGTTAGCCCGGAAAAAACAGCTCCTCACCCCCATTCCAACCATCCCGTCACATGATAGAAGTTAAGAAGCGACTAGACCGGTAAGTCTGTGGCTTTCAACAAGAATGAAGAAGCACTACCATCGATGACGATTGCGTTTTGTTAAGATGAAATTTTTACCTTGGCGTATCGTGAATTTGTAAAGAAAACATCTGAGAAATACTTGCTACCAACGGTGACCCCAGCAATAATAAGACGATGGATGTTGAATGAGTCTATCCGAAGGTTGCTGTCGTTACGTGACATACGATCAAAGTATACAAGTAGACTTAAGAACACCTATTGGTAGAAAAGAACGGAGTAGAAGATGACATAAAGTTAGCCAAAGCGTACTTTCCGTTGTATGAGGTAAACAAAAACCAAAAAGCTATGACCGCCTAACATCAACATACCTCATTTGCACATGGGGTGTACTTCAAAATGCGAGATAAATAGGAATGAATATCAATGGTGGGTATAGAACGAGCATGGAAACAGGTGTAAATGGGGCCATTCGGTCGGTCCTTGTCCAAGTCCGGAGAGGTGGTTTTGCATAGTCTGTCGTTTGTCCGCGTTATCTTCACCAATATATTTGTTAACATCTTTATCGTTTCGGTGGTTGGGAACGCCGCTAAATCAAAGTGTACAGCGGCCATGATGTGGTTTGATGGAATGGAGTAGAGGAGGGATGAGCGGAAACGAAGGCAAGACCGAAAAAAAATGAAAAATAAAAATTTGAGACCAGCTTTAGCCCCGCCTGTGTGTTGCCATTATCATCCTGATTTCCGAACATTTTACTCCATCTTTGCACAGTACATGCTGATGGCTGACGTTACATTGCTATCAGATGAATCACCATCATGTTCAATCCCAACCATCAGCCCTCAAACTTTGAGCGCCTCCCGATTTCTGCCACCTGACACTCTTATTCATATCTTCAAATACTTACCAATCTCTGCAACCCGAAATGTAGCTTTATGCAGCCGACGGTTCAAAGTATTGGTATACGATGATGAAATATGGGACGCCAAACTACGATTGTTAGGAATTGATACGCCAATTACTTTATCGACAGAGCAAAACGAGGTCCAAGGTAGGGTTGCATACCAAGGCAGTTTCTGAACCCGCCAATAACCCCTGGCCATTATTTTTCTCTGTTTGCTAAATTAGCCCTATCATGATATGTAGCACCAACAACAGGAATAACCAATCTTTCACTCATGGGAACCAGCTCAAGCTTATACATCAATAATAAACCCCTCAACGAACTTATACCCGGACTCAAGTTGGACCCTTTCACAGCACGAGCTCGAGCTCGGTCGACAGGGAAGGCAAGGGAAATATTTAGTCAATTCTATACTCGCCTCTATCCTTTTTATGTCGACCTACGACATGCTTCCGGCGAATCCATGGTTCTTTCCGAATATGGTTCAGAACCAGAAGAGTGTGGTCGGATACTCAGCAAATTGGTTGGGTTAGGAAAGTGCAAAGTGGTAGATGATTGGAGCCAGGTAAAAACTCCTTTCCCTCGTCTCACGTCGCGTTGTGTCACGTTCCTTTGTCTAATAGTTACTGTTGGAAGTTGAATGATCAGGTCGAAAAGATATGCAGATATTTCGAGAACGCATGCTTGCATGAATTTGAAGTTGCATATGATGATCAAGACGTAGAGCAAATGCAGGCAAGTACCTATTTGGAAGACTGGCTCCATGTATGCAATGTCCTAATTTTATGTGTCTGTTTAGCGATATGCGACGGCTTTGGTAGAGCTCAATGGTGGTCAAAGCTGCATTCAGACATTCATACAAAAGCACTCCATGTTTTACGATAACCCCTTTCAACCTGATGCCAACTTCAAGTAATTAATCTGTTTATATGTGGTCATTTCAGTGATGATGAGGTATCTAACATTGTGTACTTTGTTCAGGTCTACTCCACCAAACTTCCAGCCCTTCCAAGAATTTATGAAGGCTATAAGTGAGGAACTCAAGGTTCAAGCGAGTGTAATACATGATGTGTTTCCGCCCAAAGCCGATGTTTACTATATATTTGCTGATAGAGTGTTTGAGGATGTGGTAAGCATAATTGAGCCAAAAATAAATAGCCTGGAACATACAAGATACTAACGTTATTTGTTTGCGCTCAGATTGCAGACTATCTCGGTATAGTCCTTGAGCGAGCACGGGCCATCGACTTGCAACTATATCTAAAAGTCATTGCTAGTAGCTTAGATTCCTGCTTGGGGTTTGTTGATATCTTAACGTCAGAAACGCTACCGTCTCGACTAGAAGACGAACGAGCAAAGAATATCTTATTCAAACTTTTTCTGCCCCTCATGGACGATTATTTGCACGATGAAATTCAGTATGTAAAACTGGCTTCTGAAAAGTATATAAACAAATGGGTAAGTCATATAAATAGTTCTCTGCTTTGTCTGCCAGCATATACTAAACTGGATTCCAGAAATCGTCAACGTCAGGCATGCAAGGTGTCTCAAGTTCCACCATTTCGAATCAGAACCGAGAGAGTTTTAAGCGGAAATATCTTTCAGCGTTCAAAAAGATCGTCTCCGTACCAGTCGAACTTGTTTCATCGGCTGCTACCAGCATTAGTTCACCTTTTCATAGCAGAGATAGCAAAGGAGGGCACTCTCCAGATGTTTCAATTTCGACCATCACGGTGGCAAATTCAGAACCCACCACTCCGACCGATACTCCATCATCTACACCTAGCATCAACGATGAAAAGGACGCCAATCGGCTGTCGACGACACTTATTAATGATGAAGTTGGGGAGAAAAAGAAGACACAGGTTGATAACGTACGAAAGCGATCCTCCTCGCACACTGGATCACGGCCTAATAGCATGTCGTCTGTGCGGTCGGATAATGAACTGAACAATGCTATGCATGAGCTTGACGCTCTTCAACATCTCCTGAGTTTGGAGCTCTGCCTTCAGCTTATTCATGTCAACAAGGATGCTGAGCATCGAGTGCAACGCTTTGTCAAGGTTGGGTTTCCTGGAAGACTCAAAACTGATATGTAAGTCAATAAGCCAGAAAGATATCATTCGTATTGGATACTTATCCCTCACTCCCACAGTCAAAAGTGCGCAGAACATGTGTTTACAGATTTACTCAAAATAATGGGACCCATGCATATTAAACCTGGGTTTGACAGGTAAGATGGCAATAATTAACAAATACCCATCAACTATGGCTTTGAAAATCGGAATTAATCCCGGGTTGCCCTGATATTACAGAGCTGCCACACATTTAGCGAAATATACCCCACAAGAAGATGGCGAAATCCGTGATCGGACCGACGTCGCTCCACTTGCAGAGTTCTTTGAACTGGTACATATTGCTGATCTGATTCAGCAAATGATTGAAGTCTACTGGAAGGAAGAGATGGTAAGTTAACCTTTGCGATGTTGAGAATCACTTGTTTAATGGTAATTATATATTCATGCTCTTGTTTTGAAAAGAACAAAATTGTCGATAAACACGATTTCTTGAATGAAGTCAATAAGGAGAAAAAGTCATTTGAACGCTTACTAGATGACTGTGTGGCACAGGGCATGGATCAAGGCATTCAGGTAAATGAAACATGCTCATATAGAATAAGTCTAGGTGATGAAATTGAATTTTAATCTGAATGGGGCATTTGTTGTAGGTCCTCATTGCTCAAGTACAATACATATTAACATCAGAGCAAAAGCCAAGCGACTATAACCCGTCGCCAAATGCTGTGACAGACCTTAAACCCTCCAAGGTAGGCAATTAGATAGGGAAAACAACATGCGTAGCACTGTATCATGGAAAAAATCAACTAATGAATGCAATGTACCAGGCTTGTAGAGACGCCATTGATTGCTTAAAAACACACACAGAAATGCTCAAGGGATCCGTGGAAAAAGAAACCATGAACATATTTTACCAAGAAGTTGGCAAGCGGTTCTACGAGTAAGTATCGAGACAGACTATGGGGATATACGCATAAGCACTCAAGTTTTTTCATTTCCTCAGGTGTTTATGCAAGCATATTAAGCAACAAACCATCAGTGAGCAAGGAGGGTTCCAAATTATAAGCGATGTCAATGCTTACGACAATTACATCCTTTCGCTCCGGCAGCGTACCATCACACCCTATTTTGCAGCTCTCAAAGCTCTGGCTAATATTTACATCATATCCAACCCTAGCGATATCAAGGATGTCATCCATGATCTTGAACGATACCATGGAATCCTCAGGATAGAAGATCTTTTCGAGTTTGCCGCTTGTCGAAGTGACTGGCCTACCATTCGCCGAACGGTACAAAAGGACATGACGGACTGTAACATAATGTAGAAATCGCATTTGCTGCTAGTAGAAAGAAGCAAATATTATGACGATGGACGAAATATAGAGTCGAGGAGAGTTTTTTTTTTTTTTTATGAACCGGAATATGGATCTTGGTTTATTAGATGCACGGGATATATGTTTTTTGGTTTGTAACAGAAAATGTAATATGGGGGTCGAGAGAGAAGAAAGAGGATATTGCTCATAGAGCGACAGAGACCGAAGAATCGCTTCAAAATGGCCCATGGTGTACAATATGGGGACAATTACAAAATGAGGAGTTGCGAGAAATATGGAGAGGGGTCTATTTTTTGATTTAACCAGTCTTGAACTTTGCTCTAAAGTAGTCTCCAGCGGTGACCATGACCAATGTCTGCCACATACTGTAATATAACGGAACGGAGATTAGAAACCTTGGGGGAACCCTTTCAATGACCGACCCAACAAACTTACCCAAGACCAATGCGAGGAACCACACCTCTGTAGAAACCTTTAATACCGTTGTTCTCATAGATATACTTTGCAGCACTGCTAATGGTCATGTTTTCAGGTCTTCCTACTGCCTTAACTTGACTTTGCATTTCGACGCGAATAACCTCAATAGGCTGATTCCAGCATGACAAACCACCACCAATGATGGAAGCCATAGCTCTGTCTACAACAGTAGCCTTCTTATGAGCATCGGGACTTTCACCATAACGAGCCTTGATAATGGATTCTTGAGCCAATCGAGACAAACCAAAGCGAGAAGCCCAGTTTGTGCACTGACGAACGGCAACAGCATTGACACCTAAACGGCATAAGATTAGATCTTGCACTACACGTGATAACCGGAGACAGTGAGAGCATCACCACTGTGAGAAAGCTTACCCTTATTGATACCACGAATACCCTCCTTCTTGAAAATATCGCCAGCGACCTTCCATGTTGACACATCGGCTCCAGCCTTGTGGCGAGTGACTTCGACCGTCTTCATAAAGGTACAGAAACCCATGGTAGTATAAGCTTGAGCAATACCACCACCCATACCACCAACGATACCAGCCTAAGGGAAGAGAGCGTACCGTTAGCATGATTACGTCGATAAAGATAACTGAAGTTGAAAACTCAACACTTACCAGGAAAGGAGAAGCACCATATTCCTTGGCTCTGTACTCAAACTCGGAGGCTGTGAACAAGAGAACAGCTCCCTTGGTGGAAGCTTCGATCCAAGCCCAGGGGATCAAACCTTGGAAGAAACCAAGAACACCACCACGAGCATAAATGGATGAGAGGGCAGCAGCCATGCTTTGACCGCGGTTAGCAGCAAGCTGGGTTTTGAGGACTTCAAAAGGTTGACCGAGTGTGGAAACCTCGAACATATTGAGACCTAAGTAAGAGAACAAGATAAAAACACGTCAATAACGGAAGCACAAAGAACATATTGTTTATTATTATTCCCCTTTATCTCTCCCATGGTTTGTCGGATGAGCTGGAAGATCATCAGCAGGTTTTGCGACCTGACCTGACCCGCGGTTGCCACTGAACGTGAGGAGTATGAATACTTACCGGCACCTAGCGCCAAGTTCTGATATGAGACAGCCTTCTTCTTCGGGGGAGCGGTGGGATCGACGGGGGTTGTGTCAATGATGGCCATGATGATTCAGAAGAGAGAGAGAGGGGTTCAAGAGGAAACCAAAAAAATGGTTCCACGCTTTGTTGAAATGGAGGCTTGAGGAACCGTGACTGTTACCGGTAGGCCTCCCATATGAGGAAAGTGATCCGCTTGAGCAGAACGTACCTGAGGCATTTGATTGGCTGATACAGTCGCGAAGCGTTTCTTTGAAGCTTTGGGGCACCCCAAGCTGCTGGCCCATCTCCGAAGCATTAGCTCAAGGTTCTTCGGCACCTATGGCAGAAAAAACATTGCAACATCTTAGAAGCAGTAACCTTAACGTCTTCCTCCTTTATATGATAAAACATGTTCTTTAAGAAAAAATTGTATAAATGCGTTTGTTATTCTACACCCAAAAAAAAATTATATTATGCCAGCGAAACAATCATCAGATGTTCGCTATGGTTGTCGAAAAGAAGTATCGTATCTAAAATGCTTAATCGGAGAATGCTAAAAATAAAAATTCAGTTCGATTCAGATCAAATCATGGTTCGACATCAATCGAAGTTCCGCCAAAATCTTGCTCTTGTCCTTCATCCTGGTCTTGATCCATGGTACCTTGCTTCTGCTTACGCTTCCTAACCGCTGTCCATACATGATCGCCACCATGCATTTGTCTCATATGCTCCCACTCATCCTGTTCCAAAGGCCGAACATTGACCGTGCCATCTTCTGAAGTGATGCCTTCAGGTGGTAGCTGGCTCACCAGGAAGCCTGATTCATTATCTTCTGCGGCGTCCATGCCACTAGGGGTATCATTGTTAGCTCTCTTCTTTTTCTTCCGATCCGGTATGGTGACGTGAATTCCAGTCATGAATTGGTTGCCTTGCTGGCGGGGAACAAACTGAATTCTGCTTGACGGATCAACAATACCGAACGATACCCGGTGTTTCATGGACACCATTAGGAGTCAACTTTTTCTACTTGGCCTGCCGGGAGGTCCCATAGGTCCACCTTGCATAGGCATGGGTTGTTGGCCACCTCCATGCCACGGTGGTGGTCCACCTTGAGGAAACATACCATGAGGCGGTGGAGGGAATCCCATGTGCGGATGACCCATACCAGGCGATGGAAACGGTCCATGGTGAGACATTGGTCCCATCATATGCGGTGGAGGAGGACCAAAATGCTGCATAGGGAACGGATGATGTTGAGGCCCATGCTGAGGTGGTAAATGCTGAGGAGTCATGGAATGAAGTGAACCTGAAGGTTTCCTAAGTATTCCACGGGGCCCATCTTTAGACATAGATCCTTCATTCGCCATATTAGGTCGACCTGTATCCTGTTGAGCTTGTTGTGGTGCGTTATTTGCTGGAGCTTGCGGGGGTGGTGGCGGAGGGGCTTGTTGTGGTGGTTCATGACCCATGCCAAGTTCTGGCAAGCTCATATGAGATGCCATAGCTGGATGCTGCATGCCATGGAAAGGTGGATGCATAGGAAAATGAGGTTCAGGCATGGGATAAAAGGATTCATGCATATCTGGCCAATCTGCGAAATGCATATCAGCAGGGTGAGGTGGAGGCATTCTCATGGACCCAGACGATCGAGTTCGTCTATGCTTGCGGCTTGAGTTACGAGGTACCGAGTACAATTCTTGTTCATAGTAGTCTTCCGGAGCGTGATGTGAGGAATGGCGACGAGAACTGGATCGTCTAGATAAGTTGTGGCTTGAATTACGAGAAGGAGCTTGAGACCGATTTTGCGACCGACTTCCACTACGACTTTCATTCCTGCTTGCTGAACGGCTGCGAGTCCGACTACCACTACGACTTACGTTTCGATTGATACTTCCACTACGGCTTAGCGACCGACGAGATGGCGTTCTTGATCTGGATCGTGGGGTAACAAATTCGGGTAGTTCTTCATCAGAATACAATTCACGACCACGGATATCAACGAAATCATATCGGTCGTCATCGTCACGGCGACGGGAATACGAGCCAATAAATTCAGGTGAATAGTCGCCAGATAAGTCCGAATCCAAAGAAGGTGGGGTATATGAACGATGGTGGTGTCGTCTTCTTTCATATTCTGGTTCATATGATCTAGGTCTCTCGTAATGACGTGAAGAAGAGCGCCTAGGCGAAGGGGTATAAAAGAAATCACGGTCATCTTCCTCATCATCTTCATGATATGAACGACGACTTCTGCGATATTCACGAGGAGGTTCTTCTTCACTGTACTCGCTGGGTTCATCGACATAATCACTCAACTCTTGTCGTTCACGTCTGGTACGGGAAGGCGGAAGAGAGTAGTATTCTCTATCATCTGAGACAGACCCATCTTCAAGGGCTGGGCCAAGTTGATTCGGCTTTGAAGCAGGGCTTAGCATTACCAATTCATCTTCTGGCGTATGAGGTCTAGGGTCAATGCCTCCACTCAGAAAGCCGCCACTGGACAAGGCGAGCTGAAGTTGTTCTTGAGTGCGATTAATTTGATCCAACATTTCTTGCTCTCGCTTTCGGTGCTGATTCTCTCTTTCCTTCCATTCTTCACGCTCCAATCGGATGGCCGACATTTGTTGCCTAAGATCTACTAGCTCCATGTAAGAATGAGCCGGACTAGAATAACCTTGCGAATGGCTTGCTTGATGGCTCGTACTAGGATACGGTGCCGAATTAGGGCCAGAGTTATCGCGTACAACGGTAGTTAAAATCGGACTGTTTGGAGTTGGAGGTGATCCGTCTTCAACGGTAGTGGCTGGAGAAATGACACATGAGAGTTAATAAGAATACTGATTTTGCAATTTGCCAAATATTGGTTCACAAAAATAAATATGTACCGGTTGGATTCTTGGTGGACGATGCGAGAATTGGACTATCATCGTAGTCTTCGTCTTCTTCATGGACAAGGGGGAGAGGCTGTTGAAGGGATGGCCGTAACTCCGAGGCGATATTTTTGACAGACACGTTGGAAGACGAAGGAGCAAACATGCTGGGAGGGGTATGGGGCGGTTCCGCTTGGGGAGCCAACAATGGTTTTTTTTGAGAGAAAACACCCTTCCCTTCTTCGTTGGATGACCTTGATGCCCTTTCCTGTTGCTGCCATGGGCTCACTCGGTTGGATCTAGGACCTGTAGAGCCTTCATTGTCACTGAATTGCTGTCCCTTGATGGATGCGGTGATGTTATCGGGACTAGCATCGAGCTCCGATGAGTCTTCTCGCTCACCCATATACCCCGTACTGGAGGCCGAGCTCCTGCCTGGAGGCAAATGGGTGGAGGTTTCATACACCGGTCTCCCTTCGCCTTCGATCTCAGTCTTGTCGCCCTCTTCTCCAATAAGAACCTGTTTGGCCGGCGGCACTGCATGTTTCGGTTTCGGCATAGCCAGCGGCGGAGATCCAGAGTCAACTTTTGCGGGAGGAAGAGGAAGTGTAGAAAGGGGTTTCCCTTTGGGTAGCACCTGCTGCGTTGTATAGTTTTTATTACTATAAGTTGGCTCCAACCTCGGATAGCCAGAAAAGTCCAGAATGTCCGAGGGCGATTTGGCCCTTGCTGACATGGGCCCAAATTGTGTATAGTGGTCGTTGTCCATGGACGAATGGAGATGCGCAGGATCGGCGTTCACGGTGGTTTCAGTCCGCTCCTTTCGCTTATTGCCAAACAGTTTCGCAAGCGGCATTTTTTTTCTAACTTCTGACTGGCAGTAGCAAAACAAAGACAGAAGTTGAAAGAAAAAATGGGCGGTGTGGATGTTTATGGCATCACCCTCAAGTTTTTCCCTTTCCGGGCTATTGTTATTGCTGTGGGTTGAAAAGTCCATGGTACGTAAAGTAAAAACAATAACATACTGTCTGTCACTGTTTTGCTCTGCTCGCTATGGCGTAATCTTGCTGCAAACCTGGTGTGTTCGGTTTCTGAACACTGGATGAAAGAAAAAAAGTAAATAGCCGCGAATTGCTTTGTTTACGCAGCCACAAACAATCCAGGAACATTGTAATCAAATGAGCGCATGACCTTTGGTATGGAAAGGAAACTCTAGGGCATGGTATGTCATAACCCTGCACGATGATCATCATGGCAAAATAGAGCTTTTTGAATTATCTCCTTTTAATACTGTATTTACATGGAAAGAAAGAAGAGCTGTCATAGCTTTGACGTTTAGAAAAATTGAAAGGGAGAGAAAAAAAAAAAAGGGCAACATTCGATGAAGCCTCGAAGATATGGAAAAAGCAACAATCCTAACAACAACAAAAAAAAAGAAAAGGGAGAAGTGTGAGTGTATGTATTTTTTTTTTGGGGTGATTTAACCATGGATAACATTGTGGTTGACCAAGACGGATACCAATGGCTCTCCATAAACACTGGCTGGATCAACCAAGCTAGGCGTAGTGGAGCCGGAGGTATCGCTAGATAAACTGCCGCTATAGAAACAGTACTTGTTGATCAAATCGAAATAACCTGCAGTCCAAGCAGCTGGCTTGTTAGCATTGTTGCTGGGAGGCATGCGAATTGAATCAAGAAAAGGTTGTGGCTGTTGTGGGGATTGGTGTTGTTCGATCAAGTTAACTTTTGACTTTGCGTCATCTGGTTTGGCCGTATGAATGATATGGGACGAAAGAGCATCCTCTAGTGAAGCAGCTGTGGTCACACCAGGTATAGATGAAAAATAAGAAGGGAATGTTCCAGTACGTTTTAATGTATGGCGGTGGTTGTGGTGATCGTCATAGTGAGAATCCCCGTTGGGCTGAAGGTCTTGTACATGTGATAGCGCTTGGCCAAAGTTGTACCGTTTACCGAATTGTGTTTTAGTTGATAAATTGGGTGAGGACGACAGTGACGGAGGTGACGAGCTTAGTGAAACGATATCAGCTCCAAGCAAGTCATGTTTGATTTTTTCATCCAAATACTTCCTTCTGTTGTTGCGTGCTGTTGCCGCCGCTGAGGTGGCGGCTGGGCGTAAAATATCGATTTGGTAGTTCATGCCGGAATTATTATCCCAGAATTCACGGTTGTCGATATGATATTGCACAGCAAAAAACAGGGTTGTCGTTTCGTCTTTTGTGTCATCCAAAGTTGGGGGGATGGGGATGTTGAACATGAATCGGTCGAGGGCACTATTTTGTGGGTCTCGTCCAACAGGTTCTCTATATGCGGCTTCGACATTGTTGCATGTCTTCCACAAATCAAAAGTGTATCTGACGATCACTCGCTTTTGGTAAGCAATATTTTGAACCCGCACACGGCCAGTTAAAGATTGGTTATCTGGTGACAAAACCACGGATTCAACGCTGATCATCTGAGCAACGCTTGTTGATGGTTGAAATGACCCATTGGGATATTTTAAGCTGGGTTGTCGGCGTTGGTCATCACCATCATGAAGGAGTGCATCCCCATATGCGGTGTCCAAACTCAATGGCTCGATGTCCTCCAAGACAGCACTTGGGGTCTCCGCTTGAAGAAAATGGCGAACATGTTCCAGTTGGCTGTCAAAGTGTACATACTTGGGCCATGTGGGGGTGGCTGGGGCCGACTTGCTACCTTTCTTTACACAGGACTTGACCAGCTCTCCACTCTTTTTCCGAATCATCACAGGAGCTGTGATCATGGGCTGTTCTTCCGCTGGAAGTGACATACGTCGCGAGTGCTTTAAATGAGGGCCAGTCGTGTCCAACTGGCCTAACTTTAGGAACACCTCATTGGTATGAGCGCTTCGCCTATGGCCATTGAAATCGCCTGTGTACAAGCGTAGGGAATCATTAGCAAGATCGTGTGATGCTGATCGCCTATTTAGATGTACTCTTTTTTGCGACCAGCCTTGAGATGCGTCAAGAGGACTACTCAGTGCTGGCGCTTGAGATGCAGTGTATGGCATATGAGTGCGATGAAGGGGGGGTAAAAAAGTCCAGTCAAAGATATTGGGAGATAAGAAAGAAAGAAAAGAGATATGGAAATGCACGAAAGGAAAGAAAGAGCAGGGGGAGGCAGAAGAAAGGGCTGATTTTTTTAATAGTAAATGTGGGGAAATCCGTAAAGCAAAACAAAAAAAAGACAGAGTAAGAAAATATAAATATTGTATAAAGAGTTCTTGGAGAGGGGGGCGGGCTCGGATTGGATTGGTTTGGAAAGAAAGGGGTCCAGAATCAATTCATACCCTGCCACACACACATATTCATTTACCCTTTTTCCTCGGCTGACGACTTGAAGATTTACCCGTTGTTATAATGGGAAACCCTCCGAGGGAGGACTGCAAAACAATGAGGTTAGAAATTTTTATGAGTGGTGCATTGGCCAGGTAGCAAAGCGACTAAACTTGTCACACACTATCTTTCAGGGCAAAATTTGGCATGAACAAAACCCGTTCGGAATGAGCGATTGATGGGAAATAACCTGTTTGTCTAGCCTTTTGGTTAGGGTAGGGTAGGATATGGCATTACTGTACTGCATCAAACGAGCGGAGGGCAACATTGATAAGGATGAGATCATTTTCTCGTCATAGCCATTTGGTGCAACTGCGACACCACTCTGTAGATCGGCAATGCCATCCTTGCTTCACCTCACCTATTAGAGATGTGTAAACACGTGCAGCCTCAATAAATCCTTGCTTGATATCGCTATGTATCACAATGCATGATCGTTATGTTTGGATGGCCCGCCATAACGAAAAGATTCGCCCATTAATTATTTTTTTTTTGGTCATTTGGGTTCTTTACGGAAATCGCAATATAAAAAAAATAATATGTGATGATAATAATCTGACCACCTGGTTGCTGTTGCTTGTTTATGGTTTTTGTCAACAATGAAACAAAACATAACCTTCTCACATTGCAAGCATCCACCATTGTATTGCTGTACAGTATCGTTGATGGCAAAAGTACCCCACGGAGACACAAAAAAATGACATCAGTTGGCGTACCGATGGCATGGGTTACAAACCAACAACATGAAAGAGCCGGTGGCAGGTAATGCAAGCTTGGCAGGTGCCTCCGACAGATTGGGTGACCACCGACAGATAAAGGTTACATCCGTTTTCACCGATGCATGACCATAGATTTGATTGGCGTATGAATTCAAAAAATGGAGTGTACGACTAGGAGAACCATAAGTTCGTTCCTGAGTCACTTCAATTGGGGAAAATTTTAGTGCTCAAACAGTGTTTGCGACACACAAAATAAATTTTTTTAGCATACAAGAAGTTGTGTCACCGTCACCATTGTAACTATGAGATAATGGATTTAGGTGGCTTCGCTCCATGAACCAGTCGACATTGACGTGCGTATCAGACGGCATAACACAACAGAGAAAGAAGCGCTAACGGGAATGTGAGTTTGCCAAGGACGAAGAAGGGATTGGAAGACTTTTCCATACTCAGAACATTCAAGTCATATGCAGTATGACAGCGGGCCAATTGATTTCAGTTGGTACTGGTTCAACTGTCAATCAACTAACGCATTCACTCAGCATGTCTGTAGTGCATATGGACTACTATTAATAAGCATTGGGAAGTACAGGTATTACGTTCATCCGTAATTGGAGCGAAAATGATGAAGTTCGGTTAGATATTTGCGCCACTTCACATTGGGATATTCATGAGAGCAACACATCCTCTTGCACAACAAAATGAAAACAGAAAACATTATTTTATATTATGTTAAACGATTCACAATTAGTGAGCATCGCTTCATAAATATCAACACAACAACCCCACACACATATTGGAGAATGTGAGCAAGTGCGGCTACTGGAATTGTTTGTGGCTTTTAAAATGGTGATTAAGGAAGGGAGTGACGCTCTGGGCAGACTTTCTATTTATGGTGTTGGGGAAGTATCACTTCTTTGGTACCGAGCTTTACTCCACTGATAACTGACCCTTATCAGCTAGTACAAAAGAGGAGCAAGTTGCTTAAATAAATGATCAAAACTACCGATGAACCAGTCCTTGACCTCCACTGGCCGCTCAACGTTTTCATTTACATGCCTTTTTATATGGTTACTTATTACTTTTTATTTTTGCGTGTTCCGTTATGGAAATCTATTGGTGGAATTAGGTAGCTGTGAGATACAACAAATGATGGGCAATCTAATATAACCTTTTGCTTTTCTTTATGGCGCTCATGTCAGCTGGTTATGGCGCAGGTAAAGCTTTCTTCTGGGCCTCGTGATACTTGCTCAAAACAATCTTACATTGAGTGTCTTTGCACAGGTCCCTCAAACCATTCTTGCCTTCACCCATGCCATTGAAGAAGGTAAGACCAGCACCTCGTTCAACAGCATCAATAGGCACACGGAACGCTTCGAGTGGTGTGCTATCAGGTATACGGGCATTGGGCAACACAAAGGCTGCCGCACTGTAGTTGCCATTCTTATGGGTCAAAATGACCTTGAAAAAGTGAGTAGGCACAGCAACGTTGGGAGGGTTTCCAATGACTTGGTATTTCACGTAGAATTTCCCATCGGCTTCCCGATGAGGGAGATAAAGAGGGCCAGTGTAGACGTAGACGTCTTGAAAGCTCTTTGTGAGAGTTCTGCAAAAGTTTTCAAGATGGGCCCAGTCTGAGATGGGAGTAATACCAATCAGACACAAATTAGTATACAGTTTGAGATTTTCCCCATGGATTGCACTTTAACAAACATGTGGCGAACTTACAGTCACGGTTAAACCCTTCGCCAACCTGGGGAGCAATGTTGGTAAGATAGAAGGTTTCATCCATCGATAATTGTGAGTTCTTGACATCAGCTGCTGCAACCATATGGCCACGATCAAAACCAGACTTGAAGTAGTCATTGAGTCTAGCACGGAATTGAGCTGGAATCGTATCGTCTTCCTTGAACGTCGAGTTGGATCGATCTACACCTTTACCTCGAGAGAGAGATTCAGCAGTCATATGCTCGGCTACCCAGTTTGGATTGCGGTCTCTACGGTTGTAGGACGTAACATAGGCGTTTCGGTACACCAGGTCGTTGATAGGACCTAAGCTGAAGGTGTCAATAAAAAGCATCATGTTGCGAGGAAGTGGACTTTCCGGTTATATATATATATATATTACTCACCTGGAGAACCAAATGGCATTATGCGCTTAGCATTCTCCAACTTGTCGAGCGAGGAATTAGGTACGGCCGAACCTGTTACTGGCGGTCTAGGCACAGGGGCGGATATAACAGCGGGGGTGACAGCTGCAGGCTTTGCTTGCATTTTCTGGTATGCAGCAAACGACACGGCTCCCAAAGCAGCACCTCCAACAAGGAGGCCAAGCTTTTCAGTTATGTGAGCCGACATGGTCAAAAATGAATGAGCAAATGTGAACGGAAATTGCTTCGAGACTTATATTTTTTTTTTTATTGTGCAAGTGTGAGGGTTGGAAAATTGACTACGTGACTGTTATGATTTAGGCTCGGACTCGACGGTCGTCGTATTGATTCCGACCTTGTCCTCGACTTGGTGACGGCGATCGTGATCTGCGTCGCCGTGAGCCTTCTCTAGAGCCATTAAGACCACGATCGTAGCTGTTGTAGCTTACTCCGTTTGATTTCATCTCCTTGCGACGTTTTTGTTCCTGTTCTGCAGCAATGATCTCCTCCATGGCGGTCAATTTTCGCTTCTCCGGTGCGGTTGCTGACGTTGGTTTGTCCTTGCTATCCGATGGCTTGCTGTTAGAAGATTTTTTTGCTAATGCTGCCAATCCACCACCTTTTTTAAGTCCACCCATCATGGTCATCTTTGTTTTGGTTGTGCCGTTACTGGCAGATGTGTTATTTGATGCTGCGGTGGAAGTTGATGCTGACTTGGCAAACAAATTGAGCTTAATTGGCTGCTGCTCATTATCTCTGACAAGCTCTTTTACTTGCTCATCTTCCTTTGGCTGGCGGTCTGCGTCTTGTTGTGCTTTATCAATCTGTTCTTTAAGCAATCGTTGTGTTCGCTCTTCGTCATCTACTTCCTGTCGTTCCTTCTTCTGAATTGCAGCCTTTAAAAATGAAGGAAAACAACATATGCCTGGTTAGTTAATCGTTCATCCAAATGGAAAATGTATACCTATCAACATAATGATAAGTACAATATCCCAGTGAACTCACCTGTCGTGCCAGCGCTTTAGGACTGTTATCAATCCATGTGATGAACCACCCTTTCTCTGTCTCCTCAACATGAACGATTCCCTCTTTGCCAAGGAACTTGATAAAATCCGTAAGGGTATTCCATCGGGTTGCGTTCATGTGCAAGTGATTTCGGTCGGCAATATATTCCTGGTATACTTGATTGGCTAGTACTCTCTTTGTACCATGTCGTCTAGAGAGCAGTTTGACAAACTCTTGTTGGAATTCACGAGTGTAGCTGGTGACATATTTATCAGGGTTCTCTGCCACAAGAAGCATTTGTCGTTGATGCGCTTCGGAGGCGCAGTGGCATTTAAAGCCGTTTTCGTCTCTACAGGCTTTCTCACATATTTGGCAATAGAATCTGAGCTTCAGTAAGCCTTTTGCTTTGATTCGATTGGCAATAGCCTTTGGTGTCATGAATCCATCACCAGCCATTTTTGATCTAAATGATTGATAATCGGGGAGAAGGCAAAAAGTGTTGAATGGAAATGCCTACAGTCACCTGTCAAATTTGAATGACAAAACTCAATATCACGTGAATTCGTTGGCAAGCATGGACTTGGCCCACTGATTTTAGTCGTAGCCTAGCACTCCATATGAGCAAGTATGATGATACATGATCTTCAGAACTTTCATATATCTACATGTCAAGCAGTACATGAATTTCGAATAAAAATGTGCAGAATAAGCGTGTCCTGACAGACACCGTCAATGACACATTTGCTAAAGGTCAATATTTTGGGGTAACATTGGAGTAGACTGAAGGCGTCCAAACTATCTCCTTCCGAATGTTCTATTCCGCTATTTTGAACCTTTTTCATACTTTTCAAGCACATATAACATTGACATCCATCTCGCTTGGTTTGTTCACTGCCGTGATGAAACAGTTCCAGGCAATTTTTTTAATTTTAGCGTTGCTATAACAGCATATCAACAATGGCAAAAAACAAACAGTATTTGAGCAAATATCCGACATTTGTACTTATGCGCCATTAGAAGAAAACGTGTTATTGTGTTGGTTGTGTTACTGTTTTGATGAAGGAAAAAAAATTAGATTTGAAGATACAAAGGTGTGGTTTCATCAATTAATGCCATATCCTGGCATTTGTATCACACACAAATGGTAGTAAGCACGTCGGAATCAATGGAGAGGATGTAGGTGTATAGCTAGCATGATATCGCATTTTTCGACGATAGATCTATCTCCTCAGAGTGGTTCCCAAGTTGTGTTGGGGCAAGATGGTGGGTTGAGAAAAAAATTTATGCAGTTCGGTGTAACTGACTAGAGGAACGAACGCTTGCTAAATTATGGTAACGGAGGTCCGGCTGACCTCAGCGGAAGCTTATCGATGCTAGAACACCACTGCTGGATTTAATACATTAATAATAAAACCCCTCAATTCTAAATGAAGATCGCGGTGATAGCTGACATGCCATTGGGGATTCTAACGCAGATAAAAATCAAGATCCGCATTTCCTATTCCAAACAAAACATTTAATCAGTAAAAAAATAGTATAAGCAGCCCATGGATATAGGTAGGATAACGTATTTTATGACGCAATGGAAAATGCCCAGCTAAAAGATGTTGTTTTGTTCCCGCTGTTTGGTAACATAAGTAGCGCTCTTACATTCGGAGACCTAAAGTTTCAGCAAAGGGCCCATGCAAGGGAAAGCATCGTAGTTTGGTGAGACAGCTGGAAATCATTTTTGGATAGCTGGTATGCATACCGTACAATTGGTTGAAAAAACATGGTGCAGCCAACCACATGTGTTGGCCCACTATGCACTTACGCGCCATGTGGTGTATTTAAGGCATGATGCACGAAAGACTGGACTTGTCGCAAACAACAAGGCGCGGTGATCAGTGTTCACCATTCACGAATTCTGAAATGACTAACTAAAGTGGAGAGCCAAGACTCCGTTGGTCACTCTGCCAAATATCTTTAGCCGTTATGTCATGGTATATACCCGCTTGGTTGGACAATAGTGTACGCGGAGCCTAGGTTATGATGGGTCATAAGGGCGTACAAAGGAAAGAACGAAAGACGGTACCACAGTCTAATCAATGACCTTCTACCAACCCAGCTTACGAACATTCGCTTTGCTTTTCCTTTGCATTGAGAGTCATCAACGTTCCATATCGTTGATTGCACCCTTCCTAATCATTGCTCATTTCCATACATTGGATTGCTTACACTCCCGGAAGTTGTATATGGTTTATTGCTCCATTTTCATGGCATATGCTGTCAATACAATCTCCTCCTCGGAAATAGCATTCCGAGATTGCAAGTGCAAACCTTCGCCGTTCCAAATGAGACGTGCCTAGTTTGAACCAAACCCCATACCTTTCTTTCCATAAAAATGAATTTAGCGATAGTAAATGGAGTCTATTTGTCTAATGAAGCGGATGGTTTTTTCTCGTCCTATTTGTTTCGAAGTGTATTGATGGTCTAATGTCATCAATCCCCTCCAGAACTCGTTGTAAAATTAAAAAATAAACTCAGGAGATGTTGTTCAGTTGCGTGGTGGAAGTGATGGTGGTGTTATGAAAAGGAGTCACATGATGAGGCGCTTTTCAGAAAAGAAATTTATTCAAATATAAAAAGGTGCAAGGTATAAAAAATACCTTCTGCTAACATTCCTTTTACTATTCCTCTCACACATTTCCCTCATTTATGGCCCCTCTCTCTCTTCTTCCTCTGGTAATCTGATCTCATCCGGTAGTACCAAACCTTTAGGCAAGGCTTTCCTCATGCGGGGGCCCATCCCTCGCATGTGTAGATAGGTCTGGTGCCCACTTTATGAAACGCATCACATCATCGGCGTAATCTTTATGTGATGCAAAATAGCGAACACTTCTTTCCCTCGGCTGTGCAAACTGCAAGTTGTAAACGAGATCCTTGTATCCACGAAGAAGGGATGGCCTGAGATGGGTCTTACCTCGAAAGGGCAAAAGCTCTGGATGGCCTATCTATGGTACCTTTCCCTACGGACCAAAGCACATTTGCCGCGCGAATCGGCTCTGTTTAACCCCAACGAAAAGGCGAGGGACAATTTCGCATCGGCATGTGGGCTCTTGGTATCCCCCTTCCGAGCGAGGTGAGGTGGTAGGTATGTATTGTATCACAATGTCATTCCCCAATGGCGAAATTATCACTCCGTTTGAAAAGGAACCTCCATATTGAAAATTTTATTATTATCTTTTTAAAGCGAGTTACCTGCCATCGCCCCTCGTCTCGGCCTGCAGTTCGTCTTGGTTGGTCTGCAAATTAACCCTTTAGGAAATTCCGAACACGTAACAGAAAAACGATATGACAGGATAGTCTTATAGTTCTTAACATGTATGGCGGAATGAGAAAGAAATTTTTAAAAAAAAGAAATTAAAAAAGAATAAAACATAGAAAAACCTAGATTTATTAATTATGGCAATCTGTGAAAGGTAAATGGTAGTGAACTTGACGTGGGAGCACAGACTGTGATCTTCGATCTGTCACTGGGACAGAACCAGCATTGAAGCGCGAAATCGTCAGGTTAGAAAAAATGGGGGAGATTTGCGTCAGGTAAGACCCTTGAATATACTCGTTCTACACGGTGGGTTGGAGGGCCACAGGTGCATGGCCAGTTGGCATTTTGCCCCGCATGCCGGTCACCGGACACACAAATATCTCGTCGTCGTCTTCACTTGTTTTAGTTGTCGCGGTTTCCACGCTCTCCCTTTCTTCGTTCGACTCCGTAGATGGCATAACCAATCGGTATTCCTTAATCTTATCTTCTGCTGTCGAAACCAGCGTGGTAGGTTCCAAGAACATACGGTTGACGACGTCCGAATCCAAATCCAGCCAGCTAGAAATATGGCCTGACATTTCTCCAATTTGGTCCTCAACGACTAATTTGAAGTCCTCAGTCCTCCTCCATTCAACATTCAGCTGTTGCTCTAGATCTAGACACGCTTCGAGAGGCATGGCTTCTTTCATTACTTGATTCACGGCCCGTACAACCACTTCTAGCAAACTTGGAGATTGTTTCTCGAGATGTTGGAGTATGCCATCACTCCACGGTTTCTTGATGTCCCTGAGCCGCTCCAAAATTTGAGACACGCTGGGAAAATCGCCAAATACTTGTTCAATCTCCTTTTGCCAAACTCCAATCTTGTCAGGTCCAGCATAAGCTTTGTGCATCTCGAGCACAACTTTAATAGCTTCCTCAGTGTGTGGAGCAGGACATGGTGCATTGTTCTTCATTTCCTTCAACGTATCCACGTACTTGGCGTCTGGAATGAAATAGTCTGCCATTCCTAGTCTAAGTAGCTCAGGCCCTCGGAGTAGCAGTAAGTTAGGCGGCGCCAGAGATATATACAGCGCGGTTCCTTTAGGTGGTACACGAGCTGACTTGTCCTGGTCAAGGATACATTTCAGTAACCCCAGTGGGGGGATGGGAGCATTTGAATAGCTGTTTATCCCAAAGTGGGTGAAAGCGTGCTCAGTAATGATGCGGGTTTGGTTAGGCGAGAGATAGAAAAGCGAGGCGGAACGGGGTATCTCGCCATCGATGATGTTGAACACTGGTTTCGAGCTCTCATCCTTCCGTTCGAGAAGTTTAACAAGTGAATAGTAGTCATTTTGGAGACTTTGCAATGAGTTTTGTACAGCTTCTATATCATCGTCACATTCAAGCAGTGTCTCCTTGAGAGCTAGTCCAGCACTGATGGTTTTATGATCAAAGTTAGTGATAGGAGCATCTGGATCTTGTTCAGGCACTGCGATTTGAGAACAGCGGGTAGTAATAATCAGTGCTGAGTGTTTAGGGTCGCTCATAGCTTGATCGACTTCGTCTTTCAATAATCTCAATCTCTCCGATGTCATCAAATTGTTCGTCTGTGGTGATGCGATAGACAGCGTGAGTGCACCAAGTGAGGTTTGGGGGTGCTCAACATTAATGAATTCGTTGCTATCTGAATGCTCCTCCTCCTCTAAAAAATTTCAGGACAATATGCACGTTAGACAGATTTACAGTTAGTCAAAGTAGATAGCAACGACCTCCATTACCTCGTATGCCTTTGTTCTGCCATAAATGAGCATATGGGCAGGCAGGTGCTACTTTCTTCGCCTCTTTCCATGACAAGTACTCGGCAAGATCGAGGTTTTCGACGAACCTTTTGGAATTGCATGGGCAACACAGGTCAACTCTGATATCATGGTGCTTTACACGCTCTATGTCAGCTTGCTTACCGTGAATAATAGAACGCTCTTGCCTTGAGCATTTCTCGATCATAAAATGCTTTATCCACGATAGCCCCTGGCTTATTCTTGGCGAGTCCAGTAATGATATTAGGCAAACCGCTAAGAAACTTCTCATCCGTCGAAAATGAGTATTCATCGAACCGAGCGTATACTGAATCGTCCTCTTTAAATTCGGGTTTAGAGCTATTTAGGATTTTTTCGAACTGCAGGTAGTTGTCGAGATCGATTGGATACTTTATTCTAAATGAGGTCCGGATATTTAGAAGCTCTCGCAAATGGAGCAGTATGACTCAAATTCCACCATGACTCTTCTTACCTGGAAAAATAAAACTGCTTGGCTTTTAGTAGCTCTTTCTCGTCAGTGGGTATTGTGGAGTAAATGGCTTTCAAGCCTTTTTGGAATTCAGCGTCATTATCCCAATCATAGGAATGAAATTCGTGAAACTTTTTGAGTTCTTCGGGAGGAAAAAGTGAGAATTGGTCAGACTGGTAAGCTTCTTGGTTATTGTCTTCAGTGGTAGTCATGGCTGAAAAGAAATGTGGCCCGAAATGCGTGAGAGCGCAATAGTTTTATTTCAGCTGCTGCTGTAAGGAACAATCAAGCCTGTCTGGGGTAATTCTGCTAGCTATTTTTTTTTTTTTTTTTACAGACCGCGCAAAGCTTCATCGGGTTTCTCTTCATTACTAATATGAAAAATCTTGCGAATAAAGTATCCAAAAGACTTGTTCTTATTTTTTTACTTTTGATTTATTTATTCATACCTAAGTAACCTGATTTAACAGAATCTACAATACAAGGACCATACAAAGAAAGAAAACGAGAGGAAAGGAAAGGAAACTTGGAGGATGCACAAGATACAAAATTACAAGGTGATAAACAGTTGCAGTTAAGGCGGGATATAGGTAGCTAGGTGGGGAGGGAATTAAGCGTAGATAATTTAAATAGAAAGGTGAGGGTATTAGAAGCACATAAACTTGTTCTTCTTGTTCATGAGCTCTTCCATTCTGTTTTCCAAAATGACACGAGCTCGTTCAGCTCTTTCTTTGTATTTTCTTTCTGCTTCCAACTGCTTTTGGAGGTTGGTACGCTCCTCAGTCTTGACCTGCTCAACAGATTGCATTTGTGTGCGAAGGGTGGTCACTTCAGCTCGAAGGGTGGTCAATTCAGAAGACACGGTTGTTTTTTCACGAGCGAGGGAGTCCAGTTGCTTTTTGCTATCTCTTGCCACGGCCTCAGCACGAGTAAGCTGAACTTCAAGCTTATTGATAACATCTTGATGAGCTTTGACATCATTTTCAGAAACATTCAACTTCCTTTGTAGTGCCCGCACGGTTTTTTCAAATTGGTCTGCCGTACTGATAGACGATTGTATCACAGTACTGGTGATGGAACCAGTGATAGATGAATTCTCAGAGCCATTTCGCTTCAATGACACGGGTGGTGACATTGGTCGAGCTGGTAATGGTGCATTAGGGGGTCCACCTGGAGGGGCAGGAAGACTTGCTGGTATAGGTGGCAAAGCGCTTGAGGGAGGTGCTGAGCGTGGTGGTAAGGTTGATACACTGGACAGGATGCTGCCTCTGCTAGACGATACCGTTGATACAATGGAGCTTCGCTTATTAGTTTCATCCATGTCATCCATTAACTCGACGGCTCTGGCACTCAGAGATTCAGGTACACTGCTTAGCTTGTGTTGTTGGCCCAGTTCGCTGCGTGACGAACCCTTGACTCCCCCAGCTAAAGTTTGCATCATCGATAGCGTAGCAATTGATGAGTTGGAGGCGATTGAGCTTCGCTTATTGACAAAACTCATGGGTGCTTGTGGTATCAATTGCTCCATTTCGATTTCAAGCTTATCGTTGGCAGATGTGAGGCGGATAATTTGAGATTGTAAAGTCTTGGATTCCAAAATAGACTTTTCACGTTCCAAATCAATTTCAAGTTCTAGTTCCTTGATACGCTTGATGAGCTTGCTATTATCCCTTGCAAGTTTTCTTGCTCCATGCTCATCGATGTTACTGTCAGAGTTGGAACGACGTCGAGATGAGATATTGAGTTCTTCTACAATTTGTTCCTTAGACCTTGCTTGAAGAGTCGCCAGCTCTTTACCCAACTTCGCTTCGGATAGCTTGGTAGTTTCTAGTTGCTGCTTCAAAGCCTCAATGGACTGAACGTGTTCATTGATGATGATTTCTTGCTCTTTCAACAATTTCTTACGCTCATCCAAGTCGCTGACAGCACGAAGGATGCGGTCTTCCATTTCCTTCTCGGACTGGCGATGTGAATCATTCAGAATCTTGATCTTCTCTTGAATGGCGGAATCCGCTTCCTCTCCAGCGCCTAAGGAAACTTGCAATTCCAGTCCTTCAATTGTGCGCTTTAGGACATTGTTAACACCTTCAACACGCTCAATGTGAGCACTCTTGTCTTCCAAGTCAGAAATAGCGTCCTTGTGTTCGGCTTGAATTTTGATAAATGATTCTCGAACGGCTTCCAGGATACTTTCGAGCTCTTCCATCTTCTTTGCGCTCTCCTTAGCTGATATTGTATGTTTGCTCAGTGTATCAACTTGATCTCTGAGGGTATTTTGCTCATCTTTGTAGGCTTGGATCTCAATTTCATACATCTCGATCAAACTGTTCTTCTCTGCCAGTTCGTTGTTGACAGATTCAAGTTGTCGCTCAAGTGAGGCAGCTACTTCATTATTGGCGGAGGCACGATCAATGATGCTTCGCAAAGACTTGGCTAATTCTTGTTTTTCGCTCTCAAGAGACTCGAGTGATTGACGCTTAGTCTCAAGGTCATCAGCTTGCAGTTCGTACTGCCGCTTAAGATCTTCCAAATTTTCGCGGGTTTTGTCAGTCTTGTCGTCTTGTCGTCGTAAACTACCCTCCATTTGAGCAATCACAAGATACAGCTGACGTCGCTCGTTATGAATCTCTTTGATATCCCTACGAACAGTCTCGACTTCCATTCGAGTGGCTTCCACTTCGCGAACCTTGACAGCAAGCTTAGATTCCAACGATTCAATCTTCTGTTCGCGCTCAACCAATGATCTTCGCATTTCATCGGCTCTATCTGTCATCTCCTCGACTTGGAATTCAAGTCCTTGAATCACAGCATCTTGCTTTTCCTCCACTAACTTGATGTTTTGAAGATCAAGTTTGACTTTTTCCAACTCTTCTAGTCGAGCAGCAAGTGCAATTTGTGTACCTTGCTCGTATTCAGACATTTGAAGCTTGAGCTGTTCAACGGTAGCCTGAGAAAGTTCGAGATCAGAGGTTTTGGCAGCATGAGATTCGTGAAGCTTGTTCAATTCTTGTTTCAAAATGTCAAGGGATGTATGCGCATCATCACGAGCGTCTTGCAGCTTCTGACTATCGGCGACCTGAAGCTGATGCTTCATCTCCAACGCACCCATCTTACTGACTGCTTGGTCATACTCTGCTTTCAGCGCATTATGTTGATCTTGCAATACCTTGTAGCCTTCAAGGCTGGTAGTAGCTAGTGCAATTTCCTCCAAATGACCACGGACATTTTCCTGAAGTTCAGAAATGATTGATTCTTGCATATCTGCATTCTTCTGTAAAACCTTGACCTCTTGCTCTTTGGACTTGAGACTGTCTACATGCTTGAGAAGTTCTTCCTTTTCACGTTCATACTCTTGACTTGAAATATCAAGGGTAGACAATTTCTCCAGTGCCGCAGTGAGTTCTTGTTGAGTTTCGGTCAAGGTTTGACGCAAATCATCAATGTCAGTATTGTGCATGGCCATGAGAGTTGCTTCCTTTTCGCAGATGTGAGCGATATCATTGTTGAGCTGTTGGACTTTGTTTTCAAGCTCATCAACCTGCTGCTTGAGTTGATCACGTTCCTGTTGCAGTTCAATGAAGTGGGCAGATTGTACGTTTGACGTTTCGACAAGGATGTCACGGGATTGAGTAGGAGCCTGCTCAGATTGAGGAATGGTATCTTTGAGTTGTTCAGATACATCTTCAGATAGAGACTCGGTACCAAGTGGCAATGCAAAGCTCTTTTGAGAGTCATCATCATGGTCTTCAACGATTTCATCATGCTCCAGCTCAGGAGCGACAAAGTCTTTTGAATCATCATCGTTCATCATTTCAGTCACCGCAACAGGTGCAACAAGAGAATGCGAAGCTTTCAAAGCTGAAATCTCTTCAAGAGCTTTAGCATAAAGCTCTGTCTTTTGAGTGAGATCTTCAACAACTTGATCGTGTGATATTTTCAGCTCTGAATGCAATTTCTGAAGAGCTACCATGGAGGTATCATTAGAAACCGTCATTTGGTCAGCCATGTCATTGTATGTGTCCTCGGATGCCAAGTTGAATTCTTCTTCCGAAGCACGAGGTGTCCACTGGCCATCAGCAGAAGACTGGGGACGACTGGACGAATGGATGGACGACTGAATATCACAAAGCTGTTGCGTAAGCTCATCTTTTTCCTTTTCAAGTTGAGCATAGGCAGCATTGCGTTCATCTAGTTCCTTGAGCAACGCAGAAGCGGCTTCACCTTCAGAGGGACTGACGAACTGCTTGCTCCGGGCTTCGGCTCGGTCAAGCTGCAACTTGATGTTGATTCTCTCTGTTTCCGCTGTAGTTAAGCGAGTCTCCAATTCATCAATGTATTGCTCAGTAGCAGAATCCATTTCCTTAAGTTTTGTAATCTTGCTCTTCAAATCATCTAAAAGCTCGTGGTCTTTGGCGGCATCTTCGGCAGCCTTGCTGAGTTTGCCTTCAAGTTCACCAATATAAGCCTCGTTGCGTTGCTCAGTATCGGACATTCTTTTCAATTTCGTTTTGATATTGAACATATCCTTTTCTTGTTCGTCGAAGCGTGAATGGAGTTCATGGACATGACTATCTTGTTCTTCAATACGCTCGTTGGCGACGGTGAGAGCAGCGCGTGCCATAGACAATTCATTTTCAATCTTGGAGACAGTGAGTTCGTATTCTTCAATAACGGGCTCAACCAAATGTTCAAAATCAATTGGTTCAGACTGTTTGAGACTAGCACGTTTCTTGACAAGAGTATGAATTTGGTCACTACGTCGCTTGCGGCTCTTGTCTTTTTCAATCTCCTCCTTGGTTGTAACGTCGCGCAAGGCTTGCAGTTCTTTCTCAGCTATCTTGTTTTCATGCTGGACTCTTTCCAACTCGGACTTCAATTCTTCAAGTTGTTGTTCCAAGTCCGTCACATGTAGCGCTTCACTTGCCTCGGCCAGATCAACGGATGCGCTAGTAGAGGACGAACTATGAGCCGATGATGGAGAAGAATTTTGCTTCTTCAACTTGGCAATAATTGAGCGTAACACAGCCACATCATCAGTTTGCATCCACTCTTCGATGCTGTTTCTTTCAACCTTGTTCTTGATATTACGTGCGCGGTTAGCGTACTTGATGGTGTTCATCGTTTCGATCAAGTTATGTTCAGCGGGACTGACACAGGCAATCATCAGTGTGGTGGAATTGCCACCGAGGGAATCTTGAAGCAGTCGGGTCAATTTGGAGTCACGATAAGGGATGTGAGTTACAATCTTTTTGCGATTGGGATCACCAAGAATAGAGATGACATTGCCTAGCGCCAAGAGGCCAGCATTGATGTTGATTCCCTCCTTTCTTCTGTCACCTTCTGCTGCGGTACGTTTCAGCTAAAGGAAGGAATTGACATGGTTAGTGTTGTGTTTTCCTGTTTCCATTATCATTTCTATGACTCTCCTCGAAAAGAGGTTGTCAAAAAAATTAACGTACTCTTTCACTTCCGGCAAGATCGACAAAATGAAATTTGGACTGCAAAACGACAGTCTCGCCTTCCTGCGAAGTAGTAGAAACAGCCTTTTGTTCCATTTTTCCAATCAATGCGCGTACATTTAATGACTGGCGAGATCCCAGTGTAGATGCAGATCGAGCTGGTTCAATAGTACTTGCTCGGTTATTCACGACCGATGATGGCTTTTGCGGTACCCATTTCTCCTGACGAAGCATGACGGTAAAGATGGCATGCGAGCGAGACGACTTCTCGTTCATATCGGTCGAGCCTGTTGCTCGATTTTGTGTTCCCTGCTCGAGATATCTGGTGGGTGCATTAAAAGAGTAGGGTGTAAGGACCGGACTAGTTATTACACATCATTAAATAAGTAATAAAATATTGCATACCGCATGACTTGTTCGACGCTCGAAGCAGTTGCTTCAGTAACTCCAGACCAGATAAGTTGACCCTTCATATCTTCTCGAACAGTAATAGCAGGTCGTGCTTCAGGTGGAGCATCGTTCAATAAATCAATGAGTTCCTCATTGTAGATCTCGATAAAAGAAACTTTCACGCTAAATTTTTTTGGCCGGACTTCGGTTGATGGTGATGCAGGTGGGCTGTGTTGAATCATCGAGACAGGTCGAAGTCTGGATGAGGAGGATTTGCGACTAAATGCAGGAATAGCGGAAGTCGCTGATTGTATTGCTCGATTTGTTTCCTCAGCTTGTAATTTTTCAAATAGGTATGAAACGGCACGAGGGACGATACCCTCATCGCCGAGATCGTGGGACTGACACATCTTTTCAGTACCCATGGTATATGTTTTTCCAGACGAAGTCTGGCCCTGTAAAGCAACATAGGGTTTGTGAGTAATGATCATAAACCGGATTCAATTGATGTGGGGCTCATAAGGGCAGGCAGAGACTTACATAGGCAAGAACAGTAGCATTGTAACCTAGATAGGTATTCAAAAGAGTGTTAGAACATGATCCTATTAAGGTTGCTTTCACACCCCTACTCCTCCTTAGATTTCCTTGTACTTGATTGAAACGCCAAAGCAAAACTTACCGTTCAGAAATCGTTCAACTAATCGACTTCCAACTTCGTTAAATACTTGTTCCTGAGTACTTGTAGGACCAAAGATACAGTCGAATGTGAATGGCTTTGGTTTTTGACCCTTTTCGGCAACCGAAACGCTGTTGTCATTGACTTTCAAAATGTCGGATTCGTCTATAGATGAGAATCGTGGTTGAGATTTGTCGCGACTTGTCAGCGGTCGTATGCGCAGAGCTATATTAAAAATGTATCAGTGGAAAAGCCTTGTATACTATGATTGATTTTCGATTTTTTTTTTTTTGACACAAAAATCGTGAGCAGCATTGACAGCTACGGGCGTTACGATGCTTACCGACTTGGATTGAATTAGATTGGGGCTTATCATGTTGCTTAGACGAACTAGTAGTGTCCTGCGTTTTAAGATTCGGTATGGCCATTATCTCTTAGTATGGCAGCATAAGTAGTAAATGATGGAGAGCGGGTAGAGTTGTGTTTGCTAAGGGGATGAAAAGCAGAGCTCAATATGGTAGGGAATGGAAGGGAGGTGAGGTGAATGCCCAAGTGAAAATGATCGACAGAGAGGGAAAGAAAATAGTTGAGAACCCTTTGGTCAAAAAAAACCCCTCCATCTCATAAAATACTGGTTGGTTATACAAGGTTACACACATTAAGAGAAACACTAATTTTATTTTTACTATGTCTTCTTGTTCAGAATTCGAACAGCGTCCTTGGAATAGACGTAACTTGCTCCAGACCAAATGGTTGTTACACCGACTGTCCATCTGGAAACGTACAAGATTGAGTTATTATGAGCTCGTGCAAGAAAACACCTATAGTGTACTTACTGTAAGCCTGTCAGCAAAACGGTGTCTGGGAATCCCAATACAGGCGAAGTCAGAGAGGCACCCATCAGCAATAATTGAAGCGCTGTGTTAATTTTGCTAATTGTGGTGGGGCGTACTTCCGCAGATGGTATTGAGAAATCCCAGTATCGTACAAAGGTTTTCTGAAAACAGTATGTTGGGCGTTTTAACTTTCTTTTTTCCATTCCATATGTCAATCAACCAGGCTTTAACAAGACACTTACGGGAGGTGGTAAAGAAATGTAACGATAATAGAAGGATGAGAGGACGAGCCCACCGTCACGCGCTAGAATTATTGCTGCCAGAGGAACTGAGAAAATAAATAGAAACATTTTCAGTTAAGGCTAGTACAACCGTTGTGATTGAACCTGTTCCCGCCCAACCAAACCGCCTGCTAGCTCACCCGGCAGCGCAGAGCAGAACTTCAACATCATGTGACAATCCCTCCTCTCTGATTTTTTTACTCACCTGGCAATAAATCTTGCATGGCCAATGTCACTGTAAGTATTGTCATCAGCGTCTTGTCGGCAAGAGGATCAATGATACTCCCAACAAAAGTCTTCATATTGTATCGTCTAGCAATGAATCCATCCAGCTGTTCCGGAATCATGCATCAGGTCAATGAAGCACAAAGATGTATGGCACCCATCTAATTAAATACAGAGTGCCACTTACCATATCTGTTATGCCTGCAACTGCGAATATACCAAGTGCCAATGGGTACTTTTCATTTAGAATAAGATAGCCGACATATGGAGAGGCGAGCAGTCTTGAAAATGTCAAGATATTGGGGATTGTATAAATATTCTCATGCGTAGGGATGTTGGTTTTGAGCTGTAAGAAAAAACATTGTTGCAGAGAATATAGAATATCCCAGTTAATCAATTGTAACGCTGGCTGCACTGACCCTCCGCACATAGCTAGCTAGCCAGAAGCTCGGCCAATGCTAAAGTGCTTCGATCAACACCACTCTCGCTAAAAAAAATTGCTCTGTCCCACGCATCTCTTACCTTGCCCAGCACACCTTTTGCGTCTTCTGCAGCCTTTTGTAGGCTTGGTTGTTCGTCTTTATTATCGGTAGGGGTGCTGAACCGTCTTAGTGAATACGATAAAATTTTACTATTATGACTGAAAAAGATTATCGTTTAACGAGATGTATTCGACTGTGTCATACGCGATATAAAATTGTACAAGACTTACACAAGAGGTACCCGGCCGTGAATGGTAGATAGTCGGGTGTGAATGGCTTTTGGTGCATTCTTAAATGTCATTGGCAGAGGATTTTTTGCCGCAATGAGAGTGTGGTGTCGAGCAACCGAGATCGATGGTCGAAGCATTGCTGTAGCAACGCGTGAGGATATCCATAGTCGGTGCGGCAGCGTCACAGTCGTCATAACAAAGGATATCGTAAGCACACACCTAAAGTAGAGCTCGCTTGTTATGGCCCAACGTATTTTTGTTCCTTGCGGAATTTGAAATAAACAGTACTGACACATTGGTCCCAGCCAAGGCAAGGTAGGTAACTACTACGTATTATCACATTTCGGCAATACTGGAAAGCGAAGGACCAGCTCGGAAACATTTTCATATTTCCATTCTATCAATCATGAAGACGATGACCCCTGGATGCCGAGACTTCTAGATGCGTTTGTGGAGCCTTTTGTTCGCACTGCCCTTCTCGGCTCCATAACAGGGCAGGAAACGACGTCGATGTTCGTTTGTCATCGTTCCTTGTGTACATTCACGTTCTGTAAATATCGAACTGACCGTGAAGATCAACTTTCTTACTCATGATGGATCGCCATCGTCGTTGGCGTCACCATGAACCAGTGTTTTGAACACGCACGACAAACTCTGAAGTCCCTCGATAATGCCTATTTATTCCATATATGGTTTCCAGAATTGAAGCCTAGGCAAGGGAACCCAGTCTCATAGACGAGACAGCCCACAATCTTATTATCAAGGAAAAAGCTACGAGTGGGAAGGGATTTTTTTCACCTTATGCTACTGATATCCGTGGCTTTAATTTTTGTCTCAACCGACTCCACCGACTCTATTCTTGCAAAGGAATGATAAGGTTTATATTCAGAGCCTGGTTGTGAATTAAGCTTCCAGAGCAAGGATATAAAAAATGAAGCCTTCATTAAGATAGCACAAATGGACTGGATGTGAAGAACATTGTCCCAAACTCTGTTTCACTTTGACTATGCTTTCTTTCTGCATATTTTTAAGATTAGACAAGTTACAGAGCAGCTGTTCGCGAATCAGTCTACTGCAATTTGGTACGAGATACCGCCATCAAATAACATGCAGGGAACTAGTCAGTACATATGGGTTCCACGGGGGTACTTTAATGGGCGGAAATCATAAACGCCAAGCCTTACTACATAAATCAGTCTTCTTTTGCGAGAGAGTCTTCATATGCGCATTACACTATTTTCTTCATAGTGTTGCGCTGGGGTAGTTTGAATCGGATTATCCTCATGAAAAAAACCCCCATTCTCTCTTCTATTTTCTGGCGTGAGCTTTCGCCATAATCCGGGCCGGCAGGCAAGCACAAATTTGGAAATGCCCAGTGACGGCGAAACTGATCGGGATCTTGTCCCCGCCACTTTTGGATGCATGAGCCCATAACAACTTACCTTTTCTTCAACTCACCTTACCTTTTCACACCTTTCTCTCAACTTATTTGTTTGAATCATGGTTTTCTTGACTCAAGTCGTTAGCGATGGTGAGTAATATACGCGTGAATACGAATTAACAGTCCACTATTGCCCGCTAACACGTTGCTCGGACCCCTGCCACTCTCTCTTTTCCTTCAGCTCGTATTAACGAGACCAAAGAACAGCAAGAGGAAGCTGGCATGTTGCACGAAGAATTCTCTACCTCTGTCTATGGAACCCGCTGGGCTGGACAAGATATCCCTCGGTAAGTCCTACAGCACGTCTCGAGAAAAGTGGCGGGTATTATTATGGGGGCTGACCTTGTGATTGTTGTGCTATAGCTTCGATATGCCGGATGTAAGTAACTTGACCACCGAGTGACTTATCATGAGCGTGATGATCTAAATTTCTTTTTCTGTGGATGGGCATGCTATAGAACGAGATGCCACCTGGTAAGATGGATGGGCTTAGCCTGTGATTAATATGTGAGCCAGTCGTACCTTGTAATGTTAAGCTAAACCCTTACTTTTTCCTAGATGTCGCATACAGACTGATCAACGATGAACTTGCCGTGAGTTTGAGTTGCTGTGATGATTTCGGTGTATAGCGATAGTACTGACCCTGAATGTTTATAGCTGGATGGCAGACCCTCACTTAACTTGGCCAGTTTCGTCACCACGTTTATGGGTATATGTCCAAAATCAGGTTTTTTCAGCTAAAAGTCACTTCCCGATCACTAAACTAGTCTTGATTTGGAACAGAGCCTGAAGCTGAAAGACTTATCAGCGAGAATGCCTCCAAGAACTTTATGTGAGTTTGCAACGTCTTGAGCCAGAAGTAAAGCTTACAATGACTGACTTTTTGCTAGCGATTACGAAGAATACCCTCAAACTTGTGAGATCCAGGTAAGAAAATCAAATATCTCGAGCACCGTGGAGACCTTCCCCGAGGTGTCCGATTCTGACATCGCCGTTTATCATCTAGAACCGCTGCATCAACATGATTGCCCGTATGTTCCATGCCCCTATGGACAGTTCTGAGGAAGAGTGCATGGGATGCTCTACTATTGGATCATCTGAGGCCATCATTTTGGCTGTCTTGGCTATGAAACGCCGCTGGCAAATTGCTCGCGATGAAAAGGGGTTGTCCAAGGAAAAGCCCAACTTGGTTATGGGAGCCAACGTCCAAGTAAGTTTTTTAAGATTGCTCTGGTAGCAGCAAACCAGTATTTTTTTTTCATCTAATGATGTTCCACTCTCCTTAGGTTTGCTGGGAGAAAGCCGTCAAGTAAGCTAAAGGTTATTATATATGGGTTACACAGCCGAAGTATTAACTTTTATCCGTGTCAAGGTACCTCGAAATTGAACCCAGATATGTGTCCTGCACTGAAGACTATTTGATTATGAGTCCAGAGAAGGCTATAGAGCTCATGGATGAGAACACTATCGGTTGTTGTGCCATTCTTGGTTCTACCGTAAGTACTTGGGGGGTTCGGCCCATTTTTGCCAAATACTGATAAGATGCGCATGCATTGCTTGGTTTCTCCCAGTACACTGGTCATTATGAAGATGTCAAGACGTTGAACGAGCTTTTGGAGAAGAAGTGTGCTGAAACTGGATGGGATATTTGCATCCACGTTGATGCTGCCAGTGGTGGTTTTGTAGCCCCATTTGTGTGTCCCGAACTTGTATGGTAAATATTCTCCGGGTCGCTTCAGTTGTCTTATTTCGTTTGTATACTAACAATCATAATAGGGATTTCCGTCTTCCACGAGTCATTTCCATCAACGTCTCTGGTCACAAATACGGTTTGACGTAAGTTTAGCGAACAAAGAAGCACGTCCACTTGACCTGCCCCCCCCCCGCTGCTCTCAACGGGTTTTTGCTGATCATTGTGCTTATCTGCAGGTATGCTGGTGTAGGATGGTGCATTTGGCGTAGCAAGGAATATCTTCCTAAGGACCTGATTTTCAATATCAAGTAAGACTTTTTTTTAAAATTGGTTGCTTGTACGCACCATATTGACAGTACATCCTCTTGACAGCTACTTGGGAGCTGACCAAGCATCACTCACCCTTAACTTCTCCAAGAGTGCGTCCACTGTCATTGGCCAATACTATGTTTTGATTCGCCTCGGCAAGTCTGGTTTTAGATCTATCATGACTAACCTTATTCGTATTTCCGACCACTTGGCTGCCTGTCTCGAAAAAGCTGGATTCCAGATTTTGAGCGAGCGTAATGGTAGAGGATTGCCACTTGTCGCTTTTAGAATTAAGACCAAGAAGCATTATGATGAGGTGAAGTGTCACTGATAGATGAGCCAGACAATTTGCATTGGCAAGTGACACTAATACGGTGTTAATTTTTCCTCCAGTTTGATGTGGCTGCTCGTCTCCGTGAACGCGGTTGGATTGTGCCTGCTTACACTGGTGCGTGCATGAATTTTTTTTTTTTTTCAATTAAGCTAATTTTATACTTCCCGGTGGGTTCCGATGAAAGCATGTAACTAACATTGCGTTGTTTAGCCCCTCCCAATGCCGAGCAAATCAAGATGTTGCGTGTGGTGGTGAGAGAAGACTTCAGCAAGAGTCGATGTGACCTTCTCATCCGAGACATCCTGGCTGTTGTGAAGCAGTTAGACGCCCAAGACGCCAAAACCATTCAAGAAAACCGGTAAGTGTATTTTTATGGAGATCCGAGTTAGGCCAAGTCAAATATTGACGATCAAAATAGCAATAACCATCCAAGTGCCAAACAACGCTGGGCTCTGTTGCGCAACATTGGATCCGTTGCATTCCACCACCCCCAGCTTGAGGGCAAAGAGCGTGTTCCCAATAAGACCAACGGCGTTTGCTAAGCGGTCTACCGATGTTTTGTTATGCTATGCTATGCCGATATGTTATGCTAGGAGACCGACCGACAAAATAATAATAAAAAAGATTTTTTTGTTTATTGAACACGGATCTGCTCATCGTTTTGACCCCGTGGTCGGCTTTCATCCAATTGAGCCAACATGTTTGTAAAACAAAGAATTGGCTTTGCACATTCCCGATGACGTCTGCGAGAGGATCTTCTCCTGTGGCAAAAACAGAGAGCTTTCTCCTGGCCGATAACATTAGATGTTTGCTATCCTGCCTGCCAATCGGTACTTTTCCGAAAATGCCCACGCCGGAAATTATCGCAACCGGTACATTATTTCAAACATTTCTGCACATCTTTATGTTTTATGGTAAATAGTAAGGTCAAATGAAATATTTTTCAGGCATAAACTAATTATAAAAAAAAAAAAATAGGAAGAAGAAATTACATTGTATGTATGTAACGTGTATCTATGTTGCGAAGGGAAGGGAACAAAATGTACATTTGAGTTTAGAAAATTACGAAGCGGTGGGTGATTGATGGTAGCAAATCAAAAAACCGGTCTAAGGAAAAAGTAGGCTACTCCTTACTTCTTCCAGAACTGCCATGGCTTCTTCTTGGACTCTTTGGCCTCTTTCTTTGAATCTGACTTGGACTGGGAACAATATCAGTCATCACACACGTCACAAACAAGGATAATTAACCCAAACTTTTAACTCACCTTTTTTGATTTCTCCTTGAGAATATCAAGCAAATTGGGAGATTTCTTTCCGTTCACTCCGGAAGGCGACTTGCTTCTTGAAGTTTCAACTGGTGGTGTGTTAACTGTTTGTAAAGTAGGAGCTGGTGTGTTTGCTTGTTGTTGTGGAGCAGATGGCTTTTCCGATTCTTCATTTCCAATTAATGTGACAGCGGACTTGTTAGGCTCGGCATGGCTGTCGTTGCATGCAGGGGAGGAGGCAATAACGGTGGTCTCTGGGGTAGCAATGGAGGAATGTGCTATTTCGGAGGACCTTTCCGATTCCTTCTCGGCTTCAGTTACGATGGCTGCATTCATCGTGTCGTCAACGGTTGGATCGACCAAGGATGAATTACCCCCATTGTTCTCCTGAGAATTCTCCTTCTGCGGCGTTTGCTCCACCAAAGGCGCTTCAACCTTGGGTGCTTCTACTACCTCTGGTTCATTAACAACGGGTTGCTGTTCGACGGGCTTCGTGGCGGTGATGGTAGGGGCGACGGAAACCTTCATGAAGTAGGTTGCTTCCACAGAAACAAAAGGAGCACCAGCGGATTCAACCATGATCAGTTTACAGGGGCTTTTTCCTACCACAGCGGAAATTTTTGATCCAGGAGAACTGGAGACTTGCGTATCGAATGATGGCCTTGTTGGACTCACGTTCGACTTTCTATGCTTCTTCTTATTGTTCAACGATGCCTTAGTCGGAATACTATCAGTGGATAAAGTCTTGGTGTCGGAATTGAAGCTGGCCAGACGTTTTGCTGCCTTCAATTCCTGTCGTTCACGAGCACGACGTTGAGCTCTGCTTTCAGCTGTAGGTGTTTGAGACATGGTAAGAAAGTAAAAGAAACAATGTCTGGCTTAGAAGTCATGGTGCTAAAAATTTAAGGTGCTTGTCAAGTGACTGCTTTTTTGATCGAGCGGGCCTGTCTGCCTTTCGCTTGAAACGACTTAAAACATGGGTCCGTATGGGCCAACGAAGTAGGTTTTGGGTCGAGAAAAAAAAAAAGTGTTCTACTATGAAATATCTTTTTTTTACTTGGTCACTATCATCTTTTTTGATTTCATATAGTATGGCAAGTTGAACCCGCTCATTTAGCATGTTGAATAGAATTTGACAGCTTTACTTTATTATATGATTGTCAAAAACTGATGACGATCACTCTGAGATTTCTGTGTGACCCGATCCAGTGAGAGGAGGGAGAAAAAAAAAAAAAAAGATTATTTTTATCGCTGCTGTGACGATGAACTTCAAAGGGCATCCAGGAACATGATTTCATGTGACTCCGATTGAAAATGTGGGTTTTTGGTTCAAAGTCTCTCAAATGAAAGAAGCTGAAAAAGCATAACTCTATCATCACCTTCTTTTTTTTTTTGGGGAAAATACGCCATGGACTGGAGTTCAATTTTATATCATGTTTACATGCCAAATCTTCAGTAAGCGTCTGGGAAAACACTACCTCAATCCAGTTTTCGGTCATCAGACGCTTGCTTCCCCAGGTCGATCTTGCAATGATAACCTTGCATATTCGCGTGCCTAAATATGGATTCCAAATGGGGGTTACGCTTCGGTGGAGCTCATCTGATTCTGAGGCGATCGGCCTTTTGGTGTTCATAGCACATGACAGTTTGTACTCGTACGACTGTGGTTGTTGCTTCGGGAGCCACGTTTGGAATGGTCAGATGCCAAAATCGATCGATATGATTTAGTCGGCTTTATGGTATGATATGAGCGATATATTTTTGTAGATGATATATGTGCGTGAAGGGGGAAAGAAACACGAAAAGCAATAGAAAGGTTTTGTACAAATAAATATAGAGGTAAGCAGGCGAGTCAAGCAAAAGAAAGAGCGAAAAAAAAATGGATAATATGGATATGAAGGGGGAAATACAAGTGGAGTTTGATAGGGCCTTGGGTTCAATTTTTTTTTTCTTCGGTATGGCAGTTTTCTCCAGTAGCGTTTAAAAAACATATTTTTTTTTTGGGGGGGAGGTTTTTTCAAAGAGGCATACATAGGTAGAATATATGTGTTGCGTGTACAGTATGTGCGTGCGTGTGTGGGTTTTGTTGGAGATGAAAAGAGTGCAAGTGCTGCTGGAGAGGAGCCAAGTCCTTCGATTTTGATGGGTTAGCAGGCAGTTTTTATGTGGGATTTGTTATGAGGAGGTGACCCATGCGCGCTTGCGTCGGTATGTTTCTCTTGTAGAGCGAGGTGATCTGTGCGGTAAGCGTCTGATATTTTTTCGCTTGCCATCATCAAATGGAATACCATTATCTAAAAAGAAAGTTATTAGCGAATTATCCATGTCATGCCATGTCATTCGAGTTGAAATCGTACCATAGTCATGCATATTGACATGCTCCTTTTTGGCCACCGACGCTGCATGCATCTGCTCATTGCGTAGGATAGGCTGTAGAATTCGCCGTCGTGCATTGATAAACCAATTGCTGATTTGATTGACAGTCAGAGCAGTTCTTCGTGCAAGGTCAATCTTTTCATCCTCAGTAGGGTAAGGATGTCTCTTATGCTGGACCAGCCAGTTTCGGAGGAAGGCGGTGACGTTTTTTGGCAAGTTTCCACGTCGTCTTCTTAGACTGGAGTTGCTACCGCCATTCGCTGGCTTGACAGAATGAGAATCACTGCCACTCATATTGCCATCATCCAAAGAGGCAGCTTGCTCAGGAGGAGTGGAAGGGGAATAATCCGAAGCGGATCCAACGTCACTATGCAGTAATGGAGGAGTAAACGACGCACTTCGAGGAGGGAGTGGTAAATGAGATGAAGGCATGGTTGGGGAAGATCTGGTTACCAAAGTGTCAATTGACAGATGTGGCCGGCACTCTGGGTCTGAAAGCGTAGGCAAAGGGGAGATCATCTGTCAATATATGGATAGGCACAAAAAAAAATGTCCATTGAAAAATATTGCCCCTTTTTCATATTGATACGTACATCGTAGGCCTGACCAGAACTCGGCATTACGTTGTAGCATCTCGTTTGTCTTGATGAGATGGGAATCAATGTCAGCCGTATAATGGTAATCAGGAAACGTTTTATAATCGTTGAACAGAACGATGGTTCTGAACTTGCGAGTCTGGTGAGGAGGTGTTAAGACAGAAATAGGATGGGGCATGCCAATAGAAAGAATCACTCACTCCATGTGGCTGAGCGTAGCGGCTAGAGTTGTTGAACATGGATGGATATATTATGACAGACAGCTCAAAATGAAGTATGTGTACGTATGAAATGATGTATGTATGTATAAAGAGATCTCGCGTGCTTGTATCGTTTTATGTATAGGATATATATATAGAGAGGGTATATATATATGATGATAGTGAAGAGAGGAGAACCAAGTCGGTTGAATGATGGAGGGAGAGAAGAAAAAGCGAAAAGCGTCAAAGCAGATGACAAGTTGGACTTTATAAAAAGGATGGCCCATGCCACATCACATCAGATGAACAAGTGATTACTGCAGCCAACTTTTTTTTTCTGGAAATCAAAAATGGCTTGGGCGTACAACCTTACAAGAAAAACTAGATCTGCCCTTTTTTGAGAGCACAAGCTTTCTTGTCAAGTTCAGTTTGGGGGGAGACATGGTTTGGGGGTTTTTGCGCGTAAAGTGTGGTGTCACGGTTCACATCGCTCTTTCTCTTTGAGTTGGATTGCCTTGTGTCAATTGTCCCCCCGGGAAAAATCCTCCCAAGTGACATATCCATCACATCGCCATCAACTGAGCTATCACCATGGAAACAACATATACACAAAAGAGATCGCCTAAGATCCCGAGTGATGACCTTGTCTGCTTACTTTATCTATTCAATGCTTCTTTGCCTCTCTTTTCCCAAAAATCCGCGTCCCACCCTAATAAGTGTATCAGCCCCCGTAAAGTGATGCCATTAAAAATAATAATATTGGATGGTTTTAAAAAAAGAATTAGGTAGGCCGTTGGGAAGCGCAGGTGGTCACTTTTGGGGAAGGGGCCAAATTGAGTGCGGGCCAGCGTCAAGAAGACAGGAGAATGACCTCAACAGTCATGAGATGGTGGATGACCTTGTTGTTGATCTCTCTTAACTCACTCAAATATAACAAGAGAAAGATAGAAGCGCACGGGTCCTCTTGTGGATTGACACTTTTTTTTTTTTGGGTCGCTTGCGTCAATAAACATAAATTGGTATTAGACTATGAAAGTGTTCTCGATTTCACAAGCTATCGCTGACTATGCTCTGCTGTTGCCTTTCGACCAATATAGGCATGTCCCAAGCTAATAAATCCACGTTGGTGCATCGATCACTTATGGTTACTTTTGGTACCTTAGTAGCTAGGTGGCACCAAACGACGATGGATAGCGGACCCTCATCTCTCAGCTGACACAAACTTTTTGGTTTTTTGTTGAAACCCCAAAGGAGGAGGCGAAGTGAAAGGAGTATCGGTAGCAAGCTATTACATTGAACTTAGCTGCTGATCTCTCGTCTCCTTAGCGGTCTCACCATCAGCCATTTTTCTCATGATGCGCTCACAGACACCTGGGGGAGCTTAGATAAGGAAAGGGGTAGTCGGGATTGCCGGTTTTCAATACGTGCAGCTAGATGGGGGATCCCTTGACACGTTGTATATGAGCGTTAACTCATGGAAGGGAAAAATAAAAAGAGGAATAAAATATATTGCCACGGTACGACCGACCCTCTTACGATTACTTTTCAGTTTCCATCTCCTAAGCTTAACTTTTCCCAACCACAAGCCTGCAATGGTACTAAAAAGGAAGGTGCGAACTTGTCAAATGGAATTTATATTTTTTTCGAACGATTCGAAACGATCTGCCTGAAAAATACCGTGCCGTGTACCACTGAAAGCGGTATTTTTCTCTAATGCTTCATGCTTTGTATATTAACGTTTAAATCAAAGAAAAGAAAAAGAGAAAAAAAAAAGTCGGCTCACTTTTTGATACTCTCTACTTTTTAACTTCCATGTTGACTATCCATCGCCCGTCAGTAATAACAAAGTTGCCTATATATGGGCGGATAATGACCTGATGATAGGGAGTTGGCAAAGCAAAAAAAAAAACAGGCTGCAGTGGTTTTTTTTACTTCTGTCACTGCTTTCAACTCGCCCTTTGGCTCTCTCCACAACCACGGATGTGCCCTGTAAGGCGACCTGACCTGTCCCCCCCCCGACCAAGCAGCTGATGCAGTGTGACACGCTCTGTGCATGGGCCTCCTCTCCCTTGGTGTGTCTATGCTTGGCTTGGGAAACTGCGTACGTACCTTATCTTATTGATCAATCATACCCTCGTGGAACCGCCACCCTCTCTCTCTCTTTTTTTTCACGCTTGACGTTTTGCCGTAAGCACAAATATCGTGAACCTGTGACCCTCAGTTCCCCCGCCTTACCTTATATCATGTCATATGCTGCTAGTTTGGGGGCGGCTCGTCTGGGCTGAGTTACGATGCAAGCGAGCAAACCTATTGAAAATGTCACTTTTTCCTCCTTCTGTCTGTTCAACACCATCTTCTTCTCCGTTTTTGTTTCATGCCATGTGTGTTTGTGCTTTCTTTTTTCGTTTTAATTATAAAATAAAATCATGGATTACTTTTATGAATTGCAAAATGATGAAAACATTGGGTTTTGAGAGAGAGGGAATAGGTAACAGAAAGAAGGGGAGGATGTCACTGGGAAAAGTGATCGAGTGAAAGGGATAGAAAAGGGAATATTACAAAAAAAAAAGATGCGTTTTTCTTTTCAAAGGAAAAAATAAAGGAAACAAAATTTTTGGGATTGATGGGGGATGTTGTGATTTATGCGTGTAAAATGGCAAAGAGACGAAGAGAGGGGGGAAGAAAAGGGGGAATATGTATACTGAAATAATAATAAGTAAAAAAAGGTTTAGAGGTCATCGCAAATCGTCATCGCGATCACTGCCTCCAATGTCAATCTCTTCATCCTCGTCTTCTTCGATAACAGTGGCAGACTTTTCCGATATAGGAGAAGGCACAATCAGGGTCAACTTGGGTAAATTGGATTCGGTGGTTGTTGCTGTCGTTTTGCGAGCATCAGAAGACTTGGTTGTATTGCGGCGACTTGGCAACACAATGGTGGATGATTTGGATATGGATCCATTCCAAGACGCGCTCTTTTTGATCATACCAGGAGACAGTTTACTACCTCCACCAGCCCATTTTCCTCCTGTTGGTTTTCGACGTCCATAGGTATGAAGACTACGATGATGAGACGTAGAGTGGTGATTATAGACGTTGCTGTACGTGCGTCGAGTAGCAGCTGGTCTTCGAGAAGCAGTAACCATAACATCTTCATCGTCCTCATCTTCGTCTTCTTCATCGTCATCGTCATCATCGTCTTCCATGATGGATCGTATATCTTTTCGCTGAGATCGTTTAGACGATAATCGGGTGGTTCGCTTCGGAGTGGCTTGGCTGACCGAAAGTGTCGACCGATAGGCAAGAGGGCTACGAGCACGACTGATGATTTCATCCAAATCCATTGAGCTACCATTCTCCATGGCATCCATGGCAGCAGCACGCATTTTCTTCATATGTTCACGTACTTCTTCAACATCGGTATCGGTATCGGTGTCCTCGTCCGATTCGACTACATCCACAAAGCTTGATGAGGGTGACACCGCAGCATCGTTGTCGGGGGTAGGTAAATTGTGTCGTGGGGGTGAAGGGCTGGCATCATCAGAAGCTGGCCCAGACTTGATGGTGACAGGTGACAATACACTTGCATTCGGACTTGCAATTCCACCACAACTGTTGCTGCTACTGACAACGGAGATTTCTCGTTTCTTCTTTCGATGAGATTTCTTTTCTTCATCAAAACATCCAAGCATCGGCGCTTTGAGATTAAGAGAATGACTTGGATTATGCGAAAGCAGAAGTTGTTGCAGTTGAGCGCTGTTGTTGTTGTTGTTGTTGTTGTTATTATTGGGCGAGCTAGGTCCAGATGAACTGCTGACCTGTTGGTGCGACAAGAATCCATTTTTTGACGATCCAGTGCTACTCCGAAGACTGGTCAGTGTCACAGCGGTCAGTCGACCTTCTGGTGACTTTTTGCTAACAGGAAGGGAGATCGGCAAGGGATTGGGGAAATAGGTATCGATGGTATCGTTCAAAAAAGCTCCCAATTTGTGTTGAAGTGAGCACGTCGCTGCCAGTGCTTGAGCTCGTCTAAGGGGGATCCAAGTGCCATGAAGTCGACTGGCCTTGTTGGGTATACGTACACGACCTACTTCCAAGCTCAGAACAATACTTCTTTCTTGTTCCGTTTCGATCCCTCCAGCCTTGAGTAAGCTAGTACCATTGATATAGCCATTATCCACTCGTCGCATCAAGAGATGTTCACCTTCCACGCCATTTGCTTCTGACAGAACCGTAACGTACACTGCAACGTTATCAATGATCGTGATGTACATATGGGGGGTGGTCGGAACCGTCGTGGATATAATTACAGGTTGATTGGCATCTTTGGAAGGTGACGTGGGGGTAGATTCAGTTGTGGTGGGTGCTTTAGAAGGTTCTTTTTTCAAAAGTGCCTCCAAAGCTGAAAAATGGGATAGCGCCGCTTTGATATCGAGTGTTGGTGATGAGGAGTTGCTGGTCGGTTTGCCATTCGTAGAAGCAGACACAGACTTTATCGTTGGCGCGAGGTGGGCTAAATTTGGTATGGCAGCAGCGATTTGGTGTAGTGTTTGAAGGTTCAAATTGGAAATGTTGAGCGTCTTGAGGATCTCAACCGCACTGAGAACCGTAGATTGGACGTTTGACGAAGCGGCTGCAACCGCCGCGGCTGTGGCTGGGCTAGTGGTCATAGCAGACACCAAACTGGAAGTTGATGGAATCACGGGTGCAGATGCCCCTGTACTCGGTGCAACAGAGGAAGCAATTCGACTAGCGACATTTGGAGCAATGTTTGCTTGGGTGTTGACAAAAGTCTCTGTTTTGGAATCTGCGTCCTCAAACTTTACAAAGCTGTCATCATCCTCGCTTTCTGAGATTTGTTCCGATGATAACTCTTCACTGCTTTCGGCGGTTGCAGTCGTCATCATGGCTACCGTGGGTGAACCGTTTGGTTGGCTGTTGCATTCCAATGATCTTGGGCTTGGTGGCGTTGATACAGTTGAACTTGAAATAGCTACTTCAGATAAATACATCAGAAAAGGGTTACGATTGCGAAGAAGTCAATGGTTTAGTCAAACTCAGTTTAGACTCATCGATCATTTTTCTCCACGGCATTGACCATGATTATAGAAATAACTACTAACCAAGTTTATCCGTCACATCTTGAATTTCTTTCTGGTTTTCCAATCGGATAGGTTCATCACTCAACAACTTCATCAGACCCAGAGAGCTTTCAATTTCGTATTCTTCAACAAGCTCACGTGCACGATGTAACGGCACCCTGTTGGCATAGGCATGTATAAGTAAATCTGGTATTGCTTCACAACAATCTTGCACAAACACTTACCATGCTCCTCGACATTCACTATGCCCGCTCGTAATAGTCACAACCGCATTATTTCTTTCGCTTTCAGCTTCTATGTCGAATGACCCTTTACCAAGAACGGGCTGTGCCGCTTTGCGTAGCTGAGTTGCATTTACATAACCTTCGTCCAGATAAAAATGTTGACTGTTAACTGACTTTTTGATTTCAGCATTTCTCGTTCGTCGAGCAATATTGTTGTTAGAACCATCTGTAGTCGAGATAAATCGCATCACCTTGGTGTTGGGAATATCGCCAGGAGAATCAAGTTCATAAACTCGCAGGTTGCCAAAGACTTTCTCCACGATATGGTAAGGCTGTATGCGTCGTGATGAATACCCATCCTCGTCACTTGAGCCAATCGATGAATCGTCTGGTGTTTCAAGTGCCGGAGAAGAGGGTGCCTCTTCCATGGTATCGGTCTCCACTGTTTCACGGTGTTCAGTAGGTACGTCCGCCTGCGGATGCGTGCTACCACTTTCGTCGTTTATGGGCTGCTTCGGTAAAAGCACCTTTTGAAGCAGTGGACTACCTTTAAAGTCGCCATTGATATTGTTCGGCCGTCGCTGATGGTTGCCGAGGGTCATCGATTTGCGGGTACCATTTGTCGTACTTGCAAAATAGTTGTCGAGTTCAGATACCGAAATGGATTCGGGTGTGGCAATATTGAGGGGTACGTTGTTGCCTACGCAAGAATTGTCGGATAGAAAGACATTGTCAAAATCTTGATCAAAGGAGTATGGTAGCCATAGATCTTGATCGCCTAGTAAACCATTGTTAGACTTTTTGGCATTCAACCTTGGTGATGATTTGGGAGATGTATAGGAAGGAAGGTTTAATTGGGGGGAAGATTGTGGATCGTTGTTTTGAGGTTGAATGGATGAAGTGGCGGTATGAGTGGAAGTGGTTGTATTGTTGTGTGGAATAGCAGTGGACTTTACAGTCGCTCGACGACTGGACAATTTCTTTTCCACAGTGACAGTAGGGGCTACATCTTCCATGACTAAATCCCCTTTTAGCATTTCCTCATGATAATCGGAAAACTCAGAATCCGATTCTGACTCTTCTGCATTCATACGAGTAGCATGTATAAGTTGAGCGGGTGTGGAAGATGATGTTGATACTTCATTGGTTGTAGAGGGTGTAATTTGACTAGACAACTCTGAAAGGGTCGAGGAAGGTACCATGGAAGATTTTCGTTGCCTCTTGGGCAATGGTGATGCCTCGTTATCAGATACAGGGTGTGGTGCCTCATCGTCAGCTTCATTATCACTTTCGGATCGTCGTGCGTATTGAGAATTTGTCTTTCGCCTTGGTCGATGTGTTCGTACCGACGGTTTTTCAGGTGGAGAATTGACTGGAATAGCCTTGCTAATAGACCGTTTTCTCTTGTCCATGCTTCTCGTGTGATGAACTACCTCTGGTGCTGGAGGTTTCGCTTCATCTTCTTCAGAAGACAACGGTGATGAATCAGAGGATTCGGTGCCTCTTTTCGTCGATAATCCAATATTATGATCGGGTTTTTCTTGCTCTTTCTTTGCTTTGGAACTGGGCGTCAAAGAAGGTGAATCTGGTGACTTTGATTGTATGGAATCTGTTACCAAAGAGTAATTAATCTTTCGAGCGTGGCGCTGGTCTACATGCTTCGCGAGCAGTGGCGCACGAGGTGGATTATGCTCAGCGGCTCTTTTAAAGTGCTGTGATATGCGTGATGATACAGTTGCAAATGGAGTTGCACCGCTAGATGAAAGGAAAAAATGATAGCGTTAGCATATATGGGGGGTTAACGAACTACCATTGTATCCACCTGTTACTCACCCCAAGGTAGCATATTTGTACTTTGTGATCACATTGGACAGCTCTCGAGGGGAACTTGGCTTGTTTCCGACCTTTAAGAGAGCCTTCATAATGGCGGTAAATACTTTATCTCGCGCATCGTCAGGATGTATAGACGGTAATGGCTGCTTTGAATGAGAATGGTTCTCATTGTCGGACTGGTTGGCTACCTGTGACAAGTCGTCATTCTTGACACTGTCGGCCATCTGGAGTGTGTCTAGAAGCGAAATGTGAATTTCACTAATTGCTTTCTGTAGCCGTTGTTGTTATTGCGCGGGACAGTTTATAAACGTCGAATATGTACAGGCTGCAACGACTTTTGACTCCAAACCAGTTTCCAAGGGATTCCTAAAGGGAAGTGGGATTGAAAGAAAAAAAAAAAAAAAAAGTCCTGTCGGAATTTGAATCTTTGGTCGAGGTTGGCTGAAAGTGCCAAAATGTGTCAGTTGAAAATTTTTTTTTCCTTATTTTATGCTCACGCGGTAGAGTAAGGTCATTTTGGCAGTTGATAGCTGTCAACATATAATCGGGTTTATTAAATTGGGAGAAAGCATAAAGCTATATAGCACGGAAGGCATAGAGGAAATTGAGCTGCAGCAGAGAATCGGGCTGAGTTGGGAAAAAGTCGACTTTTCCTTGATGACACATTACCGACGAGTAAGTGCCTTGCTCTCGCCGTCCGGCCGACTCCGCTCAAGGAATGATTTTGCCCAACTTTCTCATAGAACGGTGAGAGCCATCTGCCGCTCTCCGTATCAAAAGGTCCTTCTTTCACTTGACTTGGTTCGTACTATTTATTGTAGTCCTATACTAAAAATGTTCGGGCAAACGTTATCTACAGCGACTCATTAAGATCTGAAAATGCGGGCCCCCTGAGCCGCCGGTGATCAGTGTAGCAATAAGACTCTAACTATAGTGTAGTCCACTTTACGCCTAAGTAATTTGCATAGACTACTGCAATTGAGTAATGATATGATCATTGGCATGGATGGGTCCTTTGGTCATAATTCCCCTTCACTCCTGAATCAAGAGCAATGTACTGCCAAAAGTGACTGGCACTCAAAATTTTGGCAGTGCAATGTGAAACAGCTTGGGGCATAGCAAAGCTAATACCATCAACGCGAGATGTGAGTCTACAGATTCTTTCGATTTCTCAAATATGTTTGAAAAGGGGAGAGACTTTCATGGCCGTTTATAGCCTTTTGTGGAAAGAATTCCTTCTTCAGTCTGGTAAAGTACTAAGAAATTTGGCAACCCGAACGAAATAGCACTTGAACCAAGGCCGCAGCGCAAAGCTTATTCTCTCACGAAAAAATCCTTAGTCCATACCAATTACTTTCGATGGCCCAACAAGAACATCCTGCTGTAACCCGATTCCGGGAGTACTTGCGCATTAATACTATGCAACCTAAACCAGACTACCAAAAGTGTGTTGATTTCCTCGCTGCTCAGGCAACCGAATTGGGTATGTAGACAATGGTCACCATCGTCCCCCGATCTGGGAAACTAAACATATTAAATTGCAGGACTGGCATATAAGGTGGTTGAATCGGCTCCGGGCATACTTAATATATTCATCACGCTTGAAGGTACCGATCCTTCTTTGCCGTCGATTTTACTGAACAGTCATACCGATGTCGTGCCTGTGTTCCGCGAGAAATGGTCCTGCGATCCTTTTGAGGCTATCAAGAGAGACGATGGCTATATCTTGGCTCGCGGAGCTCAAGATATGAAGTGCGTTGGCTGGAGGTAGGCATTTGATAATTTCTTATTTGAGATCTTTGGTTGACATTTGTTTAACCATTTATTCAACTCAGCTACTTTGAAGCTATCCGTGCACTTCTTGCTAAAGGCTGGAAGCCAAAGAGAACGGTCCACATGTCGTTTGTTGCAGGTAAGATGAGTACGTGCTGAGATTTTTTCAAAGTGCGCCAGTAAGCTAAATGTCAGCATACAGATGAAGAGATTGGCGGACAATTGGGTATGAAACTTTTAGTCAACAGACAAGAGTTCAAGGATCTGAATGTTGGTTTTGCGTTGGATGAAGGCATTGTTAGTATGCACCTCATAAGGCATTTTTTCAGGTTGAACCATGTTTTAAGACTTCATGATTGCTATGCAGGCTAGTGAGAAAGACACTATTCGAGTATTTTATGGCGAGCGAGCACCATGGTGGGTCAAGGTTGTATCAACTGGCCAAACGGGTCACGGATCGCAATTGATTATTGAAGACAATGCAACACTCAAGTTGGTAAGTTAATTTACAATTCTATCATTCACATCTTCTTGCATTCTGCTCGTTACGTTCATAACTTATAGCTCAACCACTTTTTCTCTGTTACATAGATGAAAGTCATTAATAAGTTTATGGACTACCGTGCAGATCAAGAGTACAAACTGATCCATGGTATCGACGGACGTAAAGTTGAGTTGGGAGACGTCAACACCATCAACCTCACTATGCTTAACGTAAGTATTTTGCAGATTTGCTGTGATACCTCTGCAGACATTCATCATCTTCATGTAGGCCGGAGTACAATTCAATGTTGTTCCTCAAGACGCATGGGCTGGTTTCGATGTTAGAGTATCACCGAGAACCGACATCAATGAATTCAAGAACATGTTGATCGAAATGGCAGAGTCTGAACCTGGGTAAGAAATCGCTGACTTCCTGCGAGCTCTGGTACGCGGTGTACTCAATTTCTTCTTCACAGCGTTAAGCTAGAATTTGTAACCTTCTTTGGTTCTAACAAACTCACACCGATCGATGATGGCAATCAATGGTGGGAAACTGTTACCAAGGTTGCCAAGCAACAGTAAGTGTTTCACACTAGCATCGACCATTGCTGTTCATCAATACTCATCATACCCGATATAGCAATATCTCACTAGAGCCTGAAATTTTTCCGGCTGCAACTGATAGTCGCTACTTGCGTGAAATTGGTATTCCAGCCTTTGGCATTTCATATCTCAAGAATGTACCTATATTGCTGCACGACCACGATGAACGTATTCACGAGGATCAATTCCTCGAAGGCATTCCCTTCTATTCTAACTTAATCGAACAGTTGGCAGAACTTTAAAAAAAAACTTGCAATAAAATATTGTTTCCCAAACATACTGTTTATTTGTTCAAAGCAATTTAGAAAGCGTTCGCTCTTACTTAATGAAAGTGTTTGGCATGGGCATTTACAGATATGGATTTACGGGCAGACCGTTTAGTTGCCGCCACGTAGACGAAGGACAAGGTGGAGAGTGGACTCCTTCTGAATGTTATAATCAGAGAGAGTGCGTCCGTCCTCAAGCTGCTTACCAGCGAAGATGAGACGTTGTTGGTCCGGAGGAATACCTTCCTTGTCTTGAATCTTTTGCTT